AACAGAAAAGGCGTTGATGGCGCAGCCTTTAATACCAGCACTCAGGAGGCAGAGGCAGGTAGATCTCTGTGAGTTCTAGGCCAGCCTGGTCTACAGAGCTACTTCCAGGATAGCCTCCAAAGCCACAGAGAAATCCTGTCTCAAAAGACCAAAATAAACAAACAAATAAATAAACAGAAACAATTGATTACATAATCCTTCATTAAGTTTGAATTTTTAAATGCTAATGAGAAAGGAACAGCAACTTCAGAGTGATATTAGATAATGAAAAACCTGCTGAGTTAAATAAGCCTATATATTAAGATGTGTTGATCTCAGAATGGAAACCAGGATGTGTGTTACACTGGGGAAGAGGTTTTCCTTGCTTTTTTGTTTTTGTTTTTGTTTGTTTTGGTTTTTCTTTTTTTTTTCTTTTTTCTTTTTTCTTTTTTGGTTTTTCGAGACAGGGTTTCTCTGTATTGTTTTGGAGGCTGTCCTGGAACTCGCTCTGTAGACCAGGCTGGCCTCAAACTCACAGAGATCCACCTGCCTCTGCCTCCTGAGTGCTGGGATTAAGGGCGTGTGCCGCCAACACCTGGCCTGCTATAGATTTTTGTATGTATATACAAGTTAAGGTAATATTTGTTATACTTTATGTATGTACTCTTGTTTAAGATATTTTACCAGCCTGGCAGTGGTGGTGCACACCTTTAATCCCAGCTCTCAGGAAGCAGAGACAGGTGGATCTCTGTGAGTTCAAGACCTTCCTGGTCTACAGAGTGAGTTTCAGTGTGGTAGAATATTATTTTAAGGTGTGTGTTTTTTGTTTATGCTGCTTTTGCTTAACTCTGTGAAACTGTGATTTTTTTTAAACTGTCTAAAACACATGATGGTCTAGTAAAGAGCTGAATGGCCAATAATGAGGCAGGAGCAAGGATAGGCAGGGCTGGCGTCAGAGAGTATAAACAGAAGGAGAAATGAGGATGAGGAAGAGTGATTGAATAAGGAGAGGAGGACATCAGAGGCCAGCCACTCAACTACACAGCCACACAGGGAGTAAGAAGGAGATAAAAGGGACACAAGAACAGGGAAAGATACAAGCCTGAGAACAAAAATACATGGGACAATTTAAGAAAAGCTGGCAGAAAACAAGCCAAGCTAAGGCCTGGCATTCATAACTAAGAATAAGCCTGTGTGTGATTTATTTGGGAGCTGGGTGTTAGGCCCCCTCAAAAGCCAAAAGAGTAGAGAATAAAAAATAAACAGTAGTCCACAACAGCCAGGCCTGTTTCTCAGAGAAACTCTGTCTCACAATAAGAGAAAGAAAGACAGAAAGACAGACAGAAATGAGGGCTAATAGCCCTCTGTAACAATAAAACTTATAGTCATGTTAAGTATATTTTCAAGGTCAAATATATTTTAGATAGATGGATGAACTTCACACATTTCAGAGATATTAAGAATATGGCATTTGCCGGGCGGTGGTGGCGCACACCTTTAATCTCAGCACTCGGGAGGCGGAGGCAGGCGGATCTCGGTGAGTTTGAGGCCAGCCTGGTCTACAGAGCGAGTTCCAGGACAGCCTCCAAGACAATACAGAGAAACCCTGTCTCGAAAAACCAAAAAAAAAAAAAAAAAAAAAAAGAATATGGCATTTGAAATGTTTTTAATAACATAAGGCCTTTCATGACTGTGAGACACATCTGCTCCTAGAATTACCAATTTACCTCAAAAAAGGATGACAGGCATTGAGGAGCCTCCACATGGAGTTTACTTTCTTTGTGGCAAAAGTTGCCTACTGGGCAAAGAGACTGCCCTTGCCTCAGCTGGTAACAGTACGCTGTCCAAATTGGACACAAAAGAAAATTATTTCCGAACTTTGCCACGACAAGGTGGGACAGTCCTTCAAAATCATGCTTCACAGAAAAGTCTGCCAGATGTCTAGACCTGTAGGCTGAAGATGGATGTCCCACGTTACAGAGGAGCCTTGGTGACTGTCCAGGCAGATGTTTCCATCATTTCTTTCTTGTTTTTTAATTTTTTTAATTTTTCGAGACAGGGTTTCTCTGTATTGTTTTGGAGGCTGTCCTGGCACTCACTCTGTAGACCAGACTGGCCTCGAACTCACAGAGATCCGCCTGCCTCTGCCTCCCGAGTGCTGGGATTAAAGGCTATGCCACCAGCGCCTGGCTGGTATTAAATTTTGGACACACCAAAATAACAGATAACAGTACTTTCTCCAAAATTGCCAAATACAAATGTACTAGGCATTTTAAGTGTAATTTGTACCTGATAATTGTTATTTTATGTAGTTTTATTATGTTAAGAGTTAAAACCTTTCGCCGGGCGTTGGTGGCGCACGCCTTTAATCCCAGCACTCGGGAGGCAGAGGCTCTGTGAGTTCGAGACCAGCCTGGACTACCAAGCGAGTTCCAGGACAGCCTCCAAAGCCACAGAGAAACCCTGTCTCGAAAAACCAAAAAAAAAAAAAAAAAGAGTTAAAACCTTGAAAGACCCCTACCCAGGGCCTCCCTAGGAAAAGAAAAGCAAGGCCAGGCCGTTGCCCAATGAAAGAGACCCAGACCAGGTGTCTCACCCTCAAAACAGGATGTCTGTGATCACTATAGCAGTCATGGGACCCGGATAATAATTGCTGAAGCGTGCTGGGAACTTTCATATGACAATACTAGAAAACCTAGTCCTTGGCAACTACCCTGGCCCCCAATTGTGTCTGATCACTATAGCAATCATGGGACCCGGATAATAATTACTGAAGCGTGCTGGGAACTTTCATATGACAATACCAGGACACCTAGTCCTTGGCAACTACCCTTGCCCCCAGTTGTGTCTATGATCACCATAGTAGTCATGGGACCAGGATAATAATTGCTGAAGTATGCCTGGGTCTTTCATAAAGTAATACCAGGAAACTTAGTCCGTGGGAACTACCCCTGCCCCCAAGATGAGCCAATGAAATGCCTGTTACTTATGTAACCATTGAAACTCTATAAATATTGTACTCCCTGAAAGCCCAGGATGCTCTGCACCTGAGTTGCAGTAGCATCCGCAGGCGCCTGTGTACTCAATAAATCACCTCTTGCATTTGCAGCCAGTGGTCTGGCCCCGGTTCTTGGGCAGAGGGTTCGGTTCAGTGCCCGGCGCTTTGATGCCGAGGTTTTTCAACCTTTCTTTTTATTTAGAGAAAACGAGGGAAGTGTTGCTGGATACTTGTTCACACTGACACTCCAAGATTGTTAATAAAGTTTACTTTGAATCAGAGGGTAAAGCTAGCAGCAAGGTGACCAGAATCAGCCATAGAGGTTTTGGAGGAGGACCCAGAATATATGGAGGGACACGGGAACGAGGAGGGGGGGCTTATAAAAATTTGCGGGCCCTTTTGGATCATGGGAAGGTGAGAGAGAGAAGGTCACTGGTTGCTTCTCTGCTGCTTCTCTGATTAATCAGGTTTTTATTTTTATTTTTATTTTTTTTGGTTTTTCGAGACAGGGTTTCTCTGTGGCTTTGGAGGCTTTGGAACTCGCTCTGTAGACCAGGCTGGCCTCAAACTCACAGAGATCCGCCTGCCTCTGCCTCCCGAGTGCTGGGATTAAAGGCGTGAGCCACCAACGCCCGGCTAGGTTTTTATTAATAATAGAAAACTGACCAGACATATGCTGAAAACCTAAAGACCCAGAGGCAATAATGGTCACGGATGTCTGTCATTCTTCCTATCGGGAGGTGGGGGAAGGACAAGGAATCCAAGTCTGTCCTCAGCTACACAGTGAGTCTCAGGCCAGCCTGGGCTACTTGAGACCCTGTCTCAAAAACAAAAGCTGCATGCCTGCTATCCAGCTTGAGAGTCAAAGGTTGCAAGTTCAAGGTCAACCTGATTCCAGGCCACAGGTTATAGATTGGGCCTCTGTCATCAAGCTCACGTTGGCAAGCACCTTTACTGGTAGAGCTCACATGGTGAGAGTCTAGAACCAGGAAAGGGATCCCCAAGCCACACAAGCTCTGTAGCGTGGATGCCTACACACATTAACTTACACGAAGTAAATGTTTAAAGTGACAGTGATTTCTACATGCCTGGCTTGCCCTGGGCTGTGTTTGTTGATTGGCTAAGCAACGACATGGGCAGATAGTAAAGTCATGGATGACCTGTGTCATCTGTCTGTTCTTCAGAGCCGTGAGGCATCGGGATGCAAAACCAGGCTCCCCAGCACGTGGCACGGTTTTGAAAGTGTTCCACTGCAGGAAATTGGTCTCTAAGGGAATGGTCCATTTCTACCTCAGCACTGTCTAGGAAGAAATCCCATTTTGCACATGAAGAAACTGAAGCTCTGAGCAGGGCTGTCCCAGAATCTGGATTCCACATAAAAACCTGTTTACCAGTCAGTGTGAGATAATTCCACCACCAGGAAGCCCACACCTGACTCCAGTCCCTCGTTCCCTGATGCTATGACATTTTTGTGTCACTGTGCCCACACTATCTACCTAGAATTCCCCAGTGAAGAGTTGGGAGAGTTGTCAGGGTGGAGATTCGGCCTAGAATGCCCCAGTGAGGGGTTGGGGTGTGGTCAGGGGTGGAGCCCGGCGTAGAATTCCCAGTGAGGGTTGCTAAGGTCCTGGATTCAAGACACATTACCACAAAAATAAATAAATTAAATTGAATTGTTTAAAAAGAAACTGTTAGGGGGCTGGAGAGATGGCCCAGAGGTTAAGAGCACTGACTGCTTTTCCAGAGGTCCTGAGTTCAATTCCCAGCAACCACATGGTGACTCACAACTGTCTGTAATGAGATCTCTTCTGATATGCAGGCAGAACACTGCATACTTAATAATAATTTTTTTTAATTTAAAAAAAAAGAAAGAAAGAAACTGTTAGGCCCTGGAAAACAGTTCTGAGTCAGCCTGAAACTCAGGGCAGGGACCAGCCGGCCAAAGGGCTTTCATAGAAGCCGCTGCTGGAATCACAGATTCGGCCGCTGGGCGGGAGCCGCTGGTACCGAGCAGCAAGCAAGGTCCCCTGATTCCTGCTGGAGGCTGCCCTGGGTGAGTTGCCACTCAGGCAGCTCTCTGCCCTGCACCAGTGCTGGGGTGGCTGGGATGGCAGCCATCCTGCCAGTGACCCCGTGGAAACCCCTCCTCCTGACTCCCTGGCGGTCTCCAATTGGTCCCCACCCGCGGCTGCCTCTGACCATCTGCTGCTGTCCATCACTGGCCACTCCTCGGCCCGCTACGCTATCCTGTTTGTCAAGCCCTGCTCGGAGACTGTAGGGTAAGAGGGGCTGTGGGGGATAGAGTTGTGGGTCCTAGAGCTTGGTAAGGGATCCCTGATGTCCATTAGGGTCCCCAATTTCGGTGAGCCCCCACACAGGGAGGGGCCAAACTCCATGACCCTCCTGTGGTTTGGGCCCCTCCCCCCACAGGAGGAGACTTCTACGGCTTTATTTTTTTATTTTATTTATTTATTTTGGTTTTTTTCGAGACAGGGTTTCTCTGTGGCTTTGGAGGCTGTCCTGGAACTCCCCTTGGTAGTCCAGGCTGGTCTCGAACTCACAGAGATCCGCCTGCCTCTGCCTCCCGAGTGCTGGGACTAAAGGCGTGCGCCACCAACGCCCGGCCTACGGCTTTATTTTTATTACATTTTAAAATGATATTTTAAATATTTAATTTTTTATAAGTGTATATGCTAAGGTACGTACGTGTTAAGGTGCCTGTGTGGTCTTCAGAAGCCATCCTGAGGAGCCCAGACTTTCCTTCCAGCTGGGGGTTGTGGGTAAAGGGGGTTGAAGGGCCAGGCAGTGATGGCGCACACCTTTAGTCCCAGCACTAAGGAGGCAGAGGCAGGCGGATCTCTGTGAGTTCGAGGCCAGCCTGGTCTACAGAGTGAGTTCCAGGACAGTCAGGGCTACACAGAGAAGCCCTGTCTTGAAACACCCCCCCAAGAGGGTGATGAAGAATTGAACTCAGATTGTCAGCTTGGCTGCAAGCTTTTACCTGTTGAATTATCTTTCTGGCCCATACCCTCCCTGGTTTAAAGTATCTCTGTCTAGGAATGGGGACACATGGGGGCAGCCAGGGGCCATGGAAACACCCCTCCCTGATTAGCAAGGCTGGTGTCTGGTATCCACCTCAGCAGAACCCTGGTCTTAGTTTTGCACGTGCCCTGTGGGAACAGGCAAGAGTCAGTGTTGTGACTGGAAAGTCCTCAGGACCCTTGTCCTGCTCCTCAGGTGTCACAGTGAGGGTCAGGCTGGGTGGGCTGCTGAGGCTTCAGCACAGTGAGGGTTCAGTGCGAGGGGGCCGGCTGAGGGCAGCCCGGGAGCAACAGCCTGGGGAGTGGCTGCGCTGCCAGGCTGATCAGTCCTGCTGGCCTTAGACACCAGATAAAAATAGTCTATGGTCTCAGAGAAGTTGCGCCAGCCCCAGGGAGCGGGGTTCCAGCGTGGGTCTTGGGTTCATTCCTGTGTGGCCTTGGGTAGGCTCTGGGCCTCTCCGAGCGCTGGCTGTGTTCTGTGATCCACCGATGGGCTCTGGGGGTCCTCCAGTGGCTGGGCTATGGGGAAGGGGTCCTAATGAAGAGCTTGAAGGCATGCAAGTGCATGAGTGTCTGCCCAGTGTGGCGGCCTATGCCTTTAATCCCAGCACCCTGGAGGCAGAGGCAGGCGGATCTCTGAGCTCCAGACCAGCCTGGTCTACAGAGTGAGTTCCAGTATAGCCAGGGCTACACAGAACAAAACAAAAAAGAGCCTGAATTTCTCCAGTGAAGACAGATTAAGGTAAAACCACAACCTGTCTCCCTGCTCATCTTCCAGTCTCCATGACAACCAGAAGCTTGGAGGATCTGGATGGGGGCCTGGGCAGCTGTCTCCCCAACGATGACCTCCCCCCGTTACTGGAGGAGCCACGCTCAGGCCGGAGGCCAGACAGCAAAGCACTAGGTACCTACCCTGACTGATTAGAGAGGTTCATCTCACTTAATCTCCCAGGCTGGGCAGGGCAAACAGCCTCCTGCCCCCAACATCTGGCTTTAGGGGTTGGCTACACAAATCCGGACTGGAATTCACTATAAGACATGTTGTGTGTCTCTGAACCTGGTATTCCCTGCAATGGAAGCTGCCATCACCCATTTCCTGGCAGCGCGGGGGTAGAGGATGGGATGGGTCAGGGGTGGTGAATATTCTTGATTCGTCTTATCTTCCACCAGCAGGGGCATCCAGGCATGCTGACCCTAGTGACTGGACACATGTGAGTAGCTGTGACCCTGGGAACTGAGGACAGCCTGGCCAAAGGAATGACTGTCTCTTGTTCTTCCTTTCCCTCCCTCCCTCCCTCTCCTCCTCTCCTCCTCTCTTCTCTGTCTGTCTCTCTGTCTCTGTCTCTGTCTCTGTCTCTCTCTCTGTCTCTCTCTCTCTCTCTCTCTCATGAATTAGGGTGTCATGTAGCTCAGGCTGTCTTCAAACTCAAACCTCAGGAATGGCCCTGCACCCTGAGCCCTGTCTCCACCTCCGGAGTGCTGGAATGCACTGGGGCAGTGGTCAGGACACCTTAAATCCCAGCACTCCTGATGCAGGAGGATCTCTGTGAGTTTAAGGCCAGTCTGATCTACAGAGTGAGTGCCAGGACAGCCAGGACCACACAGAGAAACCCTGTCTCAAAAAACAACAAAAAAGTTTTCCTTCATTTATATTTTATGTCTGAGTGTTTGTTTCTATTTAATTTTTATTATTTTATGTGTTTAGCCTGCATGAATGTGTGCCTGATGCCTTCAGAAGCCAGAAGGGGACCACAGATCCCCTGGAATTGGAATTACAGATAGTCATGACTTGCCATGCGGGTGCTGGGAATCGAATCTGGGTCCTCTGTGGGAGCTGCCCATGCTGTAACTGCTGAGCTATCTCTGTAATTTCTAATGTATTAATATATATACTTATATATGCACATGTATTTATTCATTTGTATATATGTATTTACTACGTATGTATACATACACAAGTATTTATGTACATGTGTACTTACGTATCTTCCCTAAGTTAGCTTTCTCCCTCCACCGGGGGTTCCTGGGGATCAAACTCGGGCTGTTAGTTTTGGAAACAGCGCCATCACCCACTGAGCTGCTTGGCCGGGTGCCCTGTTGAGTTTTAGATACAGCCTCACTATGCAGCCTAGGGTGGCATCCAACTGCAGGCCATCCTCCTGCCTCAACCTCCTAGGTGTTGGGATTATAGGTGTCTTTACAACTTGCTTGTGGGCAGGTGGTGGTCCACAGCCGCCTCCCCGTAAGAAATCTGTACTGAAATCCCTCGCGAAATGTCTGTGACGCCCTACAGGCCCCCCAGGATCCAGGGGTCTCTGGCGCTGCAGAGAAAGAGCTTGCGGCCAAGGAGGGCCCAGGAACCAGCAAGAGGATGCAGAAAGCCGAGACAAGTGGGTTTGCTCGGCGGGGGTGAGCGGGCGGGGGTGGACCTACGCAGAAGGAGGCTGCAGCCTGGGGAGGGGCAGGAGCCACAGGCGACAGAGCGCTCCCCCGCCACCCCCAGGTCCCCACGGTGCTCCCGCGCCGCGCAGGAGGTCGCAGGCTGCGCCTCCCCTGAAGCCACCGCCGCCGCCGCCGCCGTCTCTGAGCGACGACCTGCCCTGGGGAGACCTGACACTCAACAAGTGCCTGGTGCTGGCCTCGCTGGTGGCGCTGCTGGGCTGGGTTCTCCAGCTGTGTCAGAGTGAGCTCTGGGAGGAGGGGCTTGGGCCCGCGCACGGTTCAGAACAGTGCTCTTTGGAGTCCTCTCCAAGGAGGTGGGGTGCGTTTGCCCACCTCTGCCTCCTAAGTGCTGGGATTAAAGGCGCGCGTCAGGCGTGTGTCACCCACACCTAGACTTCTCTTTTTTTTGAGACATAGACTCAAATAGTCCAGCCTGGCCTCAAGCTCTCTCTGTAGCCCAGGCTGGCCTCCTGATCCCACGCTTTGACCCTCTAAGAGCTGGGATGACAGGGGTACACGTGGACCCTGACTTTTTGTTTTTTAGTCAATGGCTCACTTTGTAGCACAGACTAGCCTGGAGCTCATGGCATTCCTGCCTCAGCCGCCTCCCAGCCAGGGTGACAAGCCATCCCTCGTTAGAGAAGGGACCCACACCCTACCCCAGTACAGAGGGCCCCCCAACACAAGCACACTCTCTAGCCACCACCATGCGACTTGGGAAGAGGACAATGGCCACTCAACGGGGGGGGGGGGGAGAGACAGACAGACAGACACACACACACACACACACACACACACACATCTAGGGAGAGGTTGGGGTACCCCAGCAGCAGGAGCCGCCTGCACTTCCCTGGGAGGATGGAGCAGGTGGCTGCAACTCCATCCATCCCGGGAACGGGGTTCTGGGGCTGAGTGGGAGGATGAGGAGGGTGCACTGTGTCCTCCAGCCCAGACTGACTGACTTTCAGATGCAGTGTCTGGGGAGGTGGCGGTGGCTGCCCCTCAGCAGTGGGTCCCGCCCAGTCTTCCACCCAAGAAGTCGGCGCCACCGTCTGCGGTAAGCCTCCCTTCACCTGATGGGGCTGCTCCCAGGGAGGAGGCGGGGCTTGTGGGGAGGCGGGCGCGAACCCCAGACCCCACATCGTCTCTCCATAGCCTAAGCCCCCGCTCTCGGTACCTCCATCCGGGCCTCCGGAGCCCAAGCCCGGGCCGCCCGGGCCCCAGGCACTGAAGCAGGACGAGCCTGAGGCTACAGAAGCCCTGGGGGAGCCTGAGGGGCCCCAGCGGGAGGCCTCTGGGGAGGAGCACGCCCCCCTTGGAGACCGAGGGTCCCAGAAGCGGCCCCGGAAGGAGAAGCCAAGGAAAGGAGAGAAGCTGAAGGAGAAGCCGAGAAAGGACAAGCCCAGGAGGGAGGAGAGACCACCGCGGGCCACCAGGGAGCCCCGCCAACCCCTGCCCCGGCGCTGGGAGCAGAGTGAAAGAGGCCCCCGGCCGTGGGCGCGGGACTCCAGAGAACTCGAGCCTGAGAAGCGGCATCCCCGGCGACGCCGTGACCTTGACGCCCGGTCCAGACAGAAGCCCGGTGGGGGCAAGGGGCGCGACTGAGCCTGCCCTGAATCCCGCACCCCCTCTCCCTGCAGCACCAGCGAATAAAGCTCGTGCTGCGGCAGCCGCGTCGTCTTCTCCTGTGTGTCTGGACCCCAAGGGTCGGAGAAATGGGGATGGGATCAGTCAGCCGCCAAGCCCGACTACCCGAGTCCAATCCCGGGACCCACACTGTGGAGGGAGAGGAGGAACTTCGGTTGGTTGTCCTCTGACCTCCATCCAGGGCCTGGCTCCAAGTTCTGATCCGCCTGTCTCCACCTCCAAAGTGCTGGGATGCAGGTGCGCGCCACCACACTCCGCTGCTTTTTCTTTTTTAGATTGAGTGTGTGTGTTGGGGTGAGCAAGTGGCCTTTACTGCTGAGCTATCACCCCCCCCACACACACATTTTTGAGGCTGAGTTTCTTTGTGAACCTTTGGAGGTCAGCCTGTTCTACAGAGCGAGTTCCATGGCAGCATGGGCTGCATAGAGAGACTCTGTCTCTAAAAAGGAAACGCGATGGGGACAGAGAGCTTCCTCACGGTGTGTGTGTGTGTGCGCGCGCGCGTGCGTGTTGCACTTGAGAAAGGTGACAGGAGGTCCCTTCCCCCGCAGACACCCCAGCTGAGTGTTTGCTGATCTTTATTGGAGAACTGACTGGAGGCAAGGCGGGCATCACCTCACCGGCAGCCACACTCGGTGGCCACCATATTGGGCACATGGTGCGCGCTGATGCGCTCCTCGGACAGGCTGATGAGCAGCTTGCCAGCATAGGCAGTGGGCACGCAGCAGGGCAGGCGCCCCAGGGCGGCTCCCCGCGCCTGCATTTTCAGCAGGAGCACCACGTGGTTCCCGTAGCGCGGGTTGCGGTCGGACTGCGGCCACACGCAGGCGCCTTGGCAGTTGTTGGCCTGGTAGGTCTCGGGGATGAGCACCGAGCGCTCTGCGCGCAAGTCCACGCTCAGCTCACGCAGCGCGCAGGGCCCATCCGTCTCTGTCCCCGCGCTGCGCCCCGCCCTCCCGCTGCCTGTCCGCCCACGCCACTCTGCACGCAGGCCCTGCAGCGCCTTCAGCAGCAGCAGGGCGCGCAACGGGTCCCCGGGGCTGTGGGTGTCGTTGGGGCACAGTGCCAGTAGGCGGGACAGCAGTGGGGGCGCAGCGGGTGGCAGGCCCGGGAGGCCCCGCAGCTCTGAGGCCGCTGCCTGCAGCTCCACGGACACCCTGCGTGCCAGGCCGGCTGCCCAAGGAGCAGAGGCGGGGCCCTTCAGCGGCGTGCGGTCCCCCATGGTGGCTGCAGCGGGGGACAGCAGCAGGAGCAGGGGTTCCTCCCCATCGAGCAGGCGTTCCAGTGCAGCGGGGTCCGACAGGTTGACGAGGCCCTGTGGGAAGCTGGCCAGCGCCCCAGGGTCCAGGGCCAGATGTGTGTGCGAGGCCCGGGTCGGGGGTCCCCGTAGGGCACGTACCAAGCGAGTAAGGGTCTCTAGGAAGGGGTCGGCGCTGTGCAGTAGCTCCTCTGGCTCCAGGGACAGCCTGGAATAGAACGCAGTGGGCGAGGCGTGAGCACAAGAGGGCGTGGCGGATGCAACCTCCTTGCGCGCAACTTCCCGGTTCCTGCCCCAGCCGGGCGCACACCTGAGCGGCGGGAAGGGCATGGTGTCCACCTGGCCATGCGCTGGCTGCAGTGATGGCGGGACAGGCGGCAGCAACAGCAGGGTTGGGGTCATGCGTGTGAAGCAGCGAGAGTCAGAGCCAAACAGAAAGGCCTGCAGCTGGGTGATGCTCAGGGTGGCACCTGCGGAGGGTGGGCACATGGTTGGCCGAGGGCAAGGGCTGAGGGCGGCCTCTTCCCACGCAGTCCTCTCTCTTCCTGCTGTGCCTACCTTCTCTGAGCGGCTGCAGGGTTAGGGCGAGGCCGGGGCCGCTCCAGGCCCCCGCTGGAAAGTCCACAGCCAGCACCAAATATCGGGTGTCTCGAGTGGGGCAGAGGCTCTGTGGACACGGGCGCTCAGGGGGACTGGCAAGCATGGCAGGCTACCCCTCCCACACTGAGAAGACGTCCAGGCGTACTCTTGACCCCTGGAGCCCTTCCATTAGGCAGATCTTTATCCACCCCAAGCAGATGGCGGTTCGGGGATGGCCCCACGCTACTCTCAGGTACCTGTGTGCCCTGCAGCCCAGCCCCTGTGACTGTGACCTGGGGGCCAGGTCCAGGGTATAGCACCAGCAAGGCCTGCTCCCAGCGGCTGGCTCCCCCGTGTGGAGGCTCTTGGAACTTCAGTAAGAGCGTGGGCTCCCATATCACTGTGGAACGCATATTGGTGACAAGTGAGTCTGCGGACTCTAGTTTCCATTTCTCAAGACCTGTGCTGCAGAGATCTCCTCAGCTGGAATCTAACTGGGGCTCTCCTGAGGCCAGGCAGGCCTGAAGGACCCCGTTCCTAGGTGTGAGGTGTGAGGTGAGGACCTCGCTTGAAGGGAAGTCTGCCCGCTATGGAGGGAGTGATCCCTGGGTGCTGTGCTGCCATTCTGCCCACGAGCATACCCACTGAGCGTACCCACGAGCGTACAAGGCTCTGCCTTGCAGCCAAGACACAGGATTCCCAGGCCTCTGCCAAGACCCGGGAGGAGCCTCAGGTAGTAACAGGCCCAGGGCACAGGGGTGAACGGGGTCCCTCACATACCTTCAGCCAGATGCAGGACCAGCAACTGCTGTCCCCCAGTCTCCCCCAGCCAGGCCCCAAGGCGCTGCAGGGCCGGCAGGGTAGTCTGGGAGTCAGGACTGCAGACTCCAAAGGTGGCCAGGTCTTGGGGTCCCCAGTGAGACTCCTGTACGGCCTCCAGGAAGCCATGCTCATAGCTGTCCAGGCCCCCCACTACCCTCAGCGGGGTTCTGCTTGTGTTCCCCAAGCCTCTCAGCGTCACCAGGCACAAGGGCTCTGGGGGACTGCTGGGAGGCCAGACCCCATCTTCCAAGAAGATAAGGCCCCTGGTGCTGGTGGTGGTTTTGAGCTCTTCTTTGAGGGTCTCGGCCTGCAACACGGCGCCCATAGTCACCAGCAGCGCTAGCGGAGAGAGGGGTGGACCCCGCATGGTGGAGCAGTGAGGGCTGGGAGGCACTGCTTATGTGTGGCTGAGCCAGTGCTTGGGAGGGACACCCCTATCAACCCCGGAGGTGACCTTGGGGACAGTGCCGGTGCCCCGCATGCACAGCAGGTGGGAGGTGGCTTCCTCAAAGGACTTTCTGTCCTCAGAGCCAGGCCCACAACTGCTGAGGCTGGGGCTGTCCTTGGGTAGTTCCCATCTGCCTAGAGAGCCCCCTGGAGGACTCACAGCGGGGTCATGGCGCCTTCAGTGCAGGCGAGCAGCACCCGCCCACCCTCCACCACAAACACACGGCAGACAGGGAGACACGGGGGAGGCTGTTTAATGGGCTCGGGACAGGACAAAATAGAAAACTTTCCAAGGACTGGCCACGGGGAAGGCCACACACAGGCAGCAAAGGATGCTGGGGTCACTGCTCAGTTGCCTGGGGGAGGGGGAGGCATGTTCCCAGGGCCATCTGAGGGGAGTGGGGGCCTTAGCATGGGGGGCATAGGAGCTGGGTGCACCCCAGGATTTGAGGGGTGAACCCCTGGAGGCTGAGGGTGGACCACAGGGGTCGCAGGGTGGACCCCAGGAGGCGGCTGGGGGTGCACCCCAGGAGCCTGAGGGTGGATACCAGGGGCTGGGGGGTGCACCCCAGGGGCCTGAGGGTGAACTGCAGGAGCAGGCGGGTGCACCCCTGGAGCCTGAGGATGTACTCCAGCTGATGGGGGAGGGTGCACCCCTGGAGCTGCTGGGTGCACCCCAGGGGCTGGCGGGTGCACACCCGGAGCTGGGGGATGGACCCCGGATGTTGGGGGGTGGACCACAGGTGCTGGGGGGTGCACCCCAGGGGCTGGAGGATGGACTCCAGATGTGGGTGGGTGGACTACCGGGGTGGGTGGATGGACCCCAGGCGCTGGTGGAGGCATCTGGGGAGGTCCAGGGGGCCCAGAGGGAGTAGGCCCTGTGGGGGGCATAGGGGGCAGAGGCAGGCCACCAGGGGGAGGTGGGGGCAAGGCATCTGGCAGCGGTGGTCGAGGAGGCAGGCCGTTCATGAGTGGGGGTGGGGGCCGCTTGACGCCTGGGGGTCCGGCTGGGAGACTGGGTGGGGCCGGTGGCTTTTCCATTTTAAAGTGGAACTGTAGAAAAAACTGCAGGGGGAGAATGGTGAGAGACTGCAGTCACTGTGTGTGTGTGTGTGTGAGAGAGAGAGAGAGAGAGAGAGAGACTGTGGTCACTGTGTGTGTGTGTGTGTGAATGGAGTACCCAGACAAAGCTTGCCACACCTCACCTGCTTGGTCTCTCGGTTCCAGTGGGTCCAGAACTTGCCCTCAGCCTTGTCAATCTCCCGGCTTGGCACCTGGAGGAGGGAAGCAGAGGCTGCAGCACCCCAGGGTGGGGGCCAGTGCAGACAGACAAACCTCAATTTAGCTGTTCTCAAGTCCTCAGGGTCAGTACCTTGAAGGCAATGGTCTCGTAGGGCTCAGCAGCCATGAGGAGGTACTGCCAGCGGCGATCTGGGGGCTCGATCCTCTGCTCGTAGGCAGACATGAAGCGGTGGCGGGGCATGATGCCCTCGGCAATCTCAGGGTAGTCAATCTGTGGGGAGCACAGCAGCCTTAGCACCGGCACCTGGCCGCCTGGCCCACCCCTCGCTGGCCCCACCTCACCTGGAACAGCAGGCTCTGCTGGCCCATCTCTGTGTCCCTCTGCTTAGTCACTGCAACACAGAGGGGACGGAGTGTCATGTGTTGTGGGTGCTCACCAGAGCAGGGTTCCCCTTACAAGGCCTGGCTTCTGCTCCTTGGCCACCTGGCTAGGATCCAAGTGAGGGGAAGCCAGCCCAGCCCTGCATGCAGGACAGTGAGGGGAAGCCAGCCCAGCCCTGCATGCAGGACAGTGAGGGGAAGCCAGCCCAGCCCTGCATGCAGGACAGTGAGGGGAAGGCCTCAGTGTCAGCTTCCCCAGTACCCTGACTGCCAACGGTGACTCTTGGGGCACCTGGCTCCCTGTTGGACACATGGTTGGCTTTTTGGATAGTCCAGGTCACTCAGGGCCCCTGTGGGAGGGTCTCTGGGAGCACTGACTGCAGACAACCTGCCTCCCTCTCTTTTGGGAGTTTCTAGTGGGAGGGGTGCTTATCTGCCAACTGTGGGCTGCTGAGGACACAGGTGGCGGCAGCTGTGCTGTGTGTCCTAGGGGCCAGGGAGACACATCTGTGTCATTCATGGGCAGGCTGACACCACACACCTTTGTAGCCAGGGCGGCCGATCTTCACAAACTTCTTCACCTCCACCTTGACCTTCTCGGGGGCTGGCTGTGCGGGGGCTTCCTTGGCCTCCTTGGCAGCTCGCCGAGCTCTACAGACAGGAAACACAGGTGCGGGGCCCTCTACCAGCTTCCAAGGCCAAGCGCCCAGGTGCCAGAACCCCTGGCCTTGGGAGTCCCCGACAGACAGGGTGAGGGCTCAGCCCTGGAGTGCACCACCTAGGGCACAGCAGGCGGGCACCAGTCTCCCCCAGTCTTTGCTTCTTAGCCATAGCTCTGCCATGGGTCCCCCCCCCCCACCAAGCCACACCAAGTGAGGGCTCACAAGTTGGTCTGATGTTTCTTCCCTTGGGTGTGAGCCAGGTAGCTCCCCTGCAAAGAGAAAGGAGACACATCACTGAGGGTGGCGGGCAGGACAGGCAGGGCGGCTCGAATGGCGTCCAGCATGGGAGCCTGCAGGGGTGCACAGGGCTGTGGCTGCACTGAGGAGACAGGTTAGTTGCCAGGCCTCCCTGAGAAGTCCTGTGGTCAGGACAGCATCAGCGTTGACTCCACACAGGGGTCTGGAAGGTGCCTGAGGAGCTCCCACAGGGGGTGGAGGCCTAAGCTAAGCTCCTTGGCAGTCTGCCCTGCTGTGTCAGCCTGACTCCATTGTCAACAAAGTCAAGCTGGTGGGTCTGCTCATCCAGCGAGAGGGTGGGGAGGTAACTTCTGGACTAACAAAGGGCCCCAGAGAAAGAGCCACAGCTACAACCCTTCCCTGCGGCTGGCTGGGGACAGGCCAGTGAAAGAAAAAGGGTTAGCGGGTCTCCAGGCCACCCTCAGTGTAGGACCAGGCAGGAGGGTCACGAGTTCCTGGCCTAATCAGAGCTACACAGGGACTCAGTTCAGTGGCTGTCCACTCAGCATAGCTGAGGAAAAAAGAAAAGAATTCAACCAAAGCACCAGCCCTGAGGAGGCCCTCGGTTCTGGGGACAGGGGTCAGGTGGGAGCGCCTACCTCATTGTTATGCAGCGTCAGGCAGAGCTTGCATTCGTACGATCCCAGATGGTTCTTCATGAAATATGGGTCCTGGGAGGGAACACGAGTACCCTATAGATCGCAGAGCCTGGCCCCATGAACCAGGGTCTGTGGGTGAGCATGCTGTCCTCCACACCCCCACTTGAAGGCACCCCCACCTTGTTGATGTCAATGGTTTCTAGGGCCAGCTGCCGCAGGCGCTCCCTGCGGTCCCGGTTGCTCTCAGAGGAGGAGGCCACGCCCCCACTCCCAGTCTTGCCTCCAGGTCTGTGCTGGAAGTCCATGGTGAAGGCCTGGGGACTTCAGGAACTAGAAACCTAGAGCAAGAACAGCGCACTCAGAACACTGGACGTGCAGGCAGCAGGTATGCCATCCCTAGTCTTCTACGCTCCAGATTGGCGTCCACCTAACCCTTAGGCGGAGACCCTATCAAACTCAGTGTGTAGCTGAGGCTAGGTTTTAACTCCTGGTCCCCCTAACCCTGAAACTACAGGGGTCACATCTAACTGTTTATTTGGTGTTATGAGGGGGTACGGGTGGGGACATGCAGACACTGATCCTCCGAAGTGACTGTAGGTATGAGCCACCTTTGCCTGCTGTGACATATTAAGATGGGATCTCTCTAAGTAGCCCAGGCTGTCCTCAGAGATCCACCAAACAGGACCCCCACCATCTGACACACATGGTTTTTCCTAGTCTTCCAAGTCCTGAACGCTGTCCACCAGGCCCGTGTTCTCAGATTGTATAACACTTCAGACCGCTCAGTGTCCGCCCCAGGGCACTGGGTTAAACCCAGAGGTAAACTCGGGACAGCGTCCAGGAGACGAGTGGAGGGCAGCCCTTGCCATCAGTTTGGAGCCACACACAGGCATCCTTATTATCTACAGCATCACCACGGAGTTCAGGATGGTTCAGAGAGGTCACTGGCTGATGGCTCTGAAGGAGGAAGGGGCCAGAAAAAGGGACACACAGGCCTCGAGACGCTGGGATGGCTGAGAGCATGCGTGTGGGCAGGACCATCTTGTTGGGTCTGTTTTATACTCAGTTACACAGGACTGAAAAAGAGAAACACTGTCCACATCTTCAAAAGCTACCAGGGGACACACACCCACAGACGCAAGAGCAGAGTCCAAGGCTCGCCGAGGGCTTCCAGAACAAGAGGGAACCTGGGGCAGTGACAGGGTGAAAACCTACTCTGACTTCCGGTGAGGGGACAGGGTGTCCAGCCAGCCACAGGCTTGAGGGTGCAACTCAGGGCCCCTAGGGTGAGTGCTTTTACGTGTAGGGGCGTGGGCATCCACTAATGGGAAAACGCAAAGCGTCTGCTTTGGAGGGGGAAAAGGCAGGCCAAACTAGCCTGGGCGAGCATACTCCTTGGTTCTGAGGAAGGAGCAGTCACTGAGCTACCTTCACAGCCTGGAGTTTTCAACCTCAGGAAACAATTATGGTGCGCATGGCAGCTCTCGCCCTGGAGACGCCCGAGGTGGAGGCCACCCTGGGCTGCACAGTGAGATCCTGTCTTAAGTAATAAAAGCTGCCGGGTAGGCTCAAGATGGCTCAGCGGTGAGAAGCATTTGGTGCCCTTGCAAAGATCCAAGTTCAGTTTGTCGCACCCAAACTGGGCAGCTGACAACCACCGGGGGAATGTGGACTACACCTACACCCACCCACCCACCCACCCACCCACCCACCCACGCACCCACGGTAGCCTTGGAAAAGGAAACACGGGGGATGCAGTGTGAACCCCAGCATTTATCTTCCTGCTTCCCCACCAAAGCGGGCTGCCCTCATCCCGCAGCCTGGGGGCGGAGGCCCCACGGTGTGAGTTAAGAGCTCCAGGTCAGGCGGACCTGTGCGGCGACACCGTCTGAAACAAGGTTCTGCCAGCGCCGGGACGGGCTCGGGAAGCGAGGGCGGACGCCCAGGAGACGGCCGACGGCAGGGAAGGCAGGCGCGGCCCGGCCCCAGGGTGGAAACCCGTTATCTTTCAATCCCAGCAAACGCCCTGCCCAGGTGGGCGGGCGCCAGGGCCAGCGAGGAGCTCTGCGGCCATCAAGGAGCGCCGAAGCCGCTCGAGGCCCAGGACCGCACCGAGGGCCGCGGCGGCCAAAGGGCCACGCGAGAGCGCGCCGCCCGCCCGCCCGGCCCCGCGCCCGCACTTCCGCCCCCTTCCACGACACCAGAGCCGGGGCAGCCGCCTCCGACAACCGAGGAACACCTCACCGGCGCCACAAGGCCCGCGCTGCCCAGGCTTAACCTCCGCGGCGCCCACGACTTCGCAGTGCGCGCGCGCACGACGGACTAAGCAACCACTTCCGGGAGCAAATAAGGCGGAGTTTCAGGTGTGCGCATGCCCAGAAGGTGGACCCGGCTTTAAGGAGGCGCGAGGAAAACGAGCGCCGGACTCTGAAGTGCGCACGCGCACCGGGTTATGCGCGAACTCTCGCTCGTCTCTCCGTCTCGGAGCGCATACTATCGCGACAGGACGAAATCGTTGTTTTTCCACGGGCCCTAACCTAGTGCCCCACGTCTAGTGTGTTTGACGGTTACCTAAGACAGGCGGTGTCCTTCCTCTTGGACTCTGCGCGCAACCACGCCGACAGACGCGGTAGCGCCACGCAACGGTAAGCCGCGCGACAAGCCCCGCGACGCGCAGGCGCAGCAGCTCTGCCGGGACTTCCGGGAACGTTCCCTGAGACTTTTGTGGCGCTGGCTGCACCTTCCGGGAGGACGGCGGCCGAGAGGCAGGGCGCGTTTAGGTTCGCGCGGATCCCGACGGCGTGATGCGGTACAACGAGAAAGAGCTGCAGGCGCTGTCCCGTCAGCCGGCAGAGATGGCGGCCGAGCTGGGCATGCGGGGCCCCAAGAAGGGCAGCGGTGAGCGGGTCGGGCCCGCGGCTGGGACGCTCGGGCGGGCCGGAGCGATTCCCGGGTGGGCGGATGAGCACAGTTCCGCGCTGACACCTCCCTGTGTCCGCAGTGGCCAAGAGGCGGCTGGTGAAGCTGGTGGTCAACTTCCTCTTCTACTTCCGCCCGGACGAGGCCGAGGTAGGGGCGTGGGGGGCTCGGGGGGCCCGCGCGGCCCGGAGCCCGGCGCTCATGGCCGTGTCTCGCGCAGCCCCTCGGAGCCCTGTTGCTGGAGCGCTGTAGAGTGGCCCAGGAAGAGCCCGGAGGCTTCTCCATCAGTAAGTGCGCTGGTCCCCACTGTCCCCACCCCGGACTCTGCCCCGCGCACATGCGCCCCCCCAAACCTCCATTTGTCCTGTATCCCGCGTTTCCTGGGGCCCAGCGCTGCAACAGCTGTCACTCAAAGTGCCACCGGGTCTGGTCCCTGCTGGTGCGATCATAGCTTCTTCCCCACCTGATTCAGTAGGAGCACAGCAGGGATAGGTGCAGCCTGTGCAGTCTTGGTTTGATGGCAGAAACAGTGTCTGCCGCGGGCAGGGCTTCTGAGGTTTGAAGTGACTCAGCCCTCTCCCTTGGCGATCTTTACAGTGCCGTCTTGTAGAGAGAGGTGACCATCAAGTCTTCCCCCATAATCGCACGGGGCTCTCCATCTCTACCCTACTTTCTGCATTTTGCACGTGTATATGGAGTCCAGATGTCAGTTTCTGATGTCTTCACCTCCCCCTTAAAACAGTACATCTGTATGTACACATGTGTGTGTATGTGTGTGAGTGGACATGCCACCAAGATCAGAGGACAACTTTGGGAGGTTGGCTCTCATCTTCCACTATGTGGGTCCTCAACATTGAACTCTGGTCATAGGCTTGGCAGCAAGCCATGACAATCCAACCATCTTGTTTCCACAGCACTGAAATCACAGCCACCTGCTGTGACGTGGCTTGAACCCAGGTCCTCATGCTTAACCTGTGACAGGCACTTGGTGACTGAGCCTTCTCCCCAGCCCTATGTCATAGGGTCTAACCTAATGGCCTCATACGCAATTGCCTGGCTTCCTAATGCGTTCCCTATTCATGGGTTCAGAAGTCAGGACTTCGGAGGAGCCAAGCCTGCATTTGACAGGCAGAAGATGGCTTGGTGAAGAACCCTGATGAGAGGAAGCTGGGCCTTGAGGCCAGCAGGATTGGGCTCCCTTCCTTTCATCTTTTCCAGGCTTCGTGGAAGACCTCAGCAGGAAGTATCACTTTGAATGCTGTAGCCAGGAGCAGTGTCAGGAGTGGATGGAGGCTCTTCGCCGGGCCAGGTAGGGCTTTGGGACCAGAGGGAGTTGGGTGGAAGCATGGGGGAGCGTGACCGGTGAGACGGGCCCTTTCTTCCAGCTATGAGTACATGCGCCGAAGCCTCATCTTCTACAGGGACGAGATCAGGAAGATGACGGGCAAGGTGTGTAGGGTGGTGGGGAGGCGGGTGGTACAGCCTTCCCCGACCTTGCTCACAGCTATCGTGTGCCCCACAGGACCCCTTGGAGCAGTTCGGCCTCTCTGAGGAGGCCAGGTTCCAACTGAGTAGCCTGCCTAGGGACGGGCAGGCTTGTATTGGCTCCCAGCTAGATGTGTTGGACTGACCTTCGCTGGGCCCCTGGCTATCTTGGGAGGTGTTTCTTAAAAACCAAGAGATCCAGAGGAGGTGGACAGGGGCTGTGGTCCCTGCTCGCATGCCCTTGAGCGCCCCCACCCAGGGACTGAGCCTGGCACAGCTCCCGTCCGTTACCAGGTGAATGTATAATGTCAGGTAAAGCTGTGAACCCCACTCCTACTGATAGAGCAGGCCATGGTGCTGGCCTTCAGTGCTGAGCCCGCTCTTTAATAAAGGTACCTCTTTTCCATACACAGTGAAGTAGATGGGGAGAGGAGGGGCACAGGCGGCAGAGGTTAGCAGCCTGGCTAGGTGGTGGGACAGGCGGCGGTGGCGCACACTTCTAATCACAGCACTCGGGAAGCAGAGGCAGGCTGATCTCTGAGTTCGAGGCCAGCCTGGTCTACAGAGGAATTCTAGGACAGCCAGGGCAACAGAGCAAAACCCTGGGTGCCATCTCTGCCTCCCCCACTTGCATCCCCAGCTGACTTGGTCAGGTTCTGCCTCTCTGCCCTCGGGTCGGCCATGTTTCCCCAGACCCCACTGTACTTGGTGGTGAAACCCATGTCACTCAACAGCAGAAGTTGGATCCACTCTGGCTGGACAGACGTGAGCCAGGAGGACACACCCACCCTTCTTCCCCGGGTTTGTACAACCACGCAGGTCCTGGCCTCTGTCTCCAGAAGGTGAGGGGTGGCACCCCTGCAGGGATCTGGTGCCCTCCCTCCGCACCCCTGCACCTCCACCTACGCGACCCCCCCCCCACGACACAGGCTGGGTCTTCCATGCCAGAAAGACCACACAGAGAGATCTGGCTCAAGTGAAAACGGCTTTTATTACTGTGTCTAGAGGCGGCAACAATGTGTGAGATGCCTTGGGGGAGCCAAGGGAGAGAACAGTGCACCTGTTAAGAACAGAGGTCATCACAAGACAGAGCAAAGCTGCATCAAGTTATCAACAGGCCAGGCTGCCAAAACAGCTGTGTGGGTTGAGGGTGGGAACCGGGACGTGTGTCTGGTAGAGTCCCCATGTGGGCTAGCCTAGGAGCGCCTCCCTTAGGGCTTCCTATCATTTTCCTGAGCTCAAGCCCTGAGCCAGCCTTGGGCTGGAGTGGCAGGGACCACTGAGGCAGTCTCACCCCACGCTAGGACCATCAGCCAGGGTACCCAGGCTACCATGAACAGTTTGTGGGTTCCCCTTTCTTGTGGGCTCAGGAGAGGACTTGCAGCTGTGCCTGCCTGGAGCACCTGTGGCCCACTGGGCCATGCGGGCCACGACCATGCAGTATCTGTCCCTTAACACTCAAGTAAGGTAGAGGCGGCAGCCGCCGCCGGGTGGCAGGTGGTGTACAGTGTTCACTCAGTGTAGTATCCAGGCTCGGGACTTGCTAACTATGGCCGCCCTGCCCTGCAGCACCGTAGCTGGCTGAGGTGTGCAGGAACGAGCCTGGCTAGCTGAGCACCATCGCAGGGGTGGGAGACAAGGGAGGGGCGGGAAGGGACACCAGCACCATCTGTCTTCACAACTGCCATGGGAGGCAGGTCAGGCTGAGGGGTCAACATGGCCTCCCCACTCACAGCCCACCTACCTCAACCCGAAATGAGCAGCACTGAGGGCAGTCAGGACTGCCTTAGCAAGCCAAGCCAGCCCTGGCACTTTGCAGCCACACCCAGGACCAGGAGGCAACTCCTAGACACAGGCAGTGCCCACAGTGACCAGAAGCCCTGGGTGGCCCAGCACATGTGGGCCACACTCCTGCAGGGTCCCTGGCCAGAGCCATTTTTTGTGCATTTGAATAAATAAAAGTATTTTTCCTCCTCACTTTTCTTTCCTTTAAAGTTACTGTGCATTATACAATCTAAAAATAAATGCAGTCAAGTCTATGAAATTTATAAATCTCCATCACATCTCTATAAAATACTGTCACTCATCATGTGACTCTCTTATACACAGATGCCAGGGGACCCACAGTGGGCCAGCCCCATGTCACCTGGCCAGCATGCCCCGAGCCAGAAAAGTAAAGAAATACAAAGTAAATGCACTTGTCACAGGAGCCACCGAGCCCTGCAGTAGCGGTCCACACCAGTCAGCACCACCTGTCGCCAGGCACCCACAGTCCTACCCCAGCCCAGTCTGGACCCGCAGCAAAGGCACGCCTGGTGCCACACGGTTCACAGTGGGGCATTCACAGTGACACTGGGTGGCTTCTGAGCGGTCAGCCCCCGTCGGGCGTGCCTGGCGTGCCTTTGGTATCAGGACAAGCGTGGGGCGTATCTGAGAACTGTTTGGCCACGGTCCACATGTGGGGCAGCACCCGGGGTGGAGTTGGAGACGGGCAGGCATGGACTCGGTGAGATAGCACCGGGGACGGAGTCAAGAGTCCTTGTGGCGGCCAGCCCGGCAGGCCACGTCTTTATGTGATTCTCTCACAGACATTTAGACGTCTCAAGAGGTTGCCTTGGACGACTTTGATGGAATAAAATAAGTCAGAATTGCTTATACTTTAAAAAAAAAAAACGATAAATACTTTATCTAAAACTATCGACAGTACAAACTGGACCAGTCCAGCACCTCCTGCGGTGCCGCCGATTCACAGAGGCTCCACGTCCGGCTCCGCCGGCCTGGCAGGCAGCAGGCTTGGTCCACACCGTCCTTGCATAGGTCGTGGCTGAGGTAGAAGTCCTAATTACCTGCAGGGAGGAGGAGCATGGGTTAGGTGTAGTCAACATGCCCACCATGGCTGAGCCGCCCCACAGGACGCAGGGCAGAGGGGTGCTCCTGGCAGGGACTGCTGGGTCCAGCCCCTCCAGCTGCGCCCTGCTGAGCACACGGGGTGGGTCAGCTCAGAGGCCCTAGTCCCAGGACTCCAGATGGCGATGGCCAGCCTGTCCTGTGCCAAGGCCACCGCCACCACATGGCCATACCCTACAGAAGGCCCGAGGCCTGACACCTGGCTCTTCACTCACAGGGGATGTCTACTACCATGACAACAGCCAGGCAGGGTTTGACAGCTCCTGTCCAGGGACAGGTGGACAGGTACCTGCTCCCTGGACCTTAAGCCCCGACTCGGAGCTCATGAACATCCATGCTACCTCAGGCAGCTTTCTGCCTGTGGACAGAGCCTTCAGCCTCCCCCGACTATCTCGTTTCCCTTGGACAGGTTGGCTGGTGACAGAGGCCTTAATTTAGAGCTAAAGATGTGACTCCAAAATCACGAACAGCCGTGGGCCAGGAGCCTCAGGGCGGGCTGTGGCTACCGCAGCTCTGTGCACACTTGAATCTCATCTCCTCAGCTGCTGGCTGAGGACCAGGTAGTCCTTCCTATACATACACCCTGCCTCCCTCAGCCCCCGTCTACCACTCAGGCCCCTGGGCATGTGCTCAGCCCTGCCAGCCGTCTTCCAGGCAAGAGGGGTGGTTTGGCTCTAGCCTTACCTTACGGAACATGAACTGTTAGCTAAGCAAGGTCTTTATCGAGGCTTAACCCCCGAAAGGTGCGCGGCATAAGGAGGCGGCATGCCAAGGGAAACCCACACAGCAGATGGCCCTGAGGAGCTGGCCTGCGGGGCGGCGGGTGCGGCCTGCGCCAGGGCCAGCCGGGGCAGGGGCTGGTGGTGCACCGTGAAGGAAGGGCGGGAGACCTTGTGTGGGAGGGAGGCGAGCTTGACAGACAGAGAGGCGTTAGCAGGCTGCAGAGAGGCGGCAGAGGAGGGGGGTAAGAAAGCTTTGTTAGCCGGGAGGGAGGCCAGGCTCTGCAGAAGCACTGGCTCTGAGTTAGAGGCCAGCAGCGCAGGCGGAGGAGGCAAGGCAACGTTAGGAGGGGGTGCATGGAGGACAGGCGGCCCCGCAGGGGGCCGGCCCAGGTGCTGAGGAGGAAGCAGGGGAGGTGGAGGGGGCGGCCTAGTCTCGACCGAAGCCGCGGCCTGAAAGGAAGAAGCCGAGGTGCTGGCCGCCGCCTGCAGCGGGCTCAGGCCCAGCGTGGCACTGCTACACACAGCCCCGCTGCCGACACCAGCTCCAAACGGGTGAGCAGAGGCAGAAGGCACCGCGTGGGTAAAGACACCTGTAAACAGGAGAGAAAAAGCAGCTTCAACAGGCAGCATGGTCCGGGCAGGCGGAGCAAGAGGAGCACAGCCGCCAGCAGGGAGAAACAGAGGACAGGGTGACTCCATCCAGTCCAAGCAGTCCAAGAGCAGGCACAAGCAGCAAGCAGTGGGCTCAGTGCGGGGACACTTACCTGCCAGGCTGAGGCCCCGCCCCTCGGGCCCACCTGCCCGCCCCTGCCCAGCCAGGACCGCACCACACGGCAAGGCCCGCGGTCCACTCCGCCCTGTGTCTGAGCAGGCCCTCCTGGACTCATTCTCGCATAGGCCCGCTTCCACGGACCGGCCATGAGGCATGTGGGTGGTCACCTCAAACAGGGGACGCCCCAGAAGAAAGAAATGCCTAGTTAAGTGCACCGTGGTCTTCTGAAAACAAGAGGCACGCGTTATAAGTCTAGCCAGTTTCCTCCAGTCAGTGATGATGGCCAGAATGGACACAGGGCCACACTCTCCTCGTGGCCAGCCTCTAGAGGGCTTGGGAGGAACCTCCAAAGTGGCTGGCGAGGGACTGAGCTCCTGGGGCTGGGCTGGGCCTCAGAAGTCGCCCCTCCCTTGCCTACCTCCAACGGTTCCGCCGGCCACCCCGGAGGAGAAGCTGCCCATGGTGTGCGAGTTGGTCAGTCGGGTGGCAGTGGATGACACGTGCACCAAGCCCGCAGCAGCTGGCACGGTGCTGAACAAGGACTGCAGCACGGAGGAGCCGGCCACAGAGCCCAGGTTGGCCTGCAGGGACACGGGGCCCAGAGTGAACTGGGGTCCAGGCGTGAAGGTGCTCAGGAAGGGCCGGGGAGCCTGGGCAGCAGGTGTCACACTGCCCACAGAGGAAGCCACAGTCACGAGGCCAGGGCCACCCAGGAGGCCACCTGGAGGCACAGCCGCAGCAGAGATGAAGAGGTTGTGGCCACCCTTGAAGTCCAGCTCCCGGTCACGGCCCTTGCTGCCCCTGCCACTGCCATGAGGCAGTGCAACCTTGTCTGCAGGCCCGCACAGGGACAGGGTCTCGCCGGACTCCTTGCCTGCACTGCCTTCGCCCTTCAGGCCACCCAGACCCTCTGGCTGCCGCCTGCTGAGGAAGGGGTTGGCCTCTGTGGTACTGTCCTTGCCCCGCTGGGATGGGAAGCTCACGGAGGCGCTCAGGCTGGCCACTTCGGGGCCCTTGTGGGCGAGGGAAGCACCGTCGTTGAAGCTGTGTAAACCGAGGTCTGCAGCGAGGCTCCCACTGAAGGCCAGGCCATTGGGAGGATTGGCGCCGGGGCTCGGGCCCTCGGCTGCAGCCAGAGAGCCAGCAAAACTCTTCCTTGGGTGGGTGGGGAGCTTGGCCTCAGCAGCAGGCTCCTCCAGAGCTGGCCGGAAAGAGAACAGGGGGCTGTGGCTCAGCGCAGAGCCAGCCTGTAGCGGGCTGTCCACGGCCTTGGCCAAGCTGAGGTCAGAGATGGGTGAGAAGGTGGACTTCCATTTGCTGCTGTTCACAGGCTCGCTCGAGGGGGCAGACTTCCTTCCCACCAAGCCACCACCTGACGGGAGAAGGCAGCGGCCATGAGCTGAGCCCGGGCTCTGCTGCTTCCCTCAGTGGGAGCGGGCTGTGCCTACTGTGGGGCTGCTGACATGCACGCCGCTAGGAAGAGGTGCTGGGGAGTTGAAGGGTCTAAAGGAGCTAACGCCCTGTGAGACTCCCTTGTCACCCGACCAACTGCAGTTCCAGGCTGGGCTGTCCCGAGCACAGGGCACCACCCCCACCCCCACCCCCAGGCTCCAGGAAGGGAGCACATTACCATTTTCCAGCGTCTTCGGGGGAGATTTACTTTCTAAGGAGATTGTTGCAATTTTTCTTTCAATTCTGTACAAAGAAAATGATCACGAATTTATGATCTAAATGCTCAGAGAGGAGAGGACTCCTAACATGCACAGCTCAGGAAGATCCAAAGACTGCCCTCAGGAACCATGTGGAGGTCCCCTACCTCCAACAGACCTGGAGTAAGTCTGGGTCGCCAACAGTACTAGGGCCCAGTGTCTGTATGTGGGCTGTTCTGTGGGCCCAGAATGTCTGTGTACATGGTGACAACTGTGCAGGAGCTGCCCTGTTCCAAGCCTCCTTGCCCAACCCACTTCACAGAAGGTACAAACACCCCTAGGAACGTGACACTCAAAGGCAGGCAGATGGGACCTCGGTGGTACTCTAACAGCCTTCAATGATTCCCAAGGTAGGTGGCGGGGAAGGGCACATGGCGGCTCACATAGGCAGAGCACCCAGAAGGCATCCCAGACACACAGACCCCACATGCAGGACTCCGTCGTGCTCACCAAGGAAACCAAAGGCAACACCCAGTGAGGACCAAGCCCGGCACCCAGGGAGGTCAAGATGGAAAAGCTGGCCAAACAGTCAGCACCTACTCCAACCATCACCCCGCAGAGCTGACCCCAGGACTGCAGGACTCACCGAGCACTGCTGGGCTCGTCTTCAGAGCCTGGCTCCTCATCTGAGGTCAGCGGTGAGTAATGGGCCCCATTGGTCGGGCCCAGGGGCCGTTCCTTCCTGAGCACTGGGGGCTGGTCGTGGTCCTGGTAGGGGGTGGGGGAACTCTTCAGGGAGCTCTCAGGGGACGAGATAGCTGTGATCTCCAGGGGCTGATTGATGTTGCTGACCTGCAGGGTCCAAGACACAGGCCCAGGTCAAGGTTCTAGGGGGTACCAGAGGGCATATCCAACCCTTGAGACATCTGCAGTCACCAGCTCCTTATGAAGGTACTGGTGGGGAGAGAAGGCCAGCAAGGCTGCACACCAGCCACTGTCCCTGTCCCCAGGCCGGTACAGCTTGTCCCTGGACTTTGTTCTGCTGGGTCCCAGGCCCACGGCCCACCCTGCTGGGACAGATCCCATGCTTACCATGGAGTTGAGGTTGAGGGGAGACCCCGAGGACTGTGTGAAGAGGCCAGCGACAGTTGGCAGAGCCCGGCGCTTGGGGGACACACCTGTGCTGAGGCTGGGGGTCCCAGCTGCTGCACGCTTCCTTCTGCTGCGCTTACGACTGTCCTGCCCGTGGCTTTGTACACAGTCCCCACGGGTGCTGGAGGCCAAGGGGCTGTGCCTGGTAGAAGGCGACTGCTTCGAGCTGGAGCTGGCTGTGATGCTGAACGCGATTCTCCTCTTAGCCTCACTCTCCGGGTCTGAGAAGGCAGGCTCAGAGGGCAGCTCCCCTTTGCTGGTGTCCAGCAGTGGACCCTGGGTGGTCACACTCAGGCGGGGACTGGCTGAGAGCTGGTGTGCAGGAGAGGCAGGGCCGGAGTTGCGAGGTTGTGGCAGCAGAGGCGGGAGCTGTGGCGGTGTGCTACGAGACGCCATGATGGCAAAGAGGCTGCCAGGACCAGAGGGCTCGTCGAAAACAGCTGGTTCCATCCCTGAGGCCAGAGGTGCTGGGCTGTTGGCCAGGGCCCCACTGATGGCCACCGAGCCAGCATAGAAGCCTGTCAATGAAGACACCAGTTTCTCAAGGGAGGCAGGACACCAGCCCACTGCAAAGACACCTCACCCTAGCAGGGTCAAGCTGAGGTCAGGAACCGCTCGTTAGAGCAGAGCTGGTGATTCCAGTGTCACAGCATGAGCAGGCATGGCAAGCCAGTGTCCCGACTTCAGACCCCTGCAAACACTGGGGCACACTGGGCATATGGGGTGCTGTCACGGCTGTGAGCCATCTGAGCCTTCAGGGACCGACTAACCCAGCACAGGACAGCGTTCTAGAACTGGTCCATCCCTCAGGAAAAGGGGCCTAGCCTGCCCTAGCCAAAACAAGGCAGCAGGAGAGAGGCACAAGCTCGTCCCCTGCCTTCTAATCACACAGAATCCCGGACTCTAACCTCAGAGCTACCTGCTGGGAGCCCCAGTCCCTCCCTATTTCTGCCCCACAGTGTATCTTCTCCCCAAAAGCATGGCAAGTACAAGGAGAGAGAGCGATGGGGTGGGGTCACCTGTGGGCGCCAAGGCAAGGCTCCTGCCCCCTGCTGCACTGCCCCCTGCACCGTGGGCAGAAGCACCGGTCTGCTTTTCAAGTGTGGATGAGGCATCTCGGGGCTGTGGCACAGGGCTGGGCGTGCTCCTCTACAAGAGAAAACCCACCGAAATCAGGGAAGGGTTGGGAGCAGCAGGTCCAACAGCAAACAGTGGGGTAGGAGGGCTGCAGGCAGGAGCAGGCTGCAGGGAGGACCTGGAGGGAACAGAGCTGGACTAGGCCTGAGATTCCAAGCAGAAAGGCAGGTCACATTCAGTTAACAAGGAGTGGACAAGCACAGGGCAAGGTGGTCAGCTGTCAAGGCCAGCTATAACTACATGGTGACTTCAAGGCCAGCCCGCATCAGACAAGACCCTGCCCCAAATAAAGTAAAAGGAAGTCAAGGCTGCACTGTTTGCCCAGCCTATGCTCTGTGAATGACAGCACTCCCTGGGTCCAGTCATCAGGGACAGCAGCCCAGGATCACGCCTGCCACTGCTACTTGAGTGAATAAAACCCTCCCAAGTGAGCCTTCTATGTCTTCTCTGCTCTGCCTCTTATAAAACACTCAGAGCCCAGCCACATGGTAGCAGAATTAGCTGTGGATGCCCCCATGGCAGTTCCAGGCTGACCACATGCTCAAACTCAACAGCATACGAGAGACATAAAAACTGAAGTTGAGTCTGGAGCCCCACCCTAGCCAGCACCACCCCGTGGCCCAACACACTCACCGCCCTCTCAGCGCGGCTGGGCAGAACCACGCTGGCCAGCGGGATGCTGACGGGCAGCTTGTTGGGCTGCACAGTGCTGAGTGGGATGCTGACAGGCAGGCTGGTAATAGTCTCCCCGTGGCTACTGTAGGCACGCTCCTTCACGCCCTGCCAACAGACGGTCACGCGTCACCCAGGACTGGATGGGAGCTCAGCTGCAGACCCACCACGGAACTCATCCGCAGGACACGGCTGATGTGGAGTTGAGGATGCTGCCCACTCCTCTTTGCTTCTGAGACCTGTCACCATGGGCTACCTGGCCTCCCAAATTCCTCCCCATCTCTGTACATACAGCGGGAGCCCCAGCCCTGTTGGTCCCACTCCAGATGCGCGGAGAAAACGGCTAACCCCCACTGCAGCGTGTAAGCATCTGGGTGCCCCAAGGACACAGAGTCTCCCATGGGAGGCTGACACACCTGTCTTTGCAAGCACCCTATGAGACCTGTGGATGCCAGTCCCCATGTCCTCCCCAGGCCCCCACACCAAGCTCCATGAACCCTACAGATGAGAGCGCTCTGTGGAGCACTGCCGTTGCCTGGTCCATCCCTCGTGCACTTAGGTGGCTTCTCTCACTCAGCCCTCACCTTCTCACTGCCCTTCTCTGAGGTGAGTGGCGAGGATGCCGGGGAGGCAGGCAGTGGATCTTGGGGGCTGAGCTTCATGCTATTGGACAAACCAGGGCTCTGGTAGGGAAGGGTGCTCTCCTTGGTGTGCTCTGCCCTGCAGTGAGAGGCCAGTCACTCTTACTGAGTTCACAAGTCCCCAGGCAGCAGGTTGTGACAGTCCCTGCAGGCACATGTACTTACCGAGGGTGTGGCTCACTGGCGGCTGCCTTGCTAGCCCCTGTGTGGTCCTGGCTCAAGTGCCGCCTCAACACAATCTTGGCTGGTGACAACCGGGTGTAGTCTGGCAAAGCCAGGCCAGACAACTTTTCTAGCCGAGGTCGGCCACTGTGGCTGGGGGTACAGGGTACTACCTCCTGGTCCAAGGGGGAGGCCAGGTACTGGGGGGTGTTCTGCTTGGATGAGGGCCGGCTAGCTGCACTGCAGAGCTCGTAGCCGGCGGCGACATGGCCATTCATGGAGAGCTCAGGGCTCATGCTGCTGAGGTGCGGCAGGGAGATCTTGGCACAGTCCAGCTCAAGACGCAACCGCCCAGCATCAGCCTCCAGCTCTCGGGCCAGGGTCCCCTTGCCACGCAGATGCAGGGACAGAGCGTCGTCTGGTGGCACACAGGACTTCAACTGCAGGAGCTCCTGCTGCCGCTGGCTCTTCTCCAGCTCCACAATGCTGATCTACATAGAGGGAGGTGTGTCACACCCAGCAGGGGCATGGCCCAAAGGCACACAAACCCCTGCTGTCCATCACCACAGACGCCCTTCTCAGAGTGGGAACATGGGGTCTGGTGCATCACCCGGAACCCCACCTGCAGCTCCAGGCAGTGTCGCTGCTTCTCTGAGATCTGGCTCCGCAGGGCCTGCTTCTCTTTCCGCAGGTTCTCCAGAGACAACGTGGACCAGTCCAGCCTCAGCTCCTCACATCGGGCCCTGAGCTGTGGGCAACAAGAGCATCCGAGCTTGAAGGCAGGAGAGCCAGTCTCTGGGCAGTGACTGCATTGCTCCTACAGTTGTGGCACATGGTGTCAGGACCCACCAAAGCAAGGTAAGAAAGGCCTGTGTGACATTAACACAAAGAGTCCCTGGTGTGTGATCACATACAGGGTGATCCTTACAGAGCCCAGCAGCAGTATGGGGGAGCAGATCAAGTCTAGTACCAGGGCAATAAGTCAACATAACTCTAGGCTCCAGAGTGTGAGATCCTGCCCTCCACCCTGCCTGTAAACACACCAGCTACTCCCCTCCAACACACACAGACACAGACATGCAGACAGACAGACAGACACAGACACACAGACACACACACAGACACAGACACACACTCACACACACACACACACACACACACACACACACACACACACACACACACCAGTCGCAGGCTCTGGCTTCGCAGCTCGCTGTTGTCCTTCTCCAGCTGCTCCGACTGCTCCCGCAGCTGCTGGTTGTGGGCAGAGATTTCTTTCTGGGCCTGAATCAAGTCATTGTAGGTCAGAGCCTTCACGCCCAACTGGGGATGCAGAGGACAAAGCAGGGTGAGGAGCCCCACCCCGGTAGACAAGGATCAAAGGGGACAACAGCCACCCAGCAGCCCTGAGGCATACAGCCAGGGCCACCCTCTGCTTCCAAGGTCATGCTAGGTCAGTACTTCCACAAGGACAAAAGAAGCTGGACTAGGTGGGCGCTGGTGGCCCACAATCCCAGCCCTTGGGAGGCAGAGGCAGGCGGATCTCTGTGAGTTTGAGGTCAGCCTGGTCTACAGAGAGAGTTCCAGGACAGCCTCCAAAGCTACACAGAGAAACCCTCCCATGAACCAAAAACCAAACCAAAACAAACAAACAAAAAAGCTGGACTTCCGCTGCCCGGTCACCTCATCCAGCTTCTGCTGGAACAGTCTTCGGATCTCCTCCTTTTGGGCCTGGCAGTGACCGAAAAGCTGCTGCGCAGTGCCCAGTAGCCTTGTGTTCTTCTCCTGTGAGGGAGGACAGGAGCAGGTGACCTCACAGTCCACCTGGAAGCCCCAGACCAACTACTGACATTAAGGCAGAGTCCACACACCTTCTCCTGGTCCAGAAGCTGCTGCAGGTTGGCCTTGTATTGTGGGGTTTTCGTGTATGCCAGGAACTGCAGGTACTGGATTTTGAAGGACTCTGGAGGTACACAGCACAGGGTGTGAGCCGGGGCTGACACCAACACCCTTCCCTGAGAGGAACAGCAGTGGTGGCCAACGGACAAGAGAGGGCTACCTGGGGTCTGGCCTGCTATAGGGCCATCCCTGCCTGTGACCTCACCTCTTCTCAGGCCCTACACCCCGAGAGCAGATTCCTTCCTTCAAGTATGGGACTCGCCAGCATTCCCTGTATAGTGACTTGTCCTCCACCAAGCTCCCCCAGTAGTGATGGTCACACATGTCCCCAGATATGGCACAGAGTCCTTTTGAGGTGAGTCAGTCCCAAACACTCACCATAGGGCAACACCATCCAGCATGCTTGACTGCCCCCCCAACCCCATGGAACTGCTTCCAGACAGACCCATGACCCACCTAAAAGCTTCTGTAACGCAGGTGGGGTGGGCGCCACCAGCAACGGGTTGGGGGAGTGGAGCTGCGTGCTCGGAGGTAGCTGGTAGAAGGGGCTATGAGGTGCCCTGTATGCATCTGCGGGAGAGAGAGGGGTCCCATCAGCCACCAGCCATGTCCTACACTACTGCAGGCAACAAAGGCCCCAGCTGGCAGGTCTGAGGCCTGGCATAGCTGTGGGGTCCAGATCCCCACTACACCTGCTGATGCGCAGTCACAGGCCCGGCTCCTGCGGAGTCCAGGCGGGGACTCCAGCGGGCAGGAGCCCACAGCCACTTGGAGGGGACTCTGACATGCAGGAGAGAAAGAGGCTCACCCTGGGGTGAGGCTGAGGGCGGGTCTGCGGGAGGGGAGCACAGGAGGTCCAGTGAACTTTGGCTCTTCTTGGACTTGCGCTCAGCGTTCGCAGCACTCATTTTCTTGGGCCGCCCACGCTTCCGGCCAGCCATCTTCCTCCCCTTCTTGTTCAGCTTCTTCTTCCGGGCTTTGGAGGGAGATGGCTTTTTGACAGTGGCCACACCTGACTTTTCTTCCTCAGCACCAGAGTCCTGGAGAGTGCAGACAGGCAGTGAGGGACCAGAGCAGGGTGCCCGGGGGCAGCACCTGTGGGCTCCCTGTGTAGCAGGGACACAGCAGGCATGCGCGCAGGGACGGCCTCTCACCACGGGCGCCTCAGCTGCGGCGGCGGCAGCGGCCTTGCTCTCGGAGACCTTGGTGGGGGTGGTCGCACTGCTCTTGCTCTCACGCTGTTGCCGGCGCCGAGCTGCCTCCTGCTCCTCCTGGAGGGAAGCAGTGGACAAGGCTCCGGTGTGCTCTGGTGTGCTGGAGGATCCAGTCCCGCCCAGCATGAATGAAGCGGCCACACACACACACAGACCCGAGCGGGGAGGGGACGGTGCCTGACCTGGTCCCACAGCCCCTTGTGGGAAAGGCACAAGCCTGTAATGGCATTGCCGTCCAGGACTGCCCCGCACTGACAGCTGCAGAGCCACATGCAATGAGAACACAGGGACAAGCTGGCCAGCATGGAGACCCAATGCCCTGCTCGGCAGCACAGACCTACACTCAGAACTGTGCAAGCCATGTACTAAGGGCCTGGTCCTCCTGGCACAGCACAGCCGCTGCTGACCTCTGTGAGGGGCGCCTTGCTGAGCACGCACACGCTGCTCACAAGCACTCTGGGCAGGACGCACTCCTCTGGCGCGCAGCTCCCTGTAACCCTCTGCCAGCGGGTAGAGCTGTGCTCTGCCATCAGCGCCCACGTGACGTGAAGACACATTTGTTCACGCCTCCCCAGCTGTCCAGGGTGCTAGACAGGCGCCCTCAACTGACAGCACACAGCCCTGGCATGGGGACGCACAGCACTGTGCCACACAGACACCGCTGACAACCTGACCCCTGCAGCGCTGTCCCTCACACAAACATGGGTACTAAACCCACCTAGAGTCGAGGCTTTCAGGCCGCACATAAAGAACCCTTGCTTGGGTCTGGGGACCTTGGTCACACACACCACCAGCACACACAGTTGGGAGAGATGCAAACTTACCCTGAGTTTCGGATTTTTCAGACTAGAAAAATAGTTTTCAAGCTAAAGAGAACAGGAGAAAGCTTTGTTAGGAGAGCCCTAGCACAGACACTGTGACTGCACCCTGATGCGGTCTCCCACAGAGCTGCCAGGCACACCAGCCGACACCAAAGGCAGCACAACTGGAGCACTATACAGCCCAAGGCAGCTATCCTTGGCTCTTCAAATGACTGCTAAGGACTAAGGATCCAGGGACAGGACCTCTCGAGGGGGACAATCGTTGCTGCACTGGCCTCACAGAGAAAACCTCATGTGGGAGCTCAGCAGCCTTGGGGGCTCTCTCCCCACAGCAGGAAGGGCAGGCACAGCTGCTGCTGGCTCGCTGACCAGAGAGAATTCAGAACATGAAGCAGAACTGCCAACATACTCCCTGGAGGAGCTCAGAGGCCACAGGACAGAGGGCAGAGCCTAAAACCTGGGGCAGCACAGGGAAGGCTCTGGCACGGCGGGAGGCTATGGGGGAGAAGCCAGCACACACCCAGGAAGGAATGGCAAACCGGAGGCCTCCAGATTCAAGGCCAAAACTACTATGGGCACCTATTCATCAGGTGGCATGCCTGTGACTCTGTCCCACTCTGCAGAGTGACAAGTGGGGAGCAGTGTGGCACTCACTATGGTGCGGTCAATAGTGTGCAGGTAGTAGGAGACAGGCTTCCCGGTCCACGACACGGAGCCCTTCAGGGGCGACAGCTCTACCACACGCATGATGGTGCCAATGTCTGCAGGAAGACCAGTGAGTCAGGGCGGTGACAGGAGGCCTGCACCCGACACTCGTCTCAACAGCACCGCCAAAGGCTGTCTGGCTGAGACGGGGGAGGAATAAATAGTCTGGGGCCAGTCATGAACAAGGCGGTAAGCACACATGAGTGGCGTCAGGCTTCCAGAGCAGCCAGCATCAAAGCAAGCATGCAGAATCTGAACTGGGCCAGCCAAGCGCCTGGCCAGGGAGGCTCACCCCCCATCAGCACTGCACCCCAGAGCTCCTCTTGAGCAACATGTCTACAGGGGACGTGTGTGACGTATGGTGGACAGAGGCTGGAGAGCAGCTAGCTGAGCATGCTCCCTGCAGGGGAAAGTATCATCTTGCTGGGCAAGGGGATCCAGGTACCCTATGTACCGCTGAGCCCGCAGCTTACCACTCAAGTTCCTGCTGTTGATCCTGAAGTTCAGAGGGGCAAAGGGCTTCGAGGACACGATTCTGCCACCTGCAACACAGAAGCCTGTCACTGCCATGTGTGCAAAAACCCACAAAGGCACACACAGCTTAAGACCGCAAACTCAAGCAAGGGTTGGGGACAGGTGGGGAGTACCTGTGCTCTGAGTGACTGCCCAGGAGATGCTAGGCATTCTCATGAGACCCCCATGCTCACCCCGGACCCTGCAGCCACAGTGACCCTGCACCACAGTGACAATTGGGTGCCTGGTAAAAGGTCATGGTGGGACCAAGAACCACCATGAGGCACAGGAAGGAGATTGCTATGAGCCGCTTGTTACCAGGAGGAGGCGGGGCTGGGCAGATGGGCCTGTCTGCAGCGGCTGCCTTAGAAACACACAGAGGAGACCTCGCACCTGGATCCTGACAGCTGGGAGAGGAGGATGGTCCTAAGTCAAACTGGGATGAGCAGCCAGATCCCGCAGTTTAAAGACAACACAGAAAGACGTACACAGAGAGCTAACAATCTGATTGGCTAATGCAGTCCTTGAGGCTGGGGAGGTGACAGCAGAGGCCAGGGCAAGCAACAAGAATCCCAAGAGGCAAAAAGAGCCATCCAAACCACACAAAGATTCAAGCCCCTGACAGCCAGACAGGAAGAACAACCTAAGACACTGTAGTCTAGGTGTGGAGCACACACCTTTAATCCCAGCACGAGGCAGAGGCAGGCACATCTGAGAGTGGTGTATCCTGGTCTACATAAGAGTCCCAAGACAACCAGACCTACAGAGATCCAGCCCGGCTTTTGTGGACAGAGCAGGTTCTTCTCCACATGGAACACGCGTGTGGCGTGGAGAGCGGAGAATGAGGCAGAGCATCACGAAATCCAGGCTGCCTTTGCACTGCTGTAGCCCAGGACTGACTCCCTGTCCAGTGACAGCTCAGTCAAGAGACTCAAAGACAACCATGTCTGTCGTCCCAGCACGTGGAAAGCTGAGGCAACACCGTTGTGGGACAGCCTGGGCCACACAGTGGGACTCCTTTCTCAACACAAAGACACATCTGTGGATGCACACGGCTGCTTTATCTGTGCACCAGCCTCCAGCCCCACTCCAGGTCCTGCGTTCTGAGTCCTGTCCCCCAGCAAAAGCACCTGGCCTGGCCAGCACAGGGTCAGGTCCACGTCTCCAGTGAGCACAAAAGCAGCAAACACTAACACGCTGGGTGAAAGGCCAGGTGCCAAACTACCAGAGTGATGGGAATGACCTACTACCACCGCGCACACAGACCTGAGGGGAAAGCATTGTCACAAGAGGGCCACAGGCACAGGGGCCCCATCAGCACCCACAAGTGGATGTTTGTGCTCGATAGTCTTTGTCAACTTGACACAAATGGGGACCATCTAGAAGAGGGACCCTCAACTGGGAAAGTGCCTCCAGCAGGTTGACCTGAGGCAAGTCCGTGAAGCAAGTGATCCCAGGTAGTGCAAGAACAGTAGCTGGCGTGAGCCCGAGCCTGTCAGCAGCTCCAGCAAGGCCTCTGCTGCAGCTCCTGCCCTGATGTGCCTTGGTCATGGGGTTTACGTCACAGGCAACAGCACACCACAACACTGCAGCAGCGGCCAGCAAGATGGACAGGGGTTTCTGAGGACCGCAGCGAAGGGGGCAGGGCACTGTTATTGAAGGCTGCATCAGGGCCTGGCCTACCTGACGACTGGGCATATTAATCCCAAGGAAACAGGCAGTAGACAGGGGACAGTTAGCTAGGGCTGGATAACTCACAAAGCTAACCCTGACCCCAAACAGGCAGCTAATGCATCTGGATGGTGGTGGCTCATGCAGAATCTCTGTGAGTTCCAGGCCAGCCTGGTCTACAGAGCGAGTTCCAGGACACCCAAGGCTACAGAGACACCCTGTCTCGAAAAACCAAAAGAAAAGCAGCAGCAGCAGCAATATATACTTTGATCAAGTTCAAGGCCAGCTTGGGCTATATGACTGAGTAGGATAGAGCCTGTCTAGAGTAGGGGTGAGGCTCCAGGTGGAGTGTCTGCTGAGCATTCAAGGCCCTGGATTCATTCCCACCACCTCAAGAAACTAACTCTAAAAGTATGGGGGAGGCTGAGGACAGGCTGTCACTCCTGGGACAAGACAGGCAGAGCTGGGAAATCAGACCAAGGAGCTGGACGGTCTGGGTACCCTACTCCCTGAATCTTGACAGCAGTATGCAGTACAGACTGCCCTGGCCCTATCCAAGGGGCAGCATGTGCTCTCTGCAATCCCTCATTCTGAACCTCTCCGTCACAAGAAAGTGACAGGCACAAACACGTGTCAGGTAGAGCATGAGCTGACAAGCAAGGAGTCCTGGTGTGGGAGCTCGCAGCACGAGACTGCTTCTGAGTGGGTGAGCCCTTCAGCCCGTCTGCTGGCTGCTGTGGGTATGCTGGGGCAGCAGGGCCTCGCTTCTGCAGCCCGGGAAGGGTGCCAGGAAGCAGCCGGGGCTTGGGGCTTACAAGGACTACCCCTTACGAATAGGGAAGGCCACTGAGGACTTCTCCAGGCAGAGGGATGTAACTGCGTGGTTCCCCACCACCGGAGAGGGCGGTGGCACCAGGCCTGTGGGTAGGAGGTCTGCGTTACCTTCCTTCATGTTTGCGAATCGCTCCTTCAGCTGGTGATCCACCTCAGGACCAAAGGCAAAGTTATTCACAAATATAACACTGCAAAACAATGTTTTAGTTCAGTAAAACTGAGGCTGCGCATACATATCAAGTCCCAGCCTGGACACAGCCTGCTGCTGGTCCCTGCCAGGTCCCCCTCCCCCGCCACCCAGCTGAGATGAGCAGAGAAGCAGGAAAGCGGGGCAGCAGACAGGGTTAAGACACCCTGGGCTGAGTGCAGCACCAGGTGCCTGTGCTACTGGCGCTTCTGAAATAAAGCAGGCTTCCTGGAAGCACGCCCCGCTACAGCGTCCAGCGAAGGACCACTCACAGAGCAAGCACGGGGCAAGCACGGGGCGTGAGCACGGAGAGAAAACTGACAAGCAGCAGGCACCTCCCCGACAGAAAACACAGGGTGAAGCCCCAAAACACCTAGACATGGCAGACCCCATGACAAGGACGGCACAAGGCACTCAAGAGGACCAGCACGGGGCTGCCACATCCCATGTGAGACTGCAGCCAGGGCAGCCCGGGGAGGCGGAGGGGGAGGGGGAGGGGGAGGGGAGGGGGAAGCTGAGGACTGGCATTCTTGAAGCAGCAGCCCCGCAGCACCCTCCACAGCGGCCACCCACACCTGGGGAGCAGGAGTCAGAGACCCCAGCACAACCAGCAGCACAGCCAGCAGCACAGCCAGCAGCCGGCCGTACCTCGTGTTGGCGATCCGCTCCCTCCACTCCTCTGAGAGGAAGTCACCTCGTTCCAGCTAAGAAAGAAAGGAACACGTTTACTCACCGGCTTAGTTGGTTCAAACCCAGCCCCCTAGCTGCTGTGAGACATGGAATGATCTGGGTCTCGGGGTGGGAAGGTGACCGTGGACAGCCAGTGGACGGCTCTGCAGAGGATAGGGCCTGAAGCCCAGCACAAAGAAAGCAGCACCCTCTGGGGACAGACAAGAGGACGGCATGGGTCCAGGTGAGGAGCCACTGTGCCTGTGCCTGCCCAGTCAACCCTTCCTAAGTCCAGACTGTGTCCCAAGAAAAGCAGCGTCACACAGGCCATCTGCAGACCCTACAGACATGAGATGCTATGTGGCCAGGAAGACCGGACCCATTCTGTCACTCACTTATCACTGTACATGACAGCTGCGCCTGCAGAAGAGGTCAGCTCTGTGCACCTGTGTTAGGACATGTTTGTGCACAAGTGACCTCATGAATGTAGCCCTGCTACCTGGACCTCAGTGTCTTTCAGCACTGATGTCAACACACCTCCTTCTGGCCACAGGAGGTTAAAAGGAAACAGCGTTTTTTTTTTTTGGTTTTTGTTTTTGTCTTTTTTTCAAGACAGGGTCTCACTGTGCAGCCCTGGCTAGCCTTGAACTCACAGAGACGCACCTATCCATGGAAACAGCTTTTCCCTGACTACACTCAGAGACCCAAGCGATCTGGGTTTTGGGTTCTGCAGACCACTCATCAGCTGCAGCAGCCCACAAAGGCCCAGGAAAAGAACAGTGGAATCTACTGGAGGTCACAGCGGGCGGGGTGGGGTGGGGTGGGGGTGGCGTTAGCTGTTTACAAAGTGTAAAAGTCAGGGACATCCCTGAACAATAGACACATAGTCCATCCATGTGCTAGAAAGCTCCTTGGTAACAAACAGGAGCAAAGCAGTGACATACTGGAGACCACGCGGTGTGGGTACAACAGGCTAACACACTGACCAGAAGCGGATGGGGGCAGGGCACGCAGGATGACAGGGCACTTACTGACCTGCAGGCCTAAGGCCACCTCCCCACCCTGCTAGGACAAGGCTGTTTCCGTCCTCCAGTGAGCAGAGTTAGAGTGGCCCCGTAGGCTGAACAGCCCCTGAGCCCACCGCAGGCCAAGGCCCACTCACCGACCTCTGACTCTGCTATATATACATCAGCCATGCCTGGGGACGGAGGCTTCAGCCGGACCTCAAATGCAGGGCAATGCCTGGGTGCAGGAGACCTGGGCTCTGGGCTCCCACTGTCTCCTAAGCTAAGCATTGCAGCAGAGACCACACCCCCCACCCCTGCTGCTGAGTATGCACTAAGCAGAGGAGCCTCCCTTAACCCCGGGGAACTCGGTCTCTGCATCTCTGAATGAGAATACCCTGAAGCATGTTCTGAGACTCCCAGGAAGAGCTCTGCAAGCCCTGATGGCTCCAAGAATCTGACGGCACAGTGCCTGCTGTGCCTGTGCAAGCCCATCCAGGACAGACCGTACCCCACAGCTGTGTCACTGTAGCCAGCGTTCCTCCCGCTACAGGCAGGGCCCAGTGCTATCCTGGCCAACCAGGTCATGAAGTCTGGGGAGCCAGCTAGGTGTACTATCTGTGTCTGGGGCTAGGAACTCTCAAGCCCTGGCTGTGTGGCCTGGGAGGGAAGCCAGGCCTGAAGCAAGGTGTCTGCTACTGTGTAGGAAATCTCCACACACTCAGCCCACAGAGAGGCCCTCCCTCCCCAGGCGGTTGCGAGCAGTAAGGACTGTTGAGAAACAGTCACACTACACGGGCTGCTGGGAAGGGGCTCAGTAGGCCTGGAAAGGATGCTCTCCAGCCTGTTGTGCTGCCTGCAGGCTGTGTAGGCACCCCAGGTTCCCAGCTTTGGGGTGGCCTTGGTGATGCAGTTGTCTGAGTCATTTCTGTCCCTGTAAGTGACCTCACACCCAAACTCCTGTAAGTGGCTGGGCTTTGTGGGTTCCCTATTTGGGAACCATTTGTTCACATCTCCCCAAGAAACAGTGTCACAGCCACACCTACCAACACGGAGAATGCAAGAGGGGAAGGAAGACACACGAAGCTAGCCAGCATCCGTGAAACAAGTGAGGACTGGCACAGGCCCCACAGAAGCCTGGGGAGGGCCAGAAAAGGTGACCATGGCTGAGATTCAAGAGGCATGGCCTGCCACAGACTCAGTCACTTCAAGACCCTGTCAGCTCAGTCTGCAGTGGAAGTGAGCAGAGATGGCTAAGGCCTGTGGACGCAGTGTCAGACACATGCCCCGCAAGCATGCCCCAGCAGGACTGGCTGCCCACGGGTCACGTGGATAACCAAGTCCTGTGATGGGGATGCCTACACAGGCTGCAGACAGCATCCCAGGAGTCAGGCTACTCTAGTCTTCCAGGGTCAGGGGTCAAAGCCCAGAAACCCCTCTGAAAGGAACTGCTTACAAAGGGTCAGAGGCACTGCCAGCAGGCAGGAGCAGGGCCCAGTGTCTGCCCCAAGCAGGCTTAGGGTCCTTGGAGCATGGGGGAGGGGTCTGTCAGGAGCAGGTGTGGGTTGGGAAATGCCAGACTCGATTCAGCCACTGCAGGGCGGGTGGCAGCATCCCGGGCACAAGGCAGGAAGAGTCCTCTGAGCTGTTTTCAGGCTTCCCTGGCTTTTCTGCTGTACGTCTCAGACAGCAGAAGACGTGACTCATGGCCTGCAAACCAAAGCTGCAGCACGGCACAGGCAGGTGCCTATGCAGCCCCTGTCACTCAAGGTGCTGCAGGAAGCCAGAGTGCACGCAAGCGAAGGCCAGCACTCGCTTTCTGTCCCTGCTGCCTGGAGCTTCCGAGAGCTTTCAAGGCCTCCAGAACTGTTCTTGCCCTCAGCCCTGATCCCAGCCTCAAGCCAGGGCCACCAACACGAGCACTGAGGCCCATGAGGCCTGACAGCGACAACAGCCACCATGACGAACTGCTTGCTACCAGTCACAGCACTGGCGTCAACCATATAGCCAGGTGATGATAAGCTGAGGAAGAGGAGGAAATGACCAGGAGGCCACCAGGATGGGGTAGGGCCTTCCTGAGAGCCGTGTCCCAGACTGAGCATTCTACATGGGTGTGGAACCTGCAGGCCCCACCAAGTGTGAGGAGCCATCAACCACAGTCAATGATGACGAGGACAAAGTTGGGAGTCTGACCCGTCTCCATGGCCCTAGACACAGGTGTCAAGTGGCCTCTCTCCTAACAGATTGCCAAGACCCTGACGCACGGCAAATGCTCACCAAGAGGACACAAGTGGGATGGGCTTATTGCAGGAAGGACGACAGATGCAGAGCAAGGCACTGCCCATAGCATACAGGTACCACAGGTGTCACTGCAGCCTGCCCCTCCCAGTCGGCCCACAGACATCAAGAACCCACCCCCTAATGCGCAGGCTACACCAAGGTAAGCTTAGCAGAGGTTCACTTGCCCAGTCTGGGGGTCTCAGCTCAGTAGAGCCGAGCATCTGCTACCACAGCCCAGTCAGCACAGGTTGTCTAGAGATGGTGCCCAGGCCAGGGGAAGGAGCAGGAAGAGCAGGGCTCAGCTGGAGCTCTGCAGCCTGCTCCAGAGACTGTGCCCACTGCCACAGAGGGCCATATGGGCACTTGTCAAGACTGACTGGGGTCAAGAGAGGATGGGAAAAGGGGCTGGGCTGGAGGCCGCGGGCATGGAGCGATGGCACTCACTGTGTATTCTGCATGCTTTTTTCCATACCATTTCATCCACTTCCTGAACTCTCGGTCCATGGTCTGAGGGACAAAAAGCACACGACCTGTTATAAACTCAGGGACAGGGTTCCACAGGCTCTGCAGAATCACAAGGACAAGATACTGGTATCTATCCCTGCTGTGAACACACAGTGGTGGAGGTCACCCAGAAGAGGGGTTCCCAACCCTCGAACAGAGCCCCAAGATGACTCTCTGCAGCCCCAGCAAGAGCCTGAACCCCACCCTGGGAGGAACAGATGGGGGACATCCGGAGAAGTGTGTGCCCTCTCAACTCAGAGCTCAGCCCCATCCTCTCTCCAGGAGGGTGGCCGTCCCTGCCAGGACAGCAGCCAGTGTGTGCTCATCGAGAGGCTCTGCAGAGCCTCCGCTGGGGGAGCTGAGCCCAGACACCAGCCCGCAGCAGCATGCACACGCGGCTCGTGGCTCTCACCTCTGCGTACTTGGCTGGGATGTCCGCTTTCTCCACTCCGTAGTGATGTTTGCAGCTGGTGGCCGCAGCCACCTGAAGGACAACCTGCCCCACACCTTCAGCCAGAGAGACACAGGTCAGAGTCTGTGTGGCTCCACAGAAACGCATGGCCTCAGCCACACGACAGTGTCCCTTGGCATCAGAGAGGAGGCAATCATCAAGGCACAGACCTCCCCCAAAGGTGTGTGCACCACTCTACCACCCACAACGCAATCTGTAACCTGCTCCACCTCTGCAGTTTGGCAGGGCCCGGCTGTCCCTATGTGGGGATGGGTGCACAAAGCTCAGCAGCCCCCAGAAAGGCAATTCTTGGCCTAACTTGCCCCTGGTGTTCCTGTGGCACAGATACAGCCAGTCAGGCAGCACCTGACCTAACAGGTCTGCTCAGGTATGGGAAACAAGCAAGAAGCCCAGAGGCTATAACTGGCAGCAACAGGCACGTGCTGGCCCTGTGCAGGGAGACCTGACCTGTCAATACTGCTTCACGCCAGCAAGGGCTGAAGACCTGAAGACAGCCCTCCACTTGGCAGGCCACTTCCCCATGTCAGATGGCAGCACACGCCACCTGACTTTCTAAGCTAGACAGTGCTTTCCAGTAACAAGCAGCTCAGAACCACAGGGCAGAGAAGCCAGAAGGCACGCAGTGCCTCAGGAGACACAGGGTCAGGCAAGGAAGCATCCCCTCTACAGTTTCATAGAGAACGTGAGCCCCAAAGCTACAGGGCATTGAGACGGGCTCTGGAAGGTGAGGGACCCAGGAGGCTTGACCTTCAGGGCTGGACCAGCAGCTTCTAAAAGGGAAGGAATAGCTGGGCATTTTCCAGCCTGTACCTCACACCCCAAGAGGTACAGGAGACAAGACCTGTGCTGGACAGTTTTAAGTCAGCTTAACACAAGCTAGAGTCATCTGGGAGGAGAGAGCCTCTATTGAAAAAATGCTTCTGGGCTGGAGAGATGGCACAGAAGTTAAGAGCACTGACTGCTCTTCCAGAGGTCCTGAGTTCAATTCCCAGCAACCACATGGTGGCTTACAACCATCTGTAATGATATATGGCGCCCTCTTCTGGCCTGCAGGCATACATGCATACAGAACACTATACAAAATAAATACATTTAAAAAAGAAATACTTTTTTACAAAAAGAGAAACTACTTCCATAATATTAGATTGCAGGCAAGCCTGTGGGACATCAGGCTTTTCTTATTCTTTTCTCTTTTTGGAGGGAAGAGGGGAAGGGTTCAAGACAGGGTTTCTCTGTGTAGCCCTGGAGGTTCTGAAACTTGGTCTGTAGACCAGGCTGGTCTCAAACTCAGAGGTCTTCCTGTCTCTGCCTCCCGAGTGCTAGGATTAAAGACATGCGCCACCACACCTGGCATATTTTCATAATTAGTGATTAAGGGGGGAGGGCGCAGCCCATTGCAGGTGGTATCACCCCTGGGCTGCAGATCCTGGGTTCTGTAAGAAAGCAGCTGAGCAAACCATGGGAACAAGCCATTCAGCAGCACCTCCATGGCCTCTGCATCGGGTCCTGACGCCCTGCTTGAGTTCCTGTCCTGACTCCTTCAATGATGGAGTGTTATGGAAGTGTGAGCAGAGTACACCCTTTACTCCCCAAGATGCTTTAGGTCATGGTGTTTCACCGCAGCAACTGAAACCCTAACTAAGACTCGCCCCAAGACAAGTAGATACAATCAGAACCACAGCCAGCCACAAAGGCCGCCGGCCCATAAGAAGGTGCAGGGCTGCAAGGAGCCAGCAGGACTGAGGGCTCTGCATGGGTGGGTCCCGAAGCCTCGGCTCAGCCGGGGTCCTCCCTGAGCCCTCGTGCAGCCGAGGAATACCGAGAGAGCCAAGGATAGCCTGAAGGCCGCTGTGAGAGACACTCACCACTGCCCAGGTCTACAAACAGGTCGTCCTCCGTCATCTTGATCTCGTCAATCATCTGGGCGACCAGGTCAAAGGAGGTCTCCCCGTACACCTCAGGGGAGAAGGGCTCATAGTTGTTGAGTTTCTCGGGGTCGGTTACAGAGTGATTGTACACCTGCTGCAGGATGTGACGCAGGAGCCCATTGGACGGCCGAGTATTCAGCTTCATGGGCTGCGTGGTGCCCTTCCACTAGGGACAAGAGTGGACATGTCTCATTACACTCCACAGCAGCCAGCAGCACCTGACTGACACCCAGAACCTGGGAGGCTGAAGCAGAGGCAACACTGCAGTCCAAGGCCAGCCTACACTACATAGTGAGTAAGATCCTGTATCACAAACCCAATAGGTTGCCAGGTGGTGGTAGCTCACACATTTAATCTCAGCACTCAGGGGCCCCTCCTGACTCCAGGCTCCCTGGCAGGTGTGCAGCCTCCCAGGACAAACCTTAGACTCTGTAGGCTTGGGACAGAGCCTTTAATTCAAGCTCACAAGAAGAAGGCACGGAAGAGCTGCAGACTCCTGCCTGTCAGGCTGGCCCTGTGAGTGCTGTTCCCTGGCACTCATCTACTGGTCTGAGTGAGGCACGAGATTAAGGAGGCATCCCCTCAGGTCAGGAGTGCTCTGCCCCTTGGTCTCATGGTCATGGGCACTCTGCCAGCCACAGCGATAGGGTAAGACGTGACAGGACAGGACAGCCAAGCTGAAGGGGCTAGTCCCCAAGCGTCTTGTTGCCCCACAGGAGCCTTAATATAGCCAACTCAGCAGGCGTCCCAATGATACGGGGCGTGGCAGGGCCAGTGCCCAGTGGGCCACCACTGAAGAGCTTCACGACTGTCTTTGCTCAAGGCCACAGTGCTACCCTGTGCTAGCCCAGTCTCTCCACACAGCCACATCTTCCACAGGAGAGTTCCCTGACACCATAGAACTCCACAGTGACCCAACACCTGCTAAAAGTCCCAATGCCAGAGACCCCTGTGCCTTCTACAAACACCACTGCCTGGGTGCTCAGCTTCCCCGCTAAGGTGGGCGGGGGGGGGCACAGCTTTATACAGCTCTACTGTGAAGAGGACAACCCCTCCCCAAACAGGTGGAACAGACTAGAATATGAAAGAGAGAGGCCTGAGGCTGGGAGCCAGCTACAGGGCAGAGGGAGGCTGGCTCCCAGATGGGGAGAATGCTGACTGCCTGCACCTCTGCTGCAGCATTGCAGGGATGGGCAGAGATGGAAGGGTCTGCAGAGCAGACCGACCCGAAGAAGCTAACGAGGAAGACACTTGGGGCCAGCTGGGGATGGATCCCATGCCACCTGCCCTCTCCACCGCTTTCACAGCTACCAGGAGGTCCTAGTGCTGGTCCCCCCTGGGAGGCCCAGGAGCCAGCACCATGCAGACCCACTGGAGAGTGGACAGCCTCAAAAGTGGGGGGCCACCTACCAGCTGGTGGATGCTGTCGATGGCTCGGTTGTACTTGTCACACAGCCTCTGCATGCTTTCAAAACTGAGAAACAAAGGAAAGGGAGCGTTAGTGGCTTAACACACCCGGCGTTTACAGATATGGAGGCCTGGGATCCCAGAAGCACCAAAGGCTTCATGTTGAGACAGGCCTCGGCCACAGGACCAGGTGCAAGGGGGGTCTGGGTGGGTCTGTCCATGCGTCAGCTCCACGGTCAAAGAGCAGATCGCTGTGAAGACTATGCTAGGCTTGGGGCAGTGGCTCAGCAGCTACAGCGCCCCCTGCCGCGTCTGAGGTCCTGAGTTCACATCCTCAGAATTCATGTACAGCGGGGCAGGGACAGGCATCTGTGGACCTGTGCGTCCAAGACAAACGAGGTGGAAGGTGACAGCTACCCAGGATTCTGTCCTCCAGACGAGTGTGCTGCTCAAGTACAGAGACTAAAGGGTGATGGAATGCAGGCCCTTACACAGAAGCCCACGCCCACCCAAGCTCAGCAGCACCAGAGGGTTCTGTCCCCTGCAGGGCCTCTGAGGTCTGCCCTCCTTCCTAAACAGCACTGCTTCAGAGCAGGGAAACTTCCCTGTGTCCAGCCAAATAAGCTACAAGAAGCGTGTGAGGAATGAGGGTGGAGGCAGAAATGTGCACATCTGGTCACATGACAACTCCAGGCTGCACTGTGAGACCTTGTCTCCAAGAAAGGAACGGAAGGAGGGGATGAGAGAGCGGAATCAGGGCACGAGAGTCGTCAGTGGTTGCCCTCTTTTGACCTCTGCGGGCACTGATCACTCGTGAAAGCCACACAGACATACAAGCAGGAAACGCTCAAACTCAGAGGAAAATACATAAAATCTTTTTCTTTTTCTTCTCTTTTTGTTTTTTTTGAGACAGGGTTTCTCTGTGGAACTGGATCTGTAGCCCAGGCTGGTCTTGACCTCACTGAGATCCGCCGGCCTCCGTCTCCCGAGTGCGCTGTCACGTCCCAGTCAAATAAATCTTTACAAAGGAAGCAAGTGGACTGAGAGTGCCAAGGAGTGTAGGGAGCAGAGGCCCCATCAGTCTCCAGACACCAGGTGAGGGGTCGGTGGCTCCTGAGGCCGGCCTGGGGCTCGACTGGGGGCTGCCTCTAGGAAGAGCTCTGTGCACTTGAGCACCAGGTGAGGAACCTGTCTGACTCCATTTTGAGTCATTATCCTGTTTTTTTGGAAAGAGGGTTTCTCTATCATTTTGGAGGCTGTCCTGGAACAGGCACTGTAAAACAGGCTGGCCTCAAACTCAGAGATCTGCGACCCTCTGCCTCCCTAGTGCTGGGATCAAAGGTGTGTACCACCACTGCCCAGGTTATCCTGTATTTTAAAAAATAAGTTTGTATTTCTGTGAGAGTTGACTTGCTCTGCTTCCTGGAACCCTGATATGTTTCAGAACACCCTTACCTTCTAAACTCCCTGACCCACTCCCCGCCTCTTCCTTCACACGGTGACCACATCATTTTTAAGGTCTTTGGTATTTCCTTATTGCCCTGTTGTCTCCCTTTTGTAAATCTACTAGGGATTTTACTCCTTATAAGGGGCTCAAGGAGCCGGGCAGGGGTGGCACACGTCTTTAATCCCAGCTCTCGGAGGCAGAGGCAGGTGGATCTCTGTGAGTTCGAGGCCAGCCTGGTCTACAGAGCGAGTATCACGACAGGCTCCAAAACCACAGAGAAACCCAGTCTCAAAAAGGGGGGGCCAGGGCCGGCAGTGGTGGTACACCCCTTTCAACCTAGCACTTGGGAGGTAAAATCAGGTGGGTCTCAACAAGTTCAAGGACAGCCTGGTCTATTCCAGGACAGCCAAGACTGCTACACAGAGAAACTCTGGGGGGTGAGGGTGGGGGCGGGGGGGTGGGAGGGCCCAAGAGGTAGATTCTGAACTACTCTCTTCAAGCCACTTTAGGAGGCAGTTGCTGGTCAGCTTTTAGGTGCACCCCATACAAATCAATCTTGCTTCAAATATGGCTTTAATTGTGGCAGTGGCCTTTATTCTCGCCAGTGGGATTAACACAGAGCAGAAGCATGGTTCTGGGGACAGGGGACCAGTCTATACCCTGCATGCCCAGGGAGGTTACAAATGTCCAGAGCCACAGGGAGTCCCAAGCATTCGGGAGAGGCTCCGAGGCACACTAATACACAGGCAGCTTCCTCCCCATGAGAGCCACATGATACCCCAGCACTCCAGCATGCTACAGTATGAACCTGGATGGTGTCTTACACCTTTCTGTCTCTAGGCCAGCAGCAACCACAGGACACAAGCAAGGTGAGGTGGTGGCACACACCACCACAGTCCCAGCTACTCATGAGTAATTTGAGGTCAGGCTAGGTCAGGTAAGGCGGCCCGTCTACTATCAATGAGATGAGGGCCCACATGCAAGGCCCTGGGCACATTCCTCACAGGGCAAAATAAAACTCCCAAAGGCCCAGGAGCTCTCAGGGCATGAACTCAAAGGCAGTGAGCCAGGCAGCCCGTGCCCTGGTCACCGGGCATATATCCCAAAGGAAGACTTCTGTGTCCTACGGGTCCAGAGGGCTCACACCTTCACACCCAGAAGCTAGCCATGGGGCGGATGGTGCCCAGGGGACTGACCCAGGGTCACCAAGGCTGACCAGCATCAGGGGTCCTTTCTAATAATGAGGTCAGAGGTCAAGGGAGGCTTTGCAGGCAGACTCCAGAATGCAGAGGCTGAGCAGGAGGTGGAGCATGGGCTGGTCTCTCTCAAAGGAGATAAAGCCCACTCTAGACAGCATTCCGGGAATGCCTTCTCTTCACCCTCTCTGTCCTGGAGGAGAGATGCTGGGTGGGGGCAGGGACCGGCCTCACCACACCTGCCAACCAGAGCTAGCAGGGTCCCTCAGCACAAAGCCAAAGGTAGAGAGACTCTGGCAGGACCACCTGCCGTCAAAAGACCCATACATAGTTCTCTCATTCCCAACTCAAGTTTGCTCAGTGTGGAGTTCCCAGGGATGGCCTCACTCCTGGAAGTGTACACAGACAGTGACAAGGGTGTGCAGTCCCGAGGGACAGCCCACAGCCCACTCACTCCCTTCCTGCTCACCTTTTGGTGTCATAGTCGATCAGGACGTAGTTCTCCATGGCCAGCTTGAGATCCGGGATTTCCTCACAGACCCACCTGAAATGGAACACAGAGCTCCTGCTGGCCTAGGTCCCCTTCTCGTGTGTGTGTGTGTGTGTGTGTGTGTGTGTGTGTGTGTGTGTGTGTGTGGCCGCTACTGTGAAATGACAAGCACTTGAGATATCACATGGATTTTACCAGGCCAAGGTCAAACAGTGCTGGCACTTGGAAAAGAAACAAATTTACATGCTATGGTAAAAAGTAAAACATTAGCCAGGCTTGGTGGCACATGCCAGCTGGCCATCCCAACAATGGTGGAAGGCCCCGAGGCACAAATACTCCAAATTCTAGACCCCCACATAATGGGACCTTTCTCCTCGGGAGAAAGAAAAAAGGGGGGAAGGGAGCTGGAAGATGGCTCTGCAGGTAAAAGCAATGGTGGGACATAACAACCCAAGACCCAAGTTTAATCCCGGGACCTCCACCAGCAATGGTGGGACATAACAACCCAAGACCCAAGTTTAATCCCAGGACCTCCACCAGCAATGGTGGGACATAACAACCCAAGACCCAAGTTTAATCCCGGGACCTCCACCAGGAGCAAGGAGAGAACCAACTACACACACACACCAACTACACACACACACCAACTACACACACACACCAACTACACACACACCAACTACACACACACCGACTACACACACACACCGACTACACACACACACCGACTACACACACACACACCAACTACACACACACCAACTACACACACCAACCATACACACACACCAACTACACACACACACCAACTACACACACACACCAACTACACACACACCGACTATACACACACACACCAACTACACACACACACCAACTACACACACACACACACCAACTACACACACCAACTACACACACACACCGACTATACACACACACCAACTATACACACACACCAACTACACACACACACACACCAACTACACACACACACCGACTATACACACATACCAACTACACACACACACCGACTACACACACACACCAACTATACACACACACCAACTACACACACCAACTACACACACACACCGACTATACACACACACCAACTACACACACACACCAACTACACACACACACACCAACTACACACACACCAACTACACACCAACTACACACACACACACACCAACTACACACACACACACCAACTACACACACACACAAACTACACACACACCAACTACACACACACACCAACTACACACACACACCAACTACACACACACCGACTATACACACACACACCAACTACACACACACACACCAACTACACACACCAACTACACACACACACCGACTATACACACACACCAACTATACACACACACCAACTACACACACACACCAACTACACACACACACCGACTATACACACATACCAACTACACACACACACCGACTACACACACACACCAACTATACACACACACCAACTACACACACCAACTACACACAAACACCGACTATACACACACACCAACTACACACACACACACCAACTACACACACACCAACTACACACACACCCCGACTACACACACACACCGACTATACACACATACCGACTACACACACACACCGACTACACACACCAACTACACACACACACACACCAACTACACACACACACACACCGACTATACACACACCCCGACTACACACACACACCAACACACACACACAACTACACACACACACACCAACTACACACACACCAACTACACACACACACCGACTATACACACACACCAACTACATACACACACCAACTACACACACACACACCAACTACACACACACCGACTATACACACACACCAACTACACACACACCGACTACACACACACACCAACTACACACACACCAACTACACACACACCAACTACACACACCAACTACACACACACACCGACTATACACACACACCAACTACATACACACACCAACTACACACACACACCAACTACACACACACCGACTATACACACACACCAACTATACACACACACCAACTACACACACACACACACCAACTACACACACACACCGACTATACACACATACCAACTACACACACACCGACTACACACACACACCAACTATACACACACACCAACTACACACACCAACTACACACAAACACCGACTATACACACACACCAACTACACACACACACACCAACTACACACACACACCGACTATACACACACCCCGACTACACACACACACCAACACACACACACACCAACTACACACACACACACACCAACTACACACACACACCGACTATACACACACACCAACTACATACACACACCAACTACACACACACACACCAACTACACACACACACACCAACTACACACACACCGACTATACACACACACCAACTACACACACACCGACTACACACACACACACCAACTACACACACACACCAACTACACACACACCAACTACACACACCAACTACACACACACACCAACTACACACACACCAACTACACACACACCAACTACACACACCAACTACACACACACCAACTACACACACACACCAACTACACACACCAACTACACACAGACACACACACCAACTACACACAGACACACACCAACTACACACACACACACCAACTACACACACACACACCAACTACAAGCACAATAATAATAAAAACTTTGTGTGGCTGGGTGTTGGTGGCACACGCCTTTAATCCCAGCACTCAGGAGGCAGAGACAGTCGGATCTCTGAGTTCAAGACCAGCCTCGGCTACAAATTAAGTTCCAGGACAGCCTCCAAAGCTACAGAGAAACCCTGTCTCAAAAAACAAAGAAAAAAAGTCGGGGAAGAGGCTGGGTTTGACAGGAAGATCAAGGTCATCCAAGGCTACATAGTTATGATGCCCAAAACCAGCCTGGGATACATCAGATAGTAAAATGCAATTATTTATTTGTTTTTTTGTTTGTTTGAGACAGGGTTTCTCTGTGTAGCCCTGGCTGTCCTGGAACTCACTCTGTAGACCAGGCTGGCCTCCAACTCACTGAGATGTTCCTGCTTCTGCCTCCTGAGCTCTAGGATTAAAGATCTATGCGCTAACATGCTCAGGGGTAAGATAGAATTTTTAAGAATTAAAAAGGGAGCCGGGCGTTGGTGGTGCACGCCTTTAATCCCAGCACTCGGGAGGCAGAGACAGGTGGATCTCTGTGAGTTCAAGGCCAGCCTGGTCCACAGAGCGAGTTCCAGGACAGCCTCCAAAACAATACAGAGAGACCCTGTCTCGAAAAAAAAAAAAATTAAAAAGGGAGGTGTCCTGCATTGAAAGTTGTAGAAGGCTACAATGTAAAGAAAAAAGCTCTACTCCCTAACAATGCCATCTTCCGTGGAAGATCTGGGGAGGAAGAATTTGGGGATCACAGAAGAGGTCACTGTTAGGGAGTAGGTTTCTTCCCTGACATGGTGGAGTTCTCCCTCTGTTAGACCCTGCAGGCTGTCTCTGTCTGTGGCCACATAATCACTCTATGTGTATAGGACAGAGGGACCCAGGCCCAGGCAACACAGAGGTCAACGACCTCAGGCTCTGGCCCCTGCCCGGCCCTCCACCCTGACAGTCTCCTAAGCACCACCACCGCCTGCTCCCAGCCGTCTGGCCCATGAGCTCCCAAACCCATGCTGCCATGTCTGACTAGGTAGGCTCTAGGGATCTGATCTGGACTCAGGTCCTCATTTGCCCACACGGCCAGCTCCCAGGCCGCTCTGCCTTCAGCCTCACTGTGACTGACACGCTCAGTGGCAGGCCACGCCCAGCTTGGTGGGCTGCAGAGACCAGGCTTTTGTCCTGACAACTGCAATGGTGTGGTAGAGGTGACGCTACTAGGCCTATCTACTGGGGTCTGCACCTGCCCCAGTCCCTGACTAATGCGTCGCTGGGCCCGTCCCATCCACTCTCCCTAACGTGGTTCTGTTCCACCTGTACCCCCATCTCAACTTGCAAAAGCATCTCAGCTCTCACTGCCAGACTTTTAAAATTGTCTTAGTTATCTTTTGTGCATGGGGCCGGGATTGTGTGCTTATGCACTTGTGGATGCACAAGCACAATTTGAGTGACACGTGTACCCAGAACATGTGAGGGTCAGAGGACATCAGCAGATGGCCCTCTCCTTCCGTCCCCACAAGGCCTCCAGGGATGACTCGGGTCTCAGGTGAGCACAGTAAGTGCGCTGCCCCCTCTCAGCCAACTCACTGGCGCTGCCATCCCCACCTCCCAGCACCCAATGGCCAGCTAACCCTGCCTGAGTCCAGGGTCTCGGCTGTGTGTGGACAGGGCTTTGCTCCCACTGGCCTACGTCCACTATTTCAGGAGCTCCAGAAGTAGACAGCACAGCCACCCAAGCAGGAAGCCCTGGTGTCATGCTATGCAGGTGTCAGGATGGAGCACCACCCCCAGCAGCATGAGACCTGAGTGGACCTCACAAACTCCCAAAGGTGGGGTCCAGTAAAGGGTAATGGGGACACAGAGACTCCCGGCTCCATCTACCAGAGACTACAGCTCAGAAGCTATACGTGAGACCTGGCTCCCCTTCCACTGCAGGGGGACAAACAGCTGAGGCTCTCTCTGACAAGCACAATGTGTGGCAAGGCCTGTGGCAGGCTACCCTGCAACTGGCTGCCTCTGCCAGGGCTCCTCCTACTACCACTACTCACTACCTGAGGAGGCCCAGTGAGGACAGTGAAGCCGTGAAGTCCGCCTGCTGCGAACCTCAGGAAGCAGCATGCCCGCCCTCCCATACCCACCCCATGCACCCCACTCGGCACTCACCGGATAGTCTCAATAATCTCATACCCCCCCACGCGGCACTCACCGGATAGTCTCAATAATCTCATACCCCCCCACGCGGCACTCACCGGATAGTCTCAATAATCTCATACCCCCCCACGCGGCACTCACCGGATAGTCTCAATAATCTCATACCCCCCCACGCGGCACTCACCGGATAGTCTCAATAATCTCATGAGCAGCATCGTGGTGCTTGTCCTGGAAGAGAAAGAAAGCATGCAGAGTCGGTCCCCGGCAAGCAGAGTGATACCCAACTCTTGTTCTGCGATGCACACTCCCAGTACCTGGACCCCAGATTCCCCGGAGCTGGAGCCTGACTTAGAGCTTTGTCTCCCTGCAAACACAACAGGTCCCCACCCACAGAATGGGAAACAGACATGGCAGCCACTGGCCAGCACTGTACTAGATATGCATTGCTCCAGCATAGCCAGATCTCCACCTGCCACCCTGAGATGAAGCTCACGGGTGCCGATTACACACTGACAGAGTCACAGAGGGAACAAGGGTGACAAAAGGAGCTTTCCACCCTTCCACACACTGCCTGAGACCTGCCCCAGCCCCAGCCCCAGCTGGGAAGTGAGCCGTGGGATGACGAAGGCCACAGCTGACAGTGCCTCTTGAGAGCAGACAGACAAACACCGTAGCTAGGTTCCCCAGGGCCCACGCTCTCTCCCAGCTCTGCCCAAGTCCTGGTCATCACCCCTCACCACAGGAGCTACAGACTCCAGTTGACCCTGTCTAGTGCACAGTCACAGGTCACAGGGAACACTCAGCACAGCCCATGAACACTAGTGTGGGCCAAGTGTCCCCTCAACCTAAAGCTCTAAACAGTCTCCCACTGTGGTTGTTTGGAAATGACCCCACTTAGACAGAGGGTGGGGCGGGGCGCGTTAAGTCTGGAAGTGTAACCTACAGGCCTCAGCTCAGGATGTTTTTGAAACTTCCATGACCCACACGTGCTGGGGGAACAGACTGAAGCAGCAGCTGGCCAAATCTGCAGGAAACCCCAGAAGTCACCACGCCGGGGTGCTCTTTTCAGCTATGGCTACATCCTGGCCATGCATTGGTCTCTAGAAAAGGCATAGGCATGTAGCCACCTGGGAAGGAGGGAGTATGCTGGGCACAGTGCCCGGAGCCCAGGTTTATGAGAGGTGCTGTTTTATTTATGCAGGTACAGCCCCTACCAGCCAGTCATCCTCTGCTAGGTACCACATCTGGCACATCAGGAATTCACTTCCAGGTGGCCAAGCCATTTTGTCTTTTTCTCTCTCCCAGTGCTAGGGATGGAGCCCTGAGCCATATGAACACTAGGAAGGCCACCTACTGAGTCAAAGTAGACTAGGCTAGCCCAAAATGCCTCACAAGGGCAAGAAGAGCAGGGTCGTGTTCAAGGATCAGTTCAAAGGAGTCAACATCCCCAGCCCAGCCTGTGGTAGACAGAACATGAGCACAGGGAAAGCCAGTGGGCAAAGCAGAGGCCAGAAGCAAGCATCCTGCAGAGAAGCCTGGGGAATGACCTCAGGCATTAGCAGACAAGGTCTCACAGAAAGAGGGCTAAGGGCCCCGACTCCAGGTGGGCAGCTCAGTTACAGGTGTCCCACAAGGCCCTGTATCCAGTGAGAAGGAAACCCCTAGAAAAGACCATGCAGGGCTACGTGGATATGACATACACAGGCTCAGCTGGATGGGCTGTCCCCAGAATGCACAGCACACTCCAGACTTGGGGTGCATGTCTTCACACACATACACAGAAAGAAAGAAGAGAGTTTAGGCTGGGCAGTGGTGGTGCACGCCTTTAACCCCAGCACTCGGGAGACAGAGGCAGGCGGGTGTCTGTGAGTTTGAGGCCAGCCTGGGCTACAGAGCGAGTGCCAGGACAGCCTCCAAAACAATACAGAGAAACCCTGTCTCGGAAAACCAAAAAAAAAAAAAAAAAAAAAAAAAAAGAGTTCAGTCCATAACTTCTCTGCTAGTTTTACTGTGGGGGCCTCACAATGCTATCCAGGCTGGCCACCAACTCTTGGACTCAAGCAATCTTCCTACCCCAGCCTCCCAAGAAGCCAGGGCCACAGACATACCCAGCCTAGAGAACATTTTTTTTAGACTTGACTATGAACTCTAAAGTCTACGCAGGGCCCCAGGGCCTGGCCCAGCTCCATGGCACTAATTCACAGCACACACGGGGATACCCAGTTTCCTGGTGGCCAGCCTTCATGAAGGCAGGAGGTGGTTGTGGGATGGAAACTCAGAGGTCCACAGGAGGACAAGTGTCCTTGCTCAGCTACAAGGACAGGGTGAGGTCAGACAAGCTGGCCATCTGTGCCAGCTGCCTGCCTGCAGCCACAAGGGCTTCTGCTCAACACTTCATGCCAAGCTGGCCTCTACAGTCTTTTTGTTTTTTTTTTTTTGGTTTTTTTTTTTGGTTTTTTCGAGACAGGGTTTCTCTGTGGCTTTGGAGGCTGTCCTGGAACTAGGTCTTGTAGACCAGGCTGTCCTGGAACTCACAGAGATCCGCCTGCCTCTGCCTCCCAAGTGCTGGGATTAAAGGCGTGCGCCACCAACGCCCGGCGGCCTCTACAGTCTTAAAGGCAGAATGACACCACCTACCCAGGCCTGTCAACTGACACAAGTGAGTCACTTGATAAGAGTGACTGCATGCAAGGAGGTAGCCACCTGTACACCTCCTGGCTGCAGGCCACTCCTCCCTCATGGTGTGAGGGCAAAGGACAGGGGCTCGGTTTACCATTGTCTTAGGAGACTTGGGACAGGCACTGAGTGAGGCAAGCAGCCCTGCCCAGACAACATCAAGACAGGGAACACTGCAGCCCGGCACCCAGGCAGCTGCAAGTACTGGTGCAGAGACTGTAGAGAGGTAAACCGTCCACAGCAGGGCTCTGCAGTCCTAAAGAAGGTAAGAGGTCGGGCAGCCTGAAGGCTCCGCCACACCCCAGCTACAGGTGCTGGGTGTGCAGACTGCGGACTGGTGCTTGCTAGCTTCCAGCCTGGCTGAGAAGGTTCAATCATCAGGTCTAGCAAAAGGCTGTGACTCAAAGGAACAGCTGGTGACAGAGAACACAGGGCGCCCCCTTCTGGCCACCACTCTCACACACAGCACACACCTGTGCATATGAACTCCCTATCAACCTTGGTGCCACGCCCGCTCTTGTCCCGTCACTCCATTCTAGGATGAAGGTGGAATGAGTGCTTCCACAGGGGCCTCAGACTCCCCACACTCAAACACAGCAAGCGGGGCAGGGGCAGGGGCAGGAGCAGAGGCAGGGCACAGCACGCATGCACGCATGCACGCATGCACGCAATCGACAGGGCCACAGTGTGGAGCTCCACCCAGGAGATGTCCAGAACAGATAATTCTGAGACAGAAAGCCTACTCGTGGATACTGGAGACAGAGGACTACTCATAGGGGTTATGGACTGTTCTAGAAGTAAACAGTTGTAAAAGCTGTCTGACCTGTGACCATTCCACAGATCCTGATCTGCACTCTGTTTTTTTGTTTGTTTGTTTGTTTGTTTGTTTGGTTTTTCGAGACAGGGTTTCTCTGTATTGTTTTGGAGACTGTCCTGGAACTTGCTTTGTAGACCAAGCTGGCCTCGAACTCACAGAGATCCGCCTGCCTCTGCCTCCCGAGTGCTGGGATTAAAGGAGTGCGCCACCACCGCCCGGCGTCTGATCTGCACTCTGAATTCATGACCTGTACTGGGTGCTGGAGTGAAAACCAGGGCTTCCCACAGGTTGGGCAGGTGCTCCCCTACTGAGCTAAGATAAAGCTCAGTGGGTTTCAACACTCTCCATCCCCAACACCACATAAACCAGGCAGGTATCACTCCAGAATCCGGAGGTGAAGACAGAGTCAGGACTCCATAGACACACAGGGGGTGAAGAAGAGGGGAGACAAGAGACATGAGGCTCCTCCCCAGTCGCTCTGCTCTGCCCTGCCTGGGGACACCCACACTACCGGCAGAGCAGCCTGTGCAGAACCTAGGAAGGCAGTCACACTTGAGCCTAGAGCGGGTGCCCACACAGGGCAGACACCTGTGTTTGTCTGGATCAAGCTAGCAACAAGGCAATACTCAAGTGGGTGGACATCTGTACTGCACAAGGCCAGACCATGTTCTGGAAAAATCAACCAACCTGACTTGCACTCCAGGGACACCGAGATGACAGGACTGACCAGCAAGCAGAACGACCTATCTAACTAGAGACACGGGGCAGCTTACCTGTGCCTGAGCTTCAGGCAATATAGCATGTGGTCTTTCTGCACACAACTGACGCCCAGCTCTGCAGGCGGCCAGTGCTGGAGCTTCCCCTCTTCTAGTTGTGGCAACCACAAATGTCCCTAGACATCACCATGTGTCAGTCAGTTCAGAGCAGGACGGCCAAGAGAATGGCTGGTTAATCTTTCCATAAGGCAGAAGTGATCAAGTCTGCCCAAGTGTCACATATCCGACAGGAGGTGTCCAAAACTAACCTAAGGGCTTCACTTTGTGAGGACACAGGAATATTCACCCATAATCACTCCTAAATAAAATATCTAACTTGAAGCCAGCATGACATCTCATGCCTGTATTCACAGCATCTGGGACAATCAGACAGAGCTGCTCAAAGTTTGAAGCTAGCCTGGGCTACACGGTGAGTGCCAGACTGCCCTGAATACAGAATCAGAGCATCTCAGAAAAGAAAAAAGAAGTCTAACTTGAAAAAGGGCAGGGCTTCCACAGCTAGGGGGTCCCCAGCAGCCCCCAGTCTCACCATGAACAGAGTGAGTGGCCCAAGCATGGGTTTGAAGGCAAGCAGAGGCAACATCCCACATAGAAGCCCGCTGTCATCACGCCTCCCCTTCTGGAGCAGGTCAGCCCACAGGCAGGCTAAAGGTCAACCTGCCTCCCGCCCACATGAGCATGGATTAGCAGGGACACTCACTGGAGGTCAGCAGCAGAAACTACCTTCTGAGTCATACAGGGGCTGGTTCATCCTACCCCACAGAGCGACTCACCCAGCCACCCACAGGACTCCCAAGCTCATCAGAAGGGACAGGCCACTGTGCATGGCTTACTGAGTCACCTACAGGAGGGACACCTGGCCCTCCCTCTCAGGTTTGTCCCCTAAGCTGCCTGCCAAGCAACTAAAAATGGCATCTGCATCCTTCTGCCCAAGGGGTCATTCTGTAAGGTCCCAGTGCCCTAAACTGCAATAAAGATGATGTCCCCCTCTCATCTGTCAATTCTCCAAGTCTGGTCCCCAAAGTGGGTATCTCTGAGTGTGGACAGCATGGCTGCTGCCCTCTATGCATGTCCCCAGGGACACCAAAGGTAGCTTGCAGGCGCTTTTACAAAGGATTATGAAGCCAGACCTAGTGACACACACACACACACACACCCGACATCCCAGCACTCTGAGACCTCCCCAAAATAACCCCAACAGACTGGAAGGACTACAGTAGTGTGACCTGAGCTCCCACCTCAGGGGCAGGGGCACCTGCATCATGGTCCCTCCTCTCCATGCCTCCATGATGGATCACCTGGCAACAGGAGATTTTTTTTGTTTGCTTGCTTACTGGGGGGAGAGGGGGGCACAGGGACTTGAAACAGGGTCTGACACATGTGGGGCAGGCTTGCATGGAACTATGTAGCCAAACGTGGTCTTCAACTCCTGATCCTCCTGCCTCTACTTCCTGGGTGCTGGAGTGTTGGGTTGGGTCTGACACTGTTGAATGTGTCAGGCTCTGGCCCTGGCTTCCCGAGAAGCTGAACTCTCCATGGGAGCTATAGGGCTAGAAGAGGGCACCGTGGAGCTGCTGTCACTCAGGCTGTGTGAGAGCCAGTCAATGCCCCCCCCCCCATGCTGGCCCCTGGACAGCAGCTCACAGCCACAGCTGGAATAGGCCTGCAGATGTCAGCAGAGCCAACCCTGCCAAGTGAGATCTGGGCCAGCAAGGGAAAGGCGCTGGGCGGTCATTCCCACCCACCACTGGGAAGCCAGTTCCCGCCAGGCTCAACTGAAAGCCTGATTCACATGGGGCAGGAACTGGACAGAGTCAATGGGTGAACTTTCATCTTCACCCCAGGGTACAAGGTAGAGGCAAACAGGCAACAGCACTCCACTGGGGCAGCAACAGGGCTTCGATCCATTTTGTAACCCTTCGTACTCAGATATGACAACTCTGGTGATTCAGGCTGGTGACTGTCCACTCACTACAGACCTAGCAACCCATCTCGTGGTACTCCCAGGGACTACTACAGCTTGAATGAGTCCACAAGCAGGCATCTGGGCTCACAGCCTCTAATGTGCGTTCGTGCATGCACACACATACACAAACACACACGCGCACGCGTGCACACACATACCACACACCACACACATACACATCGCACACACACTCACACACACACTCACACACACACCACACTCTCACACACACACTCTCACACACACTCACACACACTCTCACACACACTCTCACACACACACTCTCAAACACTCTCTCACACACCACATACACACACACACACACACACACACGTGTGCAAGCCTATCACCCCAGCACTGGAGGCAGAAGTGGAACACCAGTGAATGCTCCAGGCCAGCCACAGCCATGTAACAAGACCAAAGAAATGGTAGAAAAAGTAACACTGGACCAGCCCAGGCGTGCTGTGACTAACAATGAATGACCACCTAACTGGCTCACTGCCTAAAGGACGCTGCACAGCTGGAAGACAACTAGGGGCAACCCCACCCCTCAGACAGTGTGGGCGGGCGAGCTTCAGACGCATTCTCCCTGGTGAGCACTCCAGTCACGGGGCCAGCAGAAGACAGTGTGACAGGCCAGGCGGTAAGAGGCGGTAACAGGGACAGTCAAGGGAAGGTGCGGATGGCTCGTGCGCTGCACCTCAACGGTGACGGTGGCCACAGCTCACAGAGCTCTACCCTGACAGGAGTGGACGGTGACCCTGAAATCAGAGCGCCTACATCCTAACAGAACACCAGGAAGTGTGTCCTCCCCGTCCAGACAGCCCAAGGCCCCGTTAGGCAGCAGCAACACGAGGGGACAATGTCTCCAACTCCTCAGACTCCTAGGCAGGCCAGAAACCTGGAACTCTCTGTAGAGCTCACAGATCCGCCTGCCTCTGCCTCCCAAGTGCTGGGACTAAAGGCTGTGCCCGCCACCTGGCTCTTGTAGGAATTTTCAAGAACACACACCGAACTGCGGTGGGAAGAGGCTGGGGTCGGGGGGCGGGCGTCCCAGGGCACGGACAGTATTCCGCGGGGCAACAGCACCCACGGACCATACACAGCGTCACCAGGGACCAGGAGCTGACTTCCCAGGCTCTCCTGCGGGGCCTCTGGCTCCCCCACGAAGCTGATCATTTTCCAAGGCTCATTAGGGTTAGAGGGTAACTAACACCCTCAGTCTTCAGGGTCTCACCCGCTCGGCCCACCAAAACCGGGGACAGCCTCTCCGACTGCAAAGCTTCTCCCGACACCGGCCCCACGCGAGCCACCGCTGCTCGAGATTGTGGTGTGTCGCCAGGCCACCGACGTCGGACCACACGACAGGTACAAAGTAAGGTGACAACCTCCCAAACGTTCCAGGACCTTGCAGCCTAGCCCACTGTCATCGAAGAACAACTTTGCAGAACCCCTCCCACCATGCCACCAGCACGGGGGACAACCTAAACCACATGAATGGCCAACCTCCCCCAACACCAACGGTGACAACCTGAGAGGGCACGACCCGGACAGACGGCAGGACGAGACAGAGACGACGGTGTGAGGGGGTGACAGCACGAGGGGACGACGCCCCCGTCCCCCTGCCCACACCGACGCCGCCGACTCAGGTCCGCAACGCGCGGAGCCGCGGGGCCCCGGGCCGGCGGCGGCCACAGCGCGACGGGCTCGCCGGGGCAACGGCAGCCACGGGCGCGGGCCGGGAACGGCCAAGGACCGGCCGCCGCCGCCGAGCCCCGGAGCCCCGCGGCCCCCGGCCCCAGCCGCCCCGCCAGCACACTCACGTAGACCGGCAGCGGCCACGGGTAGACGGCGGGCTCGGCGCCCACTGGCGACTTGAGCCTCAGCTCCAGCTTCTCGCCCATGTCGGCGCGCGCGGCCGCCGCACCATGCTAGGCAGACGGTTGGGGGAGGGGCGGGGCCGCCGGCGGGAAGCCGGGCGGGCGGGGGCGGGCGGACGCGGGGCGGACGGCTGAGGACAGATGGCCCGGCCTGCGCCTCGGCCGCCGCTCCCGTGCGGCCCCGGCTCCCCTCTTTGTAGGAGTCACAGGCCCGGGGCGTCTAGCGCCGCCGCCATCTTGGGCCGGCGTGAGAAGAAGGCACAATGAGCCGGGGGGTCGGGCTGAACCACTCGGCGCGCGCGCGCGGGGGAGGCCGGGAGCCAAGAAGCGGTGCGCGCCCAGAGCCTCCGCCCACCGCGCCGCGCGCGCCACCCCTCGCACGCCACGCCCCCTTGGACTCGCCCGCCTCCGGCCGACGCACGCACGTAGCACGCAAGCGCGTACGCACGTCCTCGGTTGCCCTCGAACGCCCCCGCCCGCCGGGAAGGGGGACCCGGGAAAACCCTGCAGAGGAATCCGAGAGAGACCAGCAAGGACGCAAATTCAAATGCCAACTTCGCAGGCTCGCCTTTCTTTTTTTTTATTTCCTCTTTCCTTTTCTTCTTTTTACTTGTCTTTTCATTTTTCTTTTTTCCTTTTCTTTTTTCTGATTTTGGAGACAGTTTCCCTATGTAGCCCTGGCTGCACTGGAACTCTGAAAACCAGACTGGTCTCGAACTCACAGAGATTCTTCTGCCTCTGCCTCCCGAGTGCTGGGATCAAAGGTGTGTGTGTCTCGATGCCTGACTTCTTTTTATTCCTTTTCTAAAATAAAACCTTCAGGGGCTGGAGACACTGCTCAGAGATTAAGAGCACTGCCTGTTCTTCCAGAGGACCTGAGTTCAGTTCCCAAAACTATATGGTGGCTCACAACCACCTGTAATGAGATCCGGTGCCCTCTTGTGGCCTGCAGAACACTGCATACATAATAACTAAATCTTACAAAGAAAGAACGGGAAGAAAAGGGAGCACCGGCTAGGCGGTGCAGTCCTGTACCCTTTCCTAATCTGACTGATATTACTCCAGGGCAGAGCCTCCTTCTCACGTCTTGGGCATCAATTTCTACTTTTCTGTATATTGCCCAGCGCGAAACTCCATCTTTCCCCTACAAGACAACATCCCATCACTGTAATTCCTAAGCCCATTTAGTGGCCTTGGGGGCAATTTCCCGGGTTCCCCTTGCTTTCTTTGCCAGAGCTAAGGATAGAACCTGGTGTCTCCTGGAAGCTATGCAAGATCCCCAAACCACGCCCCAGCCTCTCACTGGGGATGTGATCTAGGCGGGGCTCCACCCTGACCACACCCCAATCTTGACTATTTGGTATGTAATATTCCTAAATTGCGCAGGTCGCCTCAGATCCCCAGACGCTGGGATGTGAGGGGATATTGGTTGTGCCCAGACGCCTTTTGACTCTTTGTTATCAGCCTCGACCATCATCTGAAATAAGCAAAGGCCGCCCGCTGTGGGTCCAGGGAGAGAGGTCTCCCCACATGAGTCCAGAGGAAGAGGGAAGTCCGTCCGTGTCCCCTCCCCCTCGTCTTTGAAGTTCCTCTGTAGCTCCCTGCTTCCTTGGTCTCAAGGCTGCTGGCCGACCGTGCTAATTTTGGGCTTACAGCCCACAGAATTGTGAGTCACATCTTAAAATAAACCTCTGTCTCTATATCTGTGCGCACGCGGCTCTATTTCTGGAAGCCTGAGTAATAGCCGAGGAAGACCGGGGTTTGCGCCCAGCCACCCCCTCCCAACCAGCACCGTGCTTGTACTCCCAGCACTCCTGAGGCTGAGGTGGAGGATCGAAAGTTCCAGCAAACACCAAGTATGGGGCTAAGTGGGTGGAGGGCTGCCCTAGCATTCGGGAAGCTCTGGGTTGCATCACCAGCAACTCCTAACCTGGGTTTGGTGATGTAGTCTCCCACCCCAGCCCTGGGAGGTGGACCCAGAGCGATGAGGAGTTCAAGGCTGCCCTCAGCTGTATAGTAAGCTTGAAGTCAGCCTGGGCTAGGAGGCTCCACTGCTGCTGAGTGGTGGTGGTGCAGGCCAGCAGTAGGGAGGCAGATGGGGATCTCTATGAGTTTGAGGCCAATCTGGTCTACAGAGCGAGTTCCAGGACAGGCTACAAAGGTACAGAGAAACCCTGTGTCAGGAAAAAAAAAAAAAGGGGAAGCAAAGAAAAAAGTGAAAAAGTGCTTGCCATAGAGTTAGGACCCCCAGGACCCATGTCAGTGCCCCATGGGCCTGGTGCTAATCCCAGCACACAGGAGGCAGACAGGGCATCCCAGAGTAAACTGAGTGGCTACACTCATCCGAGCCCAGCTAGCTTCAATGGAGAGACCTCACTTCAATGTCTAAGGTGGAGAGGGTTGGAGAAAAACACTGGACCTTGACCTCAGACCTCCACACACACCTGCTGTCACACCAAGGAAGCTCACACACAAAAGAGAAAAGCTGGGGGAGCTAGAGGAACAGCTCAGTCAACGAGGACGTCACCTCGCAAAGTCAAGCGTCTGGGTTTGGTCCTGGCACCCCCACATGACTACCAGCCCGGGTGTGCTGGCTGCCTACACCTGGAATTCAGGACCTGGGAAGGCAGATGCAGGAGCTAGCCTAGCCTAATCAGTGAGTTCCAGGCTTAGAGACACTCTCTGGCTCAAGAGTGGGTTGAGTCCGACAGTGGTGTGCACGCCTTTGAATCTAGCAATCGTAGGCAGAGGCAAGTGGATGTCTGTGAATTCAAGGTCAGCCTGGTCTATAGAGCCAGTTCCAGGCAGGGCTGTTACACAGAGAAACCCTATCCTAAAAAAGCAAAAAAAGGGGACTGGAGAGATGGCTCAGAGGTTAAGAGCACTGGCTGCTCTTACGGAGGTCCTGAGTTCAATTCCCAGCAACCACATGGTGGCTCACTACCACCTTCAGACCTGCAGGAATACACAGAGGCAAAATACTGTATACATAATAAATATATCTTAAAAATAAAAAGGAAGCCAGGCGGTGGTGGCTCATGCCTTTAATCCCAGCACTCGGGAGGCAGAGGCTCTGGTCTATACAGTGAGTTCCAGGACAGTCTCCAAAACAATACAGAGAAACCCTGTCTCAAAGAAGAAAAAAAAAAGGGAATGGAACCTGGAGAGACGGCTCGCAGTTAACAGCACTGGCTGCTCTTGTAGAGGACCCAGGTTTGGTTCCCAGCACCCACATGGCAGCTCACAACCGTCTGTGACTCCAGCTCCAGGAGATCTGATGCCCCCTTCTGGTCTCTGCGGGTACTTGCATGCACAGACATGCGTCCAGGCAAAACACACACACACAAATCTTTTTTACAGCCAGCATCACAGGGCCTAAGGAGCATGCATAAGGTCCAGCTTGCTTCAGGGCCTGGGCTGGGGTGGTAAGTGACAGGTGGGAAGATAGGTTGAGAGTCAGTGGCGTTGTGACTGCAGAGCACAGTCTCTGCTGGATCCCCCGTCCTTCCCCACCATGTCTGTCTGTGCAAGCCTACATGGCACTTAAGGCCTTGCTGGGATAACTTCCTGATGGAGGCACCGAGGGAAAGGGAAGGCACTGGGTTCCTGCCAGGGAAGTTCTGGTCTCAGGGACTTGAAGTGGCAGGTCACATTGCATCTCCATTCAGTGGACTTCACTGACATCCATGCTGGTAAAGTCAGTGGTGACACACACCTTTAATCCCAGCACTCGGGAGGCAGAGGCAGGCTGATCTCTGTGAGTTCGAGACCAGCCTGGTCTACAGAGAGAGTTCCAGAATAGTCAACGACAAACTAAGGCTACAATACAAAGAGAAACCCTGTCTAAAAATCCAAATAAAAACTAAATAAATTAGAATCAAACACCAGAGGGCTGGGAGGAATTGGTAAGGCGCCTGCCACGCAGGCTTGAGGGCCTAAGTTTGATTCCCAGAACTCACAATAGGCCCAGCATTGGTGGTGTACACTTGTGGTCCCAGCACCAGGGAGGCAGAGACAGGGGAGTCTCTGGCCAGTTAAGTGCAGTGAGAGACAGAATCTGAGGAGTCACACCCAAGGTCGGTCTCTGGCCTTCACATGTAGATACTTGAGCGCATATACACAGCAAATCTAGTGTTGTCACTAAGAATGCTGGAGGGGGGGGCTGGAGAGATGGCTCAGAGGTTAAGAGTACTGGCTGGTCTTTCAGAGGTCCTGAGTTCAATTCCCAGCAACCACATGGTGACTCACAACCATCTCTAATAGGATCTGGCGCCCTCTTCTGGCCTGCACGTGTATATGCAGATAGAGTACAATATAGGTAAAATTTTAAAAATCTTGAAAAAGAAAGAAGGATTGGGGAACTGGAATTAGCAAGATGGAGGTGGAGGGACCCTGGATTCTCCAACCTTCCTCAGGACAGGCAAGCGCAGGGGAAATTCAGCACCACGGAGAGCTCCGGGGCTGTGGAAAGCCACTTCATCCTCCAGAAGAGGCCCCTAGGAAGGTGGCATCCGGAGCTGCAAAAAGGGAGAGGAGTGTGGCCTGACTTACAGCCCTGCCAACCAGCTTTTTTATTTTCTTTTTTCGAGACAGGGTTTCTCTGTGGCTTTGGAGGCTGTCCTGGAACTAGCTCTTGTAGACCAGGCTGGTCTCGAACTCACAAAGATCCTCCTGCCTCTGCCTCCCGAGTGCTGGGATTAAAGGCATGCACCACCATCAACCAGCTTAAATTTTATGTGCATTGGTGGTTTGACTGCATATATGTCTGTGTGAGGATGTTGGGTCCCCTGAACTGAAGTTATTGATGGTTTCCAACACCATGTGGGTGTTGGGAATTGAACCGGGATTCTCTTGAAGAACAGCCAGGGTTCTTAACTGTTGGGCTATCTTTCTAGAGCCCCTGCCCCCATCAATTTCCTTGTTGTTGTAGCTTTGACCAGGAATGCACTCTGTAGACCAGGGAGGCCTCCAACTCACAGAGATCCTTCTGCCTCTGTTGTTCTCGGATTAAAGGTGTCCACCACCACACTTGGCACCTTTTATTTTGTTAAGATCTTGTTTTGGGGCTGGAGAGATGGCTCAGAGGTTAAGAGCACTGGCTGCTCTTCCAGAGGTCCTGAGTTCAATTCCCAGCAATCACATGGTGGATCACAACCTTCTGTAATGAGATCTGGCGCCCTCTTCTGGCCTGTGGGCATACAGACATATGCTGTATACATAATAAATAAACCTTTTTAAAAAAGATCTTGTTTTGATTGTGTGTGTATATATGCATGTGAGTTGTTGCCCATGGGAGCCAGAGGCAAGAGATAGCTGTGAGGCTGCAGTTACAGGCTCATCTGTGTTATGGAAACTGAAATCCAGCCCTCTGCAAGAACAGTATTCCCTCTCAGGAGTGGAGCCAATGCTCCAGCCCCCTTCTCCGGGCTTCAGGACTGGATGCAATGCTCCCGCTCTGTTAGCCCCTTGTGACTGCGACTTCTCCCAAATGATGCACTGCAATCTGGAACTTTGAGCCAAATAAGCCTTTGTCTTATAAATAAAGCCGATTTCGCCTGCATGTCTTGTCTCAGCAGCCAGAGACGATGGGCAAGCCCACTACCACTGAGCAATCGCCCTATTTGATGCTTAGAGAGAGTCCACATGAGTGACTTAGCGGTGACCAGACTTATTTCTGCCCATGACAATGGGCCAGTGGCGTGGTATAACCTGCCTCAGAGTGAGCGTTCACACCAAGGACACTGGCGAAAGTGACGAGCGCGTGCCCGGTCCCAGAGACCAGCCACAAACAGGCACCAACTGGCCCGGGAGAAACTCGGAGCTGGGCCCTAAAAGGAGACGAGTTGGGGTTCGATCCATCGATCCCCGGAGGAACCGCAGATGAGAGTGGATGCCTTGGCTACATACTTGAGAAGGGTCTTTGTACGTAGCTTTGTCTCAGCTCTGTATGACTGACACAGCTCAAAGCGTTGCATGCAAAGGCTGCAAACCAGGGAGGCCCTCTGAGGCAAACGCTGTGTTGATGGCTTGGGGTCAAAGGGGAGAGTTTGAGTAGTGGGAACAGTGGGGGCTGGGTTAATGGGCTTCATGGCTTCTAACCTCTGCTTCTTCTTCTTTTCTTTTTTTTGGGGGGGTTCAAGACAGGGTTTCTCTGTCCTGGAACTTGCTCTGTAGACCAGGCTGGCCTCGAACTCACAGAGATCCGCCTGCCTCTGCCTCCCGAGTGCTGGGATAAATGGTGTATGCCACCAATGCCCAGTGACCTCTGCTTTTTCTTTAAAATATGTTATTTTATTTAGCTTTTGCATGTGTGTGTGTCAATGTATGTATGGGAACCATATGCCTTCATGCCTTCAGGGGCCCTCAGAGGTCCGAGGAGAGTTCCCATGAGCCTCAGCTTTGGAGAACAGAATGGACATGACCATTCAAGTTGCATTGCTGCTGCTGTGACAAAACCCTGGCTAACGACCACACAGGGAAGATTTCACTTGACGTCCTCTCTCATAGAAAGTCCTTCGCTGGTGTGAAGCAGGCAGGGATTCACGGCGGGAGCCCGAAGCAGGCCTGCTGGCTGTCCACACAGAATTAACTGTCAAGACAATCCCACACAAACGTGCCCACCCGTAGGCGGGAGTGAGCAGTTCCTCAGGGGGTCCCTCAGTTGTGTCAAGTGGATTTTCAGTGCTAACTGGGGCAGTTACCATCATCTCCAGTCACAGGGTTGGCAAGAAGAGCTCACATAAGCACACCACGGACACTCAGCGAATGTTCCTGTGAGGCAATGACTCATGTGGCCTGACTAGCCCACACAGCTCATCTGCATGCACGCTTCTTCAGCCCTAGGAACCTCCTCCACATCCTCAACAGGCTGGGCTGCTTTTGTTTGTTCATCTTCTGCTTGAGCTGGAACCTAGAGCTAACCTTCTGCTAACCTTCACTTTGTTCCTGCATCTGACTGCTCTTCCTGGAATCTTCTAACCTCCTCCTCCTCTTCCCCCTCCTCCTCCTCCTTCCTCTTCTTCTTCCTCTTTGCTTTTTTTTGTTTTTGTTCAGTTTTGTTTTTTGAGAGAGGGTTTCTCTGTATAGCTCTGGCTGTCCTGGAACTCACTCCGTAGACCAGGCTGACCTGGAACTCTTAAAGATCCGCCTGCCTCTGCCTCCCAATTGCTGGGATTAAAAGTGTGCACTGCCACCGGCCAGAGGAACTTTCTTCTTACACTGAGCATCAACCTGATCTCAGCCCACTGCTAAACTTGGAATAGACTAGATTCCTAGTATGGTTCTGAGTGGATGGACAGGTCTGTGGATGGGTGGATGGATGGATGGATGGATGGATGGGTGGGTGTGTGGATGGGTGGATGGGTGGATGCATGGATGGGTGGGTGAATGGGTAGATGGGGGCGGGTTGTTGATGGGTAGGCAGATGGATTCTTTGTGGATGCATGAAGGGATTCAGAGCTGAGGTATGAATGTCTTATAAAGTCCATCTTTTTAGGCTGCCACCTCTGGGCCTGGCCAGTATTGCCCCCTGCTGGCCACACTGAGCGTTGTGACTCTTGCCAAAGCTCCCAGTAATATAAGAACTGTCTGTCAAATATTCTTCTAGCACCATTAAGTGAAATTGTTTCCTTTGTTTGTTTTGATGTGTCAAAACGGAATCTCCAGGAGACCAGGCTGACCTTCCGTTCCTAAGCCTCCTGCCTCCTCATAGAGTGCTGTCCCTAATAGGTCTGTTTCTTTGGTTCTAGGGAGGAACCCATTAACTCCTGCTTGCTGAGCAAACGCTTTGCAGGGAGTTGTACTTGATACGGTCTTTCTATATAGCTGTGGCTGGTCTAGAACTACTAGAATATAATAACTACCCATTATGTAGACCTGGCTGGCCTGGAACTTACAGAGATACCCTTTGCTCTGCCTCCGAGGGCTGAGATTAGAGAGGTGGGTCATCATGCCCATTGCCTGGCTACTTAGGCTGGGCAGCAGTGGTGTCCATTTATTCCGGTACTGGGGAAGCAATGGCAGGTGGATCTCTGAGTTCCAGGCCAGCCTGGTCTACAGGGAGAGTTTCAGGATAGTCAGGGTGATACACAGAAACTTTGTCTTGAAAAACAACAAAAAACTTTACAAATTTACTTCATTTATTATTTATTTATTTTTTTCAAGGCAGGGTTTCTCTGTGTAGCTTTGGAGGCTGTCCTGGAACTCACAGAGATCCCCCTGCCTCTGCCTCCCAAGTGGTGGTATTAAAGGTGTGCTCCACCACCCTCCGGCTTCATTTATTTTTTATGTGTGGATGTTGTGCTTACATGTATATCTGTGTAACACATGCATTCCTGGTCTGTGGAAACCAGGGAACGTCTTGGATCCCCTGGAACTAGAGTTACACTATTGGCCTCCAGGCAGGTTGTAGGGATTGACCCTAGATCCTCTGGGGGAAGAATCCAGCACTTTCTTTCTTTCTTTTTTTTTTTTTTTTTTTTTTTTTTTTTGGTTTTTCGAGACCGGGTTTCTCTGTATTGTTTTAGAGGCTGTCCTGGAACTTGCTCTGTAGACCAGGCTGACCTCGAACTCACAGAGATCCTCCACACCCGGCGCAGCCAGCTCTTTTAAATACAGCATTATCTCTTCAGTTTCCTTTGTATGTATTGTAAAGATTTATCTTTAAATTTTATTTTTATTCGTGTGTTTGTGTGATTACCTATTTGATTTCTTGTGCCTGGCATGGGTGTAATTCCTCACTGAGGCCAGAAGAGGGCATGTAATCTCCTGGAACTGGAGTTAAGGTGAGGCTGTTAGTCTACTTGGCCCATTGGTATTGGGAATCAAACTTCAGTTCTGTGCAAGAGCAGTACTAGATAATATGTCCGTTTTCAGGTCACTCCAGTCCTATCTGTATTCATATTCATATTCATATTATTATTATTACTGGTATGTCTGTGGAGCTCCCATAGGCTCCTGTGTTTGAGTGCTTGGTTCCTAGTTTCTGGGATTGTCTGGGGAGGATTAGGAAGTGGGGCTTTGTGGGAGGAGGTCTCCCACTGAGTGGGTGCTAGGAATTGGGCCCAGCACCCATTGGAAGAGCAGTCAGCGCTCTTAACCTCTGAGCCATCTCTCCAGCCCCGCTTCTACATATTGTCATTTATTTTCAGCGTTGGTGAATTAATCTAGAGTTCATGCATTCCAAACTCACTATTACACTCAATACTGAGCCATTCATCTTCAGCCCCTGACTGCAGGATTCTGAGAGAGGGGCTCCACCCTGACCACACCCCCAGCCCCTCACTGCGAGATTCCAGGCACGGATATTTTTGTTTACGTTTGTGTATAGTCGTTACGGTATTCAAGGCTGGCACTGAACTCCAGATTCTCCTGCCTCTGCCTCCCGAGTGCTGGGATGACGGGGAGGCGGGTGGGGAGCAGGGAATGGAACCCAGAGCTCCCTCCGGAGTCCGCCCCGAGCCTTGTGCTGCTATTTTCAGACAGGGATCCACATAGCCCAGGCTGGCCCGCAACCCCTGATGCTCCAGTCTCAGCCTCTGGACTGCCGCTAGGACCGACTCCTGACACCGGTTCCCGCCGTGCCACCTGTTAGATTGAGAAAAGGCGGAGCTGGTTGCTTCCACCAGGAACTCACAGAACAAGGTCCACGTGGGAGCTCCGCCCTCCTGCTGCCACGCCCCCACGAGCCACGCCCCCACGAGCCACGCCCCCACTCCTGTCATTCAGGGGACTAGGGAGACGCCACTCGCGTCGGCCTCAAGGGGCGTGGTTAGAACGCGTGTGGATCTGCTCACCAATCATACTGCGGGGTGCTGCCCAGGAAGGGGTGGGCCACACAGGCATCGACGCGAGGTGGCTGCTTTCCTATTGGGTGGCGCGCGGTTGTCAAGGAAACCGTAGTGAGGGGGCGGAGCTGCTGATGAGGTGGGGCTTCCGGGACGCCGAGACTCTCCGTCAGCTGACCCACCGCCATCTTGGCCGCCATTTGCGAGCGGCTGGGAGCGGGGAGGCGAGCGTTCTGTGGGAGCGGGGCCCCTCTCGCCGCCCTCTCCTCAGTCTGGTCTCTGCCCGCAGCCGTAGCTCTGGCCCCCACGTCGCCCCTTCCGCGGCGGCCGGAAGCGCAGCGCGTCGCGCGCCTGAGGCGGGGTCGCCGGGTGCCTGCGCCTCCCGGGGCCGCGGCGGCGGCGGCGGCGTTGCCCTCGGAGGCCTCAGCCCGCGGGTCGCCGCGATGGCCCTCAAGATGGTCAAGGGTAGCATCGACCGCATGTTCGACAAGAACCTGCAGGACCTGGTCCGCGGCATCCGCAATCACAAGGAGGACGAGGTGAGCGGCGCGGAGCCTGCAGGGCCGCCTCGGCCTCGCCGCCGTCTGCGTCCCGCCCGCCCGGGAGCCCCGGCTCTGCGCAGCTCCTCGGGGCGTCGGTCCCCCCCCCCCAGCAGCCCCCGCCGTCTGGAAGCGGACGCTGCCCAGCCCGGGCCACTCCCTGAGGCTCCGAGCTGCCCGCTTGGAGCCAGCGTCCGGCCTCCTCGAGCCGCCGCTCCCTTGCTTGGGGGGCTCTGGCCGCACGCGCTTAGGTTTCCCCCCCAGGGCCTGATGTCAGATCGCGGGTCGCGCGGTCGGAGGACCCGCCCAGAGAGAAGTCGTGGGTCTGCCGGCCTCCGTGCAGTCGGGAAGACGCAGGTGCAGGTTGCTGTCGGGGGCTTGGCAGCCCTGGCAGCTCTCAGTTCCCGTCCCCCGATCCCGTGAACTGCCAGTGTTTGCAGCCGGTGCACCCGGGGGTCCTGCAGTGGGGAACCCCGACTTCAGAGGTGGAAAAGCTCAGAGACAGCAAAAGACAGGCAGGGTGTGGAAACGATTTTTCCAGAAGTTAAGCTGTGACCACAAGCAGCGTTTCCTGTTCTCCCTCCAGCCTGTGACCTAGATTAAGGAAGAAGTGAGATAGCGGCGCCTAATGCCCGGCTCGATGTAAGGACACAGGCCTTCTCCTGGGCAGGAGGCCCGTCTTGAAAGAGGGCACCCATGACAGGTACCTGCTGGCCCCTGGTTGCTCTGTGACAGACGCAGGAAGCAGACCCCCGACTGGGACAGCCGTTTCTCTGCGGCCCCCTAACCTGCTACTCCACCTTGGTGGCAGGGACGCAGTAGCTCTCCCTGGCTGCTGGTTCAGTGGAAATGGCTGGCTGAGAAACTTGAAATTTCCTTCTTGCTCTCTTGTGGCTCTCTCACCTCTGAAAGGGATTCCACGCCCCTCATGCCCCTCCGGTCAGTGAGTGTCCTCTGTGAAGCCTGTTGCAGGACCCCGAGGACAGGTCACACTCCAGTTTGGGCACCCCGAATAGGCTCTAGCTGGGGACATAACCCCAGGCTGGCTTGAACCTCATGTTCTGCCTCCGTTTCCCCAGTGCCGGGATGACTGGTTTTGAGGAGTGTGCACGTGTCCTCAGGAGCCTGTGTTGTGTTTTGCTCTTCATGCCCTCCGAGGTGTATGTCTTCATTGGGAACTGATGTGGATGGAGTGTGCCTGCCCCACAGCTGTCCCTGGGGTAGAGGTGGAGGCAGTGGTTTTTAAAAATTGGTGTGTATTGTGTAAAACATTGGTTTTGTTTGTTTTGTTTTCCAAGACAGGGTTTCTCTCTGGCTTTGGAGGCTGTCCTGGATCTCACTATGTAGACCAGGCTGGCCTCGAACTCACAGAGATCCACCTGCCTCTGCCTCTCGAGCGCCGCCAATGCCTGGCTAAAACATTGTTTTTTATTATACTGCCTTCACATGTGTGTACAGCGCAGGAGGCACTTTCAGTAATACAGAGCTAGACAGGTGCAGAAAACCCTCCAAGGCCTCTGCTTCTACGTTGCTTCTGCGCTGTCTGCCTGGTCACTCTAAGATTTTGCTTGCGAGCCTGTCTTTAACTGCCGAGCCGTCTCTCCTACCTGGCTGGCCAGTTGTTGCTGCTCAGGGCCCATCTTTAAGGTCCTGAGTGTGTTGGGCTTAGTGCTGACTGAAGGCACTCACTCCTCTGGGGTGCTGATGCAGTGCAGTGCAGTGCCTGCTAGCCAGCCTTGCAGCAGAAGCCATGCTGTGGCTATCACTTGCCCAGCGTTGTGTTGACAGCAGTGTCACTGTGCAACCCAGACTGGCCTAGGAGTTGTAATCCTCCAGCTTTAACCTTCAAGTGCTTGAGCTGTGTGGGTATGTGCACTATACAAGTTTTGTGGCTTTTCCTTTAATTTTTGAGGTGATCTTTCATTCATTCATTCATTCATTCATTCACTTATTTATGGTTTGTCAAGACAAGATTTCTCTGTGTAACAACCCTGGCTGTCCTGGAACTCTCTCTGTAGACCAGGCTGGCCCGAAACTCACAGAGATCCTCATGCCTCTGCCTCCCGAGGGCTGGGATTAAAGGCGTGTGCCACTATCACCTGACTCACATTCCTGTTTTTAAATAAAAACAGAAAGCATCCTTGCAGCTTAACTTCCTCCACTCCTTCAAAGCATCTACTTCCATAGCTGGCATGAGACCCTAACCTCTATCCCAGGTACTTTGTGCACGCCTTTAATCCCAGCACTGGGAGACAGAGGCAGGCGGAGCTCTGTGAGTTTGAGACCAGCCTGGTCTACAGAGAGAGTTCCAGGACAGCCTCCAAAGCAATAGAGAAACCCTGTCTCGAAAACAACAACAACAACAAAAAATTCTGCAGTGTCTCTATAGTAAGTTTGTCTGCATTCGCAGGTCTCCAAACACCTGGCTGTGTTTAGCTCGGCCACTTTCTCCTGTATGCTTCCTCTGGGCACTGGCTGGTCTATGCAGTGGGATCAGGCCAGCCTGGTTGTTTCTGAGATGCTGCTATAGCTGTCTCATGGGTTTTTGGCTGTCCCCTCTGAAAGAAAGCTCCACAGGTCAGGTGGAGGGGGATGTTCTTCCCTGTGGCAATGTCTGTAGAGCCAGGGTTACTGATTTCCAGAAGATACTCCTTGCCCATGTTGGTACTGCTCAATTGCTTGGCTCTTGGAAGTTACCTGGCACTTTGGTACCCCATTGACTGATGGTGGCATCCTAGGTGAGTCTGGCAGACTCCACCCTTGCTCAGGAAGGTGGGTTGAGTCTACTCCTCTGTGCCCTTTGTGCCAAGGTCACTACCATTTCTGCTCTAGCTAGTGGCCAGGCTTCATTCACCACCGACAAGGCCTTGTTGGACTTGGCTGTCGCTGTAGCATGTTAAAGCCCAGGTGTGTGTAGTGCTGTACTCAGGGTCAGTGGTTGTCCTGAGATGTGGGCTGTGAGGAGACAGTGCCTGAGGTAACTGTTGTTTGCTCTGCTTCTGCCATTCTTTCCCGCTCATTCTGCGCCCAGCTCAAATGGCCGATGCTTTTGCTTTTAGACAGTGCTGCTATTTTGCCCAGGTTGGTCATTTTGTGGGCCACTTCTAGGTGTGTTCTTTTTTTTTTTTTTTTTTTTTGGATTTTTGAGACAGGGTTTCTCTGTGGCTTTGGAAGCTGTCCTGGAACTCGCTTGGTAGTCCAGGCTGGTCTCGAACTCACAGAGATCCACCTGCCTCTGCCTCCCGAGTGCTGGGATTAAAGGGGTGCGCCACCAACGCCCGGGTAGGACTTCTCTTTGTAAATTAGGCTTCCTGTCTGCTATCTGGGTCCCTACACTGGGATCGGCACCGTTTAGTCTCTAGACTTCCCCTTACTTCCCGGGTTCAGGCAGCCACATTTCCTTATCTGTGCTGCAGGTGGGGCTGCTTCTCCAACTCCGTTTATCTTTGTATGACTTGGGTGCCCTGAGGTGACTTTTGTCCACCAGAGGTGCCCGTGTACCTGAGATCAGTGAACACATACTCTCCAGTGCCAGAAAGGAACCGAGGTCCCTGAGCTGGGCATCCTGGATCATCTGGGTCCAATCTCACCATCAGGTCCTCAGAGGAAGACAGGCAGTGGAGGGGCAGAGTCTGGGAGACTGCTGTCTTTGGTGGAAGGAAGGAGCCATGAGCTAAGGGCATGCAGCTTCTGGATGCTTGCAGCAAGCAAGATGTAGGTGCTCCCTGGAACCACAGGAGACAGCCCTGCCAAGCCTAGACAGTAGCCCAGGGAGGCTTCTATCCTGTGAGGATGTGCCTGTCTCCCAGAACGTGAGCCACCCTGCTTGTCAGCCCCTCCTGCCTTGCCTCCTGCTTGTGTGTAGGCTGGTGTAGTCCTTATCAGACACTTGAGTTTTCCTGTGTTTTTATGATGACCTTACCAGGTTTACCTGGGAACCCAGGATCTCAGGACTCAACCGGTAAGTACAAGCTAGGTCCTTACTGCCTGGCTTCTCTGGGCTTGGCAGCCACCATCTCATCAGCCTGATGAAGCAGCCCTCTCTTTCCCAAAGCCAGCTGTAAGAAGGCACAAGCAGGATACTCCACCTTTAAAGCCAGCTTGGGCTACCCAGTGAGGTGTGTTTGAAAAGTCCAGGACTATGGCATAGCACAATGATGAGCAGGCACTGGACTGCCCAACGCCTTGGGCTTCTCCAGCACCGAAAAAGCAAAACCATCAGGAGAAAGTATGTCTGCCCTGGTTTAGTTTTACCCCCTCCCCCACCATGTTCCTTCAAGGGATCAAACTCAGGGTCAGGCTTGGTTTTCATTTTTTTTTTTTTTTTTTTTTTTTTTTTGGTTTTTCGAGACAGGGTTTCTCTGTGGCTTTGGAGACTGTCCTGGAACTAGCTCTTGGTTTTCATATCTTTTAGAGACAGAGTCTCACACTGTAGCCCAGGCTGGCCTCAAACTCAGAGATCCTCCTACCTGCCTCCACCTTTTAAGTACTGGGATGATGGAAATGCACCTGGACCACAAGAGAGACTAGCCCTGCCCTGCAGGACAGGCCACAGTGTCCACGTAGAGGTCAAAGGACAGTTTGCTGAGTTGGTTTTCAGGAACATATCTTTGTTGCTGTTGTTTTTCTTTTGTATTTTGAGATAGAGTATCACTTGATAGCTCTGGCTGTCTTGGACCTTGCTTTGTGGGCCAAACTGGCTTCAAACTCCCAGAGATCTACTTGTCTCTGAGTGCTGATTTAAAGTGTGTGCCACAGCCCGGCGGTGGTGGCGCACGCCTTTAATCCCAGCACTCAGGAGGCAGAGGCAGGCGGATCTCTGTGAGTTCGAGGCCAGCCTGGTCTACAGAGCTAGTTCCAGGACAGCCTCCAAAGCCACAGAGAAACCCTGTCTCGAAAAACCAAAAATAAATAAATAAATAAATAAATAAAATAAAATAAAAATAAAGTGTGTGGCCACGATGCCTAGCAGGAAGGAGTGTATCTAAGCCTGTCTTCTTTGGGCACCTGTAGTGGGGCAGACTGTTGCATAGTCTCATGGCACCTGGGATAAGGGTGTGTGTGTGTTTGTACACCTTGGGCACATAGTGCCTGCGGAGGCTGGAGGAGGGCATTGGATTCTCTGGAGCTGTAGTAGAAACTGTGTGAGCTCTTGAAGTGCTGGGGTCAGTCAGACCCTGTCCTCTGAGAGCAGCCAGTAACTGCTGAGCATCTCCAGCTCCATGCTGCCCCTTGAGCTGGGGTCTCTTGGACTCTTTCCTTTTTCTTTCTCTGTTTGTTTTTTCAAGGGTTTCTCTGTATAGTCCTGGCTGTTCTGGAACTCACTCTGTAGACCAGGCTGGCCTCACATTTACAGAGATTTTCCTGCCTCTGCCTTCTGAGTGCTGGGATTAAAGCCATATTGTCACCAATCCTGGCCGAAGTGTGAGTTTCTTGTCTCTCACCAAATGGGGCCAGGTTTGAGTCACTGTTTTGAAAACTATTTTCTCTCTTGTGTTCTGTTCCCCTCCTGGGATTCAGCCCAACAGCCTCAGCCCTTGCTCTGAGGCTGTAAAAATCCACTCCGTGAATTACTTTACACCAGAGCCCTCACATATCTGGGGCAGTCTCTGCTGTTGCTGATGTGAACAGGCTAGCTTGTCCCATGTGCTCCTCAAGTTTCTTTCTCCACCTCTGTGTTACTGTCAGAGCACTGGGACTGCACACATGCTGCTGTGATTTGAACTCAGGTCCTCAGCATGGAAAGCACTTTACCCACCAAGCTATCTCCCCAGCCCACCCCCTCTTTCTTTCTTTGGTGTTTCGAGACAGGCTTTCCCTGTATTGCTTTGGAGGCTGTCCTGGAACTCTCTGGCCTTCTGGGTTTCCCACTTGGTTCACTCTTCACACCCCTCCCCACCTCCCGCTGAGGGTCCATTGTCCATTCTTCCCACAAAGGGCTGGCTGGTCTTGTGTTTTTTTCCCTTTTCAGTCATTAACAGTCTGGAGTTTTGGTTTGTTTTCCAACACAGGGGATAACTTTTTTTGTTTGTTTGTTTGTTTTTGTTTTTTTTGTTGTTTTTGTTTTTACGAGACAGGGTTTCTCTGTATTGTTTTGGAGGCTGTCGGTCCAGCCTGGCCTCGAACTCACAGAGATCCGCCTGCCTCTGCCTCCAGAGTGCTGGGATTAAAGGCGGTCGCCACCACCTGATCCTGGCTTAGTCCCAGATCTTTGAAGGGAGAGGCAAGGTCATTCCTGTGGCAGGGTGGTGCTGAGGATCCCTGAGTGGCATATAGTCACTTGAGGCAAGCTGTGGTAACACTTATTCCATTGGACTCAGTTGAGATCATAAAATATTCAGAAAAGTAGTCTGCTTAGCCAGGCATGGTAGACCATGCCTGCCATCCCATGGGGTCAGGAGTTCAGTACCAGCCTCAGCTACATGGTAGTCTGCATTACATGAAGTCCTGTCTGGAAGCGAACAAACCAAGAGTCCAGAACAGATAAATCAATCTGTTGTTGAGACGGTGCTGAACAACTGCGGCTCTTCACAAGATGCCCTGGGTAGTGATGGTCCCACAAGTAGCCTACTACATCAGCTTCACAGGGCCTTGGGATGGAGCCTGATACCCCATGCATGACCATGGAGGTGGGGTGGGAGGCTCTGGGGTGTGACAGCTGGAGGCAGGTAGCTCTGGGCTGTCATTAAGGAACAGTGACACATGCTATCAAGGTCTGGTGGTGGCTGCTGGTTCCACTGTCAAATGACAGAACCAGTGTCCTGGGCAGATGTGGCATTGTTCCAAGCCCCTCTTTGACCATTTATGCTTGTCCAGGAGTGGGTCAGCAGGCCTCCCCAGGTCCACGTCAGCCCTTCTCGGGACTTTATGCCTCAGCTCTCTTGGGCTGACCTGTCTGGCCCAAGAAGTCATTTGGTAGATTTGCTGGGCTTGCGCTAGGGGAGGGGGGGAGACCAAGGCTGAATGCCAGTGAGTAGGACTGTGCAGACAGCCCATGAGAGGGAAAGGAGGTTCAGTGGGCTCTGTAGCAAGGGTAGATCACCTGCCACCTAGAGCAGTCACTAGCCCCTCCCAGTTCCTCACCTTATTTCCCACCTCTACATTCCCCTGTTCTGGGCTTTTCCTGCCAGTAGAGAATAAATAAGTGTCCAGTTGCCTTGACACACAGCTCAGGAGTGTGTATACTTGCCTGGGTTACAGTAGCCCTGGTTCAGGTCTCTGCAACTAGGCCAACTCAACTTCTCCATCCTCCTGCCCACCTCCCTGAACACCTGCTGACAGCTTCCATCCGGCCTACACTGATTGTCCCACTCTCTCACCACTGTTTCCCACCCAGGCCAAGTACATCTCGCAGTGCATCGACGAGATCAAGCAGGAGCTGAAGCAGGACAATATCGCTGTGAAGGCCAACGCCGTCTGCAAGCTCACCTATGTGAGTGTCTGTCTCCTCTGTGGTCCTGCATGATGCTCCTGTGACTGGTGCAGGCTGGTCACATGCGTGGCCAGTGCTGGGGAGCCTGGTGAGGAAGCCCCAGCTCAGCTTGCCTGCCCTTTTGGCTCCAGGTGTAGTGAACATGGCTGCTCTCTGTCCCCATTCCCATTCCTCCTCAGGTTGGGACGAAAGGTGTCGTGCTGATTCTCAGTACTGGAGTGTGCCACAGGACTGTCACAGGATAGTTCACTAGCCGTTGTGGAGAGCTGTCCCTTTTCTTTCTTTCTTTTTTGTTTTTGTTTTTGTTTATCAAGGCTTTCTCCGTATTGCTTTGGAGGCTGATCCTGGAACTCGATCGGTAGACCAGGCTGGTCTGGAACTCACAGAGATCCGCCTGCCTCTGCCTCCCGAGTGCTGGGATTAAAGTCGTGCGCCACAAACGCCCAGCTTTCTTTTTTGGGGTGGGGTGGAGTTTTAAGACAGGGTTTCTCTGTGGCTTTGGAGCCTGTCCTGGAACTCACTCTGTAGACTAGGCTGCCTCCTGAGGGCTGGGGTTAATTTTAATTTTAAGTGCTGGATTAGAAACCTAGTCGCTCACGTGCCAGGCAGGGACTCTTCTGAGCCATGCCCCAGCCCCTCACTGGGGATTCTAGGCGGGGCTCCGCCCTTGAGCTCTCCCTGTGAAGCACCCCCAGCCTTGTCAGTCATTTGTTGGAAAGAAAATAGGGCGTGTGATGGATGAAGTTTATGTGTTCAGACTGAATGCATTTTGTTCTTCCGTGCGTGGTTTGAGTGTTCTGATGGTGGCTGAAAGCTTTGCCCCAGTGTTTCCTGAGTATAAACCACGGTGCTTCCCATCTTAACAGTTACAGATGCTTGGGTACGACATCAGCTGGGCTGCCTTTAACATCATCGAAGTTATGAGTGCCTCCAAGTTCACATTCAAGGTGAGGACCCAGAATGCCTAGCAGGCAGGCGTGCTGTGTGTGAGGTCCCTGAGGGGCAGGGGTCCTCCAGCAGGGGGTCTGTCCTTGAGCGTGTGTGCTCAGTGGCCCTTGCTCAGCCTTCCTGCCAGTGGGGAGGGCCTGAGACAGACGGTTGTCAGCAGCTCCTGCCTGGAGTCCAGCCACCCTCCACTCTGCCCCTGTGCCACCCTTCCCAGAGGTGACCACGTGGTGCGGCTCAGTGTTGAAGTGTTTGCCTGGCCGTGGTGGCTCCTGCTGGTCCCCATCCCCACAGACAGATACCAGGCCTCTTTATCAGGACTACCCTGAGGGATTGCTGTTGCAAAACGAAACAAAAACCAAAATGTAACATGTGTGGCCACATGTTCCTATAATTCTAGCACATGAAGGGCTGAGACAGGAGAATTGCTGTGAGTTCTATCCAGTCTGGTTATAGTCTGAGAACTTGTCTTTATTTTATCTTATTTTATTTTGGTTTGGTTTTTATATTGCTTTGGAGGTTGTCCTGGCACTCTCTCTGTAGACCAGACTGGCCTCAGCCTCAGAGACCCACCTGCCTCTGCCTCCCGAGTGCTGGGGTTAAAGGCATGCGCCACCACCGCCCAGCTTGACACTGGTTAGTAGGGATGGTTGTGACATTTCACACTGTGGGCTGGCTTTGAACCCCCTGTAACTGAGATTGGCCTTACACAGCAGTTTCTGCCTCTGCCTTGTAAGTGTTGCCATGACAGAGTGTGCCGCCCTATGCAACAGTAGTGGTGTTTGATTGGAGCATATCTGGCCTAGTGGCCAAGGCTGATCAGCACTGCTGTCCCAGGGGCTCTGATACCTGGTTGTGGGTATTGTCATATCAAGTCATTTCCTAGCCTCTGGTAGACATAGTTGGGCACGCTGGTCCCCTTGGACGTTTCCCCTGTCTACTTCCATGCCTGTGTGCCGTATGCTGAATGCACCCAGCACCCAGCTCCCAAGCAAGTCCCTGTCGCAGGGGTGAACTGGTACATTACAGAAACCAGGGCTGCCTGGGTACAAGTGTCTGCTGTGCTGGGGAGCATTAGGGAGGGTGCCTTGGGACCTGGTGTCCCAGTGCCTGTCAACCTCCATAGCCCCTGGAGCTTCAGGTGCTCCGCTGCTGTCAGCATACCTACAAGTGTTTACTGGGTGGTCCTGGTGGGACTGCAGTGGCCCCACAGGCTCTGACGCTGTGGCTATTGATCTGCAGCGCGTGGGCTACCTGGCCGCCTCCCAGTGCTTCCACGAAGGCACCGATGTCATCATGCTGACCACCAACCAGATCCGCAAGGTAGGCCCGATGCTTTCCTACCGCTCAAGTGAGCCACAGCATCAACCCCTGAGGGCCCCTGGCTGGGGCAGCTTTTCAAGGCCCTCCGTGTCACTGAGCTTGCCGTCTGGAGGGTTTGAGGCTGCAGCTTGAGGCTCCCTGCTTACTACTGCGGGGCAGCCACAGTCCCTCCACGTCACATTGGCTCTTCCAGGCTGCCCTGGCTCTCAAGAGGCTCCTAGTGCCTGTGGGTGTCCTTGACCGTGCCCCACCCCTTCCTGCGTGCCTGGTGCTGCAGGCCATAGGGTGCTGGCTGCCGCCCCCCCGCGTGAGGCCAGCCCGTTTATTTATGACTCCTATGTCATAAATAAACACCCCTATGTTCACAGATGCTGGAGTCAGGGCTGGACCCCTGCAGCGTGAGCTGATGGCTGGAGTTGGGGTTTTAGGATGTTGTGAGCTGGAGTCAGGTGGGAGAGGGATGAATGATTGGGAGCACGGCACATAGGTGCTCGTGGTGCTGATGAGGGTGGAGCTGGTGGAGGTGCAGGGCCGAGTGGTGCTGTGGTGGCTGTAAGCCACCTGGCGTGTGTCTGGGCTATGAGGCAGGCAGGAGGCTGAGTTGCCAGAGTTGCAGGAGCAGATCCTGGACTGGCCAGGGGCTTTGAGAAGAGCAAGGGTCTCAGTATCAGTCCTTCAGGAGCAGCAGGGGCCCAGGTGGGCAGGGCTTTCTAAAGGAACAGGGTCCTGGGTGGGGGGGCCTGGTCGGAGAAGCCAGGCTCTGAAAGGGAAGTGGGCTACAGAGGCGAGCGGGGTCAGATGAGGACTGAATTGGCTGGCCGCTGTGTCTACCTGCTGTGTGCCTCCAGTGTGCAAGGCGGCGCGGGGCTTAGCCCCTCTTTAAGAGGCATAGGAGCTTGGCTCTTTAAGAGAAGTGTGGGGAGTTACTGCTGACCTCAGCATTTGCCAATTATAGATGGAAAAAGTTTTGTCCAGCCAGGTCCTGCTGCCCCTCAGTCTCAAATAACACACAGAGGTTTATATTAATTATAAACTGTTTGGCCGATGGCTCAGGCTTTTTATTGACTAGCTGTCTCTTAATTATTAAACTATTTCTATTAATCTGTGTATCTCCGTGTGGTCTTAGCTTACCGGAGAATGCCTGGTGTCCTATCTTCCTGGTAGCTACCTCCCTCTCTCTCTCCTCCCTCTCTCTCTCTCTCTCTCTCTCTCTCTCTCTCTCTCTCTCTCTCTCTCTCTCTCTCTCTCTCTCTCTCTCTCTCTCTCCTCACTCTCTCCGACTTGCCTCTTCCCAGAATTCTCCTAGACTGGTAGCCCCACCTATACTTTCTGCCCGGCTACTGGCCAATCAGCATTTACTCATCAACCAATAAGAGAAACATATTCACAGCACACATTCCCAATCAGCTGATGTCCTGACTGGGGCCTGCTGTCTGCAGCAGGGGCCTGCGCTGACTCAGCACAAGCCCATGTCTCAGGCCTCTGCAGTCCCTGTGCAGTTTGAGACAGTCTGGAACCTGGGGTGAGGGCTCTCCAGGCCAAGCTCCTGGCCGTCCTGTCACCTCTGTGTGTCTTCCTGATGCCTTTCCTACTAGGAGGAGGGCAGTGCTCTCATTGCTCACTGCTTGCTTCTCTGTCCCTTCCGGAGGTGACACTGTAGAATCTGGCCTCTGAGGAAAAAGGACTCAGCATAGCTTCTGATGCTGTTTGAGCCCACTGCATAGGACAAGGCCTTAGAGCTCACAGTGTTCTATTAACTGTGGTGCAGCATACCCCAGTACATCTACGACACAGCTGGGGAGCCCTCCAAAGCCGATGTGGCACCTGTAATGACGTGCACTGCCTTAGTGAGAGTGGGGAGTCAGGGCAACAGACATTGAGGGAGGTAGGGACAGCTTCTGCCTTGATCTTCTGCCTCAGGACCTCTGCTCATTAGAAGGATGAGCTCAGCACTGGTCCAGAGCATATCAGCTTGGGAACAGCCAGAGGACTGTCCCTGGTATGATGGGGGAGTGTCTGAGTAGAAGCAGGTTCCTACAGACTTGCCAAGACTGGGCAGTCCTTGCCTAGGAGCTGTGACTTACAAAGTAGCCTCTGTTGGCTTCCATGCAGAGCTTTCCTATTCTCTGCCTTTGACTTGTGTCCTAGTTCCTGTCGATGACAGCAGAGGAGCTGTGAAATGCCCCTCATGCTGACCTGCTGGGCTGCAGGACTGCGGGGCTGCTGGGATACAGACATCAGATAGTCCCAAGAGACTGCACTGATGCTCCTACCGTCCCCTTGCAGGACCTGAGCAGCCCCAGCCAGTACGACACTGGAGTGGCATTGACTGGTCTGTCCTGTTTTGTTACCCCAGATCTTGCCAGAGACCTGGCAAATGACATCATGACCCTGGTAAGTTTGTGTGTGTGCCTGCGCTACCCTTTTTCCTTCGTCCAGTGATGCCCAGAACCCAGAGCTGAGCCCTCACTGTAAGGGGACAGAAATAGGCCCTCAAAGTTGCTGGGGTTGGTGGGACTGCACAAAAGTCAGCCTTGCTGTCCCCTGGGTTTGTCCCCTGGATCCCACCTGGTGGTCCCAAAGTTCATCAATACTGTGGGGGGGCCCGCTGTCCCATGCAGATCTAGCAGGCACCTGCCATGCCACCATCCCTTTCTGTGGTGGCTGCGGCTATTGTTAGGCTGTCCAGCGCACTAGTAGAACTATGGCTTATATGGCCTTCCAGATCGTTGCCAGCCCTGTGTCCAGCGCACTAGTAGAACTATGGCTTGTATAGCCTTCCAGATCGTTGCCAGCCCTGTGAACTAGAGAGCTGTATCCTGACGAGATGGGAGTACCCCTGCCAATGCCAGTGCTGAGACTGTCCTGGAGCAGGCTCTAGTGAGGGCAGCCTGGGCACGGGGCTACACATCATAGCCAGACCAGCTTTACAAGTGCCTTTGCATCCCTCCGTGGTCCCAGCACATCTGCTGTAGGAGGGAGGCCGATCTGGGCCAGGCTGACAGACGTGGAGACTGAGGGCAGCAGGGCCTGCTTTAGGTGGGTTGGGGGGAGTGATGTGTGAATGAGTTGGGGGTGCTGGTGACTCGCTGGGCAAGTAAGTTGCTAACCACTCTAGTGCCCCAACAGATGTCTCACACGAAGCCGTACATCAGGAAGAAGGCAGTGTTGATTATGTACAAGGTTTTCCTCAAGTACCCTGAGTCACTGCGTCCGGCCTTTCCCCGGCTCAAGGAAAAGCTGGAGGACCCAGACCCAGGTTGGTGACAGGAAGCTCTGCCCAGCCAACTCCTGTGTGGATGGGAGAGTGGGGGCCATCTGGGTCCCCACTGCAAATCTCCTTGGATCCACAAGCCACAGTACACAGAGTGAGTTGAGACTTCCATGGCTGCCGGGACCTCAGGTCCCTCCTAGCCTGAGTGGATTGGCAGGTGCAGCGCAGCCAGCTTGCTGTGAGGTCGGTGGAGCCCAGGAGCTCTTGGGAGCTGCGCAGCTGTGCCCGTCTCTCGTCTCTGCAGAGTGTACTGGGCAGCACAGGGTGCTGTAGGCCTTACATGGAGCCTGAGAAGCTGGGGAGCATGTGGAGGCTTTTTTTTTTTTTTTTTTTTTTTTTTTTGGTTTTTGGTTTTTCGAGACAGGGTTTCTCTGTATTGTTTTTGGAGCCTGTCCTGGTGTGAAGGCTTTAAATGTCATTTGATTAAAGCTGTGCTCATTTAGGATCCGAGCACAGGAGCGTCTCTCAGGATGAGACACAGGCGAGTGACCACTGTGTTCCTCACAGGCTTGTGCTGCCTGGGGCCCTGAGACATGGTGCTGTGTGTGGCACATCTGGATGCCCTGCCAGCAGGAGCCCATGGCCTCAGGCTGTGTGTGAGGCAGAGACCTGGAAGGAGATGGACTGCACATTGAGTAAGGGGCCAGGCCTGCTAACAGGTGCACACTTTGCAATGGAGCAGGTCCCATGGCCCAAGACCACACAGCCCAGCACAGACCCTTGGAGGCATAGTGTGCCGTGAGATCCCTACGATTGGAGTGCAAGGGACCCACTCGTCACTCTGCTGATGAGTGCTTGTACAGGTGCTGGGGTGTTCACAGCAGGAGGCTCAGACAGTCCGTGGAGCCAGGCCTCTAAAGAAAGAGGGAAGGCCCAGAGTGTCACACGGCTCTTCAGTGAGCTTGCCTACTGCTCCGTTCATTTCCATCGTGGTGGTTTGCTGCCAGTAAAGACAGGAGAATTATAAGGGCAGCCTGGGCTATAGGCTGAGACCAGAGGCTAGGACTCAGGTGATAGGGTGCTCACCCAGCACATTTTAAAGCCTGGATCCTATCCCCAGCTCCACACAGAGCAGGTATGATTGCACATGCCTGGCGGTGGTGGGAGAGAGGGTCAGGAGTTCAAGGTCATGCCAGCCTGCTTCCGTGAGTCCCTGCCTCAGAAAAAGTAAGCAGTGACTGGGGCTGAGTATGGTGGCACCCTTGTTGTGGGGGGTGCTCCTCACTACCCTGCACAGCTGCCAAGAAGCCTCCCCCCACCTGAGGGGTACAACTCGTACTGGGGTTCACTAGACGTGACATATGGGATGACTGGTCTCTCCAGGCCCTTAATGCCTTGGGTAAGCCAGAGCCCTGGAGAACAATGCTGTCACCCTGGAAGCCGCAGGAGCTCCCTGGGGTAGAGGCTAAGATACTCCTGTGTGTGCATGTGGGTATCTATGTGCTTCTGTGAGTGTATGTGAATGTTGTTTAGCCCAGAGCTGTGTGAACCTTTCCTTGGGAGAGAACAAATGTCCATTCCCCCCACCCTAACCCCACTCCTATCCGACTGGGCAGCAGTGACAAACTAAAGAAACAAACCCACTCAGGTCTGCCCGTGTCAGCATGGACAGCGTGTGGATGACTAGCCACTGCAGTCTCCCTCCCACACCGGTACCCAACCTCTAGAAAACAAGGGGCCGGGCGCACAGCTTTATCTAGAAAACAAGGGGCCGGGCGCACAGCTTTATCTAGAAAACAAGGGGCCGGGCGCACAGCTTTATCTAGAAAACAAGGGGCCGGGCGCACACCTTTATCTAGAAAACAAGGGGCCGGGCGCACAGCTTTATCTAGAAAACAAGGGGCCGGGTGCACACCTTTATCTAGAAAACAAGGGGCCGGGCGCACACCTTTATCTGTTAAGAGTGCTGCCACTCTTGCAGGTGCCTCTGTTCAGTTCCCAGCACCCACATGGTGGCTCATAGTCACCTGTAACTCCAGTTCCGGGGATCTGACACCGCCTTCTGGCGTTAAGGGCCTGCACATGTGTGGTGCATGGGCAGACAGCAGCAAACACTCATAAAAATAATGTTACTTGAAGGCTAGTAAGCCATTTGCCCTGAGCAGGAGCAGTGCAGGGACCGTTCACTGTGCCACATGCTGTGTGCATGGTGACAGTCACCAGTGTGTCCCCAGGCTTCCACACAGAGCCCTGTTCCACAGGTTCTTGTCCAGGGCATCCCTGTAGATGGGAAGCCTCCTTTGCTCTTTGGGTATGATTGTTACTGGTGGGCGCATGCCTTGTAAACGGGTGCCCTTGTGGACAGACACTACCGTGGTAGCAGAACGTCCCACACTTTGCTGATGTGGACTCATCTGGTCCTCAGGGGTGCAGTCTGCAGCTGTTAATGTCATTTGCGAGCTAGCTCGCCGCAACCCTAAGAACTATCTGTCGCTGGCCCCGCTGTTTTTCAAGCTCATGACATCCTCCACCAACAACTGGGTCCTCATCAAGGTCATCAAGCTGGTGAGTTCAGAAGGTGGGGCGCATGCTGGGCCTGCATTCACAGTCTGCTCTGTGGGGTCCTGGTGACCACAGCACCCTATCCCTGTAGTTCGGCGCTCTGACTCCCCTGGAGCCCAGACTGGGCAAGAAACTGATCGAGCCTCTCACCAACCTCATTCACAGGTAATCTCCCATCAACCACCCATCCCTGGACAGGGGCATTGATGCTGCTCTGACATCGACCCCTCTCAACCCTGCCCTACTTGGCTCACTGACCTGTTTAATCTGGTTTGGGTTTTTTTGTTTTGTTTTGAGGCACATTTCTCTCTATAGCCCAGTCTTGCCTGGAATTCACACCAGTCCTCCTGCCTCAGCCTCCTAAGTGCTTGGGTGTTTTTGGTTTTTTGTTTTTCGAGACAGGGTTTCTCTGTGGCTTTGGAGGCTGTCCTGGAACTCGCTCTGTAGACCCGTCTCGAACTCACAGAAGTGCTTGGTTTATAAGTGTGCACCACTGTACTCAGTTCTTTTATCTTTTACCTGAACTCCACACACCATGGAGTGCATTTGTGTTGTCCTTTGCCCTTCTGGGGCCACAGCACCATGTCATGTCACCTGGACTGACCCTCTGGAAGGGTGGCACGGGAGGAGCTGCAGGCTATCGTGACACTCGGGTAGGGGTGGGGTGAGCTGGGGCTCGGCCTCAACCTGAAGTGGGAGAAGTTAAAAGTGTTGGACTGAATTCCCTGCCTGGGGGACCACAGCAATCGCCATGGCGTCACAGGGCTTTAGAGGGACAGCAGTGCTGCTCCCATGGATCACAGCAGAGTGACCTCGTGTCTGTGCCACAGTCCTCATGCTGTCCTCTCGAAATTTCAGCACCTCTGCCATGTCCCTGCTGTACGAGTGTGTGAATACTGTGATTGCAGGTGAGTGTGCTGACCCTGCTGGGCGGGCGCTGGTATGGGTGGGGGGCATTGTTCCCCCCTCTTGAGCTGCTACCATATTTGAGAGGGTGCAGGCCCTCTTGCTGGAAGGAGCTGAGAAGCCTGAGCTGTCTGAGACACAGAGCATCTCCTGGCTGAGGTTGATACCTCACGCCCAAGCCCTCTTCTCTGGTGTGCTGTAAACTCGGGATTGTACACAGTTGTCTCCCAGCCCTGCCTCAGGCCCCTTTGCAAATCTGAGAGCCCAAGACCAGCACAGCATCCCACTTTTCCAGACTTCCTTCAGGCCCCTGCAACAGGACTGAACCGAGATAGTCATATCACCAGGAGATCACGGAGGAGCAGGGCTTCGCTGCCTAGGAAACTGAGCACAGTCTGCAGCACTGGGGAAGCTGAGACCGCAGATCCCCAGAGCTTCCTGGCAGCCAGTGTGCTCCAGGGCCAGTGAGACCCTGTCTCGAAAAACCACGTGGGAAGGCTTGCAGGGGATGCCTGCTGCTCACCTTTCTTCACACATGCATACAACAAGCCCAGAATAGACTTAGGACCGAGGCCAGCATCCCCTTGTGCTTGAGCGAGGCTGTCCTGCCTGGGTGGAGGTGTAAGCTCCCCGGTGAGGTCTCAAGGCCATAGTGATGACAGGAGAGTCCTGAGGACTCTCCTGGCCACCCTTGCAGCTATATCCCAGTTACAGGACCCAGCTGTCAGTACAGGAAGAGAGGTCAGGGCTTCTGGAACCCTCCCTGGGAGTCAGATCATGCTGTGTTCTCAGCCACTGTCTGTGACTTGTAGATTGTTGTCATCTGAGAGCTCCCCAAAACCATCAGCACTCGGGGCTTTTGTGAGATCTCAGGGGCTGCTCTGCCCAGCATATGTTTGTACTCCAGACCACAGAGAGGAATGGGGACTGTGTGAGCCTGTCTTAGGTACCAGTTCTTTAGGCCCAGGAGCTACTCCTGTTTGGGAGGGTGGGAGAACAGGCCGGATCCCCTGGCTCCCCATGGTCCAGCTGGTCCAGCTGCCTTCTGGAACACAGCCATCTCAAGCCTCCTGTGAGCCAGGCAGCCAGGCCCCTGGTGGTGGGGATGGGTTAGTAGAGCGTCATTGTCTGACCCAGGGGTACTAACCTCATCCTCCATGTGTCCCAGTGCTCATCTCGCTGTCTTCCGGCATGCCCAACCACAGTGCCAGCATCCAGGTGCGTCTCCGGGAGACGTCCCACACAGATCAGCAGAACTGGGTCTTACAGGTGGCCAGGCCCCAGGGCTTCTCAGCCGGTTGGGAAAGCACTGTGCTGGTCACCTCCAAGTTTGTCTTTCCTAGTCAGCTGAAGTGTAAAGGACATCTTCTAGCCAGCCCTCCCTGTGGTACTCCTTCCCCGCTGCACCTCCACCTGCCCCCTGGGGCAAGTGCAGTCTCCCTGGGCAGCCACTGTGGACATGGGGTGCCCCCACTTGCCCTCGCAGGCACCTGCAGATCCATTTTGTCGTGCTGGTCAGGGCCCCCAGTGAGAAGGCTGCAGTCACCTGCGCTGCCTGTACCCAGGATGCATGCCCTTGGTCAGGACTGGTAGCAGGCTGCAGGGCATGGTGGTGGGGTGGGTGGAGACCAGCTTGAGCCTTGCCTGGGAACACGTGACCAGTGTGACATTCCTCCCTAGCTCTGCGTTCAGAAGTTGAGGATACTGATAGAAGACTCAGACCAGAACTGTAAGTCGCCACCACCTACAGGCAGCCACATTGCGTGCCATGCCAGGGATTCAGAATCCCATACCTGGGGACCCTCTGCCCTTCTGCTGTCCTCATGCTCTCCAGCATGGTGGCTTTGTGGGGCACCCTGAAAGGTGGGGACTGTACTGAGTAGTGTTGGTGATCTAAGAGGCTCAAGCTTAGTTGTTTGAGCCCAGTAGTGTGCCAGACCTTAGACCCAGACCTACTTGCACTCAGAAATGAGGTGTGGACCACAGGCTTCAAGGTCATGTTTGGCTCCCTAATGAGTTCAAAGCTTGTCTCAGAAATAAATACTGTAGGGCCTGTGCCTGAGGCCACAGCTGCATTTTAGCAAATGGGAGGGTGAGGTCAGAGAGTCAGGAGTTCAAGGCCACCCTGGTTCCGCAGCGTGACCCGTCTGAGAATAAACAAGGGTGCTGCTGAGATGACTCAGTGGATAAAGGGGTCTGTCACCAAACCTGACGCTCTGAGTCCTTGCCTGGGTCCCATGTGGTGGGAAATGACTCCTACAAATGGTCTTATGCATACCCCCAAATAAATAATGTGACTGTTTTTCATTTGAAGGAAAGGGAGGCAGAGTGTGCAGGAACACACCTCTTGTTGTAGCCCTTGGGAGGTGAGGTGGAGAGCCAGGGTTCCTGTCCAGAGGCCTCTGGCTAGCATCTGCCAGGCATTCAATAACCTGCTGCTACCTTCCCTGCGTCTCACTCTGCTTCAAAATGGGCTCCACGTCAGCAGCACCTACTGGTACCCAGACCAAAAGGCAGGCTGAGCCTCTAGTGTCTGCTGTGGTCCCAGTCCTTATCTTAAAACAGGGTGGACAGACTTCCCCATCCTCAGCACAGACCATAGGGTCTCAGTGGCTCTCGTGTCCGTGCTGTTGGGACGCATATCTGGGCATCTGTCACAAAGGAGACTTCAGGTGTAGAGCTGTCATCTTGGCTCCTGCTGCAGCCTCTCCCACATTTTTCCGTGAAGCCTACACTGGGCCAGCAGCCTCTGTCATTTCTCTAGTGGTGACCTTCAGAACATGTGGACAAGGTCCTCACACACCATCATGGGCTCTTTTTGTTTTGTTTTGCTTTTCAAGACCCTGTTTGTTTGTATAGTCCTGGCTGTCTTGGAACTTGCTGGGATTAAAGGCATGAACCACCATGCCCCTCAAGGTTGTTGTTGTTGTTGTTTTTTTTTTTTTTTTGGTTATGCAGGCAAGGTTTTTCTGTGTAGCCCTGACCTAGAACTCACTCTGTAGACCAGGCTGGCCTCGAACTTAAAGAAATTCTCCTGCCTCTGCCTCCCAAGTGCACCACCAACGGCCAGCCTGTGCCAATACCACCCAGCCCAGCAGGTTCTTTTTTTTTTTTTTTTTTTTTTTTTTTTTTTGGTTTTTCGAGACAGGGTTTCTCTGTGGCTTTGGAGGCTGTCCTGAACTCGCTCTGTAGACCAGGCTGGTCTCGAACTCACAGAGATCTGCCTGCCTCTGCCTCCCGAGTGCTGGGATTAAAGGTGTGCGCCACCAACGCCCGGCCAGCAGGTTCTTTTTTAATACACATATTTTCAAATTCTTCGTAAATTTTTTTTCATTCATGATATTTGTTCATGTGTGGGTCTGTGCTTGGAAATGCCAGTGCCTGTGGAAATGGAGGCACCCGAAGTCCTGGAGCTACAGTCAGAGCTACCCAACATGGGTGCTGAGGTGCTAAGAACCAGACTCGTGGACTAGGGAGGAGCAGTTCACTCTCTGCTACTGAGTCATGGCATAGTGCACACGGGGCTTCTCAGACTGCCTAGTCCTGACTCCCGATCCTCCGATTGCTAGAGGGCTGTGCCTATGCACCATGCTGTGATTGGTTGGGGTACACAGCCTCCACTTTGGCTTCCTGGTGGGGCGGCCATCACCTGCAGGCAGCACCATCTGGGGCCACACTGGCTGGAAGTGGTGAGACATTCCCCCTGTTGCACTCATGGCCATGGTATTCCACTCTGTCTGCAAACTAATAGTCACTTGGTCTCCACAGTGAAGTACCTGGGGCTGCTGGCCATGTCTAAGATCCTGAAGACGCACCCCAAGTCCGTGCAGTCTCACAAGGACCTGATCCTGCAGTGCCTAGATGACAAGGACGAGTCCATCCGCCTGCGTGCTCTTGACCTGCTCTATGGAATGGTGTGTGCCTGTTCCCAGAATGAAGAGCCTTCCAAGCTTCTGGGTCACTCCTCTCCAGGCTGAGCCTGGGGTCAGCAAATGGCGCCTGTCCTAGCCCTGGTCAGACATAATGAACTGACTCATATGCCCAGTGTGACTTCTGCTGTCTGGGGAAGAAGCTGTCCCTCCTGGGCTTACAAGCTCACTCTCAGCTGTCATCTCACGACTGACCGTGTCCGCCTGTGCTGACCAGCTACTTCTTCTCCCACAGGTTTCCAAGAAGAACCTGATGGAGATTGTGAAGAAGCTGATGACCCATGTGGATAAGGCTGAGGGCACCACCTATCGTGACGAGCTGCTCACCAAGATCATTGACATCTGCAGCCAGGCCAACTACCAGCACATCACCAACTTTGAGTGGTACATCAGCATCCTTGTGGAGCTGACCCGCCTGGAGGGTACCCGCCACGGCCATCTAATCGCTGCACAGATGCTGGATGTGGCCATCCGCGTCAAGGCCATTCGCAAATTTGCTGTGTCTCAGATGTCTGCACTGCTTGACAGTGCCCACCTGGTGGCCAGCAGCACCCAGCGCAATGGCATCTGTGAGGTGCTCTACGCTGCTGCTTGGATCTGCGGGGAGTTCTCGGAGTGAGTCGGTGCGGCCCTCGGAGGTGGCCCACTGTGGCCTGGTGGGGGGACATATGGGCAGACCCTCTGCCTAAAAGATGGTTACTACTGGGCAGCCCCACCCAAGTGACTGACTGTGTCCCGCCATGGCGAAGTTTGGCCATGTGGGTTACAGTGGCTGTGGAGAGAGTGCTGTGTAGTTCATACACCATGAACAGATCTGTTTTGCTTCAAGAGTTGTCCTAGCTGGGCAAGCTCCGCCCTCAGAACCAGGCCTCACCATACAGTGGTGATAGGCCTGTTCCCACTGCCCAGAGATTGCCCTGGTAGAGCTCCATAGGGCAGCTGCTGTGCCCTCATGCCTGGTCCAGGAGCATGTGGGTGGGTGGGCTGGGATGGCTGTAGCACTCCGTGCCACCTCGTGTACCTGGATCAAAGGACGTGACAGCTGTGACCCAGAACAGGTGTGCGTTTGATGTTAAGTGTGCAGGCTGTCCAAGAAGTCTACTGGGAAAGTAACGTTTTCTTAGCACGTGTCAGTGCCCCTTTGAGGATCCCATGGGGAGTCTCCTCTGAATCCCACAAGGCAGCCACAGAGTGCACCTGGGTGCTGGGAGGTGATGCGTCTTTGGTTTTGTGGTGCTGGGAATTGAACCCAGGGCTTTGTTCCTATCAGGCAAATGCTCATTACCAAGAACATTGATGGCAGCACGTGAGCCATACAGGTCCTCTGTGTCTGCTGGTGATTGTCACGTGCTTGCCATGGTTTCTTGAACCATGTACCTTTTTTGTGGAATTCATGGTTCTTGGTTTTCTGCTTCTGCCCAGTGAAAGTGAGTGCCCCAAGTTTGTGCTTTCACTGAGAAGTCTAGACCCCCAGGTCTCTGGTCTGACTTCCTTGTGAGATAGGCCTGGGAGTGTGCTCAGTAGCCTCATGCAGCCCCTGTCCCCCAGGCACCTACAGGGCCCCCAGCAAACCCTGGAGGCAATGCTGCGGCCCAAGGTCACCACACTGCCGGGCCACATCCAGGCTGTGTATGTGCAGAACGTGGTAAAGCTGTACGCAGCCGTCCTGCAGCAGAAGGAGCAGGCTGCTGACACGGAGGCTGCACAGGAGGTCACCCAGCTGCTGGTGGAGCGGTTGCCGCAGTTTGTGCAGAGTGCCGACCTGGAGGTGCAGGAGCGGGTGAGGCTGCACGCTGGGAAGCCTGCTCAGGCCTGGGGTAGCCCTTACAAGGGCAGTTTCAGAGAGGGCGGGTAGTTTGCCATGGCTCATGCCCTGTGACCACATCCGGAGCTGGCAGGGTGTCAAGTCAGAGTGGGAGATGCCTGCTCACCTCACAGCTCCCAGGCCAGCCCTGCTGCCTCCAGCACAGCTACCCCCTAAAGATCCCATAGCTACTGCCACACACCTCCAGCTGGGATCCTTTGTGAACATGTGTCCCCACACAGCTGAGTCTGGACTCACAGGGCACATAGTGTTACCAAGGACCCCATGTCTGGAGATGCCGTTGGTCCCTTTCTAGGTCCCGGACAGAGTCAGTAGATGGGAGGGACTTTCTCCCTTTTCCAAAGTGAAATGTTGAAGTCTACCCTAGCTCTGCCCATCTGGGGCTTAGGGTGTGTGAGCAGGGATTGTGGTGTGGGTGGGTCTGAGGTCCAGCCTAGGAGGTGGGCAAGGCTCTGCTACTGTTCTGGGAATGCTGGTTTGGGAACCCCTTTGTTCATTTGTTTGAACCAGGAGCCTGTGTGTCTCAGGCATGTACTTTGTCATTGAGTCATACCCAAAAGCAGTTGGCCAAGGTCCTGGGCTGACACCTGGGCATTGGGGCCTGGTGACCAAGGATGCTCCTGGCACCCCACGGTAACACAGGTTCTCACTGAACCAGGTGCCATGTGGCTTCTGCCAGGTCTCTGGGGTGAGAGCTCTGTGGGAAGTAGGGACCCACACTGAGCCTTGCCTTGATGTTATGGGGATTGACTGTGTGGCATGGTAGCAAGGGCTGCCTAGTACAGCCGTGTCTGTAGAATTAGAGCCAGCACAGTACTTAATGGCTATAGGTGGCCACACAGGAGGTGACATTAGCTGAACTCCCTCCTGTTCTGACATTGGTGGGGCTTGTCTTCCCCGTCTGAGACGGTCAGACATGATGAGATCTGTGGCTGAGCTGAGGGGAAGACAGGCCCCAGCACCTCAACCTCAGAGACCTGGCAGCTGCGTGGCTCTGGGCAGGCCCCCACTCTTGGCTGCTGCTCCCTAGGCGTCCTGCATCCTACAGCTGGTCAAGCATGTGCAGAAGCTGCAGGCAAAAGGTGTGCCGGTAGCCGAGGAGGTGAGCGCCTTGTTTGCTGGTGAGCTGAACCCTGTGGCTCCCAAGGCCCAGAAGAAGGTCCCAGTTCCTGAAGGGTGAGGATGGGGATGTGGAGAGGTGATGACTTTTACAGCCACAGAAGTGGTCACTGATCTAGGAAATTAGGCAGAGGGTTCCACACCCCAGGACCTGCCACCAACCAGGGGGACAAGAGATAGCCCTGGGGCTAGGCGGCTGACTCTCCCTTGCTCACTCACAGAAAGCCATTCTGTCTTGCTGCTGTTATACACCTATTCCCTGGTCCTCTGGGAGTATCATTGCCTGTCACGGTCTTGCCAGATTCCATGGTCCCTGTCCTGGTCTGCTGTTTTCCTCCCAGGCTTCCTGCCTTCCTATCTCTCTGTCTTCTCTCTGGGGCTATGGCATCCTTCCTTGCCTGGTCCCTGTGATGCTGATGTTGAGAGATGATGGCATAGGTGCATGGTGGGCCAACACAGAGGAGACCAGGCCACCATGTGAACCCCTCTGTACACCCCAGCCTAGACCTGGATGCCTGGATCAATGAGCCACCTTCGGACAGTGAGTCTGAGGATGAGAAACCCAAGGCTATCTTCCATGAAGAGGAGCCAAGGCACGCACGGCGCCGGCAGCCTGAGGAGGATGAGGAGGAGCTGGCTCGGGTGAGCAGGCCATTTCAGGAGCACCCCGCCCGCACAGGGCAGAAGCCCAGCTTGGGCTCTGTTCACAAAGGGTAGCTGATTGTCAGGCCTAGGGGCAGGCAAGGTTGTTATGCAACCAGACACAGCCAGTGACACAGGCCAGAGGATCCTTAGTTCCCACCTTGTCCTCCTGTCTGGAGCAGCCCCTTGCATTGGCCCCTTTCCTGGGCCCTCAGCAGGAACCCTGGAGTGGGCTTCTGAGCCTGCAGGAGTAGGAATGCAGGGCAGGGTGGCAGCCCCAGGCCAGTTCTGCTCCCAGGAGGCCTGAACCTTGGGCAGTCTGCCCATTTATGAGCACTGCTCCTGGAGACAGGGGCAGCAGTTGGCCTGTCCGAGAGCTCTGCCCCCTGAGGTGGCTCTTACATTTACTGCTGTGACCCCTCCATGCCCGCCTGGGGTCTTGGCACTTCTTTGACACATGTGCTCATGTGGTGTCCTGTTCCCACAGCGGCGAGAGGCCCGGAAGCAGGAGCAAGCCAACAACCCTTTCTATATCAAGAGCTCCCCATCCCCACAGAAGGCAAGTGCAGTCTTCGATCGTCCGCCCACCAGCTGCTGTACTGAAGCCTCCAAGAGAGTAATGTAGTTATGGCCTGTGCATGCGTAGTCCCAGCTAGAGCGGAGCAGAGCTGTGCTGCACCCAGGTCTGGGTATGATCTAGATGGGTCCCTCTAGACTAGCTTGAGGTGGGTGCTCTGCCCTGCTGGCCCATTGCACCTGCAGGAAGTGCTGGTCTCTCAGTTCTTTGCAGCTCCTCAGTGCCCTAGGAGGTTTTAGCTTTTGTGGGCAGATCCTGCAGTGGCATCAAAGTCAGTGGTCAAGGAGGAGTGTTCATAGCACCCCAGGGTGCAAAGGACACCTGCTCTGGGGTTAAATGTATAATATCTCATTTTGGAAAAATCAGAATTGGTACTAGGACTAGGGCTCTGTGGGGGTAGCCCAGCATGTATGAGCCTTGGGTCCCATCCCCAGCACCACATAAATCAGATGGTCACCCAGTATTCAGGAGACAGGAGAAGCAGAAATCTAAGGCTCCCTTGACTACATAGTAAGGTTGAGGCTGGCCTCGAGTCCCTGTGTCCAAAAAAAAAGTGACTGTCAAGGATCGACTTAGGTGTAAAAGAAAGACTAAAGCTAGTCCTTTCCTCCTCATAGCCCATGACATCACATTCCAGGGCTCTGGTCCCAGGTCCCAACCTGTCTCTAGGGCATCTGGAGTACACGAGCAATGCTCCTATGGCGCATGTGAGGCCACCACCCTCGGGCACATAGGGTTCGCCCCTCCCTGCCTCCCGAGTACTCGGAGCATGTTAACACCCTGTGGTCCCTCCTTCAGCGATACCAGGATTCGCCAGGCGTGGAGCACATTCCTGTGGTGCAGATCGATCTCTCGGTGCCTCTGAAGGTTCCAGGCAAGTTCTCCTTGTCGAAGTTCACGTGTGGGATGCGATGGGGCTCCAGGTGTCCCTGAGCTCTGGCCATCCGCATGTCCTCACAGGCCTGCCCATGTCAGACCAGTACGTAAAGCTGGAGGAGCAGCGGCGGCACCGGCAGCGGCTGGAGAAGGACAAGAAAAGGAAGAAGAAGGAGAAGGGCAAGCGCCGCCACAGCTCCCTGCCCACAGAGAGCGACGAGGACATCGCCCCTGCCCAGCGTGTGGACATCGTCACCGAGGAGATGCCCGAGGTCAGCTCCTGCCTACCATGTCAGCCCTGTCTGTGTGTCTCTAAGAGGGCAGGAGGCAAGAGGCTGGCTCATGCTGAGCTGATGACCACACAGTGAACCACACAGTCACCTTTCGTACAAGCCCTCGATGGTGGACATGGTTTTACTTCACTCTGTGAGCTGGCAGCCACAGCCCAGTACCTTGGGCACCTGGCATGTGTGGGTGTGGGCATGACTGGCCAGACATTTGTGTTTTGGGTGGCAGACAGAAGTGACAGAAGAACAGCCTGGTTGCTAGTTGACTGAGCCCTGACCTCTCCATCCCCCCTAGAATGCTCTGCCTAGTGACGAGGATGACAAAGACCCCAATGACCCCTACAGGGCACTGGATATTGACCTGGATAAGTAAGTGATGGGTGAGGAACAGCCCTAAGACTGGGTGGACTGGTCTGAGGGGAGTGAGGCTCCCATTCCCAGGGTGCTGAGAAGGTCCTTGGCCATGGCGGGGGCGCTGCATTGGTGACCTGGTATAGTGCCTGCTGTGTCAGTGTGAAGGCCTAGGCTCATCTGCAGCACTCATTAAAAGCCAGCCCTTGCACCGAGCCACAGAGACAGCAGACCCGTTTGCTGAATGAGGGAGCTCCAGGTTCAGATGAGACCCTGGTCAGGGGGTGGCGGTGGTGGCACACGCCTTTAATCCCACTGGGGAGAGACAGACAGGTGGATCTCTGTATCTCTGAATTCAAGGCCAGCCTGGTCTACAGAGCGAGTTCCAGGACAGCCACAGCTACACAGAAAATAGAGGGGGAGATGAGACCCTGCCTCAAAAGATATTTGGAGAGTAACAGGAAAGCACCTGGCACCAACCTCTGCCCTCCACGTGACTATGAACACATGCACCAGCACACAGACACACACGTCCCACATGGGCATGGACATATACTGTACACATCATAAATGTGGAAGGAAACACTGGGATGCTTGAATGTGCAGGGAATAGGGTCAGTGTTCCCAGGACCATAGGTGTGCGGATACTTGCTATAGCCTCAGGATTTGTAGGGCCAGCTGTCCCGAGGGGTGGGCCATAGCTCAGCCTAGTGACCCCATCTCCTCTCCTCTCCCAAGGCCCTTGGCTGACAGCGAGAAGCTGCCTGTCCAGAAACACAGGAATGCTGAAACTGTGAAATCCCCAGAGAAGGAGGGTGTCCCTGGTGTAGAGAAGAAGAGCAAGAAGCCCAAAAAGAAGGAGAAGAAGCGCAAAGAGAGAGAGAGCGAGAAGAAGGACAAGAAGGTGTGCGCCCCGGGTCTCCAGCCTGAGTGCAAAGCTAAGGCGTGGGTAGGGTGGCCTCTAGAGCCCAGGGCTGGGCCCATGCCGGGTGAGTGCTTGCCCCGCCCATCCACAGGCTGCTTTCGTTTCATTTCGATTGTTTGATTTCTGTGTTTTCAAGACAGGGTCTCACTTTGTAGCTCTGATCGGCCTGCAGCTCATATATAGACCAGGCTAGACTGAAACCACAGAGACCCACGTGTCTCTGCTTCCCAAGTGCTGGGACTAAAGATGTACACCACCATACTCAGCTCACAGGCCGCTTTTTCATTGCATTTTGACACTAGATCTCACTGAGTTGTCCAGGCTAGCTTTGAATTTACAATCCTCCTGCCTCAGTCTCTTGAGTAGCTGGAATAATAGGCCTGGCTAAAAATAGATTTTATTGAGTGCTGGGATGAAGCCCAGGATCCCAGCGATACAGGGCGGCCTCTGAGGTGTAGCTCAGTGTGGTGGTGTTTTGGAGACTGCCTGTCTACTGCCCTGGCTACACCACCATGCCAGCTCACAGACCGCACGGATCCCAGCGTTCAGGAGACTGGGGGAGAAGGATTGACCTGACTTCTGGGCCAGCCTGAGCTACAGTGTGAGACCCTGCTGCTTTGCTGGAAAGTCTCTCCGGTCACCACTTAGCCCAGCACTGTGTTTCTGAATGGCTGCTGGTTGTTGCTGCCATCTTGGCTGATGTTATGCAGCTAAGTACCTGTGTCAGAGCACAGCCAGGACTTGCCATGCTACACAGCAGTCAGGCTGGTCAGGGCCAGGGAGGCAAGAGTGGCAACCGGCTGGAGATCAGCCCTTTCGCCTGGTACTGGTACCTTTGCCAAAAGTGCTCTTCTTGTGACTTCAGGGCGAGGACTTAGACTTCTGGCTGTCCACCACCCCGCCACCTGCTGCTGTCCCCATCCCTACCCCATCCACAGTAAGTGCCCATCCCAGGTGTCCTCAGAGATCTCAGCTATACATTCCTGCAGGAGCCAGTAAGTGGCCATCGTCTCCCCTGCAGGCCTGGAGCCATGCACAGGGGTTAATAAGTGGAGTCCAGCCCAGTGGGATGTCCTGGGTTAGGCCTGTGTCTGCCATCCTGTGGGACTCCGCTTAGCAAGGCTCAGTGAGACAGAGGGGTGACCAGCAGGACCTTTGGAGAATAACCCCAGCCCTCAGGTGGGGATATCCCTCACTGGTTAAGTGGGACTCAAGGTTCCCTTATTGCTTCTCAAGCTGGAACCCTCTGAGCAGTCAGGGGAAGACCACCCCATTCTCTACCCATTCTGAGAAAACCCCTTACCTTCCTGGCTTTGCAGGAAGAGCTTGCTGTGAGCACCGTGGCCCCAGCTAAGGGTGAGGGTGAAGAACTCAAAAGAGAGGAGCCAGAGGATGAAGAGGACAGCATGGACCGTGACCAGGAAAAGGTGAGGCGCACATCACTTCCTTGAAGTGGCTGCAGTTTGCATGCTTCACTGTCTGAAAAGAAAGGATCCTAGTGTTTCCAGAGCAGTTTCTAAGCTGTGCAGTCAAACCATCTCATTCTAGAACCTTCTACTCCCCAATAGGAAGCCTCACCTCATGAGCAGTCTGTCACACCCCCTTGTAGACCCCCCTCACCCTTGAACCCACTTATTGTCTGTGGATCTGCCTGTTCTTCGCATTGGCTGTCATGAAATCCCACATTAGGTGGTCTCTGGTGGTGGCTCTCGAATTGAGAACATATCTGATGTTCTTCATCTTTTTTAAGATTATTTTAAGCCAGGTGTGGTAGTACATACCTAAGAAACCCTATCTAAATGCCTCCCCCCCAAAAAAAGGTTATTTTAGTTGTGTGTGTGAATGTTACTCCATGGGTTCTAGGGTCTGAGCTGAGGTCTTTGTGATTGAGCCCTCTTAACCACCAGGGTTTCTCTGTGTAACCCTCTGTAGGCCTCAAACTTAGAGAGGCGCACTGCCTCCTCCTCCCAAGTGTTGGAACTAAAGGTGTGCCGCTTCATTTCCTGAAGCCATCCGTGCTGGGCGTGTTGGAGCCTTGCTCCTTCCTGTTGCTGGCTATACGATGCTTCATTGTGTGACTGGACCTCGTGTCTGTCATCCATCCATAGATACTGGGCCATTTGCCCCTGGCAGATGTGAACATAGGCACATCTCTCTGTGAGCGCTGCTTCCTCTGGTGTGGCTAGTGGAGCTGTGGTTCCCATGCAGTGACAGTCTCGCTGATCTGTGCTGTGCATTCCCCTACCCTCCGAGCGGCTCCTGCCACCCACCTGTTAGCCCAAGGTTCTAGTGTCTGAGGCCTGGCCCCAACCCCAGTGAATTGTTGGGTTCCTGGCTTTACTATCCACCTGTTTCCCTTCCCCGTGACCCGCACCTTGTGATGGGAGGGGAGAGAATGATGGCAGGGTACCTCTTGCTGGAGATGAGGGGCCTGAGCCCAGACTCTGCTTCAGAAATCATCCCAGCACAAGAAGAAGAAACACAGGAAAGAAAAGGAGGAGAGACCACGAGACAAAAAGAAGGTCAAGAAGAAGCAGGCTGCACCGCTGGAGAATGGCGCCACAGAGGAGGAGGAGCCCATCCCGGTGAGCAAGCTTGCCACCCTGTCACCTCAACCTTGAAACCTGGGTTCCATCAGAGGTTACTCAGAGCCTCTTCAAGCTGCGCTCTGTTGTGGAGCCCTGACGCAGCCTCATCACAGTCTCTTGCTCCTTGTGGTCATGTCCCTATCCCATGAGATATCTGAACAACCAGGGCCCTGTCACCCACAGCTGACTTTGTGTCTCCTCCCCCAGCCCATGTCCAGCTACTGCCTTCTGGCTGAGAATTCCTACATTAAAGTGGTAAGTGACACTGGGCTGCTGCAGGGAGGGGCCGTTGCTGGGGGAGCAAGCTACCGGGAAAAGCCTTCCGGGCTGGCAGCAGCGGCCAGACTCCAACCTCAAGCAGTGGCTCAGGCATTGCCACCAGCATAGGACTACCATGACCAACAGACCAGCCACAGGTGGAGAGCCCAGTGCGGCCAGGCCACCTGAGGACAGCACTGCTAACGGGACAAAGAACAGCTGTGCAGCATACACATTGGGCCAGATGCAGCAGGGGTGTAAGCTCAAGACCAGCCAGGACCACACTGCAGAACTTCCTCTCTAGGGTCAAAGACAAGGGCTGGGGTGGAGCCCGTGTTGAGGGCAGGGTCTTGGGGCCCACAGGGGAGCCTTCACAGAGGAGTCACTGTCCTTGATCTTGGCTGGGAGCTCACGCCCCTCAGCCGGCCCCTGGTGCTGACCCTGCCCTTGCTCACGCAGACGTATGACATCCAAGCCAGCCTACAGAAGGACAGCCAAGTGACCGTGTCAGTCATCCTGGAGAACCAGAGCAGCAGCTTCCTGAAGAACATGGAGCTGAATGTGCTGGACTCGCTCAACACCAAGATGGCCCGGCCAGAGGGTTCCTCAGTGCATGACGGTGTGCCCGTGCCTTTCCAGCTGCCCCCTGGTGAGCCTGCCAGCCGGCCCTAGTGCTCGCTTCTAAACCCTAACCCTATCACCTGGGCTCCTGCACAAGGAACTCAACTAGAGCTCCTGGGGACAGCCAACCACAGGCCCCAAGCCACTCTTAGGACATTGTGAAGCCCTACATGCTGTGCTCCCTGGGGCATGGCTGGGGTCTGGGGCCAGCTGCAGGAGCCCATTGTGTTTCTGTGACTCCAGCATCCCAGCCAGTTACGACAGTCTAGAGTCAGTGCTGGCTCAAACCCTAGATCTACTGAGTGCCATGTCTCCCATCAGGTGTCTCCAACGAAGCCCAGTTTGTGTTCACCATTCAGAGCATCGTTATGGCCCAGAAGCTCAAAGGCACACTGTCCTTCATTGCCAAGGTATGCGCTGGGGCCTCAGTGGCCACAGTCAGTACTGAGGAGCCCTCTCTACACTGGGCTCCGGCTCCTTTGCCCTCCCCTGTGAATGAGGCATCCCAGGAAAGGGATCGCGTGCCTGGGCAGTCACCCCACGACCTCCCTCCTCACAGGACGACGAAGGGGCCACCCACGAGAAGTTGGATTTCCGGCTGCACTTCAGCTGTAGTTCCTACCTGATAACCACTCCCTGCTACAGGTAATGTGTGCCTCCACCCCACCCACCCACAGAGACGCCTCCCAGGCTGTGGAGGGGACACAGACAGCAGCTTGGTGTGGGGTGTGCTGTGACGGTGACATGAAACCGCTTGAGTCATCATCACAGGTGCGCTCATTTCCAGACAGTCACCACTGTCCTGGGTGCTGGTTTCTCCTGAGGCCAACTTCTTCCTCTGCCAGGTAGCATTGCAGAGGCCTCTCTGTCCCCAGAGGATTGCACTATGTGCCAGCTTCTGATGGTTTCACATAGCCCAGCCTGTCCTAGTGCTGGGGTGACAGGTGTGGTACCCAGGCCCTGCCATCACCCTCCATTCTGTCCTCCCACAGTGATGCCTTTGCCAAGCTGCTGGAGTCAGGGGACCTGAGCATGAACTCTATCAAAGTCGATGGCATTAGTATGTCTTTCCAGAACCTCCTGGCAAAGATATGTTTCCACCACCATTTTTCTGGTAAGCAGTGTCCCAGTGATCCCGGTTTCATCCCACAAGTGTCACAGGATCTTCCTGCCCAGGGCCTTGACTTGCCGCCCGAGTGCCATCTCAACTGGGCCCCAGCTCTTGGCAGGAAGTGTGAGCCCGACTCTCCTATCTGTTGGCAGTTGTGGAGCGAGTAGACTCCTGTGCCTCCATGTACAGCCGCTCAATCCAGGGCCACCATGTCTGCCTGCTGGTGAAGAAGGTGAGCTCACTACAGCAGACCAGGCAGCCTTCAGGGAGAGGCTGAGCCTCCCTGTCCCTGCCCAGGGCTGTTCCCTGACAGTGAGACCAGGCCCCTCAACTGCATCCACCCCCGCAGTCCCTCTCCCTGCTCTGCCAAAACCTGCAGTTGCACCAGGTCCCCTGGTGAGACAGAAGGCAGGGGGAAGGAAACGGGCAGGCTCAGCAGCGTCTCAGGCCCATGACTGCTCTGCACACCTGCCACCCGATACTCCGGAAATAGAAGCAAAATTACTGAGTTCCCGGCCACTCGGGCCATGTAGCTTAACAAAATAAAGTGAGGCCTAGGCCCCAGATGCGGGGCGGGAGGGTGGCATTTGCAGCCCTGGCACCACCTCCCACCATGATCTTGGGCAGTACATGCATGTGACTGTCCCCTAGGGTGAGAACTCCGTGTCAGTAGACGGGAAATGCAGTGATGCCACCCTGCTCAGCAGCCTGCTGGAAGAGATGAAGACCACGCTGGCCCAGTGCTGAACGACGGTGTCCAGGATACCTAAAAGACCACGGACAGATGTGATGGGTCTTGCCTCTCCTCCTTTGTCACATGTAGTGTCCCCACACCCAGCATTAATTTAACACCACTGGCCTCCACTGTGTGACTCTGAGGTCCTATGTTGCATCAACTTATTTTATTATCCTTTTTTATTCCAACCGAATCCGCACTTGTTTGGCAAGAGAGGCCGTTCCTACCCTAGCCAGCAAGGAACTCCCAGCTCCACTCCCTGTTCTGGAGGTGACTGAGGACCCCAGGCTGGTGGGTCTCCAAGTTGCCAGCAAACACAAACAGTGGGACTGGTGCGGCCCCACTTTTGTGCCCTCACGTTGCTTCTGGAGGAACCCTTCCCCAAATACCCTGACTGGTGGGATCTGTGGAGAGGCGACCAGACCAGCTATGACCATGCTTCTCCCAGAGTCTGCATGGCCAGATGGATGTGTTCTGCAGCTCAGCTGCTGACAACAGAGACAGCCCTTTGATTTGATTTTGATTTTTTTTATTTTTTGGTTTTTCGAGACAGGGTTTCTCTGTGGCTTTGGAGGCTGTCCTGGAACTCGCTCTGTAGACCAGGCTGATCTTGAACTCACAGAGATCATCCTGTTTCTGCCTCCCTAGTGCTGGGATTAAAGGCGTGCGCGACCACTGCCCGGCTTGATTTTCTTCTGTTCAACAGAATTCTGATGGAGTTCTGTTGGGGGCCGTGGTCAGCGGAGGAACGCAGTCCATGCCCCTCAGTTTGTCACTACACATCTTGGGTTTGTTCCCCGCACTGTGCCACAGCTGTGGAGGGCTGAGTGCCGGTGCCTTGCAGTGGAGGGTATGTATCCTGGGAGCATTTGGTGCTCACCCAGGTGTTCCAGGGCAAGGTGAGGGGACCCAGCCTGGACACTCCTTATAGCTGGGTAGCTGGGCTCAAGCTGAGCCTTCTTCGGAGGGGATGGTGGTCTGCAGACACTCTGGTTGACACTTTGAGGACTACTGTCACTTTAGCATGTAGAGTACTGTTACCCACCCCACCTGACCCTCCAGCTCCATGATGTTCCATGATTGATTTGCTGTCGACATTCCCATGTGAAGAGAGATATATCACGCTGCTGATGATCGGTGTCATAATGACCCAATAAAGAGTCGAAAAACACAGTATTGCATGCTGTGTCCTCATGGTACCCCAGAGCAGTCCCCAGTGCGCCATTCAGGCTCGGATTCAGGTAGTACACTGAGTTCCCCCAACTGTCACCCACCTTTCTGTGTATGTGACATGGTGCTGGGATTAGGACTCTGGTCCTTAGGCGTGGGCAGCAAACGCTGTTGCTCACTGAACCATCTCTCCATTTCTCCTTTTTAAAAAAAAGATTTTTAAATTATATTATGTGGCTGGGCAGTGGTGATGCACACTTTTAAAATCTCAGTACTTGGGAGACAGAGGCAGGGGGATCTCTGTGAATTCGAGGCCAGCCTGGTCTACAGAGTGAGTTCCAGGACAGTTCCAGGATGGCCAGAGCTGCACAGACAAACCCTGTCTCCGAAAGCAAAAATTATCATGTGTCTGTACCATGTGCCCGTCTTGTGGCAGAAGAGAGCACTAGGTTCCCAGGAACTTCAGCTCCAGGCGATTGTGAGCATGCCTCACTGAACACTTGGATCCTCTGTCAGAGCAGCCAGTACTTCTGGGATCACTTCTCCAATCCCCAAATCAAAAGGCCCCTTCTTACTAACGGCTCATGAGGATCTTGGGTTGGAAAATGAATGCACTTGCTGCGTCTCAGCTGCTCACTGCCACCTTGTGTGGAGACACGGGAAGAAGTCACACCTTCGTCAGCCAGCAGACTCAGCCCTGCCAACTGCAACTTAAATTCCAACATGCTGCTGTGCCCAGGCCCCAGCCAGTGTCGCTCTGAGGTATTCTCAAGGATGACGTAGTACTCTCTCCCACTGCTCTGAGCATCTTGGCTAGCCCTGCCCTGGACCCAGAGAGATAATGATGTCAGCTGTCACTAACAGTGTGTATAAAGAGACCATTGCTTGTGTTCGTGACTGGCCTCAGAGTGTAGCTTGAGCTCCCAACACCACACGCAGTGTCCCAGTCCCTTCCGAGGAAGGAGAGACTCTAGATGCTGCCATTTGGTAGTCCTTGTAAAATGAATCCACCTTCAAGCCAGGCAGTGGCGTACGCCTTTAATCCCTGCACACGGGAGGCAAAGGCAGGACAGCCTGGTCTATAAAGCTACAGAGAGACCCTGTCTCAGAAAACCAAAAAAAAAAAAAAAAGCATCCACCCTTATGTGCAGTTGCTCCTATGAGCAAAATCTGAAGGGACATACATGGAGACATGTTCCCCTGTCAGTAGGGGCAGAGGACACCACAGCAAAATCTGAAGTGGAGGCAGAAGTCCCTGCGTTGAGGTGAACAGATGCTAGACTGTTCACCTGCTGTAGGTGCTCTGTGGCGTGGCCCACCTGTCTCCTGACCTGGGTCTTCCGTGGTAAAACCCCCACTGCAGCGTCCACCTTGCGGCTGAGGTTAGAGGTCATGGCCAGCCTGGGCTATAGACACCTTATCTCGGGGGCTGGGGGGGGGGCTCAGTGCAGGAAGGTCCTGGGCTCCATTGTTACGCCACAAGCCAAGTGGACACACTTCTCGTCCTAGCACTAAGGAAATAGAGGCAGGGAGAGTTCCAGGGCTTCAACTGCATGGCATGCTCCAGCCCATACTGGAGTACCTGAGACCCCTCAGTGAGGCAGAACAGCCCTTCTGCAAACCCTCCCATAGGCTCTCAAGAGGAAGTCAGAGTCCCGGGACCCTGAGGAGATGCTGCAGGTGCCAGCCAGCTGTTTGCCCCTCCCTCCATTGGTAGGACATTGGGACTCCTCTACAACCACACGATTAGAACCCCAAATACATCACATACCCAGTCGATGTGGCAGAAAAGAATTGTTCTTCATGAGAAATATCAGGGCACTTTAATCAAAATATCTCTGGGGGCCCCGATATTTATACACAAGCCCATCTCCCTGACCTCCCCTGCCCCGGCCCAACCTGGGCTCCATGGGAGTGACCCGAGGCAGGCAATGGCTAGCTTCTTCCAGAGGAACAGGCTGCAACAGTGCAGTTGAGTCCTGGCCCCCACCGAGACTGGGGGCAAGCAGCCGCTGTCAGTGCTGGGTCAGACACTCAGAGGCGCTTTCCAAGGTCAGGTTAACCAGGTGCTGTGGTTCCAGACACTTTATGCTCGGTGAAAGACTTTGGGGGAGGAGGAGGAGGGGCCCTAAGCCCATTTGTCTGCTCATGCCCTCCTGCCTCCCTTCCCAGGCTGCCTTCTACAACCCATTAATATAGCCCATGCTGGCCCTCTACTCCAGACACTCCCACCTCAGAGGTCTCCTGGAAGGCTAGGGTTATGGGTATGCACTACTAAAGCCAACCCCTGCCTGTTCTGAAGCCCACCAGTGCCAGGCGGGGTCATCCACCCTGCCAACACCCACAATGAAAGGCCTTACTAGGGTGGGGGTGGGGTTCTGTGGCAGAGATTGCTTGGCTTTCCAGTTCCCTATACCCCCCCAGGCCACCTGCTTCTTCATGGTGTTATTCCCCAGGTCACTCACAAGGTTGGGGTGGTTCTGCACATCCAAGGCGAGGCCATAGAGGAGGACAGCACGGTTCATGCAGTGGCCACACATGGGGGTGTGGTTACAGATGTCCAGTGTGTGCACAGGTACACAGCCCTGCCCAGCATGCCCGCCCACTCACTGACCCGAAGACCTCACCCCCACCCGCAAATCCTAATCCTCCCCTATGGAAGGCCTCTTACCTCGTGCCTACGTCCTGTCTGAAATAGAATGAGGCACCAATTAGGCCCTCCAGGTCTGCCACAACTACCCTAGGCTTCGTGAAGACCCTTCAGCCAGGATGGTCTGCCCTCTTCCTCCCAGAGCTTGGAGGGCCTGAGGTGGGGCTGAGGTCCTCCTGGGCCTCTGTAAGCTTCAGATACCTCACCGTAGGGCACACACACTGTCTCAGATAAACTGGAGATGGGCTGGAGCAGCAACTTACTTGTGCCACACACTTCTACAATGACAATTTGTTTGGAGTCAGGGGACAAAGTGGCCTCACTCTGTGTCCCCCTCTCTGAGTCCTGGTGCCCATTAAACACCAACTCACATGTAATGCATAAGGCCCTGTACAGCTGATTCCCATTGTGCCGATGACCTGGGGAACACAGGGCTTGCTGATGGGGTATCCCCAGAGCCCGGGTCCCCTCGATGCCCAGGTGACGATCCTGGGACCCATGGGCAGTGGGATAGGAGGCTGAGCCATACTTGCAGTAGTAGCCAAAGCAGACAACGTGTGAGTCTGTGCAGTTGATGCAGGAGATGGTCTCATACTGGAAGATGCCTGCAATACACAGGAGGCAGCCACAGGCTCCTCTGGGCCCCCCCAACCTGGGCTCCTGCCACTGTGGCCCTCAGCCAGGACCGTGGTTCACTTACCACAGTGACGCTGACAGTCGATGCGGCCTGGGGGTGGGGGGGGGGGGACACAACAGGACAGGACCTCTGACAAGGCCCAGAGCTCAAGACCTGTCCCTGAGCCCCACTAATGTTTCTGTAGCCCAGGCTAGTCTGGCATGGAGAAGGTCCCCCAAGCTGACCTGGAACTTGTGGCAATCCTTTGCCTCATTCCAGAGTGCTGCGATTACAGGCATGTTCTATATGTGTTTCATGGAAGTGGGAAGGGGGCCTCCAGAGGCCCCCAGAGCAAGATGGAGCTAACCTAGAGGAAGACTGGTCACAATGCTCCCGGTGTCACCAGGAGGCCAGTATGATACATAGATGGGAGGGGGTGATGGGTGTGCTGGTGACCACTCCTGAACCCTGTTTCCAGTGCCCCCAGCCCTGAAGTGCCTGCGGCCACGGGCACTGCCCCCTCCGCAGAGCCCACTGCTCACTCTCTATGATGGCGTTCTGGAGGAGGCGCACTTGCTCCCGGAAGATGGCCCGCAGCTCATTGGGGAAATACCCTGATGTGGAGTCACAGCAGAGTGGTCAAGCTCAGGCGCCTGGCGGCCCGCGCCGGCCCTGCCTCAGCTTCCCTCCTTTACCTGGGAAGTACATCTTCCCCTGGTACAGCTGGTCCATCCTCTGGTACACTGCTCCTGCCACTTGGTCCAGCTTCTCCCGGGCTGAGGGCGGGAGGGAGAGGAAGCAGATGAGCCGCCCTGGCCGGGGTCCCTGCTGCTCTTCTCCTGACCCTGGGATGGGCTCCGCCGCTCACTGATCTCGGCGGGAATGGCCAGGTGGAGCTCCTTCATCGTGTTCTGGCTCCACTCGGTGAGCAGCACTCCCGACACGGGGATGTCACCCACCCACCAGGACTTGAGGTTCACGTGATGGCGGTAGAAGGAGAACTTCTCTGAGAAATGGACGTCGCAGTGCAGGCAGCCCCGGGCCAGCGCCGCCGTCATGCCCAAGCACACCAGCAACGCCATGGCCTGGTCCGGCCGGCCGTGCCCATCCATCAGCGCCGCCAGCGCCGCGCCCTCCAGCCGCGCACCAACCAACGGCGCCGCCCGTGCCACACCCCGTCACGCCGCACCAGCCAACGGCGCGCGCCCGGGACCCCGGCCGCGCCATCCCCGCCCCCGGCCTGGCCTGGCCGGGGTGGGTGGCTCTGGCCCCACCCACCCCGCGCCAGATATGGCTGCGCCCACGATTCTGGGCGTGTCCGGTACAGGGCTCCGCCCCTCCCTGGCCCCGTGCCAATTAGACTTCTGTTCCAGTCCTCGTTACACCCACAGGACCAGGTCCCTTCCTGCCCCGTATCGGCGACACTCAGGTTCCAGCCTGACTCCGCCCCCGGGTCTGGCTCCGCCCCAGGGCTGGACCCGCCCCTGTTACAAGTGGCCACTGGGAATGCCAATCCGCCTCCAGGTTCCACCCTCGGCAGTTTACGCATGTGCCCAGAGCTGGCGCCAGTTCCTACGCGCGAGCTGACGAAATCGGCCCCGCCCCTCAACCGCAGGGCGCCAGCCAATGAGCAGCGCGGAGCGCCCGCCTTTCATACGGGGATCCTCGGGAGCTCCGCAGCCACGCCTCCATCCGGGACCCATCCCTTTAAGGGAAGTAAATCCGGCCCGCGGGCGCGGCCAGGGCGGGGTGTGGCGTGTCCCTCCGCGGGCGCGGTTCGAAGCTTAGCGAGGCGGGAGTCGGCTGCAGACCGTGGCGGTCCCGAGGCGGCCAGGTGGGTCCTTGGGGGGCGCCCAGGGTGGCGGGACCCATCCCTCGGGGGACAGTGTCCGGCGACGGAGGCTGCGACTCACCGGGGGCCCGAGCGGGCGGTGGGGACCTGCCTGTCAACGGGAGGCTCGTCAGGTCGCCGGGACCCTGCCCACCAGCCTGGGGAAGGCGAGCATCATGGGTCACAGCCCCATGGTGATACTCCAGGTCTCAGGTGGCGCAGGCTAGCCTTCAGCTGCTGAATCGGACCCTCCTCCCCCTCCCGTCTGATTCATTTCTTTGAAACGATCACGTTTCTGACTAAAAATTCATTGAAGGTCCGGGCCTCTGGCTCAGTGATGAAGAACCGTTTGTCTGGTCTGTAAAGCCCTAGGTTCTATCCCTGCTACCGACCCCTCACCAGCACAACCCCTAAAAAAGCCACTGAAAAATGCGGACAGGGAGATTCGAGAACAGATCACAGGAAGTTAACCTCGGTGGCAGCTTCCTCTTTTGTTTTTTTTTTTCCTCCTCTTTTGAGACAGGGTCTCACTATTCAGCCCGTGGGAACCCACAGAAAGCAGCAGCCTGCCTCTGCCTCCTGAATGCTGGGATCAAAGGCGGCCGCCACCACTTGTCCTTTTCTCTCCTGTCCTCCTTCCTGGGTCCACATGCAGAGCAGAGGTGGTGTCGTGTGAGCTGTGGTCCTTTTTACATATTCCAAGCCACCTGTGTCCTTGTATCTTGATACTTGATTTGCTACCAGGAACATAGTCGGGGCTCCCTCTCAGCCTCAGGTTTCTTCCTGGACCATAAGCTCTTAGAGGCCCCTAGTGTCCCTTTCCTAGGCATCCCTGGAGGCTGGAGACCCAGATGCACCCGGGGACAGTAAGGACTCTTCTCTCAGGTCCATGCGTCCTTCAACATGGAGGAACCCATGAGTAGTCCTGAAGGTGAGGGGACTTCAGAGACATGAGAACTGGGGACAGCAGGATGCAAAAGAGACCACAGACCAAAAGAAAAGAAAAGAGAAAAACTGTGGCATGGTCAAGATGGAGCCCCCAGTGAGGGTCTGGGGGCCCTTTATTTATGTTGAGACAGAATCTCGCTATGTACACACTCCAGCTGGCTTGTCAATCCCTCGTATCCTAGGCCTGTGTCAAACTCCAAGTTCTCCTGCCTCAGTCTCCCAAGAACAAGAAAGGCAGCCATGGACATGTCCTATGTATGGTGGGTTTATTGGAGCAGAGTCCTCCTGTAAATCAGAGCATCTGAATGCTATTGTTCACGTCATCTCTGTCCGTTTTTCTTTTGTTTTTTGAGACGGTTTCTCTGTGGCTTTGGAGGTTGTCCTGGAACTCGCTTTGTAGACCAGGCTGGCCTCGAACTCACAAAGATCCACCTGCCTTTGCCTCCCGAGTGCTGGGATTAAATGTGTGCGCCACCACTGCCTGGCCTCTTTTCTCTCTTTTATGAGGCAACCAGAACATTTCTGGAAGTTTCTATGGCATTTATTCCATCAGCAAATGTATGATGGATATCTTCTTTTGGGAGGTGGGTTGAGACAGGGTCTCCTTGTGTAGCCCTGACTGTTCTGGAACTCAATAGGTTGGCCTTGATCTCACAGAGATCGGTCTGCCTCTGCCTGTCGAAAGTTGGGATTAAAGACGTGCACCACCAATACCCAGCATTATTTTAAAAGAGAGCATCCTGCTGTGTTGTCCGGCTTGGCCCAGAGCTCTTAGCCCAAGGGATCATCTTGCCTCAGCCTCCTGAGTTGAACGAAAGCTGCATACTAGAACCCAGGCACTGTAAAGTTCACTGTAATTGGAGAAGAGGCTCTTCCTAAATTACTGTGACTGACCATGAACTCACTCTGGCAACCCTCCTGCCTCAGCTTCCCAGGTGTTGCCTTTGCAGAGGAGTTTTAGGGTCATGGCACAGCTGACTTAGTGGGCTCGGTTCCAAGGTGACCTCTTTATGACCAGGCTGTCCTTAGGGCTCACTCTGGGTGTCAGGTGCTGCCTTCTGTGTGGCCTCCCAGTCTGGGGTCTGAGGCACTCAGTTTAATCATGCCTCACTCCATGCAGCAATGGTGAGGGATCTTTTGTTTGAGCCTTAAGGAAGTTTTTATCTACCTATTTACTTGTTAATTTTGTGTGGAAGGAGGATGGAGGGGGTGTGTCCTCTCCTACCATGTGGCTTCTGTGGAACTCAGTCAGCCACTCAGCGGCAAGTAGAGCGAGCTCACTGGCCCCTGCTTTACTGTTCCTCCCTGGTTTCATTTTGAAACCCAAGATACCCGGTTAATCCTCTCTCATGAAGCTTGCAAACTGCCACTTCAAAAGCCAGGCATGGTGGGACAAGCCTCTCAGCCTAGCATGAGAGGTAAAGGCGGGAAGATCAGGCTCAAGGCCAGCCTGGGCTACACCAGACCCAGTACCACATCAGATCCTCAACATGTGACGTTCTGATGTTCAGCAGGTGGGATGGCCCAGCTCTCTTTAGATGTCCTGCATGACCCCCATGCGCTGAAAGTCCCTGTGGGTAATCTCTGCAGCCGCTGTCCCGTGCTGTGGAAATCCCCCCTACTTGGAAAGTGGCCTTTCACTGAGGAAGTTCCCCGGACTCTCCAGCAGTCGGGAATAGATCTGGCTTTCCCAGAATGTCTTCAGCAGAATGAGCAAAACCTGTTGATGCAGGAGGGCTCTGAGCAGTGGCGTCCTGCAGAGGATGCACCTCCCTTTCCTCTCTTCTTTACCCGAGGGGACTGGGCTGTGGGACCCATGAATGCTTGCCAGCCAAGCACTTACCCCCACCGCGCCCCCAGCCCCTCACTGGGGCATTGTAGGCGGGCTCCACGCTGACTATGGGCCCTAACCCTTCACTGGGGGAATTCTAGGTGGGGGTTCACCTCCTGAACTGAGCCCTCAGCCCAGTTGTACCTTTTGGTTATTTGAAGATAAGTTTTTTTCTCTCTGTATTTAGATCAGAAAACCAGCCTCCCTGTACGGGCTCCATCCCAGCCCCCATCACCCAGCACTCAGGAGTTTCAGGTCACCTTTGGCTATACAGTGAGCTTAGTCCAGCCTGGGCTACATGAGACCTTGAATTTTTAAAAAGGGAGAAGAAAAAGAAAATCTTGTTTGGGGCCTGGAGGGATGTCCAGGCAGTTTATGGGGGCCTCTGCTCTGCTGCCAGCCCTCTGGTTCTGTGGTCCCTCATGTGAGGTTGAAATGGTGTCACAGTGGGCAGAGTCAAAACACACGTCTTTGTTAGGGTATTGGCTATGAACCCCAAGACTCAGGCACTGCCCCCAAAATGACCCTTTCTGTGTGGAGGTGACCTTGGGACACTGCTTTGTTCTCAGCTTCTGGACCCTGTCCTGCGTTGGCCAGCCCTGCACACTAAGCGAGCACATAGAACCAGCTTGGGCCCTGTCCCCAAGGCGGTAGCAGGATGTGGAAACCTCCGGAAGGAAGTGGGTGACCCTGGGCTCCTGAGCCCTGCACCCTGGCCTGGGAGGGGTCAGAGCTGTGTTATCCAGCACTCAGTTCTATTTTATTGTCTTCAGAGGGGGGGAGAGGAGCCTGTGGGTGCTGGGGTAGGAGAGCTGCTTTATCTGCCTTGTGTCCTTCTAGAAGGTTCTGAGTGTCTGTCATGTCTTCCTCCTCAGTGGGACAGCCTGGAGAAGAGGACCTAGGCGTGCTGGCATCCAGTTCTGAGCAGCTGTTGGAAGTCCACTAAGAGGACCGAGAAGAGGTGACCAGATGGTGACAGGGCCTGTGCGGGAGGAGGGTGACAGGCTCTGGCCAGCCCAGGTCTGTGCTGAGGAAAGTTTGCCTCTGAGAGAAAGCAGTGGATTTTGACAGATACTCTATCTATCCCCAGATTTTCTAGAAAATCTTTGCTCCACCCTTTAAAAAAAAATCCTGCTTTTTAAGAGGACACAGACACGTGACAGGGAACAATCTTGGGGGAGTGCAGGAGACACAGAAAATGTTGTAGATAAAGAGCCACATCAGGCTGGCATGATGGTGTCACCCCAGACAGTGGGAGACTGAAGCAGGATTGAGACTTGAGGGTCAGCCTGAGCTATTCCATGAGTTCAGAGCCAGCCTAGGCAACTTAATGACCGTGTTTCCGAATAACACCTAAGAACCAGACAAATGAGCGAAGCTTTTGGAACCCTGTTGTCCTAGGCGTCTGGAGAAATCGTCCCCTTTGAGGTGGAGAGACCTTCTGAAGGCCCCTTTAGGCCAAACCCAGAGCTGGTGTCACACGCAGACCTGACAGAGTGGGGCTGTGGGCTGCAGTGGGAACGGCCTACCCTGCGGCTTCCATCCCAAGGCCCCAGACTGGTCGGCCTGTCTAAGGGGGGAAGGGCAGGGCTGGGAAGACATAGAGTCAGGAGAGGCCCAGCCTGGAGGCCTGTGTGCGCGCACGTGAGACCTCTGACCCCCTTGGTTGTGGTGGGAATGGGAGGTGAGGGGCTGTCCCAAGCTGGGTGGCACCCGGTGTGCGCTGGGAAAGGTGCCAGGGACACTCCTCTACCCTGTGTGTGCCATGATGCCCCACAGAGGCACCAACCCAGTGGCCACTGTGAGGGGAGCCTCAGGGGACCTGTGTGAACTAGAGGTGGCATTTCCTCACAAGTGCCGTGTGCTGTGAGCTACAGGCCGCCTCCTCAGTGTGAACCAGCAAGTGCTGAGGCAGTGGTGGGCGTGGGGACATGGGGACAGTTGCCATGGGGAAGTTTGGGCCTATTTAGTGTCCACAGACTCCTGCCTCCAGGCTACCATGGCCTTGACTGGTGACCCTGGTGACTCCCAACATAGGCTCATCGTTGGATAAGTTGTCAACCTCTGCTTTGTTTTTATTTTGAGGTGGTCTCACTAGGAAGACCAGGCTGGCCCCAAATTCACTATGTAGCCTTGGCTGGCCTAAAATTCATTATGTAGACCAGGCTGGCTTTGAAGTCACAGAGATCGACCTCCACCTGCCTCCGTCCCAGAATGCTGGGGTCTAAGGTGTGTGCCAGCATGGGAAACCATTGTTTTATTTTTGTGTCAGAGTACCATGTAGCCCAGGCTGGAATGAGGTATGCAGCTAAAGATGACCTTGAGTTTCTGATTCTCCTGCCTCCAGCTCCTGTGCGCAGGGATCATGGGCATGAACCACCATGCATGGTTTATAGCCTCTTGTTTTCTAGATTTTTCCATAGCCGTGTTGCCTATAAAGTCAGTTTGTGAGTGGTGGAGTTGACGCAGTGTGAGCCTCTTCCTTTCCAGTGTCCAGAGCACTCAGAGTGGTTGGGTTCAGCTTTGTCGACATCCTAATCCCTGTGCCCTGTGACATAGAAGGCAGGGTTAAGTCCAAGCTAAGGTTTACAGTCACCACCTCTAACGCTCCATCACCCTATGAACTATGATATCCCTTTCCCAGCCCCCGCAATTCACTCCAGTCTCTAATTGACCTAATGAGGACATTTCCTGTCGTGGAGTCCCACACTGTGGCCCTTTCTGTCCGACGCCCCCCACTGAGGAACCTGTCGGAACCCTCCTCCTATGCATGGCTCAGTAACCAGTTTGTGGGTCCCGGCTGTTTGTCCCTCTGGGCTCTGGGCAGTTGTGCCGTGTGCCATAGGTGTCATGGCTCTGTGTGGGTGACTTCAGCTCTGTGCAGTCTCCTTGAGGAAGGGCCCTACAGGCCCAACATGGAGGTTAAAAACCACATAAGAAAAGAAAAAAGTACTAAAGACTAAAGAATGTGGTGTTTATGCAGTGTGGCACCTGGCATCCCAGCACTCAGGAAGTGGGGGCAGGGGCCAGCCTGGGCTACTTGAGACCCTATCTCCAAAATAACCACACAGGTTATTTACTGTGCTGAGGTGGGGCTGCCTGTGTTGGGTGGGGCCACACCACGAGTACTTCCCAGCCCTCACGACTTCCCCTTTTGTTGCAGCTGTTTCTCCAGGTCCCAAGCTCCCTTGTTTCATTTCGTGGCCACACCCCAAAGTCCAGCTCAGGCTCTCTCCCATACGGCCTGGCCCCTCTTAGGCCGCGAGGTGCAGTGGGTGGTCCCTGGAGTGTGCTGAGGACAAGGGCTTCTGACTGAAGCCCTAGGTTCTCTCCCGACACATGGAAGAAAAGATGGTGTTAAGTTGGGGCTTTTCCTCACGTCTGTACAGAAGGCTCAAGTCCCAGCCTGAGTCCTGGGGCCCTGATGTCTCCACCTGTCTCTGTCACCTCCATGAGCTCCCCCGCACGCAGTTCCTGAAGGAGAATGAGAGCAGTGTCTGGCCTGGATCGAGCCAGGGGAGAGCACAGGTGCCTCTGAGGCCATCATTTAGTGTCATATGACCATTTGTCCCCAAGGAACCTGCCCCTTTTGGTAAAGCTGTTTCCTGCCAAAGTCTGCAAGCCCAGCCCAGTCTTTGTTTCTTTGTTTCTTTGTTTCTTTTTTCTTTTTCTTTTTTTTTTTTTTTTTTTTTTTTTTGGTTTTTCCAGACAGGATTTCTCTGTGGCTTTGGAGGCTGTCCTGGAACTCCCTTGGTAGTCCAGGCTGGCCTCGAACTCACAGAGATCCTCCTGCCTCTGCCTCCCGAGTGCTGGGATTAAAGATATGCGCCACCAACACCCGGCCCAGTCTTTGTTTCTAAAGTAGACATTTCAGAAAAGTCTCTTTGCTTACCCGGCAGCCCAGGCTGTTCTGGAACTTGGGGCAATCCTCCTGCCTCAGCCTCCTGGGTACCTAGATTATAAGTGTGTGCTATGCCTGGACTCCTGGCTATTTTTATTGATAACAGTTACTCTGGGGTAAAGTTGGGATGTTCCTGCCTGGCCTCCTGAGTACCGGACTGGCAGGCCTGTGTGGGTGCCCAGCCCTAATGCCATCCTCTCCTGTTTCAGGCCTCGGGGTGACCACATCATCCCACCGTGGTCTCTACTCCTTGTTCTGAGACACAAGTGCCACCAAAATGTCAAACCCATTCCTGAAGCAAGTGTTCAACAAGGACAAAACATTCCGACCCAAGCGCAAGTTCGAGCCTGGAACGCAACGCTTCGAGCTCCACAAGCGAGCACAGGCTTCTCTGAACGCCGGGCTGGACCTGCGGGTGGCTGTGCAGCTGCCGCCAGGCGAGGACCTCAACGACTGGGTGGCTGTGCACGTGGTGGACTTCTTCAACCGAGTCAACCTCATCTACGGCACCATCAGTGACGGCTGCACCAAGCAGTCCTGCCCAGTCATGTCCGGGGGCCCCAAGTACGAGTACCGTTGGCAGGATGAGCAGCGCTACCGGAAGCCCACTGCGCTCTCCGCACCCCGCTACATGGACCTGCTCATGGACTGGATCGAGATGCAGATCAACAATGAGGACATCTTCCCAACCAATGTCGGTGAGTCATGAGGGGCCCAGGCGTGCTCAGCTGGCTTTGTGGTCTGTGTGCGTGGGTGTGCGTGCCACACAGTTCCTCCTGCACTCACAGACTCGCCTGTCTCTGCCTCCTGGGTGCGGGGATTAAAGGTGTGCCGGCACAGCTATACTGCATGGTGATTTCTCATGAGTGTGTGCGTGTCCATGCATTTCATTTCTGGGTACGTATAGACACTTGGGTGCGTGTCCATTTAGAAGCTGGAGGAGCCCTCTGGTGTCATCAGAGAAACAGTCTACTTCCTTGGAAACAGGTCTCTCACTGGCCTCACTGGCCTGGCGTTTGCCAGTTAAGCTGGAAGAGGCAGCTGTATGGCAGCTTCCAATCTAAGGCCGCAGGCTCACGATACTTACCACAACATACATTTCCATGCACATTCTGGGGGACCCCACTCAGGCCAGAAGAGGGCGCCAGATCTCATTACAGATGGTTGTGAGCCACCATGTGGTTGCTGGTAATTGAACTCAGGACCTCTAGAAGAACAATCAGTGCTCTTAACCTCTGAGCCATCTCTCCAGCCCTCTATTTTCTTTATTTAGACAAAACTTCTGTAGCATAAGTTGACCTTGAACTTAGTATGTAGCTGAGGCTGGCTTTGAACCACTGATCTTCCTGCCTCAGACTCCCAGGTGCTGAGATGACAGGACTGTGCCATACCCGGCTTTTTATCGATCTTTTGGGTTTTATTTATTTCTTTATAGGTTTGGTCTCACTATGTAGCGCTGGCTGGCTTCTAACTCCCGAAGATCAGCCTGCCCCTCCCTCCGTCCGGAGTGCCTGGCTTTTATCCACACATTGAAGTGTGTAGTTTAGATGGGCCTGGGGCTGGTGACTTACAGGTTCTTCAGGGGGACATAACTGATAGCATGAATCTGTATCTATTTAGAAAGGGAGTTTATTAGCATGGCTCACAGGCTGTGGTCTGGCTAGTCCAGCAATGGCTGTCTCCTGATGGAAAAGCCAAGAATCCAGTAGTTGCTCAGTCCACGAGGCGGATGTCTCAGCAGTCCCAATCCAGCGCTGGAGTCTGGAGGCTCCTGGGGAACTGCTGGTCTTCAGTCTGCACTGGGATCCTGAAGAAGTGGGCTCTAACACTGAAGGAATGTCTCAGCTGCAGGGTAGATGCCCCTGCCAGCAAGAGTGAGGGCGAGCAGACAAAGAGCAAACGCTCACTTCCTCCTCCCATGCCCTTGTATGCGGGCTGCTGCCCGAAGGTGTAACTCAGGTTAAGGTACAGTCAGTAGAATGCCCCAGAGAGCCAGGTATGGTGGTGGCGCACACCTTTAATGCCAGCACTCGAGAGGCAGAGGCAGGCAGATCTCTGAGTTCGAGGCCAGCCTGAGTGAGTTCCAGGACAGCTAGGGATATACAGAGAAACCCTGCTCCAAAACAAAAAACAAAACAAAAGCGGCTGAGGTGTGGTGGCCTCAAAGGCGCTGGCCTTCTCTCTTGCTGAGTGTGTCTCCCAGTGCTGTGACTGTGACTCAAACCACATGTTGGCCGCAAGTGGAGGTGCTGACTTGTCGTCCCCGCAGGAGGAAGGAGATTCAAGAGTGACCCCTGAGCTCCTGTGTATCCAGCTAGAGGCAGCCCAGGCTCCCAAGAAAACAACAGCAGCAGAAAAAAATAATAAACCAAAGTAAAGCAAAAGTGCCCATGTCACTATATGGTCCTAGCTCAGCCCCCTTGGGTCACCTGTAATCCAAGTGTAGCAAGGCAAGGCCTCGCCCTTGTGTACAGGAAGTGCGCCTCCCTCTGAGGACCCTGTCCTTACACTGAGACCAGAGGTTCTCAGACTGAACCCACCTGTAGATGCCCTTCTGCCTCTAGAGACCTGCTCCACACTGGCAACCAGGACATAGTTGTCTGTGGGGCATCTTTTAGTGACCCCAGGCCTGGAGGTCTAAAAGTACTGCCCACCTGCTCTGTAGCACTGACCCTGGGGACACTTGGTGACATGGCAGGCTTGGCTGACCCTGTGACCCTGTAGTCGTACATTCACGTGCTGTACGGTTGGGGTCCTCAGGATGGTATGGAGCCTGGTGGAGCGGGGCTGTGGCAGGGCGAGCAGCTGCCAGACCTGAGGGCATTTCCGGGGCTTTGGAAAGGGCAGAGCAAGGTGGCCAGGGCCCACATCACAGAGACGGCTCCCCAGGCATAGACCAGGCAAATCCCCAGGGAAGCTGACAGTTGCCTTGGCAGAAAACTGGTCCCTGGCATGGGGACATTGGCTGTGTGATCTCGAGCATGTTCCTTGACATCTCTGAGCCTTATCTATTCTCACCTGTGTGGCTCCAGGTGGAGCCCATCTTATGCTGGGCTGAGTGGACTGAGGTTGGGGAGTGGTGTGCCCGGCCAGCTGATACTGAGTGGTCTCTCCTGGTCCCGCTGCCCACCTCCAGGCACACCATTCCCCAAGAACTTTCTGCAGGCCGTGCGCAAGATCCTGTCTCGGCTGTTCCGCGTGTTCGTGCACGTGTACATCCACCATTTCGACCGCATCGCGCAGATGGGTTCCGAGGCCCATGTGAACACCTGCTACAAGCACTTCTACTACTTTGTCACTGAGTTCAGCCTCATGGACCCCAAGGAGCTAGAGCCCCTGGTGAGTGCCGGCACCCTGCTTCCCGCCTGGGTGGGATCAGGCCACCGTCCAGCCTCTGCTGCGCTCTGTTCTAGAATGCCAGCCAGAGGGTGGCATTAGTGTTGGGGTCACACACAAGGGTTAGGGTTTTTTCCGAGACAGGGTTTCTCTGTGGCTTTGGAGGCTGTCCTGGAACTCACTCTGTAGACCAGGCTGGCCTCGAACTCACAGAGATCCTCCTGCCTCTGCCTCCCAAGTGCTGGGATTAAAGGCGTGCGCCACCACCGCCCGGCCAGTGTCATGCTTTACTTGAAGGCTCTATCTGTGTGGAGAGGACCACAGGACCCCTCCTCCCCATGCTGATGGAGCCCTCTAGCACCTGCCCCAGAGCCAAAGGCCCCAGATTTCCTAGTTTGCCATGCCAGGGATGGTGCACATGGTCATCCCATCCCACAGGCGTGCGCCACCAACGCCTGGCAGTTTTGTTTTTGATATTTGTCTTTTTTTTATTTATTTATTTTTATTTTATGTGTGTTGGTGTTTGCCTGCATGTGTGTCTGTGTGAGGTGTCAGATCTTGGAGTTACAGACAGTTGTGAGCTGCCATGTGGGTGCTGGGAACTGAACTTGGGTTCTCTGAGAGCAGCTGGTGCTCATCACTGCTGAGCCGTGTGTTTAGTCTCGTGCTTTTGTAAAATTGTATGGCGTTTTGTTTACCTGTGTTAATGTTTTTCTGTGTACGAACATGGCTGCGTGACATGCATGAGAGAGCCTCCACCGTGTGATGCCTTTATCCCCCAAGCCATCTCACCAGCCCACAGCCTGCTTTTGTAGTTTGTAGTTTTTGTTCGTGTAGCCTAGGCTAGCCCTGAATCCCCGATCCTCCTGCCTCCACCTCCCACGGCTGGAGGGGCATTCCTGGTGCTTGCAGATGGAGTCTTGTCCTGTCCCCACGCGCCATGCATCAGGTGGGCTTAAATCACAGCCCATGTCCACATGGCCCCAAATCAGAGGTACAAGCTCTCTGTCCGCCACAGGGAGCTGCCCCTGCCCCACACACTGTCCAGCTTCTTGTTCCCCTCTGCTCCCCTGCCCCCCAGTGTGTGTCCCACACTGAGGGGCTGTCTTTTGATACCTCCCTGGTCTCTACAGAAGGAAATGACGTCACGGATGTGTCACTGAGGTTCCCACCCGGCCAAGGAGACTCAGGGAGACAGCTGGGAGGTTCGTGTACAGCCTGCGCCTCAGGAGCAGCACACCTCTCGTGACTGTGAGCCCTGCAGCTCTGTCCTGTCCCCTTACCGGTCTCCAGGGGGCTGAACTTGGATTCTGTAACCCTGTGTGGTCCTGGCCACCGGGCTCACCTGGACCATTGTCTGCCACCCCCTTGTCCCTCTCCATATCCAGTGCCGCAGCCATGGACTTGGTATGTGTGGCTGTAGCTCTGCCCTCCTCTTTCCAGGGGAGGGGCGGTGGCACCAGCTTCCCCCCATTCAGAGCCGCACTCTGTGGTGACCACGGGCAGCAGCCCTGCCTCTAAAGCTGTCCTGATGTGCCACGCCCCCCTGTGCCCACCAGCTCTCAGTGCTCACTTCTGATCATTGGCACTGCAGACACTGGCAGCGAGGGCTCTGAGCACTGAGCGCTCTGTGTGGGGAGAGCGCTCTGGGGTCTTTGCAGGGTCATAAGGGCACAGATGCTGCATGCCTGTGACCCCAGCTCTTGAGAGGCAGAGGCAGGAGGATTGCTGCAAATTCAAGGCCACTCTGGCCTCCACACTGAGTCAGGCCAGCCAGGGTCTCATAACAAGATTGTCTTTAAAAAGGATTGTAACGGACAGCTAGGCAGTGGTGATGCACACCTTAATCCCAGCACTCTGGAGGCCATGAGTTCGAGGCCAGCCTGGTCTACAGAGTGAGTTCCAGGACAGCCAGGGCTATAGAGGGGAAACCCTGTCTCAAAAATCAAAAAGAAAACAAATTAGAAAGGGATGGCTCCGTGGGCAAAGTTTGCTGAGTGAGTGTGAGGAGAAAGGCGTGGCTGCAGCACATGGGGGAGCCAGCTGAGGGGAGAGCCAGCTGAGGGGAGAGTCAGCTGAGGTGCGGCTGTCACCCAGCTGCAGGCACAGAGGACTCCCGCCTCTGCCTCCCAAGTGCTCAGATTAAACATGTTAGACACAATGCCCAGTCCATTTGTTTTGTTTTTTGGAGTCCCTGGCTGACCAGGGACTCATGTAGACCAGGCTGGCCTCAGACTCCTATAGATCCACCTGCCTCTGCCTCCCAAGTGCTGGGGTTCAAGACATGCACCACCACACCCAGCCCATCTGGAAATTTTAGAGAAAAAATTTAACCAGTTTCTAGTGGCTGCCCTCTTGGGCACAGTGTCTGGTTGGAGCCAGAATCCAGGGATGAATTCTCACGTGGTTCCCAGCGCCTGCTGGCATCCTCAGTTCCCTGGAGAGTGGCAGCAAGGTCTTCCTTTTCGGTGGCAGCATACTATGTCCCAACGTTTCGTGAGTGGCCCTGTGGCCACAGGACCAAACTTCCATGGACACCACTCTGTCATGCCATGGAGGGCATGGTGTGACTGTCCCCAGCTCCAGTCCTTGACCCTCTTGGCCCTTCCCTCGAGACCTGTGCACTGTGAAGACCCCAGAGAATTTTGGCTGTTTCCCCAAATCTGGGAGGCTGCCACTGAGCTAAATGAGTAGTTAGTTAACAAGATATCAGTGCCTGAGCCCAAAGCCTAAGGGGCTGGCTCCCCAGGCCCTTCCAGAAGCCACCACACCTGCCCTGGAAGGACCCGGAGACCAGCCCTCAAGGCTTGACTGAATGTATCTTCCTTCCCGGAAGCCCACACAGCAGCCCAGGGGAGGGGCCCGCATCGCCTCATCCATGCCCTCGGTACAAGCCTAAGAATAAAGCTGTGGTCTTCACACTCTGGCAGCTGGCTGTCATTGGTGTCCACTCCCACCCTGCCAGAGGACTGGTGACAGCTTTGGGAAGGGCCCATGGAGCCAAAGTAACGCAAAGCTGCTCAGGGCAGACTGACTGCGTAGCTGCGATTGCCTTTCTTTTTCTGAGACGACGTTTCCTATGGTGCATGTGTGCGCGCGCTGTGTGTTGTGTTCCCCTGAGCCTGTGCACACCCCGGCCCCTCACTGAGGGAGACCCGTGGCCACGCCCCGCTCCACTCTCGGGGGTTCTAGGCAGGGAACTATGCCCCCACTGCTCACTGGGGGACTGTAGCCCACTGCCAGTCCCTAGAAGGGGGATTCTGGGCGGGGCTCCACCCCTGACCACACCCCCAGTCCCTCAATGGGGAATTCTAGGCCAGCTCCACTCCTCCGGGGTGTTTTGTGGTGGGGGCGGGTTGGTGGTTTTTCAAGACAGGGTTTCTCTGTAGCCCTGACTGTCCTGGAATGCACACTGTAGACCAGGCTGACTTCGAACTCAGAGCCACCTGCTTCTGCCTGCAGAGCACCACCGCCTAGCCTCCTACCGCTCTGTTTTATGTGAGAAATGAGCAGTCTTGACAGCATGTGAGTCTCTTTCCGTGGATGGACTGGCAGGAGATGCCAACGTAAGAGCAGTTTTGTGGCGAGGTCTCCCTGTGTAGCCCCTTCGGGTGGCCTGAAACAAGATTCCTGATTTCCAGTTGGTGACGACGCTTCGGCCCTCCTGGGCGGTGGGGTGACAGGCTTGCACTGGCAGCTGCAGAAGGCCTCTGTCTCTGTGGGTTGCAGGGAGCCCGGGGTGGCCTGGCGCCCCTAGGCGTTGGTGCAGTGCTGTTTCTCATCCTTAGAGGGCGCTGCGGGCTAAGGCAGGAGAGCAGCCACTGGGTCCGCGGCAAGTGGCTGGGATGGTCTCCGCTTCTTCAGGCTTCAACTCACTAAAGCACACTGCTTCTCCCGAGGGCCCAGGGTTTGTAGATCTTTGAGCTGCAGGGCTGACGTGGGTCAGCCTGTTTTCAACCAGTGAGGTTACAGAGCCCATGCCAAAGGCACAGGCCTACCCTGGACAAGAGGCATGGCCACCAGTGTCCCCCTCCTCCCAAGTGGATAGCACCCTGAGTCTGGGTTTGCCTGCCCCAGGCATTTCCTGCTGTGGTGTCCCACAGTGTGACCTTTCCCGTCTGAATTGTCACTGAGAACCGTGTTTTCAGTGTCCCTCCATACCTCTTTCCTGGGGTAATAGCAAGGCCGTGGCCAGGGCACACCTGGCCTGTTTTGTGTGCTGGGATGCTAGCCCTGGACTGTCTAGTGCCAACGTTTTAGCTTCGGTTGACCCCGCGGGTGCATGGCCCATGCTCCAAGATTTTTGTTTTGTTTTGTTTTGTTTTTTTTGGTTTTTCGAGACAGGGTTTCTCTGTGACTTTGGAGGCTGTCCTGGAACTCACTTTGTAGACCAGGCTGGCCTCGAACTCACAGAGATCCACCAGCCTCTGCCTCCCAAGTGCTGGGATTAAAGGTGTGTGCCACCAACACCCGGAGCTCCTGGATATTTCTTTGGCCACTGCCTCATTCATCCTGGGACCTTCACCTGGACACTGTCCCCAGCGAGTCTCCAGGGCGGGTAAGACCATTGGAGCACCATCTCCCAGCCTCCCACAGCACCCAGCCTCCCACAGCACCCAGCCTCCCACAGCACCCAGCTCCCTGTCTGAGGACACGAGTCAGGCTCCTCCGCCTCCATGCCCCCGCCATGCAAACCCGCTCAGGGCCCTTTGGCTGTGGGAGCATCTGTGTGGGGTGAGGTAGCACTGCCCGCTTAGTCTTAGTCCCAGTGTGTGACATTGTGGCCCGGTCATGACTCAGGTAACCGGCCTGGATCCCCAGAGACGCCCTGCTATGCTTGGCCCTCCGCGTCTTCTGAGGCACAGCCTGTGTCCAGGGTTAGCCAGGTACGTACTCGGGGGAGGCTGGGGACTGCAGTGAGTGTTGGTTTGCCTTGTTGCCTTGGCACACCGCCACAGCGGCCACCTGGTAGAGCAATTCAGTAGACAAAGACCACAGTCCCGGGCCTCTGACAAGGCAGATGGGCACCCTTCATAACACGTCTGTCCCCCCAAAGGGATGCCGATGAAATGCGTCTCTTAGCTTAAGGAGGGCGTGAGCTGGTTAGACATCCTGTCTCCACTTGACACTGGCTCCACCCGCTCCAGGGACCTCTAGGAGTGGCCCCTGTGCCCTGTGTCTGGAACATGCCACTGAGCATCGAGTTCTGGGGGTCCCCCACATCTCAGTAGGTGTCAGGGGACCCTAAGCTTTTTGTTTTTTTTTAATATTCAGTGAGTCTACTTTTTATTGATTACTTGGGAATTATATCATGCACCCCAGTTCTCACCCCTCACCTGTAATCTTCCCTCTACTAGAAAAAGAAAGAAGCCGGGCGTTGGTGACGCAGCCTTTAATCCCAGCACTGGGAGGCAGAGGCAGGCGGATCTCTGTGAGTTCAAGATCAGCCTGGTCTACAGAGCGAGTTCCAGGACAGCCTCCAAAGCCACAGAGAAACCCTGTCTCAGAAAAAAAAAAAAAGAGTCCCAGACTTTAGCACAATTGACTCCACGGTGAAAGTGTTATCCAGGCCACAAAGTTGGTGCCTGCTGAAACAGGGCTCCGATGCACTAGCCTGGCCTTTGGGCTCCGTGCTCCCCTTCTGACTCACCGTTCTTGCTAACTGAAGTGTGTCTACCCAGGATGTGGTTTTTGTGCTTAAAAACTCACCCTGAGGAAAGCTCAGGCTTACGTCACTAGGGTCTAGACGAAGACAGCAGCCACAGCGTGTACCTGCTGGCTAATACTTTCTACTGGCTGAAACCTGTGTCCCACCCCACAACACCAGAGCCCACATGGGAGCTCACAGGTGCCCTTTGGCTTCTGTGGATGCCAGGTAAACACGTGCTGCACGGATACACATGCAGGCAAAACACACATGAAATGTTTAGAGAGAGCCGAGTGGTGGCGCAGCCTTTAATCCCAGCACTCGGGAGGCAGAGGCAGGTGGATCTCTGTGAGTTCAAGGCCAGCCTGGTCTACAGAGTGATTCTAGGACAGCCAGGGCTACACCAAAAAACAAATAAAAATCCAAAAAGAAAAGAAAAATTGAGGCATGGGAGACCCAACCCAGGCTCAGGCCAGGAGACACTGGCTCAGTCGTCAGGTGAAGGACCATGTGGGCTTTAGTTGGCCTGCTGACTCCCAATCCCCAGCTCATACTCTGACCGGGACCTCAGCCTAGGTAGTCAGCTACTCCTGATCGTCCCTTTAAGAGTGGCTGGCAATGCTCGATGCCAGCAATCTCATTGGCCAGAGTTGGCTCAGGCACGCCAGCCTCCTGGAGTCTGGGGCTGGTATTTTCACAGTGGATGAGCTCCGGAGACTTCTGCAAATGTGTTGCCTAGTGACCGCGGGCTTCTTGGCGTGCCGGGCTGCAGACGGACTATGGATGTACATGGCAGGCACACGACTGCACTTTGGAAGCGCCTGTGCTCTGGACCCTCTCCTACTAGCTGCCAGGGCCTGCCTCAGTTTCCTGTGCTGGCAGGCTGACTGCAAGTTTAGGAGCTTGGAAGGGCCCAGATTGGTCATTTTACATGTCTTGGTGTCACATCTGACAAGGTTAAGAAATAAGGCCTGTGTGGCTGGCTTGGTCTCTCCCTGCAGCCCTGATGCTTGTCCCAGCGTGTAGAGGTCAGCAGCCTTTTCCTCAGTCTCCCGAAACAGGCCGTGCAAGATCTCCCTGCCTCAGGCCTGACCCCACAGTCACACCAGGCATCCAGTAATACTTGGTCTCCTGCTCGAGTTTTTTTTTTTTTTATCTTCGGAGTCCCCTATGGCCCAGGAGATTACAAGCACACCCCTCCCAGGGCCTCATGGGCACCCTAAATATTAAAGTCTCCATGCACACTCCAGGTTCTACTATGTGACACCCTAAGTCCCACCAGGAAAGAACAGGTGACCAGGATCTAGACTTCCCAAAGCCACCTGGTGTCCTCATGATTCCCTCAGGAGGCAAGAGCAGGAAGACAGTGCACTGACCGCCGGTGACTGGTTCACTAGGACAGGGCGGTGACTTTGAACCAGCTGGTGAGCCAGCGTTCCCAGCCACACTGCACAGCCTCTGTCACTCCCTTAGGGACAGAGTGCAGCTGGACCCCGAGAGGGTGGGACTTGTGTGGTGTGACCTGGTGAGGACGGCCCCAAGGCTGCCAAAACATTCACAGTCTGGTCAGACCAACTCCCAGGCCACACCCACCACTCCCGGGATTCTTCCAACTCCCAGCACAGGACACCAACTGGCCCTGGCTCTGTCCTGCCCTGCTCAGTGACGGGGACAGTGAAATGACTCAGCCAGCTGGAAGGGCTGCTTACAGCCAATTGCATCAGATCAGTCTCTTGGTCACAAGGGCGAGTTTTGCTTGCATGGGTGCCTGTGTCTCCACTGGGGTGCCCTCAGTGAGCTGTCTGGAGGCAGGGAGCAGGGTGAGTGTCATGCAAACAGAGTGCACTTCACCAAACCTAATTACCTCAGCTCTACATTCTAACTTGGAGCACAGGCTGTGAACTTCTTTTTTTTGGTTTTTTGAGACAGGGTTTCTCTATAGTGTTTTGGAGGCTGTCCTGGAACTCGCGCTGTAGACCCGGCTGGTCTCGAACTCAGAGACCCACCTGCCTCTGCCTCCCGAGTGCTGGGGTTAAAGGTGTGCGCCACCACCGCCCGGCTGGCTGTGGACTCTCTCAGAGCCTGCTTGTCGTTGAGGGTTCTGTATGGAGTCCCATGAGCCTGAGGCGCCAGCATTGAGTGGGTGGAACCCTGCCCTCCCGAAAGGTACAGGTGTGTAGGTGTTCTGTAGCCGTCCCGGTGTCAGAGCTCAGTCATGAGTTCAGCTCTTGCTCACACTCATGTATGTGGACAGAATGCTGAACCCAAGGCAAGACTGGTGTACACGGAGGCCCGTGGTGGGAACAGAAGGGGAGGACAATGCTTGAGCTGGGAGAACCTGATGGCCCACTCTGTCATCCCAGAAAACTGGAAACTAAACTGAGCCACAAAAGAGTCCCCGCCTCAAAAACAGAAAAAGAATAAAACAATAAACAAAAACCTGGGCTTGGGAGCATGGCTCAGGGGTCGAGCCCCGCCCAGAATCCCCAGTGAGGGGCTGGGGGCTTGGCTCAGCAGTGAGTGCTGTCCTAGCAGTTGGAAACGTCCTAACCTGGTGGCAAAGAAGGAAAGAAAGCCAAGAAGTCAGCCTATTAGGAATTGAGCCAGCTGACACAGGAAGCTGAGGCTGTCTGCCTGGGTCCACCTCATTTCCTGTTGTCCTCCCTTTGAGTCTGCTCAAACCAAGTGCTCTGGTGGCCTTGGTCTGCCCGGCCTAACCCTTAAGCCCCTTCCAAGGCTAGCAACCTCCCTTGGAATACTGGGGTAGGGGCAGGAAGCACAGGATCTCCTTCATCCTTCCTGCCAGTCCTGGCTGTGTCTTTCCCTTGCTCAGGCTAGACCCACCCATCACCTGACCAGCCATGCCTAGCCTTGAAAGAGAGAGGAAACAGAAGTCTCAGGCAGGCTTCCTGCAAGCATTCCTTTGCAGGGAGCCACAGGGAGCCAGTGACATCTTGGGGCAGAGGTTGAGCCAATAGGGGAAGTCAGGCACTGTGGTCACCCCAGCTCCCAACCCCCATGCCGCTGCTGCTGGGAGGCCTCTGAGTGTCCCACACTACTGGAAGCCTGGCTTGTAAACAGGAGGCTGGGGGTAGAGACTTGACACAGCAAGCTGGCAGCTTGCCCGGGCAGGGCAGGGCAGGGCTGAGTGAACAGCTCCCCCGCCCTGCCTGGTACCTACAGGGTGGCACACCCCGAACTGCCACCTCAATCAGGGCTCTGCAGGTTGGCTCCTCTCCCCAGTGTCAGAACTAAACTGCACAGAGCAAAAGCTCCGGCTTAGGGTTATCCCTGTGGTCAGTGTGCGCAGCTGGCCAGGGGAGCCCATACTTGAGAGTGAACTCCAGCCGCCCCCCAGGACCACATCCCAGCCACATGTATCCTCTTAGTTTAAGATAGGGTCTTGCTTGCTAGCTCCAAGCTACTGCTGGTCTTGAACGTGACTGCTCCTGTGCCTCCTGAGAGCTAGGTCTGTGTGTGTGTGCGTGTGCCACTGCACACATGCAGTCATGGCTTCCATCTCTCGTCTGTGGGTCCCAGAAACGAGCTCAGGTTGTCCAGCTTGTTGGCAAGTTCCTTTAACAACAGATCTGAAGTCCTTGTTTATGTCTGCCAGGAAATGGTTACTCTTGACTGCCCTTGACTGAGTTAACAACCCTTGTTGGGGCATGAGGATTTGGAGATAAAGATCTGCAGACGCCAATTACTAGCAAAGACAATGTAGTTTATGTAAGTATTTCTATGGATCTGATGGGATGGGCAGGGATGGATTATAGCACTCAGGAGCCAAAGAATACTGAGTGTTACAGCTCAGATGGAAAGGTATTCTGGCAATCGGGGTCCAAGAATACCACAATAAATATAGGAGCTTACAGCCCTGGTTCAGGGAAAGGCTTCCCAGTATTATCAGCTGGTCTCTGGCAGGAGAGGGTTTCCCCAACAAAGTTGTTACAGTTCTCCTCAGGTTCCCCGGAGAGCTGAGTGTAACAACACTGCTTAGCCAGGGGAAATTTTTCCCAGTGAAAATTGTTGCAACCCTGCTCCACTCTGCTCTTCCCAGGGGCCCAGGGTCGTCTCTGCTGGGCAAAAGGAGGTCTTACCCAAATCCAGCAGAGTGGCTACCCTCTGCCACAGTGGCAGAGGACAACATGACAGATGGACAGACGCTGAACAGGCACAGGGTTTATATAGGGCTTCTTAGGGGGTGGAGTTTTTCCAGGGTGGGGATTGATCAGATTTCAATCCCAGAGCTCAGAATGACTAGATCTCCTGCTCAGGGATAGATTGGTTTTCTGCACAGGGCTAGGATCAGATTTGGCTCTGGTTTTAGGGCCAAAGTGTTTCTTTCTCTGGTCCTTTTTAGCCTTTTGGCTCCAATTTTAGGGCCAGGGTGCATTTCTTTCACTGACTCAGATTCCAGGAACAAAGTGTGTTCCTTTGGCACTGGTTTCAGGGTCAGGGTACATTCTTTGGTTCTGGTTCCAGGGCCAAAGTGTGTTTCTTTGGCTCTGCTCAGGGTGTGTTTCTTTGACTGGACCCTTTTCCCTACAGTTTGGGAGCTAGACAGATAGCTCAGAGGCTCAGTCCTGTTACGCTTGCAGAGGGCCCAGGGTTCAGTCACAGCACCCACAAGACATGGTCCACACAGCCTGTAACACCACCCCTCCTGGGCTATTCACACAGCATGTGTGTGTGCCTGCCCTGCGTGCTCACACACACACAAATAACACTCCTGATAGGGTCAGGGGGCTCCTCTCCTGGGGCTTCCCAGTTACCTAGGGATGGCCAAGTTCTGGTTCAGCAACTAGACACGCTCCAGCCTCAGTAGGGGAAGATGGGAAAACTTTTAAACAAACGAGCCTGGGCAGGGAAAACTCGCTGTGCACACAAGCATCTGAGCCAGCTGTCACAACTTCAATCACAACTTGAATCAGGGATCTGGGCCCCTCCTGCCCCAGCTACACCCACCACGGGATCCAAGGGGTTCAACAGGAAGCCATGGCTCGGGCACAGGCCAAGGGAATCCGCATTCTAGTTTCTAAGTCAAATTAGGGCGGGCTGTCTCTCCTCCTTCGGCAACAGACTCGCTACCAGGCTCAAGGACAGGGGAACATCAGTTTGGAACCGGACTCAGGTGGCCTCCGCTACCCGGAGTCTTGAATGCCATTCTGCGCAAGCGCATGATGGCCAGGGCGGCCTTTGCGCTCCGGGTGGGTACCCTCCCGGATCGCGCAGCCGCATTCGGCAACGCCGCCGCGGCCACATCGGGAACGCGCAGCGGCACTTGGCGACTCCTTAAAGCTCCGCGCGCCACTTCCCTCTCAGCGGCCTCCCCTCTCCCCCCAAAAAAGCTCGAACTGCCCAGCCCCCCAGCGCGCTGTTTGCGCAGTTGCACCAGGCGCCCCGCTAAGCTCCGCCCCCCCCCCCCACGCTGGGATCGCGCAGCCGCATTCCGCATCCCCGGCGTGCTCTTCGTGCAGCCGCCCTCGCGCCGCTGGAAGCTCCGCCTCCTCTGTTCTCTGAAAGGGGCGGGGCCTGCGCGGAGGGGCCGGGCCACTTCGGGACCGCGCTTATAAAAGCGGCCGCGCCGGTCGCGCGCGCGGCTCCTCTCGGCGGCGGTGGCCCGGTGGAGGGGTCCGCGGAGGCGGTGGTGGCGGCGCTCTTCCCGGCGCGTCCTCCGAGCGGGGTCCGGGCTGTGCGAGGTCGGGTGACGGCGCTGCGACCCCGGCCGGGGTCGGACCGCGGTGAGCGCGGCTCCGAGGGCCGTACTGCCCAGGGAGGGGGGACGCCCGAGCCCGGCGCGGGAGCTCCGCCGAGCCCCGGCCGCCTCCGCCCGGCCGAGCGCCCCGCTCAGCGCCGGCCCTTTGTCTCCTCTGCCCACAGGGTCGCCTCCCAGGCCGCCCCCCGGGCCCCGCGTCCCCTCCCCCGCTGGCGGGGCCCGGACTGAAGATGGTGCAGAAGAGAACGGCCGAACTTCAGGGCTTCCATCATTCGTTCAAGGTGAGGGGTCTCACGACGGTGGCGGGTGCGACGGATGAGCAGAGCTCTCCCGGGCGGCGGCGGCGGCGGGGCCTGGAAGGGCTTGTGCGCTGGAGGCCGTGGGGGTCAGCGGGCCGCAGCCCTGTCCCCAGTCGCCCTGGAGCTCCCTTCCAGGAACCCCCCGCGTGTGATTGCTGGGCCCATGCCCCTCGCAGGCGGCTTGGTCACAGCCTGTTTATGATCCCAGGCGAATCTCGTGCTCCTGCAGCTTCCACGTCCGCTTGTGCGGGCAGCAGGCTGCACCTGGTCTCTGGCTGCCTACTCACTCTTCCTAGCTGCCCCAGGCTCCCCTGTCAGCTCTCAGCCTGGTGTGTGTGGTCTCAGGTGAACCCTACATTTGTCCCCGTGTGCTTGATGCTGCAGCCCTGTCCCCAGCTTCCTAGGAGGTTCTCTTGCAGGACCCCTCTGCCCGGCCTCAGTCCCGTGTCCTCCACCCCACTTCGCTCTGTCTGGGAAGGTGTCAGGGGCCACAGCCCTGTTGTCAGCTGCTCCTGGCTCTTTGACGAACTCCCCCAGGTTGGATTGTGATCAGTGGCTCTCTGTTCCTTGCAATCTCTCAGCTTGGTCTCTCCCTTCTGTGTGTAGTCCCAGGGGAACCTTGTGTCTGTCCCCTGGCTGTGTGCTGGTTGGTTGAGACCAGCAGGCTGCAGTCTTGTGGGGAAACCCTTGGGCCCATTGGGGTGCTTTGCTCCACTGCAAAGCCCCCCACACCTGGTGGTGGCCTGTGGACACCTTCCCTCAAGACACCCCAGCCCAGAGTGTTAGCTACTGTCAGAACAGGAAGTTTGTGCAGTGTTGTTAATGGTGGCTGACTGAGTCTTCGTAGGTGCGAATCCTGTGGGCAGGTGCGGTACCATGGGGCCTGGCCTAAGGGGCACAGTGATGTCTTCCTGCCCACCCCACCCGGAAGGCTGGATTATATAATGGCTTCCCGGGGCAGGGTACCTGTTGCCCTGTATGAAGAGAAGGCAGGGGGTGTGTGCGCGCTTGTGTGTGCGTGTACATGCGTGAACTCCTCTGTGCGTGTGTGTGTGCGTATACATGCCTGCACTCCTCTGTGTGTGTGTGTGCGCGTGTACATGCCTGTACTCCTCTGTGTGTGCGTGTGAGTGTGTGTGTGTGTGCACCCACGCATGTACATGCCTGCACTCCTGTGGGAGGAGCATGCAGATAGGGCAGAATTCCCAGGCCTGTCCAGCCAGTGCCCCTGGCTAGCTGCCCCACCCCGGCCCAAATGCCTGTTCTCCTCGATCAGCTGCCTTTTGGGGCTGAGCAGCAATGAGAGATGGGTCTGAGAAGGTCACCGACAGTGGTTTTTGCCCTCCTGGGGCTTTGTGTGAGCCTAGATGGGGTCATCACATGGGGCCAAGAAGGCTGCCAAAGCAAACCCCAGCTTTCTGGATGGTTCTAGCCACCTCTTGCCAGGCCTGCTGACTCAAGGCCCTAGGGCAGACCCAGGGGAGGCTGGCTGGACCAGACTGGACTGCCCACACAGCACTTGGGGCTGCAGGCTGCCTCTGCATGGCCACTGTGTACAGAGCGGGGCCTGGCTGGTAGATGACCCTGCAGGTGGCTGGAGACTCGTCCCTCAAGGAATTGCCTTCTGGAACCCATCCCACATGACTGCTCCTTGGAGCTAGGCCACTGCTCCTCAAGGACCCTCGGTCTACCTGGGTTACTTGTCTGCTTTCTCTTGTTTTTCTTTCTGGGGTTTAGTAGTTGCTGGGCCTGGGGCTTCATGCTTGCTACAGACCAAACTACAGCTCCAGCTCTGTTTCCCCTCTTTTTTTTTTTTTTTTTTTTTTTTTTGGTTTTTCGAGACAGGGTTTCTCTGTGGCTTTGGAGGCTGTCCTGGAACTAGCTCTGTAGTCCAGGCTGGTCTCGAACTCACAGAGATCCGCCTGCCTCTGCCTCCCGAGTGCTGGGATTAAAGGCTGCACCACCAACGCCCGGCCTGTTTCCCCTCTTTAATGCACTAATTGGAAGCCTCTAAGGTGGCCCTGGGGGTCTCCCTTAGGGGATGTGCCCAGCCAGCTGACCCTCCTGTACAGATTGTGCTTATCCGTGTCCCCAGGCTTATCAGTTGAGACAGTGACCAGATAACATCAGAGGCTCACACTGGGCCCCTTTCACCCTTGTAAGGTTCCCAGAGCTTGACAGCTGCCTCCATCTCTCTCTCACCGCGACAGGCTGCCCAGAGAAGGGTCTGCAGGCTGAGGTCCTGGCCTCAGGCGCCCTTGTCCTTAGGCCTGGTTCACCTTCCCTTCCAGTTGCTCAGCCCGACCTTTTGTGGTACCAGTGGCTGCCCTGGTACCAAGACTCATCAGACCACTGTGTGCCCCTCCCTCTGGCCTGCCAGGGCGCCCCCCCTTTCTGCCAGTCTCCTAGTGACTTTCTGCTGGGGGCAGGTCAGCTTGCAAGGCTGTTCCTCCATTGCTGTCCGTCTGGCCTCTGATCTCCAGGTGTCTGTCTGGCTCCTTCAGCTGTAGCCCCTTAGGAATCCTCCTGGAGACTCTTTTCTCTCAGGTGACCCTGTCATCCCCTCCCACTGCGGACATCAGACTTAACCCTGGCTCCCACACCCATTCGTGGGCCACACATTGTTCTCTGGGTGGTTTGTTCACTCTGAAACTGGGGTTTGCCTCAGTTTCCCAGCTTGCAGACTACTGCGCGGGTGACGGCAGCACCATGATGAGGAAGTGTTTTTCCTTCGCCGTGTTCGTTCCTAACAGTTTCCTTCGGCCTTCAGCTTTCCCTTCCCGTCAGCCTCGAGGCTGTCCTCCCATCTGGCAGCTGGGCCTTTGGTGTCCCCTTTGGATCCCAGCCACCCTCAGAGGGTTCTTAGACATTGCAGGCTGTGGCCTGGGCAGGGTACCTCGCCTGTGAGCCTCCCCTGCCACTGGTGATGTGTACCGAATCGGCGACCCCGGGGTTGACAGTCCTCAGGAGGTAGTGACTTTGGGTGCACACAGTGAGTTGAGAGGCCGCTATGATTCGGGAAATGCCCCTATCCATGGCCCTCAGGGCTTCACATTCGTGGGAGGGACAGCATGCAGCTCAGTGAGGAGAGGTAGTGACACCCAGTGCCACAAGGAAGCGGAGGCCTGAAAGCTGAGACTGGCCCTGAGCTGTCCTGGGAGGCCATGGGAGAACAGGCTGTCTGTCCCAGTGAAGGCTGCCTGCCCCTGCCCCCCTTTAATCTCACCCCTGGCCCTGAAGTTAGCCCTCAGCCAGCCAGGCAGGCCGTGTGGCCTACACTTCCTGTCACTCAGCCCCGGACTGGGAGAGGAAGGTCATGTTCCCAGAGTCAGGCAACAGGGTCCCTCAGTGTGGTGTCTCTGTGGTGTTCCTGGCCATCTCCTACTCCATACCAGTAACAGGAGCAGGTGACAACCACAGTGTCTCCTGGTAAAACCCTGAGTTGGGATCCTGTGGACCCCAAGGGACTCTGGCTTACACAGTTCTCTGCCACTGAGGCCTCAAGACGCTTCTCATGTGGAAGCCCACATGCTGGGTGAAGAGGACAAAGAATTAGCCACAGAGGCTATCCTACCCTGAGTGTTCCTTGGGTGGCCAAGGGCCCCTGGGTGACTGCTGCTCTCTGCCTCAGCACTGTGGAGGATGATTGGGGCATTCTGGCAGAGTCACCCTAAACAAACGCCCTCCCGACAGGGGCAGAGCCCTTTCGAGCTGGCCTTCTCCTTAGACCCTGCCCAGCACAGGGACGCTGACTTCAGCCCACAGCGCGAGGCCCGTCCTGGTGAGTACCCACGGGGTGGGAACACGGGGTCCTGTGGGAGGGAGGCAGGCTGAGTACGCAGTTGACCGGGGTCTCTGTCTGCAGACATGCCTTCCAGCCAGCCCATCGACATCCCAGATGCCAAGAAGAGAGGCCGGAAAAAGAAGCGATGCCGGGCCACCGACAGCTTCTCAGGCAGGTTCGAAGGTGAGTGGGCGGCGGCTGTGGGTGGGCGGGGAGGGGAGCGCTTGCCTACTGTCCCTCACCTCTCCATCCGCATCCCAGATGTGTACCAGCTGCAGGAGGATGTGCTGGGGGAAGGGGCCCACGCCCGTGTGCAGACTTGTGTCAATCTAATCACCAACCAGGAGTATGCTGTCAAGGTGAGCAGGGCGGACCCCAGGGGCCTTTGAGCCCCCAGATGACAGCCATGGAAAACCAGTATCTAAAAGTGGCCCCAAGACTTGTGACTGAGGCCACCCTGAAAATCCAGGCCAGACCTGGAGACTCGGGAGGCTCAGTGCCAGCTGGCCTCGGCCCATCCCATGTTCCGAAGGCAGTGAACTCCAGCATGGCTACTGAGAACTGGGAGCTATGAGGCCATGCCGGCCTGCCCGTCCCTAAGGCTGGTCCTCTGACTCTGAGGGTGCCTGGCCTGGAGGAGTCATAGAAAAGCTGTATCTGCACTGGAGCCCAGGTCCTTAAGAGAAGTCCTGTGTGGTCTCCCCACTCCTGTGTGTACCTAGAGCTCTGACAGGCCAGACAACCGTGTCAGAGACGTCCTGTGACCTGAGTCTGATGGCAGCCAGAGGAGGGAAAGGAAGAGAGTCTTTTGGAAGTTAGGATGTCAAAGCTGTGGTCCCTGTCTCTGGGAGCTCCCAGCATGTGCTTAGATGATTGCTCTCCTGGTGACTCTGCAGGGCAGCCTTGTCATTTGCCATTGACAGATAGAGAGGCTGAGGCCCAGAGGGGGCAGGTAGCTCACTACTGTGATGATGGCTGCTGGGACCTGGGGGCTTCCTGATGGTGACCTCAGTGACCACTGACACCTGGGGACAGTGGAGGGCGGATGGTGAGGACCAAGGTTGGGATGGCTGGGGGATTGAACAAACACTGGGAGGGGTGGCAGGGAGGACCACTGCACTGCCTGGAGGGTTAGAGGCTCTGGTGGAGCTGTCCCCACCTCCTCAAGAGTGGGCGTGAGGGTTATTGGTTTGTTTGGGGTTTTTTTGTTTTTTTTTTTTTTGTTTGTTTGTTTTTTTTTTGTTTTTTTTTTTTTTTTTTGGTTTTTCGAGACAGGGTTTCCCTGTGTAGCTTTGGAGGCTGTCCTGGAACTAGCTCTGTAGACCAGGCTGGCCTCGAACTCACAGAGATCCACCTGCCTCTGCCTCCCGAGTGCTGGGATTAAAGGCTGCGCCACCAGCGCCCGGCGAGGGTTATTGGTTTTATCTAGACAATTTGGGCCATCCCCAGCCCTGGCTCTTAGCAATGGAAGGCCCCTTGCTGGGATGGGGTTTTGTTACTGGGTACTGGTACTGTACCCTCCAGCTGCTGAGTGAGGGTCAGGGTACCAGCCTGAGGAGAACCGGGGTCCTGGGGGCCCCTCTTCTTTAAGAGCAAAGGCTCTATAGTGCCTTCCATTTACTGGGGGCAGAGGGGCTGGCTTCCTAAAGTTCAGATTCATTGTTGGCCTAAGCCAGACCCAGGCCTTGGGGCCAGTGACCAGTCTGGTGGGGGGAGAGAAGGTAGGACTTGGTGTGGTCCTGGCTGCGCTGGCAGCCAGGTGGCCTGTTGCTTTGCCGCATGGGTCATGTGGGAGCTGAGACTGCTGGGGTAGTGGTGGTATCCGCCTGGTAGAGGGGGCTCCTGTAGGAGCCTAGCCTCAGGCAGTCCTGTGAGGGCCACGGGTCAGGGTAGAGAGCGGGCTGCGTGCTCCCACCCCGCCGCCTTTCCCTGGGCAGCAGGGGGCCCTGTGCATGCTGACACTGTCATCAGTCCCATTTCCAGGCCCTCAGACAACCATGTCCCCCAGAACTGCGGAGCCAGGCTCTGGCGCCGAGTTTACACCAGGGTCAGGTGGGCCTGCTTGTGGCTTGCCAACCCTCAGGCTGCATCTAGGCAGCTTCTCCAGGTGCCATGACCCTCCCTGCATTGCAGATCATCGAGAAGCATCTGGGCCACATCCGCAGCAGGGTGTTCCGGGAGGTGGAGATGCTGTACCAGTGCCAGGGACATAGGTAAGGTGGCCTGCCTGGGCCATCTCTCAGAACCTATCACCTCAGCAGGGCCGGGCCGGGCTCAGCTGGAAAAACAGGCTTTCCGTAGGCGCATGGCACCGTGAGGGTGTCCGCCCCCAGGCTTGGCAGCAGGTACTGAGGTCCTCACGGCGCCTCATTCTCCTTTCTGCTCTTCCTCCCAACTCAGGAATGTCCTGGAGCTGATCGAGTTCTTCGAGGAGGAAGACCGCTTCTACCTGGTGTTTGAGAAGATGCGTGGAGGTGGGTCTGGGAGGAGAGGACTGGGGGGGGGGGCGTGCAGGAGCTGGCTGGCCTGTAGGGTGACCTGGCTGTCCCTGGCCTGCACCACAGGATCCGTCCTGAACCACATCCACAGGAGACGTCACTTCAGCGAGCTGGAGGCCAGCGTGGTGGTGCAGGACGTGGCCAGTGCCCTGGACTTCCTGCACAACAAAGGTGTGGTAAGGTTGTGGAGGCTGCCCCACCCCTGGTTGCTTTAGAGGCACTCCCCCCTAACTCCCTGCTCCGCATCCCTAGGCATCGCCCACAGGGACCTAAAGCCAGAGAACATTCTGTGTGAGCACCCCAACCAGGTGAGACCCCTGACTCCCTGGGCTCCAGCTCTGCCCCTCCCCTGGGAGGCTAGTGCAGCAGGGAGCATGCAGGCAGGCTCCCACAGTGCACGTCACCCCCCCAGGTCTCGCCAGTGAAGATCTGTGACTTTGACCTGGGCAGTGGCATCAAACTCAACGGCGACTGCTCTCCCATCTCCACGCCTGAGCTGCTCACCCCGGTGAGGGCGGGGTAGGCACTAGGCTCAGGTGCTAGGCTGGCTCTGCCACTTTCTCCTGCAGCATGGCTTCCTCTTAGCAACAACCGTTGGTTGGCTGGCAGGGATGGGGGCGGAGTCGGGCCCCATCATCTGCTGCTATGGGGACGCATCAGCAGTCTTTGATTGGCTGGACCTCGGCATACCCTGACTTGTGCCTGCCCTGCAGTGTGGGTCAGCAGAGTACATGGCCCCAGAGGTGGTGGAGGCCTTCAGTGAGGAGGCCAGCATCTATGACAAGCGCTGCGACCTGTGGAGCCTGGGTGTCATCCTCTACATCCTGCTCAGCGGCTACCCACCCTTCGTGGGCCACTGTGGCAGCGACTGTGGCTGGGACCGTGGGGAGGCCTGCCCAGCCTGCCAGGTGCGCCTGCCTGAGTAGTCTTCTCCCCAGCCTGGGTCCCTGGGAGGAGAAGTGAGGTGCTGGGCTCCCCGGGACCTCAGACTGAACCCCTGGGCCCGAGCCATTTCTTTTTCTTTTTTATTTGTGTGTGTGTGTGTGTGTGTGTGTGTGTGTGTGTGTGTGTGTGTGTGCGTGTGTGTGTGCGCATTTGTACCGTGTGCCTGGTGCCTGTGGAGGTCAGCAGAAAACGTCAGGTTCCCCGAGACTTGCAGACATGAGCTGCCATGTAGCTGCTGAGAACACACTTGGGTCCTCTGGGAGAGCTGCCAGTGCTCCATCCATGGGCTGTCTGTCCATCTGTCCATCTGTGTGAGGCCTTCTCCACAGTCCCTCACAACTCAGCCGCCTCCCCACCCTCGCTAGGGCATCTGCATGGGGCCAGGGCTGCTTAGGAGTGACTCTCTCCCCCTCCCCCCAGAACATGCTGTTTGAGAGCATCCAGGAGGGGAAGTACGAGTTCCCCGACAAGGACTGGGCCCATATCTCCTTCGCCGCCAAAGACCTCATCTCCAAGCTGCTGGTCCGAGATGCCAAGCAGAGGTTGAGTGCTGCCCAAGTCCTGCAGCACCCGTGGGTGCAGGGGGTGAGCTGTGGGGCCTAAGGAGGGATGAGCTAGGAAGGTTACGTGGACACAGACTGGATATGTGGGTGGGGTCTGCCCCCCCCATGTGCCCTCTGACCTCCTGCCCTGCCCTCTTGCAGTGCGCCCCAGAGAACACCCTCCCGACACCCTTGGTTCTGCAGAGGTGAGCCCTGGGACCATGGATGTGAGTGTGTTGGACTTTTGTTTTTCTGGAGCACCTAAGCCAGAGCCTGCAGGTGTTGAGCAGGTGCCTTAGCCATGACCCCCAGCTGTCAGGGCCACAGGAGCCTCAGTGGGGCTGCTAATGGCTGTGATGTGGGCGGCGACTCTCAGCCCTCAGTACCATCTTGGCACCTGGGTGGGCACTGGGGTTGAGTGGGCTGCAGGGAAGGGCACACGCGTGTGACAGTCTTCATCCTATTCTCAGGAACAGCTGTGCCAAAGACCTCACGTCCTTCGCTGCTGAGGCCATCGCCATGAACCGGCAGCTGGCCCAGTGTGAGGAGGACACGGGGCAGGACCAGCCCGTGGTCATCCGAGCTACCTCACGCTGCCTGCAGCTGTCTCCACCCTCCCAGTCCAAGCTGGCCCAGCGGCGACAGAGGGCAAGCCTGTCCGGCACCCCCGTGGTCCTTGTGGGGGACCGTGCGTGATCCCACCAGCCCCTTGTACATACGCCCTGCCCTGCAGGGCCTGAAGGCCAGGGTCCTGGGCACCGCCCTTGCCATTCCAGGCAGCAGTTTTCCTGGGTCCTGCTAGGGGATGTTGGGTTCTGTTGGGAGGTGTTTTCTTTTTCTCTGTCCTCACCCCCCACCCTGCCTATTTGGCTTTGTTTTGTTTTGTTTTCCTTTTACCACTTTTGAAAGCAAGTGCCCAGAAGGAGGGCGGAGGGTTTGGGCCACACAGCCTGCACCCCACGATGCTCGCCTGTCAACTGTGAAGGCCACCTGCGCCCCACTCCAGCCACTGCTGTCTTCCAGGGTTGGGGATCCCGCAGGGTCAGCACCCCACGCCTCCCTCTCCCTAGCCCTCAGTACCGTCAGGGACAGGCCCTTCTGGTGAGCACAGTGGCCCATGTCTGTCCCCACCAGAGCACTCAGTCTGGGACGGGATTCCACTGTCTTGGATAGAGACCTCTGGGGTTGGGTGCATGGGGATGTCCCCATCACCTGCCTGCCCTGTCCATGCAGGGTTGACAATCAGAATCTCCTCCCAGGCTGCTTATTAGCCCCTTGCCCTGGGTCAGACCTGCCAGGGGCAGAGCTGGAGGGCGACCCGAACCCAGCTAGCTCCATCAGGAGGGGAGGTGCTGGGCAAGGACCTCATCAGCAAACACGGGGTTCCCAAGTGACTCCCACCCTTCTCAGGGCTCAGCCTGACCACGGCCACACCCTGCCCTGTGCTGCCCCTGGGTCTGGAGTTCATGAGTTCCTGGCTACCTTCTGTTACCCAGAGCTGCAGCAGCACCCAGAGGGTCCTCACCTTCCCTCTGCCCTAAGGGCAGCAGCTTGGGTGTACCTACCTTCAGGAAAGGGGCAAAAGCTGCCTCGCCCCCCCCCAGGACACCCAAGACAAGGTGGGCAGGCACTGGGTGGCCCTTCAGTGCCCCAGGCCTGGGGGCTGTTTCTAGCCACGAGCTACTATGCAATACGAGTTCCCATTTTCTCCGTGGCCCTGCTGGACGGGGGCGGCTTTGGGGGCCAGGCCACCCCGCCTGCCACTCCTCTGCTCAGGTGTCTCCAGGGCAGCCCCTGGCCTCAAAACTCCTTGTCAAGGTTGTTCATCCAGTTTAGTTTAGGCTTTTTTTTTTTTTTAATAATTTGACTTGCTTCCCTGTTCTTGAAGAGTACTTGAATGTTGGGGTGTGGTGGGTGGGGACCTGGGACACCCACTGCCCAGCACCCTCCGCCCTCCTCCCTTGTCTCATAGGATTGTCACAGTAGGGGAGGTGACATGCCTTCAGCCCTGCCTGCCTCAACACGATTCCAAAGACCCCCTGGAGGGAGGAGGACTCCCGGGCCCTGTTCTCACCCGCCAGCATGATTCTGCTGTTGGGCACCGAGGACGCCCCTGCAGGTTCTTGAAGCAACCTGACTGCACAGAGCTGATCCCTCCCCGCAAGCAGGGCTGTCATTTCCTTGGTCTCTTCCATGCCCGACCTGGAGCACGGGTCAAGACCCCTTACCTGTGAATGAGGCGATCCTGGGGTGGCTTGGCCACAAACCATGCTGAACTCTGTAAAAAGGAAGAAAACCCTGTCTCAGAGTGGGGACATGCAAGCACTTTCAACTCCATCCTATCAGGGAAAAGACCGCTACAGACTGCTTCCCACCAACTGTCAACGCCAGGATTTTGTATTCTGTTTTGTAAGGATTTAATAAAAGTCATTTAAAAATCCCTGCAGTGCCGTCACAGAGGGCGGCTGCCCGCGGGTCCTGACTTACTGGGTCACTGGACTGGCTTCTGCACATCCTCTGGATGGGTCCCAGGGAGGTGACGTCACCAGAGGGAAGCTCAAGACTGAAGAAAAACAAGCTTGGGACTTGGCAGTGCGGGGGGGGGGGCGGGGCTACTGCCCTGTGGGAGGGCTCCGGGGGTGTGGCTTGGCCCAGGCTTCCAGCGGAGGTGGACCTTGAGTTCCTTCCGCCTCTGCCCCCAGCGTTCTGGGGTGACAGTTCGTCACTCGCCTCCGCTTGTGCCAGTGTTCTCCTGACACTTCCCAGATGACCAGGAGCCCGGACTTGACCCAACGTGCGCGAGCTTACTACCCGGCAGGGCCCTGCATGTCCCCCGAGGTGGGGCCGAGGATATCCCTGCCACCCCGCAGACTAGACGTGGAAGAGGGCGGCCTCCACCAGCTTCGAGAAAACCACAAAAATAAATTCTAGAGCAACCTCGGCTAGGACGAGCTGTTCCTGGCAGGCGGCAGAGGGCAGGGAGCGGTCACCACCCAAGCTGGCAGGGCCAGCGGGGCGTGGTGCGCCTGGGAGGGTTAGAAGCTTGGCATGTGGCCCCCGCTGGAACGGTCCAGCTGGTGGCTCGGTGGTGGAGAGCCCTTCCTCAAGCCAGAAGCACACACTAGAAATGGTGGCCTAGGCTCTCCGGAGGTAGAGGCCCAGGATCCGGTGTTCAAGGTCATCCTCTGCCCAGGTAGGGACTTTGAGTCAAGCCTGAGCTACATGGGATCCTATCTGTAAAAAACAAAGCAGAAGCCGGCCTTCCGCTTGCCCCCACACCTGACCAGCTCAGTTTGGTTCCCTAGCTCCCAGAAGCTGCCCTCTGCCCTCCATTCACCCGCAGCATTTAAGAGGCTGAGATAGGATTATCAGTAGTGTGTTAGCCTGGGCTACATGAGAGCCTGTCTGTCTCAAAACGATTTTAAAAATGGTTCAGCGGGGCGGTAGTGGCGCACACCTTTAATCCCAGCACTCAGGAGGCAGAGGCAGGCGGATCTCTGTGAGTTCGAAGCCAGCCTGGTCTCCAAAAACAAACAAAAAAGGTTCAATAAGTAAATAAATCACTTGTAAATGTGAGGAAGGGAGGGGACCCCCAGCACCCACATGGGGCACGGCACAGAACCAGAATGCAAAGGGAGTGCCAATGCTTCAAGGCTCGCAGGAGGCAGAGCCCAGGGGATTGCAGACCATCCAGTCTGACACTCAGAAGCAAACGACAAAGAGGAACAATGCCTAAGGTGGCTGTCTGCCGTCCACATGTGAACCCTGCCTCCCGTCCCTGCCACACCGCCACACGCACAAGTGCACACATCTGCACCGTTCAGTCCATAAAAGTCCCCAGCTAGGCTGGGCAGTGGAGACATCCACCTTTAATAACCCCAGCACTCAGGAGGCAGAGGCAGGCGGATCTCTGTGAGTTTGAGGCTGACTGACCTACAGAGTGAGTTCCAGGACACTCAGGGCTACACAGAGAAACCCTGTCTTTTTTTAAATTAAATATCTGTTTTTAATAGTGTTTATTCTCTTTTATTAACTAGTTTTTTACATTCCAATCCCAGTTCCCCCTCCCTCCTCTCCTCCCACTCCCCCCACAGGAAGTTTGTGGTCCCATCAACTAATTGGAGCAAGACCAAACCATCTGAGAACCATGTTTTGAACCCCCCCCCAAAAAAATGTCACAAGGTAGACCAAAGAAACACATGGTGCCGTCAGTGAGACAGACATTTCGGGATGGATTACGAGCAGTCATGGCTGGTGACATGGCGTCCATGGAGGCCCCGGGAAGAGGGTCCTCTGAGGACATGGAGCCCAGAGTGGAAACATGCTCTGGTGTCTAGGGACACTCGGCCCCAGGACCTGAGTGGAGGTGGCATCTGGCATGAGAACTGAAACCCAGGGCTGTCGCCTCTGCAAGATGCAGCTTGTAGACCCAGTGCCACACCACATCCGCCTACACCCTGGGTGTCGGAGAGCGGTGGGAAGCAGGAGCAGGTCCTATCACCGGGGCTGGAGGCTGAAGTGACTGTAGTCTGGGGTCCTGGTTGTAATGGCGGGAGGGAGGGTGGAAGAGGAAAAGGTAGATGGGAGAGAAGATGACTGCCAGGGGTGCATGATGGAGATCTGCCCCCCAGTAGCACAGAGCCGCCGCCGGGTGGAGGAGATGCCGGGAGACTGGTGGAGGCTACCCCTGCCTCTGTCTCTGAGGTGCCCCTACTAAGCAGATGTCTGGGGCCTGGAGAGATGGCTCGCTCTTAAGGGCACTGGGTGCTCTTATAGAGGACCTGGATTTGATTCCCAGCACCCACATGGTGGCTCACAACCATCTGTGACTCCAGCTCCAGGAGATCTGATGCCCCCTCCTGGCTTCTAGAGGTACTGCACACACGTGGCAATTGGACATATACAGGAAAACACCCACACACATAAAGTAAATTGTATTTATTGAGCATTTACTGAGTGTGCAGATTTGAAATTGTTTCAGTGTTTATATGATATAATCTACCTTTTGAGGCTGGTGATTGTGTGTGTGTGTGTAGGCCAGAGTTAACAGCAGGTGTCTCACTGATGAGCTAGGCTGCCTGGTCAGTGAGCGGCAGGGTCCTCCTGTTTCTGTCCCCCAGTGCTGAGATTGTGTGAATGCATTACTGCACCCACATTTGTTTGTTTGTTTAGACAGGGTTTCTCTGTGTAACAGCCCTAGCTGTCCGGGAACCAGGCTGGCCTTGAACTCACATAGATCCTCCTGCTTCTGCCTCACAAGTGCTGGAGTTAAAGGCGTGAGCTGCCACCACCCAGCCTGCACCCCACTTTTTTTTTTTTTTTGGTTTTTGTTTTTTGGTTTTTCGAGACAGGGTTTCTCTGTGGCTTTGGAGGCTGTCCTGGAACTCGCTCTGTAGACCAGGCTGGCCTCGAACTCACAGAGATCCGCCTGCCTCTGCCTCCCGAGTGCTGGGATTAAAGGCTGCGCCACCAACGCCTGGCTTAAGCGTTATTTTTTCTAAATTTGTTTGCAGGGTTAGAATTTGTCCGTGTGAGACAAAGGCTTAACTTCTGAGCCGTATGCCCATTCTCCATTTCTGTTGCTGTATAATTCTTGTGTGCGCTCAAGCACTTGCCCTGCACTGGGTCTGTGTACCACACCCATGCCTGGTGTCTGAGGAGCCGGGGGCGATTCGGAGGTCCCTGGAACTGGAGATATAGACGGTTGTGAGCTGCAGTGCGGTTGCTGGGAACTGAACCTCTGTCTTGTGGCAGAGAAGCTGGTGGTTAACCGCTGGGGCATGAGGCCCATTACTGTATTTTATATTTTTTTGGTTTTTCGAGACAGGTTTCTCTGTATTGTTTTGGAGGCTGGCCTTGAACTCACAGAGATCGGCCTGCCTCTGCCTCCCGAGTGCTATATTTTAGACTGGGTCTAATGTAGCCCAGGCTAGTCTCAAATTCACTCCATAGCCGAGGTTTACTTCGAGCTCCTGATCCTCCTGCCTCCAACTCGTGAGTACTAAGATGACAGGTGTCCTCTGCATGCCCGGTTTACTCAGTGCTGGAGACAGAATGCTGGACTGTATATTAGGCCAGTGCTGACTCCCTGAGCACTGTAACAGCAGAACTAACAATGGAGTTGTTGATTTAAAATTTTCGCACAGGGGCTGGAGAGATGGCTCAGAGGTTAAGAGCACTGACTGCTCTTCCAAAGGTCCTGAGTACAATTCCCAGCAACCACATGGTGGCTCACAACCATCTGTAATGAGACCTGGTGCCTTCTTCTGGTCAGCAGGCATACATGTAGGCAAAACACTGTATACATAATAAATAAATAAATCTTTAAAAATAAATAAATAAATAAAATTTTCGCACAAGGGCACACAGAAGGAAGAAGTTTGGAAGAAATGATTGAAATAGTGGGATGATATTAGTTGGTAACAGGGCTGGGGACAGAGATTGCTTGTGGGGAAGAAATGATCTGCAGAGTGGGGTAAGTGGGAGACAGTCTCACCTTTGGGGAACCCACGATGAGCCTGTTCATCACTGTATAGCTGACTGTCCCAAGGCCCACCCTCACCCACAGCAGCTGAGTTTGCAGTTTAAAGCCTTCCGGTCAAAATGATTCCATAGCAAACCAATGTATTTGGATTAGCACATTGTTGTCTCTCTAATTGGGTTTGTGTGCTTGTTTTACTATATATTTTGAGATATGGTCTCACTCTGTAGACCCCGCTGGCCTTAAACTCACAGAGATCCATCTGCCTCCTGCATGCTAGGATTAAAGGTGTGTGCCTTTAACACTCAGCCATCAGTAGATTTTTTTGTTTTCTATTTCCTGAGACAGGGTTTCTCTGTGTAACAGCTCTGGCTATTCTGGAACTGGCTTTGTAGACCAGGTTGACTTTGAATTCCCAGAGATCTGCCTGTTTCTGATATTAAAGACATGTGCCATCACCACCCAGCTGTAAAGTTTATTTATAAAAAAGCAAAGATAGGTCAGACCATCGTGGAGCTCACCTTTAATTTGAGCATTTGGGAGGCAGAGGCAGGCAGATCTGTCAGTTTTAAGCCAGCCTGGTCTACAGAGTGAGTTCCAGGACAGCCAGGGAAACACACAGAAACACACAAAAACAACCACAAGAAAATAAAATTTAAAAAAAAGCAAAAGGAAAACAGGGAGCATGATGGTGTAGGGCGCCCTCTAGAGGCCCGGTCTGGTTACAAGAGAGAGGAGAAAACACCATAAATTAACAAAAGTCTTTTAAGGAGAGTGTCACTGAAGCTTGATTCATGATCCATACTGAGAAAGTGAGAGGATTTCTCAGAACCCAGTGCCAGCCAGGGAGACATAGTCACTTACCTCAGAAAATGGTAGAGGGAATTTCTGTGGTACCGCTCAGTGTGGAGCCCCACCTAGAATCCTTCAGTGAGGGACTGGGGCGTGACGCTGAGCAGCTACATGGAGGGACATCCCCAACATTAGGACAAGTGACCCTCTGCAAACAATACCAACCACAAATGCCGTAGGCCATAGAGGAGGGCACAGGACACGGGGCGTGAAGACCAGGTCCCTACCGTCCTTTTGGGGAAATGTCTGGGTTCTGTGAGACCTGCTTTCAAACAGCAGCCTGATTCTGTGACCCCTGAACATTTCTCTCATGCTCACTCTCTGTATGTCTAAGGAGCCTCTGCTGCTGTGTCTTCACGTTTAGAGTGCCATCTGCTTATTGTTGGAAGGGAATAGGGCCAGAGCTTAAGGCAGTGTTGAATTCTAGGTGTGGCTTCACCCTGACCAGCTGTGTCTCCTTGTGTTAGAACCCCAGAAGAAGGGCCTTCAGGACCAGCCCGCGTCACCCATGGTCCAGGGACACCACAGGGTCTAAGGACAAGGCAGGACAATGGTTGGGCGGTGGTGGTGTGTGTCTTTAATCCCAGCACTCGGGAGACAGAGGCGAGGCAGGAGGATCCCTTATGAGATAGTTCAGGGCCAGATTGAGTGAGTTCCAGGATAGGATGGGGGAGTGTAGGCATTTCGGTCGGATCGGATGGGTCAGGTATTCTGGCACTCGGGAGTCACAGAATACTGAGTGTTACACAGCTCAGATGGAAAGGTGTCCTGGAGCTCGGGAGCCAAGGAACACCACAGGCCGCAGTAAGCTTGGCAGTTTACAGCCCTGCCTCAGGGAAAGCCTTCCCCTGTGTATCGGCTCAGCTCCGGCAGGACAGGGTCTTCCAGCTGGCGATGTTTGCCCAGTGTAGCAGTTTTACTCCTCCAGCAGAAGAAAGTTTCCTGGGCTAAGTTGCTACAGTTCAGCTCTTCTCCCGGAGAGCAGAGACTGGAGAGCCCAGCATAACAACTCCGCTCTGCCAAGGGAAGGTTTCCCCGGCAAAAATGTTACAGCCCTGCTCGCTCTGCCCTGCCCAGGGTTGCCTCTGTTCCACTGCAAAAGAAGGTCTTCACCCAAAGCTCATCCAAGGGGTTTATTGGGAGGAAAGAAATCCAGGAGAGTGGCTGTCCTCTGCCAGAGTGGCAGAGGACAGCCAGGTAGCCAAACAGCCACAAGCTGAACAGACACAGGGTTTATATAGGGCTTCCAGGGTGGGGATTGGTTAGATTTTAGTGCTGAGCTCACATTGGCTAGAGCTCTGCTTGAGGATTGGATAGTTTTCTGCACAGGGTTAGGGTCAGATTTGGCTCAGGTTTCAGGGCTAAAGTGTGTTTCTTTCTCTGGTCCTTTTTAGCCTTTTGGCTCTAGTTTTAGGGCCAGGGTGCATTTCTTTCACTGGCTCTGATTCCAGGGACAAAGTGTGTTTCTTTGGCACTGGTTTCAGAGTCAGGATACGTTTCTTTAGTTCTGGTTGCAGGGCCAAAGTGTGTTTTTTCTTTGGCTCTGCTTGTCCGCTCAGGGTGTGTTTCTTTGACTGGACCTTTTTCCCTACAGAGGGGGGGGGGCTGCTCAGGCAGGTCCTTATCTGACTCCTCACGGCAGAATTTAGAATAAACTACACTGTGTTAGGATTAGGACTGTGGGCGTGGGGCACAGCTGAGTGTACAGGGATCCCCAGACTCTATTCCCAGCAAGGCGAGTGAGCCACATCAGCATTCAGGAACTGGATGTCAGGAGTTCAAGGTCATCCTCAACTAAGTAGTCTGAGCTACATGAGAGTGCCTTTATTTATTATTTATTTATTTTTGGCTTTTTGAGACAGGGTTTCTTTGTGTAGCTTTGGAACCTGTCCTGGAACTCACTCTTACAGACCAGGCTGGTCTCGAACTCACAGAAGTCCACCTGCCTCTGCCTACCGAGTACTGGGATTAAAGACATACACCACCACTGCCTGGCGTTATAGAGATGTTTTATGAACACTTCAAGAGCAAAGTCCCTTAATAGCAGGTGTTTAAAGATGGTTACCCCAATTCCCAGCCTTTGGCTACAAAGAACAGAACAGTGACTGGACTTGTCCAAACAGTACAGACACTTATTAGCTGTTGGGACAAAAGTCTCTGAGCTGTCATGGCCTACAGGCAAGGTGTGATCCAGGCTGTTGAGACCTGTTCAGATGGGTTACCCTGGGGCTGGGACTTCTTCCTCTCTGGGAGGGGGTGAGGACAAGCACCTCCCATCCCCACCCCTCTGCAGAACCTGTTTCTGGATAGAAAATCTTGAGACTCAGGCCTGAGCCAAGTAACTGGTGTTGATCTCTCTCTCTCCTCCCTGCTTTCCTCCTGTCTTTAAATTTTATTTATTTAAAAAATGTTTAGTCTGAGGCAGGGTCTCCCTAAGCAGCCTTTTTTTTTTTTTTTTGGCTTTTCGAGACAGGGTTTCTCTGTAGCTTTGGAGGCTGTCCTGGAAAGCAAGACACTAGACTGCATTCCCAGGCAGGCACAGGCCAGGGTGCCAACCTTCAATGGCCGCAGACAACACCATGCACCCGAACCTCAGGTCTGGTCCGGCGTCCCCTCCTCTTCGCTCTGCCTGGCCTCACAGCGTTCTCACCTCCTTTTCTGGGATCTTACGTCCTACGTCCCGACCATGAGCTGGGTCCGCTAGGCTGAGAGCTGGGGCAAGCGTGTGGTGGGATCAAGGCTTCTCTAACAGGGCCCCGAGCGCGCCTCATCCTCAGCGCCTCCCACTCCTCCCACTTCCCCGCCCCAGCTTCCCCCACCCACCTCTTCCCCTCCATCCCGACTCCTCCGCCACCGCCCATGGCCCCGCCCTCCTCCCGTGACCCCGCCCCTCCGCCTCCTCCCCCTCGGCTGCGCCGTCTCCGCCCTCCCTGCCTTCTCTCCCTGCATCCATTCCTTCCTCCTCTAACCGCCCTTCTCCACCTGTCCGCCCCCCCGCCGCCCCGCCCCTCCCTCTGTCCCTCCTCCGGCTGCTTCCCCTGGGTCCTCCCCTCTTCCCCTTCCCCCGGACTCACCCCGCTCCTCCCCCACTTCTGCTCTCCAGGGCTCCTCCGCGGGCGGCCCTGCCCCTATCTTCCTGGTTCTGCCCCTCTTCCCGCTGCCCCTCCTCTCCTCCTGGTCCCCTCCCTCTCCAGGCTCTGCCTCGGTGACCTCTGCACACCTCCGCCTGCTCTTCCCACCCCTGCCCGTGCTCCGCTCGGGGGCCAGCGCCTCCGTAGCCCCGCCCTCCTCCCCAGCTCTTCTCCGCGCCCCTCCCCGCGTCACCTCACCTCCTCTCGGCCCGTCGCTCCCGTTCCCCCCCCTCTGACCTAGTATCCACCCCCTCCCGGTCCCCCTCTCTCCTCCCCCGGCTCGCTCCAGGCCCCGCCTCTTCCTCGTCTGACCTGGCTGTGCCCCGCCCCTTCTCCCTTCCCAACGCCCCGTCCTAGCTCCTCTCTCCTCCGCTCCTCGCTCCCTCTGCCCCTCCCCACCTCTGCTCCCCGTCTGCCCTCCTCCCCGGCTCCCTCTGCATGCCCCACCCCTTCCTAGCCCTGCCCTGTCCCCCGCCCCTCTGGCTGCCCGTCCGCTCCTCCCTCTTTCCCTCCTCCCCCGGCTCCTCGCAGGCCCCGCCTCCTCGGAGCCCCGCCCCTCAGCCCTCGCCTTCCCTCGCGCCTCTCAGGTTCCGCCTCTTGACGGCCCCGCCCCAAATGAACACGCCCTCCGTGGCCCCGCCCCCGCGCCGCAGCGACAAGATGGCGGCGGGCGGCAGCGGGCGTGCGTCGTGCCCGCCGGGGGTCGGGCCTGGCACGGGCGGCCTGGGGCCCAGCGCCAATGCCGCCGCGGCCGCCGGCAATGCCGCTGCCTGCGCCCCGGGGCCGCCGCCCCCTCCGTCCCCGCCACCCGGGCCCGGGCCGGACGCGCAGGCCGTGGGCGACGAGCGCGACGACGCGGGCCCGGGCGCGCTGCTGCGCGAGCCCGTGTACAACTGGCAGGCCACCAAACCCACGGTGCAAGAGCGCTTCGCCTTCCTCTTCAACAACGAGGTGCTGTGCGACGTGCACTTCCTGGTGGGCAAGGGGCTCAGCTCGCAGCGCGTCCCTGCGCACAGGTGGGCCGCCGGGACGCGCCCGGACCCCGCAACCCTAGACCCTGCACCCCTGGACCCTGAACCCCACCCGGACCCTGCACCCCAGGAACCAGCGTCCTGGAACCCTGCACCCTACCCAGGACCGTGCATCACAAGCCCTGCACCCCAAACCCCGTATCCTACCCAGACCCTGCACCCCATCCCTTCCCCTCCCGCATTCTGCACCTCACCTGGGCCCTGCACCCCATGAACCCAGCACTGTAGGACCCTGCAGCTGAGACGCTGAAATACCTAGGATGTGATCCTCAGACCCCACATCCCCGGTCCCCGCACCCCAAGCCCTGCAGTCAAACCTTGGACCCTGCAACCCTAATATCAAGACGCTGGACTGCATCCAGATCCTTTACCCCTAGATTCTGCATCCCAGGCCTTGCACCCCAAGAACCTACAATCCCCCCAGGACCATGTATCTCAGACCGACACCACCCAGACCTCGTGTCACCCCGAGACTCTGAGTCTAAAGCCTTGGGCATTCCTGTTGCTCACCTGAACCTAGTTATCGGACACCCCTACATCACAGTCCAGTCCCTGAGCATGGGGAGCCCGCGCTCCTGGACTCCCTTCTGGGTCCTGCCTCTCTTGGACCTGGTCCTCAGGTCCTGCTCCTGACCCTCCGTCTAGGACGCATCCTGCTCCAGGCACCCTCCGGCCACCCCACCACTCCTGGTCTCTAGCTTGTCCAATTCCTAGGACCCCCTTTCCCTCCTCACCCCACCGTCTGAGCAGGGTATCTTTCCCCAAGACGCCCGTACCTCCCTGGCTACCCTGCTCTTGCCTCTCATCCTGGGCTCCCTGGCTCCCGAGCTAGCGCCCGAGATCTCACCAGACACATCTAATTCATGCTCCCACTGAGCTCTTTGGGAGTGGGCAAGGGCCCTGCACCGTCTTAAAGGAGTCGGCTCTCAAGGGTTTCCAGATGAGGAGCAGTGGGCACCACCCTGCCGATGCTGTCCTGGGCACATCTGAATACTTGTGATAGTTCCTTTGCTTGGCGTCAGAATGGGGAACGTAGACCCAGGGGAGGAGCGAGGTGGTCTCTTCCTGTTAGGAGTGCTGGGGTGTGTGTGTGAGAATCTCATAGCAAGGACAGAACAGGAAGATGGAGGGGTCCCACGTCCCCCAGGAAACTTGCAGAGAAGGGGATGTGGCAGGTGGCAGGGTGGGCAGTGGAGGACGTGGCACCGTGGCTGAGAGGTTAGTGGTCTGAGTTGTTGGGCAGCGTCAGAAAGGGTCCTCCATCTTGAGCTCTCTGGGCCTCAGTTTCCATGCCCGCCGTACTGGACTTATAGCCCTGTCTGGGGTTGCTGGGGTGTGGTGACTCCATATGTGCTTATAACTGTCCCTCGTGGTTCGGCTGGAGTTCGCTGGTTGCTGTGGGGAGGGGACATGTAGGTCACACGTGGGTGGTGGCATCCCTGGGCCTGACTCCCGCCTAACACCGTTGCAGGTGACTAACGGCTGAAAATTTGGAGGAAAGCAGTGTGGTGATTCACCTTTTTTTTTTTTTTTTTTTTTTTTTTTGGTTTTTCGAGACAGGGTTTCTCTGTATTGTTTTGGAGGCTGTCCTGGAACTCACTCTGTAGACCAGGCTGGCCTCGAACTCACAGAGATCCACCTGTCTCTGCCTCCCGAGTGCTGGGATTAAAGGCTGTGCCACCAGCGCCCGGCTGTGATTCACCTTTTGCCTGAGGCAGGGGACTGCAAATTCCTAGGAGATCCTGTCAGCAAAAGTCAGAAGAGTCTTAGTCTAGTCTTTGGGGAGCAGAGGGAGGTGAATCTTTGTGAATCAAAAACCAACAGCAAATTCCAGAACAGCCAGGACTACATATTGAGAGTCTGCCTCAAAAAACAAACAAAAAAGAATAATCAGAAAAGAAAAAAAACTAAGCTGAGGACTTGGGGCATGGCTCCTAAGACTCCCCCGGAGAGGGGCTGGGGCTGTGGCTCACTGGAGGCAGGAAGACGGTTCAGGGTTAAGAGAGTATGCTACGTGCTCTTGTGGAGGACAAGCTTCGATTCCCCGTGTCTGCCTTGGTGCCTTGAAGCAGCTTGTAGCTGTAGTTCCTGGGGTTCTGGCTTCTGGTCTCAAAAGGCACTTGTACTCATTCCCGTAATTTAAAAGGAAAGGGAGATTAAGGAACAGCCCCTTCCAGCCTGGGAGACTTAGGAAGGACCCTCCCGGAGGCCTTGCATAGCCTGCGCAGACCTGGCTTCCTTAATGTGGTCTTCAGGGCCCTGTCGTATTCTGTCCCTTTGTTTTGGGGTCCTGAGGACCTGTGTGTGTGGTGGACAAACTCTTCACTGAGGCATGTCCTGAACCTCTGGGTTCCTGTGGTTTCTGGCCACTGTGTGACCATAGAACATATAACCCCACTGTAGTCAGATCGAGGGCAGCACCTGGCTGGGCCTTCGTCAAGGTCACAAATGACAAATGTGAGGGATCTGCCGGCCTAGAGGAGCACTAGCGTCTCATGCTGGCTCAGGTCCTGGTTGGGACTGACATTAGAGGAGACCTGTGTGACACCTGAGGCCACCCAGAGAAGCTGAGTGGTGCTCGCCTGTCACCAGCTCTCTGGAGGCTGAGGCAGGAGGATCTGGAGTGCATTCTTGGCTACATAGTGAGTTTTAGGGCAGCCTGAGCTACATGAGACCCTATCTACAAAACAAACAAAGCAGGAATTGGGGAGACAGTTCAGAGGATGAAGGTTTGCACCTACATAAAAGCCAGATAGACAGCTGTGAAGATAGGGAGTCTTTGGAGCTACCTGGCTGGCTAGAGCCTGGAATTGGTGGGCTTGGGGTACAGAGAGACCCCGTCTCAGTAGAGAGAGTAGAGTGTGACACCCAGTATTGACCCGCCAGCAAACTCACTGAAAGGGCCAGATTTCTGCTGGGGTTGTCTGTAGCTCAGTGGTAGAACACTTGCCTTAAGATGTGTAAGGTTCGGGCTGGAGAGATGGCTCAGCAGTTAAGAGCACTGACTGTTCTTCCTAGAGGTCCTGAGTTCAATTCCCGGCAACCACATGGTGGCTCACAACCACCCTGAATGAGATCTGGTACCGTCTGCTGGCCTGCAGGCAGAAGGCTGTATACACAATAAATAAATAAAATATTAAAAAAAAAAGAAATACAATACAATTAAAAAAAAAAGATGTGTAAGGTTCGCCGGGCGTTGGTGGCGCACGCCTTTAATCCCAGCACTCAGGAGGCAGAGGCAGATGGATCTCTGTAAGTTCGAGACCAGCCTGGACTACCAAGCGAGTTCTAGGACAGCCTCCAAAGCCACAGAGAAACCCTGTCTCGAAAAAAAAAAAACCAAAAAAAAAAAAAAGATGTGTAAGGTTCAGGGTTCAAGCCCACAACAGAGAGAAGAAATGTCTTGTCCAGTTATTGGCTCCATAGCAACTGTTCAACTTGGCTGTAGCCATGGGCAGAAGGAGCTTTGAGGATGGGTGCAGCTGTGTGTGTGTTTAGTTGTTTTGTTTGGTTTTTCGAGACAGGGTTTCTCTGTGGCTTTGGAGCCTGTCCTTGAACTCACTCTGTAGACCAGGCTGGCCTCGAACTCACAGAGATCCGCCTGCCTCTGCCTCCCAGGTGTTGGAAACAAAGGTGTGCGCCAGCACTGCCCAGCTTTGTTATTTGTTTTTATGTGTACAGGTGTTTGCCTGCGTGAATGTCTGTGCACCATGTGCATGCAATGTCCGGAGGAGCACAGCTGCTTATGAGCTACTGTGTGGGTGCTGGGAACTGAACTCGGGTCCTGTGGAAGAGCACTAACCACTGAACCTTCCCTCCTGCCACTTGTTTTTGTTTTGACAGAGTCTCATGTAGCCCAGGCTGGTCTTGAATTCTATGTTGCCAAGGATTACCTTGAACTCCTGACCCTCCTCCTGCTACCTCCCCATGCTGGGATAGTGCATGTACTCCATCATTCCCGGAACCCAGGCTCAGTCCATGCCAGCGAGCGCTCCACTCGTGGAGCCTGGGTTCTGGCAGTTGAGTGCCTGTCCTAATGTTTTCGTTGTTGTTTGGTTTTTAGACAGGCTGGCCTGGAACTGTTGCGGTCCTCCAGCCTCAGGGCTGAGATGCCAGGCCTGCGCCTCCATGCCCTGCTCCTATGGAGTCTCAGGGGCCACACACAGATCCCACCACACCTTGCCACGGGCTTCTGAAGCCCCTGCATCAGCTCGGGGACCAGTGGGCAGAGCGTCTGCCTGGGATGCTTGTCCTGGGGTGCGTGGGTCCTCCTGAAGCCATCTGCTGCCCTCCTCCTGGTGGGTAGCTCTCTCACTCGGGACAGGCTGCCCTGCTTCGGCTGTTGTGTGTCTCTGGTCCCTCCTGAGGAGCTGGCCATGTGGCTCAGGGCCTGGCGCCTCACCAAGCTCCCATGCAGTCCACGCCGCCCCCCCCCCCACCCGCCTGGTGCCCTCTTGTTGTGTTTTGTTTTCTGAGACTGCATCGCGCTGCGTGGCCTGGCTGGCCTCCAGCTCACCACAATTCTCCTGCCTCAGGCTCCTGGGGCCTGGGATGACAGGTGTGTGTTTCCGTGCCTGGCCTATTTACTCACTTATTTTATCTTTTATTTATTTATTTATTTTGTGTTCATTGGTGGTTTGCCTGCGTGCATGCCAGTGTGAGGGAACCAGAGTCCCTGGAGCTGGAGTTGACAGTTGTGAGCTGCTGTGTGGTTGCTGGGAATTGAGCCCAAGCCCTGTGCCAGGGCAGCCAGGGCTCCTAACCCCTGAGCCATCTCTCCAGCCCCATCTGGCCTATTACCTTTCTTAGCAGTCCATTCATGTAAGTTGGGAAAACGTTGTTTATTGTGTTCTCTTCAGATTCCCTTCATAGCTGACAGTGCTGGCGCACGCCTTTAATCCTAGCGCTTAAAAGGCAGAGGCAGACAGATCTCTGTGAGCTCTAGGCAAGTCTGGTCTACTTGGCAGGTTCATGGCTAACTAGGGTTTTGTTTTGTTTTTCAAGACAGGGTTTCTTTGTGTGGGCCTGGTGGACCTGGAACTTGCTCTGTAGACCAGGCTGGCCTTGAACTCAGCAGTGTGACTCTTTAAAATAAATAAGTAGTGCCGGGTGTTGGTGGCTCATGCCTTTAATCCCAGCACTCGGGAGGCAGAGGCAGGTGGATCTCTGTGAGTTCGAAGCCAGCCTGGTCTACAAGAGCCAGTTCCAGGACAGCCTCCAAAGCCACAGAGAAACCCTGTCTCAAAAAACCAAAAAAAAAATAATAATAATAAAATAAAATAAATAAGTAGTGCATTCCCTCCGTTTTCAACACTCCATTTTAACTCACAGGAAGCTGAGTTGGAATAATAGGAGTTTAGGTTTAGCCTTAGCTGCATAGTTTTGTCTAAAGAAAAAAGATATGTATATATTTTTGAGGCAGGGTCGCACTCTATAGACCAGGCTGGCCTGGACTCACAGAGATCCGCCTTCCTCTGCCTCTGTGTGCTGGGGCCAAAGGTGGGCCCCTGCTTGGCTTTTTACATTTGAGATAGGATCTGGACTCATGCCCTGTTGAGTGTCAGCGTGCCTGTGCGAGCCTCACTATTTGTGATCGCTGTGTGTTGTTGGCACAGGTGTCTGCGTTCACAGCAGGCCGCTCCATCTGTAAGGCTCCGGCCGTGTCCTGTATGTGCAGATTTATGGTCCCAACATTGAGACTGAGGCAGGAGGATCTTGAGTTCAAGGCTGGCCCAGGCTATGTGGGTAAGACCCCATTTGAAACAAAGAAACAACAGCAAAGATCTATTTTAATTGTGTGTGCATGTGTGTTCATATGTGTATGTATGTTTATGCACATGTTCCCATGTGTGTATGTGTGCACATGCATGTGTGAACATATGCGTGTGCTCACACAGGTGTTCATGTGTCTATGTCAGTGAGTGTGCCTGCCTGCAGAGTTCAGTTTCCAGGTCCCTGACACTGGTAGCAAGTGCCCAACATGGGTGCTAGGAGCTGAACATGGGCTTTTGGCAGGAGTGGCTTGTGGTCTTAGCCGCCGTCTCTCCAGCCCCCAGTTCACCACTTTAATTGTGCCTACGCCCGGGTGACTGGGACGGCGTCCGCTGACATAGTGCAGCCAGCGCTGTTGTCCAGCAGGCGCAGCAGTCAGCAGTCACTCCTGCGCCTCCCTGTCCTCTGGTTGCCTCACTGAGCATGATGTCTCCGTTCCCAATGCTCCAGAATGTGTGACGTAGCCTTGTTCCTGTTCATGGCTGTGTGGTACTCCAGTGTGTAGAACGTCTGATCACACTTGGTCCGATGTGGGCTGTTCCCACCTTTGGCTGCTGGGAACCCTGAGTATGTTTTAGCAGGCATGTGTATGTCCCTGTCACCTGCAAAGAGCTCCAGAAGCCATAGTGGACAATAGAAGTGTACAGGGAAAGGCTGGTGGCTGGGATGTCTGCCGGGGAATGGAGGCAGGGACAAGCAGGGTTTCCGGGGCCTCCCTTGGGACAGGTTGTCCCATTGCTGTGAGTCACAGAGGGCCTCCATGTCAGGCGCAGCTGGGCGCCTGAGTTTCTGGTTTGGGTTTCTGCGTGGTCAGTGGAGGCGCTGGCAGGGAAGTTATTTCTGGCTTACTGCTGCATGGCCTGGGCCCTCGAGCCTCTGCTTTGATGAACATTCAGGGTTCCCAGCCTCCACCTGGGCCAGGATGGGGAAAGGAGCTGGAGGACTGCGGGTCTGTGACTGAGACCTCAGAGCCAAGACCCTGGTCTAGCCAGCTGCACTCTGTCCAAGGCCCCCAGGCGGGTCCCTTCCGACTATCAGAACACCAGGCTCCGGTGTTTGCCTCAGTTTCTCCACTCTGGCTTTGCAGTGATGGGCATGAAGTCTATAGGTATGCACATGCCAGAGGGGTGCTGTATTGCTGAGCAATGCTCCATCCCCTCACTGGGCAGTCTAAGCAGGGGCTCTATCCCTGACCACGCCCCCAGCCCCTCACTGGGCAGTCTAAGCAGGGGCTCTATCCCTGACCACGCCCCCAGCCCCTCACTGGGCAGTCTAAGCAGGGGCTCTATCCCTGACCACGCCCCCAGCCCCTCACTGGGCAGTCTAAGCAGGGGCTCTATCCCTGACCACGCCCCCAGCCCCTCACTGGGCAGTCTAAGCAGGGGCTCTATCCCTGACCACGCCCCCAGCCCCTCACTGGCTTCTAGGCAGGGCTCCATCTCTTTTTCTTTTTTCAGACAAGGTCTTACTGAGTTACCCAGGTTGCCCTGAACTCCCGTTGTGCTTTGGTTCCTGCATAGCTGAGGTGACAGGTCATGTCCAGCCAGCTGTCAGCTCCTCTGAATGTCTGCTCGTGTTTCCCTCGTGAAGGCGCCCGCCTCCCTGCTTCCTCTTTGATTAGTCTCAGCTAATTCCTCTTGGGAGGGCCAGTTCCCGAGAGAGGCTCTGGTGTGCTCGGTTGCTACCTGGGACATGGTGGTGCCCAGTCTGACCCCTGTCCAATGTGACAGACAGTTGGCAGTGGCCAGACTGGGTAGGAGGGAGCTTGGGTACTGTAGGCCAGCGAGGCCCGTGTGCCCGTGAGAGGGTGTGCCCTCAGGGTGGTAGGCTCTGTGGAGGTTGCAGGCTCCTCATCCCTCAGCAGTGGCCCTGCCGCGGCTGCTGGTCCTGTCCTACTCCTGCGTGGGCCGTCTACATGTCCAGAGTGTCCACTGGAGAGAGCACTGGGCTGGCCCCATGGCCATTGTCTCCACCAGAACATGAGCTGTGTTCCAAGCTGTCACTGCCGGTCTTTTTTTTTGTTTGTTTGTTTTTGGTTTTTCAAGGCAGGGTTTCTCTGTGGCTTTGGAGGCTGTCCTGGAACTCACTCTGTAGACCAGGCTGGTCTCGAACTCACAGAGATCCACCTGCCTCTGCCTCCCGAGTGCTGGGATTAAAGGCTGCACCACCAATGCGGGTCTCCCTGTCAGCTCTTACAATGCTTTTGTTGTGGATGTCTGCACGTGTTGGGGTGTCAAGCGGGCTCTCCCATGTGGGTGCTTTGCTAATGTCAGGTGTCTCCATGTTTTCTGAGGTGGGGTCTCACTGAACTGGCGTCACTGTGGGTCTTGAACCCGGCCGTCATGCCCTCCATCTTGTCCTGGCTCACCCACACGGCTCCATCTGGAGTGGCCGTGGCAGTCACGTGACCCGTTTGCATTTCATTACTGACACCACCACAGGTTCCTCAGGCTCTTCCCTGCCCTTGCCCCAAGCCCTCCTGCCCTTCCCAGCTGCTGCCCAGCCCCTGGAGTCCAGTCCGCTTTCCCTTGTGAGGGCCGGATCCCCCTGCCTGCCATCGTGGCCTGGAGATTTGATGAGAGCGGGAAGGGCCAGGTGAATGGATGAGGGAGTGAATGAGGGAATTGGGGGGTGAGCAGGCGTGAGCATGAAGAAATGTGGCGCTGCCCTCGTGCTGGCCCCTCTACAGCCTCCTCCTTCCGGTTCCTCCTTCTAGACGTATCTGAGGTCCAGAAAGGCCTCCACCAGGGTCTCTGCAGGTGGGTGTGATCGGGCCTCTGACTGGCCTGGGCCAGCAAGACTCACGGACAGGCGCCCTCTCTTCTGGCTCAGGTTTGTGCTCGCAGTGGGCAGTGCTGTCTTCGATGCGATGTTCAATGGTGGAATGGCCACCACATCCACTGAGATCGAGTTGCCTGACGTGGAGCCCGCTGCCTTCCTGGCACTGCTCAAGTAAGTGTTCTTTTTTTTTTTTTTTTTTTTTTTTTTTTGGTTTTACGAGACAGGGTTTCTCTGTATTGTTTTGGAGGCTGTCGGTCCAGCCTGGCCTCGAACTCACAGAGATCGCCTGCCTCTGCCGCGCCACCAACGCCCGGCTTCAAATAAGTTTTCAGATCACTCTAACCACAGTGAGGTGTTAGAATACGGGGTAGAGTATGAAAAGCCAGAAGTCAAGCCGGTCCTGGTACATGCCTTTAATCCCAGCACTCGGGAGGCAGAGGCAGGCGGATCTCTGTGAGTTCGAGGCCAGGCTGGACCTACAGCCTCCAAAACAATACAGAGAAACCCTGTCTCAACCAAAAACCAAACCAAAACAACAACAAAAACCAAAAAGCCAGAAGACAAATCACTGCACATCTGCTAGAAAGCGGAACATTCTAGAACACATCTGGAGAAGAGAGGTCATCCTTCAGACAGTTTTCAGAATGTTTTAGGGACTGCAGAGATGACTGGGCACCCCATAACCCTGCGCAGAGGCTTGCCAGCTCCAGGGGGATCCAACACCCCGTGGCTTCTTCAGGGCCATATTTGCATGGCATGTGTAATCTCATGCAAAGCTCTCATAATACTTTTAAATCTTCTAAAGGAAGACTTAACTTGGTTATCCTTTTGAAACAGCCTGTCTCCAGGAATGGGCAGTGTGCTGTGTGGTGTGGACACTTACACTGCCCTGACCAGGTTTTCTGTGATTTACCCTTGATGGCCTAAGCTTGGCCATAAGACCTTAGCCCTGCTGTGGGGCCTCCCAGTCGCCTGCCCGGGGTGAGAGACATTGCCAGGGCAGGAGACACTGATGATGTCAGCTCTGATCATCCCCTCTCAGATAAGCAGTGCTTGCCCAGGTCTGCTGGTTGTGGGGTCACGTGGTGTTCTCATAGCCCATGCTCGTGCTCAGGTTCCTGTATTCGGATGAAGTACAAATTGGGCCCGAGACAGTGATGACCACGCTGTATACCGCCAAGAAGTACGCCGTGCCCGCACTCGAGGCTCACTGTGTGGAGTTCCTGAAGAAGCACCTACGGGCTGACAATGCCTTCATGCTGCTCACGCAGGTGGGTGTGGTCCCTGGGTGTCCAGTGCAGCCCACCTGACGTGTGTGACTCTGTGCACATGTGCCTGTGTGACCTCAACCAATGTCCATTTTCTTTCTTGTAGTTTTGAGTGGGGGAGGGGTTTTTGTTTTTGGAGATGAGGTCTCACTGCGTAGCCCAGGCTGTCCTGGAACTCCCTCTGTAGACCAGGCTGACCTGAATTAACAGAGATCCACCTGCCTCTGCCTCCCCTGCTGGGATTACAGGCGTGCACCACCAACGCCCGGTTTTTGATGTGGTGGTTGACTTTTCCTCTGAGACAGTCTGACTCAGTAGCCAGGCTGCTCCAACCCTGACCCTTCTGTCTCAAGCTGAGGTCTGGGGTGACAGGCGTGCGCCACCACACCTGGCTCCCCCTCTGTAGTCTTCACTTTGTGTATCATGAGGGTGCGCACAGTGTGCAGATGTGGGCTGCTGTGGCGACCAGTGCTGACCATCGCCATCTCTCTCTCTGCAGGCTCGACTCTTCGATGAGCCCCAGTTAGCCAGCCTGTGCCTGGAGAGCATAGACAAGAACACGGCTGATGCCATCTCCGCCGAGGGCTTCACTGACATTGACCTGGGTGAGTCAGGGTCGATAGGTCTCAGATCCCAGGATTGTGCTGGGTTTGGGTCAGGTTGGGGACCCTGATTTGAAGATAACGTGGCGGGCCTGGCTGTAACATACAGTGGGGCTTGGTAGTGGGGTGGCCTGTGACCAAGAGATTGTGGGGTCAGTGTTGTCCTTCCTTAGAGAGACCACTAGGCCCTCTATATGGATATCTGCAGAAGTCTTGGAAGGGCCCTGTGAGGTCAGAGCTAGAGGAAATAGTCGTAGGGTGTGGGAATGCACTCCTGTGACCTCAGTTCCCCCTCAGGAGGCTGAGGCAGAAGGATTGCTATGAGTGCTGGACCTGCCTAGGCTGTAGAATGAGACCCTGTCTCAAAAAGAGAGAGGGCTGAGACTCAGCTCAGTTGGTAGACTGCTCACCTCGCACTCACCAGCCTGCCACTCCAGCATTCAAGAGGTTGAGACAGGAGGGTCATGCCACCTCAGCTACATAGTGATTTTAAGGCCATTCTGCACCATATGAGACTCTGGAAGGGACAGAGGGAGGGAGGCAATGCTGAGTGAGGGCCATGTGTCAATAAAACTTTATTGATCAACATGGACAGAGGGCCACAGTTGCCAAGCCCTGGCTATGAGGTGGCTCCTGTACGTGGCTGGTCTACACAAGGCCCACGTGGTTACAGGCACCAGGGCTCACAGGCTCTCCCTACCGCAGACACACTGGTGGCAGTGCTGGAGCGGGACACTCTCGGCATCCGTGAGGTTCGGCTGTTCAATGCTGTAGTGCGCTGGTCTGAAGCTGAGTGTCAGCGGCAGCAGCTTCAGGTCACACCTGAGAACAAGAGGAAGGCGCTAGGCAAGGCCCTGGGTCTCATCCGCTTCCCCCTGATGACCATCGAGGAGTTTGCCGCAGGTAACAGGCTTGCACAGCTCGCACCTTCCATGCCACGGCTGACTTGGGGACGCGCCTGGGGCCCTGGGGTTTCCATATCCTGGGGTCATACCCTATCCACCACGCAGGATTCAGCTTTGGGCTGGGGCTCAGTTGGTAACCAGGTGCATGGCCAGGCGGCCACGTGCTCAGTGTGAAGCGAGGGTGTGCCGCAGCGCAGCAGGACTCCAGAGAGATCCACACAGGTGCAGGTCGGCCAGCCGAGAGCGTCAGGCAGAAGTCGTTGTGGGTCCCAGGAAGGACAATTGCCCAGCCCGAGGGGCAGGCCCTGAGTCCGCCTTCCCTCCGTGCTGTCAGCCAGCCCTCTGCCCGCAGGCCCGGCGCAGTCCGGCATCCTGGTGGACCGGGAGGTGGTCAGTCTCTTCCTACACTTCACTGTCAACCCCAAGCCGCGCGTCGAGTTCATCGATCGGCCCCGCTGCTGCCTTCGCGGCAAGGAGTGCAGCATCAACCGGTTCCAGCAGGTGGAGAGCCGCTGGGGCTACAGTGGCACCAGTGACCGAATCAGGTGGGGCCCCAGGACCCCAGTGGGGAGGCGGCTTGGGAAGAAAGGGGCAGCAGGACCTTCGCATGGTCCCGAACGGGCAGTGCGCCCTCTGCATAGCTCTCCCATGCCGCTCAGGCGCGCACCCTAATGGCCGCCTAATTCCTTCTGCAGGTTCTCCGTGAACAAGCGCATCTTTGTGGTGGGCTTTGGGCTCTACGGATCCATCCACGGGCCCACTGACTATCAAGTGAACATCCAGGTACGTTGCCAGCCTCGCCCATGCCACGCCATGCCGGTCTACCCTGCCAGCCTTCCAGCCACGCCCATAGCTTGGTCCCCTGTGCCCATCCCCACGCACGCCACGCCCCACGCCACGCCCACTCCCCTTGAGAGCACGCCCATTGGCCCCTCCCACACCCGCTCACCAGTACCGCTGTAGGCCCTCAGCAGCGTTGCCTCCCCAGATCATCCACACGGACAGCAACACGGTCCTCGGGCAGAATGACACTGGTTTCAGCTGCGATGGCTCCGCCAGCACCTTCCGTGTTATGTTCAAGGAGCCAGTGGAGGTCCTGCCCAATGTGAACTACACGGCCTGCGCCACGCTCAAGGTGGGGCCGCGTGCACCCGAGGGCACTGTCCCCGCCCCTGCCAGCTGTGGGGGCCCCTTGTTCCCCAAGTCTGGAGCTCCTGCCTCACTGCTGTGCCTCCCGCCCCCCGCCAGGGCCCGGACTCTCACTACGGCACCAAAGGCCTACGCAAGGTGACTCATGAGTCACCCACCACGGGAGCTAAGACCTGCTTCACCTTCTGTTACGCGGCCGGGAACAACAATGGCACGTCCGTGGAGGATGGGCAGATCCCGGAAGTCATCTTCTACACCTAGGCCTTTCTCCACCCAGGCCACCCCTTGCCAGCCACAGGCCAGCCTCCCTCCCTGCCACTTCCCTCGTCATCACGGAAGGGGCTGCCTTGTGTCCACAGTGACAAGTGTGACCCCAGCCAAGGCACTGGAGAGTTGGTCGGGTCATGGGCTGGGTCCTGTCAAGACAATCCCTCAGTCTTGGGGGGCAGAGGGGCCTGGTCCCGTATGGACAGCTGCTGGGTGCCAGGGGCGGTGGCTTGGGCGTCTGTGGTCCCACTGTGGTCCCTGCAGCTCAGGCAGCAGGCCCGCTCCGTGCCCAGGGTGCCACGGCATCCCCTGTCCGTTCTCTGAAACTGCACTCTGCAATGCATTGGAGCCACACCCGCTCTAGCCCATGCTCAGGCCTGTCCTCCAGCCGATGGTTTGGGTTTCATGTTCCTTCGTTCTCTGCTGCTCCCTAGGGACCCAGGGCCTGACCCGTGTACACTGAGGTCCCCTGAAGCCCTTGGCCTCCTGGGCGTGTGCATGTGCAGGGCATGGTCAGTCCTGAGAAGCCTTGGCCGGGGCTGGTGGCCTTGCTGGAAACTCTGTCCCAGGATGGGTGTGATGTGGGCCATTGTTTCTGCCCCTCCCGCAGTGTTAGGACAAGGCCATCACCACCCAGCCTCCGTGGATCTGCTCCCGCAGGGGAGGCCAGCAGAGCTCAGCTCTGAGCCTGCAGGGCTGGAGCCGCAGGTCAAGCCCCACCCAGATGCACTGCGCCTGCAGCTGTGGCCCCCGGGAACCACAGCACCCTGTGCAAACCACAGCCCTGGTTCTCAAAGCCACCGGGCTCCCCGTCCTCATGCCCCAGGAGGCACAGTCCTCTGTCTGGGGCCCCTCCCTCGTGTCACCATACCTTGACCTCCTGCCCAGAGCCCATGTCCTCCCCAAAGCCATGGGAGGTGAGCCCTCCACACTGTGTCCCCAAATGATTTTTTTTTAATAAAGGAAAGAAACATAACATACCTTGAGCCACTGAGTGCCACATCCTCTAGGTGCTGTGGGGCTGGTAAGTGGGCACCTCGGCCACCAATGTAAAACCCTAAAAATTCCTTCCCAACACCCCCAAAAGAGCAGAGGTGGGCAACCAAGCTACCAGCAAGAGCTAAGGCCCCGAGAAGGGAGCTGTCATCCCAGTCCCTAGGAGGAAGAGGCTGGAATTCTGGGCTAGCCTGGGACAAAAAAGGGGCCACCGAAGAGTTGGCTCAGTGGGTTAGAGCACCTGCTGCTCTTGCAGAGGACCTGTGTTCCCAGCGTCTGACGGGAGGCTCAAGCCACCTGAGCTGCCACTGCACTTGTGGGCATGCACAGACAAACGCATGATTTAAGATGATGGAAGTGGCCGGGCGTTGGTGGCGCACGCCTTTAATCCCAGCACTCGGGAGGCAGAGGCAGGCGGATCTCTGTGAGTTCGAGACCAGCCTGGTCTACAGAGCGAGTTCCAGGACAGCCTCCAAAGCCACAGGGAAACCCTGTCTGGGGGGAGACCCAAGCTAACAGAAAACAAACAAAAACCTAAGAGAGCATGAAGAGAACAAAACAGAAAGGTCCCCCAGGGTGCCTAAGCACGCAAAGGTGTCACCAAGCCTGGCCATCTGCGTCTCACTGCAGACCCCACGGTGGCAGGAGAGAACAGCTTCGGGAAGGCCTCTGACCCGTGTGCACCTGTGGGGCATGAGCGCTCCCCAGCCAGGGTGCAAATACCTGAGTCTTTCATTTCCTCTTGCTGTGACAGGGCCCAAGGCTGTGTGTTGTAGCTTGTGTGTGTGGTGTGAGGTGACCTGCGCTTCCCTTCCCCTTCCCTTTGAGTCAGGGTCTCTCCTGCTTACCACTGTGGGCAGCGCACTAGCTAACCTGCCAGCTTTGGGCCAGGCTCCTGTCCGGCTTCGCATGGGTTCTGGAGACCTGAAGTCAAGCGTTGGCTTAGGCTTTCTGTTGCTGTGATAAACACCATGCCCAGCGCAGCTTGGGGAGGAGAGTCAGCTCACAGCTGCAGTCCATCCCTGAGGGGAGGCAGGGCAGGGGCCAGGGAGAAACCCTGAAGGCTCCATGGCCTACTGGTCCTGGACCACCTGCCTGGAATGGCACCGCCCCCAGTGGGCTGGTCCCACCTGCGCCCATCACTTGTCCAGAGGACAATCGGGTGTGAACATTTTCTCAAATGAGATTCCTCTTCCCAGATGACTCTAACTTGTGTCCTGGTGACAAGCTATGTCCCCAGCCCCAGAGACTTAGCTCTGCTCTGGTGGCCCAGCCACTGCTGTCATCCATTCCGTCTCACTGAGGACACACTGGGAACTCACGGAGTGACAAGTGGCTTGTGCAGAGTAAGGCGTTAGAAGAGCACTGTTAGAAGAGCACTTAGCTAGGTCACTTTTGTTTTTCTGAGACAGGGTTTCTCTGTGTGACCCTGGCTGTCCTGGCACTCGCTCTGTAGACCAGGCCTCTGGTCCACCTGCCTCTGCCTCCCGAGTGCTGGCATCAAAGGCGTGCGCCACCAATGCCCGGCCAGCTCCTTGTTTTCTTACTTCTGTCTTGTTTCTCACCCACAAACCCTTTTTTATTTCACACAGGGTGGTGCCCTGGGACAAGTGGAAGAGAAAGGTCCAAGCAAGCAGCGGGCTCACTCCGCACCCTTCATTCCCTTCCTGAGTCCCAGCCCTGTGAGTCTCTGTGCTGCTGTGAGTCTCTTCCAGCTTCAGTACTGCTGCAGGGCGGCCGCCTGTTCCTGCTCCTCAGGGCAGGTGCTGTTCTCAGAAGGGCCGGCTGCCGGTCCCCTCAGACCTGTCCACGCTCTTGGGGACTGCCGGTCCCCTCAGACCTGTCCACGCTCTTGGGGACTGCCGGTCCCCTCAGACCTGTCCACGCTCTTGGGGACTGCCGGTCCCCTCAGACCTGTCCACGCTCTTGGGGACTGCCGGTCCCCTCAGACCTGTCCACGCTCTTGGGGACTGCCGGTCCCCTCAGACCTGTCCACGCTCTTGGGGACTGCCGGTCCCCTCAGACCTGTCCACGCTCTTGGGGACTGCCGGTCCCCTCAGACCTGTCCACGCTCTTGGGGACTGCCGGTCCCCTCAGACCTGTCCACGCTCTTGGGGACTGCCGGTCCCCTCAGACCTGTCCACGCTCTTGGGGACTGCCGGTCCCCTCAGACCTGTCCACGCTCTTGGGGACTGCCGGTCCCCTCAGGTTTGGGCACAGCAGCCTTTCCTGCCCACCCGTTTATTTTCCAGCCTCTTCCATCTCTCCTAGGTCAGCTAGTGCCCAGCCCCCCGGACTGCAGTGAGCCAGCTGGGTCCCTGTACTGGAGTGTCCTATGGATTGCAAAAATCAGCCTCATGCTTGGGGATGGTTTCATCTTTCTTTTATTTTTTTAAAAAAAGCCTCTAAACTCTATGGCTTCAAGGAAGCGCTGGAGAAACCTAGGTTCATTTCTGTACATGTTGTAAAGCAAGAACTCGGCTCCCGCGACCACAGCTAGGCCCTCCTGTGGGGACCACCTTTCCACTGCCCCAGGTCGGGCGTTAAGGCGATTCTGTCCCATGGGCCTAGCACGCAGGGCCGTGCGTGGGTCACGGCCGCCCCGGCTCCCTGTGTGGTGACGTCCCGTGCTCCACCCAATGTTGGTGCAGCATCGTGGTAACTCCCACATGCCTGCCTCCCTTTGGTGGCCTCCCCATTTGACACCCGTGCCCCGGGCCTGCCCCCTCGAGAAAATGGCCTTTGGATCGAGGGGACAAGCTGGACTTTATGAGCTAACGGGGGCGCAGCAGGGACAGCGCGACGCTTCTCTCCTGGTTTTAAATAGTTAATGCTCTCCAAGGGGACGAGACATGGGCGTAGAGATGTCCGCCAAAGTCCTGTGTGAAGGAAGTGACCCCAAGTCCCCGAAGACGGTGCCTGAGGTTGGGCCAAGGAGCCCCATGCCACCGAGGACACTGCCAGCCTCCTGGATGCCCGCCTGGGGACCGTGGGCAGCAGCTGCTCCGGCCCTCACTTGTGCCGCTGCAAAGATTTTCTCTTTCTCCTCTTGAAGAAGCAGCAGCATCTGTGGGTGACAAGGGAGGTGACAAGGGACAACTAGGGCAGTGACACAGGAGTGCAGGGGCAGAGCGGGGACCAGAGGGACAGAGGACGAGGTGACGAGGTGAAGGGACAGTAGAGAGAAGGGACAGTGGAGAGAAGGGACAGTGGAGAGGTGGCAGGCTGGCGGTGACAATGGCACCGGGGTTAAGGTGACACGGGAGTGATCACAGGGGTAAATAGTGGGTGACAGCAGTGGTGACGGGGTAAACAGTGACCAGCATGGGCAGACTCCCTGTGACAGAGTCCTGGGCCTTACTTGGTTTCATCCGCCACCTCTACTTCTGCAGGGGCCGCGATGGGGGCGTTGGAGTGGCCCGCGGTGGGGTCGTCTGCGTTCAGCTCTCCATTAGTGGAGTTCAGTGCCTGGCGGGCAGTGAGAGTCAGGCTAGCACCCTGCTTACTTTGTGTCGGGGGCATCACAGGCCGCCATCCCCTCCAGGACAAGCCCTGGGCCTCACCTGGTTCTTGCTGTGGGGCTGGGCTTTGTCGCGATGTGGTGGCTGGGAGGGCGCATCAGTGTGGATGCTGCCGATTGGTGTCGGCTGCGAGAGCAGATGTCAGGACCGGATGGAGCCGCAGGCGCCGCTGCAGCCCCAGGACAGTTCCTGACCCGAGCCCTCTGGACCACGTCCCTCCCACCGCGGCTCCCGCCCACCGCCTCGAGGTACAACCCGGGGTGGGGGTGCGCCTGCACCCCTTCGACCATTCCATGGGGGGGGAGGCGTCTACGTGTGCACCCAGCTGCGGGCTGGGCTCCCTCTCTCTCACCCCTGCGGGCTGGGCTCTCCCTCTCTCACCCCCTGCGGGCTGGGCTCGCTCTCTCTCACCCCTGCGGGCTGGGCTCTCCCTCTCTCTCACCCCTGCGGGCTGGGCTCTCCCTCTCGCACCCCACCTGCGGGCTCCACACTGGTGCCCTCACGCGAGTTCTAAGCACGGGTTCTCTCACATCACCTGCACGTACCAGGGGCTTCCCGGCCCAGTCATATTCGTAGTCGAACACGTAGCCGCTGCGGTCGAAGAGGTCGGTGAAAAGCTTCCTCAGGTAGTCGTAGTCTGGCTTCTCGAAGAAGTCCAGGCGCCGTACGTAGCGCAAATAGGTGGCCATCTCCTCTGCAGGAAGACAAGGAGCGGGGGTGTGGTCACGCGGACGGCCAGACTGAGACGTGGCCTGGCCACCGTGGGACAGCCAAGGGGCGTGGCCGGGCCACCGGCTCCTCACCCGGGAAGCTCTCGCACAGCGCCTCGATGGGCGTGGCGCGCTTGGTGTCACCGATCTTCTGGTAGCGCTCCTTCAGCGTGTCGGCCTGCATGATGCGAGCTTGGTCAGGGTCAGCGCCCAGTCCCGCGCCCCGCCCCCACCCGGGAGGCCCCGCCTACCTTGAGCCCCTGCCAAGGCAGGCTGCCACGCAGGAAGTACATGAACATGTGTCCCAGTGCCTCCAGGTCGTCCCTGCGGCTCTGCTCTGCGGGGACAGCACGGGCTCAGCCACTGCCCCGCGCCCCCCACCCGCAGCGCCGCTCGCCCTTGCCCAGCGGCTCGCCCTTGCCCAGGCGCTCACCCTTGCCCAGGTGCGTGTTGATGCTCATGTAGCGCGCCGTGCCTGTCAGGCTCTTGTGCTCGCGGTATGGGATGTGCTTCTTGGTCTCAGGGTCGATGTACTCCTTGGCCAGCCCGAAGTCGATGATGTGGATGGCATGCTGCCGTTTGCTGCCCGGCCGCCCGACCAGGAAGTTCTCGGGCTTCACATCGCGGTAGATGAGACTCTTTGTATGCACGTACTCCATGCGCGTGATCTGCGAACCCGGATCGGGGTTCAGCGCCCTGGCTTCGCCACACCCTGCCCCACCCGCCAGCCCACCCGGCCGCACCAGCTGGATGGCTATCATCAGCACGGTCTTCAGGGTGAAGGTGCGGTCGCACAGGTCGAACAGGTCCTCCAGGCTGGGCCCCAGCAGCTCCAGCACCATGGCATTGTACTTCCCGCACGGGCCGAAGTAGTAGACCTGAGGGACGCCCTCTGTGGAGGGAACACGCGCGCTGGATGCCCAGAGCCCAGCCTGCCCGCCCCACCCCCAGCCCGCCTCCCAGGAGCCCGCCTCACCTGCCGTGCTAAGCTGCTTGTAGAAGCGGTACTCCAGATGTAGCTGCGGGGCCCGGGACTTGATGGGCTCCTGCGGGACAGGGCACTGTTACCCAAGCCCTCCTCCCGGGCCTGGGGTGCACGGTGGGGCAGGGCAGGGTACACTCACCAGCTTGATGGCCACGTACTCGTTTGTATACAGGTTCTTTCCTGGGGAGGGGTGACAGAGAGGGCATCATGACTGCGGGCTACGGGGCCCATCCCACCCAGGTCCCCGGCAGCCTGAGGAACCCCTCCCAGCTGCCCAGGGACCCCTACTGCAGCTTACTACTGGCATGCAGTCATGGGGAGAGGACGCCCTTGGGCCCCAGCAGGTCAGACAGCCCCTCCTCACACTGGCGGGGGCGTGGTGCTCAGTGGCCTTGTCATTGACCCCACCCACCCCATGAATCCCGCAGTTCCACACAGCCTGCCTCCCCTGCAGGGCCACACCTGCCGAAGAGCGGCCTCCCAGCATCCTCTTTACCTCCGGGCCACACACCCCAGCGGCTGCGCCTGCCAGCCTCGAAGGGAAAACATGTTCCTACCACAGGGGCCCAACATACAGCAGCAGGCAGGGCCACTGGGTGGGCCCCTGGCCAGGCTGCTCTCACGGCCTCTGTCCTGGTTCCCAGTCACCGGGCAGGAATGCCCACTCCCTGGCTCTCCTGGACACCTGCTGTGAGCCGCCAGAACACCTCAGGCTGTGTAAGGTGCAGCGCCATGGAGTTTCTTCAGAGGTGGTCCATGTCTCCACCCCTCAACCTTCTCTGTGCTAGGCCAGCTGTCACCAGAGAGGGTCTGTCTAAGGGTCACTGCCCTGGGCTGTGGCGCTATGGGGCCATGGCTCTCACATGCGGGAAGCTGGGCTGCTGAGCGATGCCAGCCCTGTCAGCCGCAGCTGCCAACACCTTCCCACGAGCAGGTGTCTCTAACATTAGCCACCTCAGGGCCTCTCTTCATTCCTCTGGGGCTCTGCTGATGACAGCGTCTGCTGACCCACCCCTGACCCCCTTAGCCTGCCTGGCACCTAAGCCAGGTCCTTGGGGGCCCCGGGACTGTGCATGTGACAGGCCCAGAGGTCCTGATGCATGTCAGACCTACACAGGCTGACGCTGTAGCTGCCCAGTGTTCAAGTGAGCCCTCCATCTCAGTGCGGGGCGGCGCCTGGTCAACAGGGAGCCCAGAGGTCTGTGCAGGGCGCTGCTTGGCACACACCTGAAAGCCCGAGTTCAAGCTCCAAGAACCCACAGAAAGGTGCAAGGAGAGGAACGAGTCCAGAGTCCTGACTCCAGGGTGTGTGACATGTGTGCTCCCAACACACCACTTTCCCCTAAAAGTGGGCGTGGCTGGGGAAATGGATGTGGGTGAGGGCCCAGCAGCCACGAGGGGTCTCACAACCGCCCCTCACTTTAATTCTACGGGGTCAATGGCCTCTTCCAGCCTCCCCAGTCACAAATACCCCCACATAAAACAAAGCTTTTTTAAACCTTAAAACAAAGGTGTTGGGGGGGAGTGGTGGCACACACTTAGTCCCAGCACTCGGGAGTAGAGGCAGGTGGGTCACTGTCCTGTGAGTCCTGCCTAGCTTGGTCTACACAGTGAGTTGCTGGCCAGCCAGTGCACAATGGGACCCTGTCTTAAGAAGAAGAACGGGATGGTGCAGGAAGAAAGTTGCACAGACATAAGGGCTTCAATTTTCCCATTTAATGAACAATTATCTCTACAGATTCAAGTGGCCCCAGGCCAGATAGACAGACCTCCTGGAGTATGGGAAGAAGAAGGAGCCAGGGTAGAGTCCATCCCTGAAGAGGATGAGGGCTCAGACAAGAGGCACTCCATACTCACCAAGGAAACCACCACCTTCAAAGCCTTTTCTCTCTTTGTGGGCAGGGGGAAGGGAGACAAATTCTCACTATGTAGCCCAGGGTAACCCGCAACTCAGGAGTCCCCACCTCAGTATCCCGTGGTACCAGGTTAGTTTAGAGCTGGGGCAGGAAGGGGCTGGCTCACGCTAAGCACACAATACCACTAAGCCACATCCTAACCTGTATTCACGGCATAAATGGCTGATGGGGACTCTGAGCAGCCGGCAGTGAGGGAGCCAGCCCTGTACTCCAACATAGGTCAGAGTCTCCAAGCTGGTGTCATAAGCTCCACGCCTTGCAGCCAGCACAGGGAACAGCAAGCAGCCCAGAACAGCCCAGAGCCCAACATACCAGCTCAGTGGAAACTACTGGGGCCTCACTCTGCCCAAGCCCTGTGCAGATCTGCAAAGAACCGGAGCTGGTGGCGGCCACCCACTGCCCGTCAGCGCCCCTGGCCAGGCGCGCCCGCACGCATGTGCTCACGCCTGCCACGTGTGGCTGGGTACTCAGGTCTGCAGCTTTCAGCTAGGCCTCAGGAGACACCTCAGGTCAGCCTCACTGCACACGACGGGTCCCAAGCTGGCCTTGTAGCCAGGGAGTGCGACCACCCACAAAGCCCCCTACAGGAGACGGAGGGCTGACTGAGCCCCGACTCAGCTGTCCCCTCAGGGTCACCAGACTGCGTCCTCACATCCGCTCACTGACCTGATGGGAACTGCCACCTGAAAGCGGGCGGAGCAGAGGGTGACAGTTCCAGGAGGCACGCACAGGCCGCTGGGTTCAAGGCCCTCAGCTGTCTGCCTTTGCGGTTGGATCCAGCTGTTCCTCAAGCATCGCTTCCAGGTGAGGTCTAAGGACCTGTGCTGCCTGATGGGTCTATGCACAGATGGGCCTCTGTTTTATTATTTTTTACCATGTATAGCTGAATGTGCATTGGTGTTTTCCCTGCATGTGTGTATGTCTGTATGAGCGTGTCAGAGATGCCCTGGAACGGGAGTCATAGACAGGTGTGATCCACCATGTGGTTGCTGGGAATTGAACTCAGGACCTCTGGAAGAGCAGTCAGTGCTCTTAACCTCTGAGCCGTCTCTCCAGTCCCGTTTTTTTATTTTTTTATTTTTCAGGACAGGGTTTCTCTGTATTGTTTTGGAGGCTGTCCTGGAACTCACAGAGATCTGCCTGCCTCTGCCTCCTGAGAGCTGGGATTAAAGGCTGAGCCACCAACGCCGGCTCCCATTTTTTTCTTTTTTCTTTTTTTTTGGTTTTTCGAGACAGGCTGTCTCTGTGGCTTTGGAGGCTGTCCTGGAACTCACTCTGTAGACCAGGCTGGCCTCGAACTCACAGAGATCCGCCTGCCTCTGCCTCCTGAGTGCTGGGATTAAAGGCGTGCACCACCAACGCCCAGCTTCCCATTTTTTTCTTAAGGAGCTGGATGGGGACAAGCTCCTGCACGTAGGTCTCCACAACTCTACTCAGGGCCAGGATGTGACACTTGGGGGACCCAGGGGCTCAGCGAGGCGTGTGGACCAGGCCCGCCAGAGCAGATACTCCTGAGTCTGCACGGTGACGGGAGCCACTGGAGTAGGAGCTGGGCTCTGCAGCTGAGAGGCCAGGGTGAGGGAGCTATGAGTCCCTCAGTGAGTACCCTTCCTTCCCAGTACACAGCCAGGGCCCCTCCTCCCTGAAGACCCTAGCGGTGGACCAAAGACAGCGTAAGCAAGCTCACCTAGGCGAAGCTCCCCGAAGTTCCCGCAGCCTATCTTCTTGCCGACTCGGAAGTTGGGGCCCACCATCAGGACCCCTGAGCTGGTCCCCGAGCCGCGGACGCCGTGGTTGCTCCGGTTTGTGCCAGTCTTGGACATTCTCCGGCCCTCCTCCAACTCCCCCTTCCCTCCTTTCTTGTCAAAATCCATAAGTTTGTGGTACCCTGGCCTCTCCACGGTGACTGCCGTGAGATCCGAGTGCGAAATCTGAGCTCACGCCCAGCCTAGTACACCATTGCGCCCGGTGGCCCCTCGGCTCCTGGTTATTGACATCCGGGCGCGCTCCCAGGCCAGGCCGCGGTGCTCATCTTGGTGGCCTCAGGGTCGCTTGCAGGGAGAGAAGACATTCTACCAACAGGTCCCACCGCCTTAAATCTCGTGGTGCCCAGCTGTGAAGAAACAGAGGCACAGGTTGGCTGATATGCTCCCAGCTGGGCTGCTCCACAAAGACCTTTGAAGGTGTGGGCAAGAGCTCTCCTGGGAGGGAGGGAGGGAGGGAGGGAGGGAGGGAGGGAGGGAGGGAGGGAGGGAGGGAGGCAGGCACATCTGGCTCTGTGGAAGACTCTCATGCCCTGCTGACCCTGAGAGGTCAGAGATCACAGCAAAGGCTACTGTGGCATGACAGGTGGAGGCTGACAGAGTTAAGGGACTGGTCTAGTCACATGCCCTACTTGTCACATGACTATGCCATCAAGTGGCACTGGCACCTTGGAAATCTAAAGCAAGAAAGGAAGTCAGGGGCTGGAGAGATGGCTCAGAGGTTAAGAGCACTGACTGTTCTTCCAGAGGACCTGAGTTCAATTCCCGGCAACCACATGGTGGCTCACAGCCACCTTGAATGAGATCTGGTGCCCTCTACTGGCCTGCAGGCAGAAGGCTGTATACACAATAAATAAATAAAATATAAAAAAAAAAAGAAAGAAAGAAAGGAAGTCAGATCCAGGGTAAGAGGTGCATACAGCCAGGCGGTGGTGGCACACGCCTTTAATCCCAGCACTCGGGAGGCAGAGGCAGGCGGAGCTCTGTGAGTTCAAGGCCAGCCTGGTCTACAGAGCGAGTTCCAGGACAAGCTACAGATAAAACCTGTCTTGAAAAACCAAAGAGGTGACCCACAGGCCAGAACACAACATGGGCTGCCAAGACAAGGAAAGTGCCAGATGGCAGAGCAGATGGTGCCCATGTAGCCAGGAGCCCGACCAGACCTAAGAGGGAGGCGAAAGGACTCCAACCATGCAGGCAGCCATGGCATCGAGCGAGGCACACGGTGTGCAGCGCTGGACAAACAGGGAGAGCACGGCAGGGCCCCAGGCAGTGGGCGCCCACCCCGCACCCAGTCTCAGCCCCACAGCCTGCTGTCTTTCCAGGGTGCCAGGCCGTCCACACAGGACAGCTAGGACGGCTCAGCCAGCTTCTGGAAGTGCCCAAAAATGGGCACGCACTCCTGGGTCACAGACGTCAGGACAGAGGCAGTGACAGGCAAGGGAGGCTTGGAGCACACACAGCCTGGCCTGACTCAAGTCTGCCTCCAGGCGATGCCAAACCTCTGCAGGTACAAGGGGTTATAAGAGGGGTGGGGGCAGCCGGGCGTTGGTGGCGCACGCCTTTAATCCCAGCACTCGGGAGGCAGAGACAGGCGGATCTCTGTGAGTTCGATGCCAGCCTGGTCTACAGAGTGAGTTCCAGGACAGGCTCCAAAGCCACAGAGAAACCTTGTCTCGAAAAACCAAAAAAAAAAAAAAAAAAAACCCAAAAAAAAGAAAAAAAAAAAAGAGGTGTGGGGGCTGGGCACGGTGGCACCTGCTAAGGCTGGGGTCATTTCTGGCCCGTGACCAGGACAGGGAAAGTGTCACACAGTGCAGGGTCTCATGAAAACTAGGCCAAGCAAACAGGCCGTGGGGAGAGGGTGGAGCCTGAGGTGCTGGAAGCTATGGAGGGCTCCTCACACCTGCATTCTCTGGCCGCAGACACCCAGAATGTCCGGAGCAGCTGCTCCCTCACTGTCCACCTGCACACACTTGGTGCTCTGATCTGCATTCTGGTGTCACCTGTGGGCGAGGCACGGTGTCTGTGTGCACACGTGTGACCACTGTTTCCAGTGAGGGTCTCTCTCTGAACAGGACTCTCCTGGGGTAGTCCTACTGTCTGCACCTCACTGGATAGCCCAGGCTGTCCTCGATCTCACAGAGCTGCCAGCCTCTGCTTCTCACGTGCAGACGTGCTGGGTCACCCAGCTCTCCACTTTCAAGACAAACACTTTACCAGCAAAGCCATCTGCCCAGACCTTGGGTTTGCTTTTTGAGACAGGCTCCTCCTGCCTTAGACGCTGAGTTCACAGGTATATGCTACCACAGCCGGGCATGCAGGGGCACCCTCACCCGCTAGGCCATGTGTGCTCCTGGGGCACATTTGGAGAGACTGCCAGCCCCCTGGCATCCCATCCCCGGCACTAGGCCCCTCCCACTGTCTCATCCGGGCAATGATTCACAGGCTTGCTTGGAGTCCTGCTCCCACAGTGTTCTGCTGGGTCGTGGGTACAGCCAGCCCACTGATGCAGTGAGCTACAGAGAGCACAGCAGCCACAGCACCGTCCTGTCAGTCACCGACTGGTCCACGCCACGGCTCTCCTCACCGCAGGCCATAAGGGAACCTGGGCAGTCAGCCTGGCTCCCCAGCGGAAATGTGCAATCTCCCTCTTGGGTATGTGGCGGGGACCTCTCCTCAAGATAGAGGGGGCCACTGAGAAAACATAAGTGGGACCCACTCCCAGCTCAGATTCACATTGTGGGGTCCACAGGGCTGGAGACCAGATCCCAAAGCACCCCTACGGTGGTTCACAGCAGCCCACACGGGTTGCCACATTGTGGACAGCTATACCACAGGTCACCAAGGACCTGCACCCCACCTAGGACACCTACAAAAGCTCAGCACCCTGGGGGAGAAGCTCTTAGAGGTTGTGCAGAAGGTTCAATGGGTTGGGCCCCTCCTGTCTCCCTCTCCTCACTGGGCCACTGAACAGCAACAGCACGGCAGGCATTGGAAGGCGTGCCCGCAAGGCTAGTGCCACAAGGTGCCAGCCAGCACTGTGGGCCTCAAGGATGGTGAGGAGACAGGTGTGGCCAGGGGCTCACACCAGGCCCCAGGTACCTCCAGGGGCAGGTGCAGAGGCAGGAGACTGGCGGAGACTGGACCAGGGCCACCTACTTTTCACTCTTGCCCGGCCAGGGCCACACCCGGGCAACTGTCACTCAGAGTATCCCTCCACACATGCAGTCACCAGGGAGTCCACGAAGCACTGACAGGGCTGACGGTGGCTCAGTGAACCTAGCATGCAGGAAGCCGTGGGACCATCCCTAACACAAACCAAATCTGGGGGCTGGAGAGACGGCTCAGAGGTTAAGAGCACCGACTGCTCTTCCAGAGGTCCTGAGTTCAATTCCCAGCAACCACATGGTGGCTCACAACCATCCGTAATGAGATCTGGTGCCCTTTCCTGGCTTGCAGACATACATAGAGGCAGGATGTTGTATTCATAATAAATAAATAAAATCTTAAAAAAAAAAAACCAAATGTGGAGATGCACACACTCCATCCTCCCAACATGCAGGAAGCAGAAGCAGGATTTGGAGTTCAAGGCCAGTCTGGGCTACCTGAGACCCTGTTCTCAAAAGCACCATCACAGGCCAACAAGTGATGACTCAGTGGGTGAGGCTGCCTGGTGAAGTCTCCCGGCCCACAAACGGTCCTCCATGCACACGGGGAGAATGCAAGCCGCTTCCATAGACACATGCCAACTGTACACAAAGAACACTTTAAAACTGCACACAAACGCAGAGGGACTGTCCAGTGGCGGAGCCCAGGACTCTACCTGTTACAGGTGACGGCTCACACGAGGAAGGGCGCCAGCTCTTCCCGGCACTTGTCCTGTTACAGACCTCCACATGCCTCGAGTCCCCAGACAGGACACCACTGACACACCGAGAGCAGCCCACCTCTGCAACTGACAAGCCAGCCAGTGGCGGCCATGCGGCCCGGCTGGGGTGCTGCTGCCGTGCCCCCCCCCCGCCCCGCTGTCCTCCCCTCGAGTGCCCTCTGCAGAGGGCAGGTGAAGTCCCACATGGGGCTCCTCTGTGTGGGAGGGCTGCACAAGCAGGGAGTGACATCAGGGGAACCTAGAGCAGGGACACTTGGCTGTGTCAAACGCAAGGACTCTGAGGACAGGGCAGGCTGCCGTGCCTTCCTCAGTATCGGGACGGCTGCAAACGCAGAGCTGCCCAGAAGGCCCAGGGCTCGTCAGGTGAACGCAGCCCACCTATGGTGTGTGGAGGGCAAGAGGCAGCCTAGGGCCTGCTCTGGAGGCTCAGTCCCGGCAGCCCACCTATGGCGTGTGGAGGGCAAGAGGCAGCCTAGGGCCTGCTCTGGAGGCTCAGTCCCGGCAGCCCACCTATGGCGTGTGGAGGGCAAGAGGCAGCCTAGGGCCTGCTCTGGAGGCTCAGTCCCGCCAGGATGAGGCAGGAGGACACCGCTGCAGGCTCAAAGCAGGCAGGCTACGGAGGGAGCAAACCCCACTACACTGCTGTGCCCTGATCTATGGCGTTCCTGGGCCAGTGAGTACACTGTCTACATCCTGAGTGGACACGGCAGCAAGGTGACACCAGAGAGCCACCTGTCCACTGTTCCCACGCATCCTACAGTTCAGCTGGGGACACAACAGCCACTATCTGTCCTATGTCAGTGCCACCGGGCCAGGGGAGGACCTGAAAGCTAGCATGAAACGGGGCCACACTGTAGGGGATGGTGGGGATGACCTGAAGACATCACAGGTGCCCCTGACACAGACCAATCTCTCACTACTCCTCACAAGAAGAGCTACACAGACACGGGCTATGTGGCAGTCCATGGTGTCCAAATGAGGATACCAGCAGACGGCTGTCACTCCAACACAGAGGGCCAGGAAACAGTCTTGGTGACAAGCAGCCGTAGTCTCTCAGGCACACCTGAGCTTGTGCAGTGACCTGGGACCCCAGAGAAGAGGAAATGCCACTAGTCCTGGCCCTGGCTGAAACCAGCTAAAAATAGAGTGTTTGGAAGGCAGGCAGGCAGGCCTTCCGGGCCTAAATAAATTCCTCCTTGGCCTGACCCACAAGGCCCAGAGCCCAGGCTGTCCCCAGGGATGAGCCCAGGCCCAGGGGAAACGCTGGGCTAGCCTGGACAAGGACAGGCTGAGAAGCCGGTATAGGGTGCTCACCCAGGGAGCTGGCTGACAGCTGGCTGGACTCCCACCAGAGACACCCCTCCTTGCAAGGCCCCAGCACGCACCTGCCCTGTTCTTTTTGGGGTCCCCCATCTTGCTGGGGCCCTGGCTGCTCCCCTGCTGGAGGCCCCCAGCCTCTTCTCTGCATCTCCACTCAGTGATGTCACAGTCCCTGGCTGACGTCACTGGCAGTTCCCAGGCTAGACCTGGTACCCAGCTGAGAAGACAAGCAGGAACAACACCCGCCGTGAGGACATGCAGTGGGTGGGGCAGCCCCAGAGCCACTACACCTAGGTGACTGCCCAACGTGGACTGTTTCCTGTCTCTTGAAGACCCAGGCTGTGCCACAGCACGGCTCCCCAGCACTGAGAGTCGCGGAAGATTGCTAGAGAAACTCGGGGTTCAAACAAGACAGGAGTGGAGCCTGATCAGCAAGGGCTGGTGCCACCTGACTGGTGGGCAGCAGGGCTAAGTTGATGACCAAGAGGCCTACGCCTGCCCCATGAGGCTGATGGCAGTGGGGGGCTGGGCTTGGGACTCCTACACAGGCCCACACAACGGCCAGACTTCTCATTACCTTGTCTTTGGAGAAAGTCACCCCGGGTATCATCATAGCTTACTTGCTCGTGGTCATGGTGCAGGGGGATGTCTGGGGATGGATGGGTGTGGAGGGAGCACTGTGGTGGTGGGAGCACTTCTGTGCAGCCATGGTCAGTGTTGAGGGCTCACTAACAGCTGAGCCGACAATCCCCAGAAAAGAGCTGAGAGCCTGATGGCAGCAATGGGAAGAGCTGTGTGTGCCAGTGAGGGTCTAGGACCATCTGGGGCACCCATCAACAGACCAGAAGACACGGCCAACCCCAGCCTCAGCCACGTGAGCCGCAGTGCTCGCACACACAACTGGGCCCGACACTCATACAGGACATCGGCACAGGACGCCACATGGACCTATGGGACGCTGCGGCCAAGACACCGGTGTACACGGGTACTGGCAGGCTGGACAACCAGTGTGCACGCCATATAACGAGGGGCCACCACCCTGCTCTCTGTGCTCTGGTGCCCAAACACCTCTACTTCATGAACTACAAAAATACAGGCAAAGGGCAAAGATGGGGGGGCACATGGCCTCCTTCCCTACTCGCCAGCCAGAGCAGGTGGCGGCCGTCTGAGGCTGAGGACCTTGTACCCTCTGCCATCGTGTGGGTCGCCATGAAGGTTGGTGACCAAGGTCTCAGTGAGGGTGACTCTGCTCTTAGAATATGGGCTGTGGGGTAGCCGTTACCACTAGGGGAGCCCCAGTGTAAAGCGAGCAGACGCCATGGGTGCTGAGCAGGACCCACACCAGCAGGACATGGCCAGGAACCGGGTTGCGCTGCACAGTGGCGCCATCTGCCTTCCCATGCTCTCCACAGTGTGTGTGGAGCACAAGCCACGCAGCACGAGAATGGTGTGGGGCTCAGCCCCATCCCACGCAAGAAAGGACAACTCAGCTACAGGTCCCTGTCCAGCAGGAGAGCCTGGGGATTCTGCAAGTGTCACCAGGAACAGTCAGAAAAACCTCTAATGGGTGATTCTCAAAGATGGCCTTGCAGCAACCCTGCCTCAGCCCTCACGACCCACTCAATTATAGTCCGGGGCCAAGGGGGACGTGTGCGTGCGTGAGTGTCTCCACCTTATGATGAGGCTGTCTCTCTCCTGAGCCCACAGGCAGCTCAGTGAGAGCACTTGCCCACAGGTGGCCACTATGCCCACTCAGCCCCTAAGTGAGCCCTGAGCTTGGCTGCCATTTCACCCAGCACTTTTACCCAAGCTGGCCCTGAACACTGATCCTCCTGCCTCGCTGTCCAAAGTGTAGGGGAAGACAGGCGTGAGACACCATGCTTGGTTTTGACACTTTAATTGCAGTATATTGGGAAGGGGATGAGGGGACTCTAGAATTGCATATATTTACGGGTGGAAGTGACTACAAACCTTAGTCCCGAGGGGACAGCTGTCCAGGAGGCACCTCAGACAGACAGTGTGGAGGGCCCAGCACCAAGTTGAAGCACAGGCTCACTGTACACAGTTGCCCACCCAGAAGGGGCAGTCTGCCAGGTGGCCCTGCCTAGGTATGACTTCTCTCAGGGGTCCAGTTAACAACTAAGGCAGCATGCAGATTTCCCAGGCGCCCACAGGGGATGTTCAACCACAGGAAGCACAAGCCACAGATAGTGAGCAGCAGAAAGGGGCTACATGCCACCTGTCAGCTCGGTGGGACCCAACCACCCAGATCCCAGTCTCCCTGGGACTGGGGTAGCTGCACTCTGGGAGCTCCTGGTACAGTCTGCCCTGCGGTCCTGATTCCCACCCCTGACCCCCCCCATCTGAAGACCCTCACAGGCCTAAGCCTGAGCTGGGGGTTCCTTTAGCCACCCCAGGAGTGCCTCCATCTTGCCCACTGCAACCCCAGGAGAACATCCACAGCAAAATCCTAGGAGTCAATGGCTCAAGGTCATTCTCAGCCACCAAGGATAGCCTAGGCTACCTGGGCTTCTGCCTCAAAACCTACGGCAGGGCTCAATGTCCGTTTTGCTAAGTGTTGTGCCACAAACCTTCGTCGCAGCATTCAGGAAGATGGGGTAGGTATGGCTAGCTTGGATTATATGGGAGTATCGACCCTATCTCAAAAGGGGGGTAAGATGTCTCTGTGTAAAGAGCTTGTGAAGGGTGGCACCCCGAGTTTGACCTCTGGAAACTGTGTCAGTGTGGGAGGAGGCCAGTCTGGTCTACACAGCAATTTCCAGCACAGCCAGGGCTACAAAGACCCCTGTACCAAAAAATGAAAAGTTCTAGAAGGGCATCAACTCCAAGTTGCCACCTGACCTCCATGGGTACACTGGCACGCGCCACCACCCATATGCACACGAGAAGTACAAGTACAAGACCCAAGCATGGGGACCCCAATACCAATCTAAAATTAAAAAACAAACGGGAGGCAGAGGCAGGCGGATCTCTGTGAGTACAAGGCCAGCCTGGACTACAGAGTGAGTTCCAGAACAGCCAGGGCTACACAGAAAAACCCTGTTTCAAACCACCCCCTCCAAAAAAAAAGCAAGATGGGGTTTCTTCCCCATGGGTCCAGTAAGGTGTGGCATACCCTCTGGGCCTCTAGGGAGTCAGTGACCTTAGGCACAGCCAAACCAAGTACCCTATTGTCCCCTGGATTGTGTCCTGCTGCCAGACAGCCTTGTCCCTGACTGACTGTAGACCCGTGAAGCTGCATGCTGCCGTTGGATCCTGACCTGTGTCAGAAAGCTCGGTAAGATCCACCATTTAACAGGGTGTGACCCCAGTCTGGCTCAGCCTCATGGCGCTGAGCTGTCCTGAGGGGCAGCGCTGTGGGCAGGAGGCTCCAGAACCCTGAAGGCCTATTCCAGGGGAGGGGATACGGCCCCAAATGAGACTAGTTCTCCAGCATGGGTCCTCCTTCAGAGGAAGAGGATGGGCCGCCACCCAGAAAGCACAGCCCCTAACAGGAGCCCCCACCCAAGAGTGCAGCCTGGGGTCTTAGTGAGCAGAAGCTGTGAAAACCAGACATAACTCTGTCCCCACTGTCACCTGGCACAAGGGGCTTCCTCTCAGGACTGGGGACCATGCCTGCTCCTCTGTCTTCAAGGAGGGCTCTGAGGGCCCCATGAACAGTGGCTGGCCCAGAGGAGGCACTGTGGGGACAGTTGACATGGACATGGGGCCAGAGAGGGTACATGTGGCTCCCAGGCTCAACTTTTTGTCTGTCTGTCTCTCTCTCTCTCTTTTTGTTTCTCTGTAGCTTTGAAGCTGTCCTGGAACTCACTTTGTAGACCAGGCTGGTGTCGAACACACAAAGATCCGCCTGCCTCTGCCTCCCAAGAGCTGAGATTAAAGGCTACGCCACCACCACCCTGCTGTTTTTTGTTTTTCAAGACATGGTTTCTGTGTAGCTTTGCAGTCTGTCCTGGAACCCACTCTGTACATCAGGCTGGTCTTGAACTCACAGAGATCCTCCAGGCTTGGCTTTCTGGCTGCTATAGGTACTGGTGAGCATGCAGTGTGGGACAGAGAGCTTGTAGGCTCAGATGGTCCTCCACCTTTGCAGGTCTTGGGATCCTGTCCCACCAAGTGTCAGTCACCACTGTCTCCTCAGATGACAGGAGGCCATCCAAACACTCTAGGAGCTGAGTGGGGACCTGCTGGTTTCCCTAGCACCACACCCTGAGGCTAAGCCCCTGCTTTGTGTCTCCAGAGTGACCAGGATGGGGACAGCCTTCTGCCACCAGCCTTTGGAAGTAGCAGAGGTCACTGGAAGTGGATGGGATGCCAAAGGGACAGGGCCATGCAAGACAGGGGCTTCCTCAGAGCATAGCTCTACCAGATTCATCTAGTATCTCCTTTGTCCCTGGGGTCACCAGGCTGCCAGACATCTGATCCTCCTACACCAAACAGATTGTCCCCTCTATGAAAGAGGTGCTATGACCATACCCAAGTCCCACAGGCCCCAGATTTGGGGTCCTCACAGAACACCAGCTCTCAGTTGAATGAGCAGTGCCCCCGAGAGCCGGACGCCAAGGCTGCACCAGCGCTGACCAACAGGCTCTTGGGAAGACACTGCTCATGGAGCTGACTGGCCAGCTGATGCCCAGACTACAAGGACAAGGCTTGAGGCCAGCAAGAGCACGGCCGCTGAGCCAGCAGACATGAGATGTGCAGGCGAACCCTTCCTGCCATTACCCAGCGACAAAATTATGGGTTAGGGCCTCCTTCAGGTGGCCTCATCTGTCCCCAGGATAACAAGAAAGCCATGGACCTGTTCTACACCATCTAGACATCAAAGGCCACACTGCATGGCACTTAGCCACAAAAGGAACCTACAGCCCTGCTTTCCCTCCCCCTCCCCACCTGGCCCCCCCTCTAAGGGCTGCCCTGGATGGTCTCCGGCTGCTTGCAGAAGGATGCTGACTGCTGCTGGTGTACATCACACACACAATCAATACCACCTACCCACAGCACAGCTCCTGCCTGTCTGGCGGGTGCGTTCACATCCCAGGACCTACCTCGGACGAGCATCCCTCATCCCTAAGCTCCCCAGGAACACAGTGGTCCCCTGCATTGTCTGGCATGCCACATGCTGTCCTGATTCACAGATCAGCACACTGGCTTCCCCAAAGCTGGGATGGGCATGTTGAAAAGGCTCAATTACAAGAACCTCTCCTACTCCCTTCTGCTGGAAGTGATGACTATGTAATTAAAGAGAAGTCACAGGTAATTCAAAGAAATCCACACTGGGTTTCACACTGTGGACAGCGTGGGCTGCCTGGTCTCTGGGATATGCTTGGAGCACAAGTGACCATCCCAAGGTAGAATCAAAGCAGACAAAAGGCCACCTCTCCTTTCTCTCCTTTGAGCAGGTCCAGCGACACAAGAGGCAGCTAGAGCAGCGCTGCGGGCAAGCGGGCGCACAGACCCCGAATCTCACGCCACACACTCGCCTACAGTGGCTTCAGAGCCCCTGGATCTGGCCCTCCCCAAGGGTCCCCAGCTCTCTTGCTTAGTCCCTCAGGTTCCCTCCCGCTGGCTCCCAGGAAAGCACCAAGGCTCAGAATTAGTGGAAGGGCAGGGACTCAACAGGGTTCATGCAGGGCCTGGAGACCTATGCTGGAAACAGACGACCACACACTTCCCCCTAGCAAGCCTGCATGTACCATCCTTCCCTACACCCAAGCAAAGCCCCCAGGGCACACAAGGAGTCCAAACAACAGTGTCCACCCCACACCCTCCTGGTCAGCACTGTCCCAGCGCTCCTATACCAACAAGGCTTTTGTGCCTTTCCAGGCCAGCCACCAACTGCCACTCCGGGAGGAAGACCCGTCAGCCTCCAGAGCCCTGAGGCACAGGCTGGGTGAGACTGCAGCTTAGAAAGGACAGACAAGTCTCCCCGCCTCCACCTACACACCAACCCCCAGGCTGCTCCCTGCAAACTGCCGTCCGGAGGCCAAGATGAAAACCAGCTGCCCAACCTAGCAGGAGCTGGGTCTCGCCCAGGTCGCACAGTAGATCCCTGCCTGCAGAAATTCTCTCAGTTCCCATCTCCTATTGAGAAAGTTGGGGCAGGGGATCCAGCAGCCTGCTCAGACGTCTCACCCCTCCCTCCTTGATCAGTGTGTTTCCGGAAAACAAAGCCGGTGGCAGAGCGGAAGGGGGAGGGCGCAGGCAGCTGAGCCCAGAGTTCCCAAGCAGCTCCCTGCAACAGGTTTCCCCCCACCTAGCAGGACCCTCTGTCCCTGTCCGCAAACCCCAACTACCCCCCAGACAAACCCTCAGGACCACAAGGGCCAGGAGAGTGGCGGGACAAGGAACCAGGCCCAGAGGGGACGGAGACCGGGTGGAGAGGTCTGGGGACATTGGGGTACGCGGAGAAAAACGTGGGGCTTGCAGATGGTCTGAGCACCTGGGAGAAGACACAGGAAATTGGGGAGTCAGAGCGCGGGGACACGGGTGAGGTCAGAGTGTAGGGGGCACTGAAGCAGAATGGGGGGTCCCGGGAAGAGGTTGACCGGAAGTGGGGGCGTCTGGGTGTCGCAGGTGAGTTGAGCACCTGGGAAACAGTAGACGCGGGAACGCAGGAATAAGAGAGACGGATCAAAGGTGGAGTCGGAGAGAGAGGGGTACTGAGGCAGGGTGACCGGAAGTTGGGGTCGCGCGGTGCAGAGCACCAGTCCGGAACCGCAGGGTGGGGGACGAGAGCGCCCTGGGGCGGAGATGGGGTCAGCGGGGGTCACAGGATCGCGGCACCGCGGGAGTGGGGCGCGGCCGGCCGTGCGCGCGCAACGTTACCTGAGCCCCGCCTGGGGCCCGCGGGCGGCGGCGGCCGAGCTCAGCTGCGCGGCGTCCCCCGCTCCGGGCCCCGCGCACCTTCGCGCTCCGGCTCGGGCCCCCGATCCGGCTCCCGCGCTGCCGGGGCCGGCCTCGGCATGTTCGGCGGAGAGGGCCGGGCTCCGCCGCTCTGCCGCGCCCGCTCCGCGGAGCCCCCGCGCGCCTTACGCCGCCAGCGTCGGCCAGCGGGGGGCGGCGGCCTGCGCGCGCCACTGCGCAGGCGCGACCGAGCCGCGGGAGGCGCGCGCGTTGCTACGTCATAGCGCGGGGCGTGGTCTTTCCGAAGGGGCGTCGCTTTACGATAGCGCGGGGCGTGGCCTTGAGGCACAGAACGTGTCTTTACGACAAAGTGGGCAGGGCCTCTGACAAGGGCGCGGAGCTTCACGACGGCCAGGTGGTGGCTCGACGGCGAGCGCGAAGCTTTGCGACGCTGTGGGGGCGTGGCTCGAAGGTGGCCCCAGCGCTTTAAGCCCCAGGTAGGGCGGGGCTTTGGGGTGGGGGAGGCTCTACAGTGGCCTGGGGGCGTGGTCTTGCGTCGGGGCGGAGCTTTGCCACCCTGGGGCGTAGTTCCTGGCGGGACCCAGCGTTACCACACCGCGGGGGCGGCCGTTTTGCGACGGCTCTTGCGGGTAGGGGGTGTCGCCTCACTGCCGCGCTTTGCGGACAGACCGAGACCGCCTGTCAGCGGGGACAAGAGACTAGCGACTCCGGGAGCGTACCTGAGCTGCGAATACTACCATCAGCAGCCCCACCCTGTGGGGGCGGGGCTTAGGAATCCGCGAGGCCGCGCCTTTCGTTGCTATGGAGACGCGCGGCGGGTCCGGCGGTGCCAACCCGCGTCTGTGACGTCATCGTCTCACCACCTAACGTCACGGTGGGCGGTATCTAGGGGCAGGGTTTTCCTGGAGGGGGATAATGGCGCTGAACCCGGAAGTTACTTCCATAAAAGAAAATAGTATTCTAAAGTTAATGGACCGCACCGCAGAAAATGGTCTATGATCAGAGTCAGGCCGGTTGCCTCAGTGTTAATTCTTGTTTGTTGTTTTTTCTTTTTTGGTTTCTGAGACAGGGTTTCTCTGTGTAGCCCTGGCTGTCCTGGAACTCGCTCTGTAGACCAGGCTGGCCTCGAACTCACAGAGATCCGCCTGCCTCTGCCTCCCGAGTGCTGGGATTAAAGGCGTGAGCCACCAACGCCCGGCCTCCGGTATTAATTCTTAAAAACTTTATTTTGATTTTTTTTTGAAACATGCTATGTAGCTCAGGCCACCCGCCCCCCCACGAATCCTTCCTGTGTCAGCGTACAAGTGCCAGGATGACAGGCGTGACCTTGGTTTTTCTCCTCGTTCTTTGTCATGACGACATCCCCAAGTGCCTGCGCCTCTGGGGTCCCAGTCCTGTGGCAGGGCCCCTTCCGTGCAGAGCAGAGTCCCTACCTGGAGGGAGGCTGCCCCCATGAACCCTGCTGCTTCCCCGATCAAGAGTCACAAATCGCCGGGCGTTGGTGGCGCACGCCTTTAATCCCAGCACTCGGGAGGCAGAGGCAGGCGGATCTCTGTGAGTTCGAGGCCAGCCTGGTCTACAGAGTGAGTTCCAGGACAGTCTCCAAAACAATACAGAGAAACCCTGTCTCGAAAAACCAAAAAAAAAAAGAGTCACAAATCCTCAGAGAGCCTCCCAGGAAGTCCTGAGGGAGGGCACCCAAGTTTCAGGTGATGCCGGGAAAGTGCTGGGGGTGCTTGCTTTTACCAGATGGCTCCTGGTAAGGCCAGATGCTGTGGGCCCGATCCCAGTTCTTGATGGCTGTGTGCTGCTGAATACGACTTCCTTTTGGAAGGGCTGAATCGAGCGTTTGAGGAGCGGAGTCCAGCTTGTTGCGGACGGTAGAGAAGTCCAAGCCATAGTCCCTTTCTTCATTCTGGCTGTAGTGATTCTCTCCTGCGCTGTGTGTGCCGGGCAATATCTCCACACCGTGTTCTGCGAGCCGGTGCAGGAGGGTGCGCACAGTAGGTGAAAGGCTAAAGCATGAAGGGAGCCTTGGCCAGCCAGGGTGACCAAGGTGGAGGGACCAACCAACATGCCAGGCAGACAGAGCATGAGAGAGAGGTTTTATTAGAAAGGGAAGGGAGACCGCTAGGAGGTGGTGGCGCACACCTTTAATCCCAGCACTCAGGAGGCAGGGGCAGAAGGATCTCTGTGAGTTCAAGACCAGCCTGGTCTACAGAGCGAGTTCCAGGATAACCTCCAAAGCCACAGAGAAACCCTGTCTCGAAAAACCAAAAAAAAACAACAACAAAAAAAAGGGACTGGAGAGACGGCTCAGCGATTAGGAGCACTGACTGCTCTTCCAGAGGACCCTGGTTCAATTCCCAGCAAGCACAGAGCAGCTCACTGCTGCCTGTAACTCCAGTTCAAGGGAATCCAGCCTGCTCACACAGACATATATGCTGCAAGCAAAACACCAGTGCACATAAAATAAAAATAAATAAACCATTAAAAACCAGAAGGGGGAAGAGTGAAAAGAGGTAAAGAGACAGAGACAGACACAGTGAGAGGACAGAAGGGGGGTGGCACAGGAAAAGCCCTGTCTGCCCGGGTGGAGAGGAGAGACAGAGAGTCTAATTTTCTAATGGGGTACTGCCTGAGCACATTCTGCCACCCTTATTAGTAAAAAGGTGAAGAGCTAGGCGTGGCAGGTTAGGGAGTAAGGGTGTCAAGTTCTCAAGACTACTTCCTGCTGACCTGGGGGGCATCCACCATCTTTGGGGGGTCTGAGAAAGTAGTAGGGTGCTGCCACCTCCTGGGGTAGCTGGTTGTTTCATCGCAGTCCAGGCTGTACGGAACTCTCTGGAACCTCTTAGACCTGGCAAGATGTTGGCAGAGCAGAGGACAAGATTAAGTTTAGGGAAAAAAAATTCTTAGGTCCTGGTACTTGAGAGGAGGCGGATCATAAGGTGAGGGAAGGGGGTCCCAGGACCAAGGAGAGGTTGGATGATATTCATCTGGAGTGAATCTGACCTGTTTGGGTGGGATCAATTCAGCTTCCTGTAACTTAGAAGAATCCTTTGAATTTGTGAAAACATAAGTTTTAGACACATTAGCATTTCCATTGTTTACGATCTGTACTGACTTTGCATTGTGGAAATGGCAGTATACTCGTGTCAGAAATGATTTGGTTGAAAGCATTAACATTCTTCCTTTCATCTGGAAAACTTTAGCACAATGAAAAGCGCCTTAATCGTGAGCTTGCAGTTACAATTGTATAATGGTGTAGTATAATTGCATTGTATAATGTTTAGTACCCTGTCAGAGTTGGATTCCAGCTTATCAGAACTTTATTGATCAATGCTAAAACTATGAACAGTAGCATAATGAAAGAGAGATCGGGAACATGTTTCATTCGGTAGCATAATGAAAGAGAGAGATTGGGAACATGTTTCATTCTTTTGAATGTTTCAAGTCACTTCTTTTGTCATCACTTAACCCTTTTTATCCTCACACCTTCATAACAAGAATTCATGCACTTTACATTACAGGCTTAGATGTTTCGTTCCTCACACCTTCATACACCCTACACGTTCCTATCTTCAGAGATAACCCTCGCACACCTGTCCCTGAAATCTGTTCTGTGACAGTTGGAGCCTTGGCTGCTGCTACAGTCATCGAAAGCATCAGAGTTCTTGAGGAGGATAAAAATTTACCTGAGTTAATGAGAATGACCGCGATGCTAGCTAGCTGCAACAGTCACTCCCAGAGTCCTCCACAGCTGCTGAGGGCAGAGGATGTAAGGCGCCTGCCTTCTGCTGCTAGCGTGGGACCTGTGGATTAGGAGCTGGAGGGACACTCTCCTACTGGTGGTCCAAGCAGCGTGGAGGAAGTCGATTCCAGTGTCCTCTTGTCACAGTCTGAAGGTCCTTTGTAGCAGTTGAGGTGAAAGGCAGGTTTGCTCAGTGGCTAGCGTGACCACTTCTGTGGGTGGAGTCTCTTCACTATTCACCAGTCTTCTTGGAGGAAATGGGGTTGGACCAGCAGTTGGCCTGTCTGTCTCTTTGTTATGAAAAGCTTTTTAATAAAACATTTTAAATGTCATATTCTCTAGATCGCTGAGCATTTGAGGGGTGTCTGTCTCTGTCTTTAGTTACTTGCCTTGAGCACAGGGGCAGGCCAGCAGAAGGCCTGAACGCTCACAGTAGGGACACTCCTATGTGTGGCGACTGCTTGAATGGATGCATAAACTCCACAGCCCTCACAGGTGTGGGGAAGTTGGGCTTTCCCTCTTTAGACACCCTCCCCATCCTTGCCCCTCTCCACCTGGGCTGTGGCTGTTACTTGCCTCTTAAGCCAGTGCCTTGGGCAGCTCTGAGTATGTAGGAGTTAAAGCCAGGATTAGTGCTGTTCCGGGTAGAGGCTGTGTGACTGTGGATCAGTCACTCACCCACTCTGGTCCTTAGTACTATCTTCCTATGACTTTAGGTTAATGGAAAGGCCTGTAAGTATATGATAGGAATCCAAAAATGAATAAAATACTGCCAACTGTTGTCCCAACTAAGGTGCAAAGGTCTGTGCTTGCCAGGGTTGTCCCAGAAGTGCGTTGACCAGCCCCAGGCCACCTGCTGCAGGCTGGGGAGTTTCAAGACTCCCTCCTACCTAGATCCCCTTTGATGCTCTCACATGGTCCTTGAGAGGAAGAGAAAGACAATGCATTCATTGGCCACTGCACCACCTCCCTGTTCCCATGCTGTCACCTCCCAAGTCTGCTATGGCAGGGTGTACTTTCCCAAGCTCACATCAGTCTCTGGGCTGCACGGGGTGGGCACGGGATGTGTGGTCCTGAGCTCAGGCGGAGTGCGAAGGAAAGAGATGGCGTGAGGCTGAAGTTCTTTCCCCTGCGAGGGTCACTGGGCAGCAGGAAGAAAGAGGGGATGGTGGAGGTTGAACCCTGGGCCCTAGGACCAGCCTGCCAGCTGATTGGCCCAGCATGATCCAATCAGATCCTCCCCTGGGTGATGGAGGAGTAGCCCACAGTCCTTGTATACTATTAAGTTGGAGCCAGAGACTGAGCAAGTACCTGTCATCCAGGCACAAAGGAGGAGGTTAGCCTGGGATACAGAGGCTGTGTCACAAGCAAAGACTCCAGGAAGTAGTGGTGCATGCCTTTAATCCCATTTCCGTGAGTTCGAGGCCAGCCTGGTCTATAGAGTGAGTTCCAGAATAACTAGACCTTGTTGAAAACCAACAAAGCACCTAGAAAAGATTAAAAGAACAAAAGCAGAGACTGGTTATGCCATGTGAGATTGTATTGGAGACTCTGGAGACAGGGCTCAGTGTGGGAGGAACACAGAGGGGACAGCATTGGTGAGTGTAGAGGACAATGGGGCCTTTGGGATGGGCGGTCAAGAGTGCCCCCTGGTGTCTGAAGGCAGAATGGCACCATGCCTGTAGAGGAGAGTGGGGAGCTGTGTGGGCTTTATAGCTATGGGGTCCCTGTCCCCACTCCTGTAAGAACTGTCACTCCTATGTGTGGTGGTGAGTTGTGTGTAGACACAAGCTTACAGGGAACGCTCCAGTCAGCTGCTGCCCTGTAGCAAGTCCCCGTACACAGGGCTGGAACACAAGCTCGTCTCCGTGCATGCTGTCATGGAGACCAAGGCACAAGAAGGGCTGGCCCACTGTGGCCACTTTGTCAGTGACATGACAGCCAGTGGCCATCAGTAGACAGATGGCCCCATGTCTCCCTCCATGGCCCTTCCCAGGGCAGGCATCCTTGCTTGGATCTCTTTGGTTTTGGTTTCTCTATCCCAGGCTGGCCTCATCCTCCTGAGGGCTGGGATTAAAGGTGAGCACCACCATTCAGTGAATCTCCACTTTCAGATACCAGTCAGTTGAGTGTCCGGGAGCTACTCTAAACCAGGCTCACTAAGGTCCCCACAAAGATCCTGTTTCATGGGCACTCCTGAGGTTCTGGGAGAAGGGTCTCAGTGCAGGGATGTCCGGGAAAGACACCAAGTGGACCATGCTGGTCTCCTCCAGAGCATGCCCTCCCACGATGCTTTGCTTCCTTTTCACAGCTCTGGGCCCCTGCCCATCTTCTCTAAAGCCTTTTTGAGACAGATTCCCGTGTAGCCCAGGATAACCCTCTTATTTTTGGGCATGTGTAGGCTTAGCCAGCATGGAACCCAGAGATCCACCTGTCTCTGTTCAGAACCCAGGTCAACAGCAGGCCACGGTGGTGCTTGTCACCCTAGCTCTCGGCAGACAGAGGCAGCAGGATTTCTGGAGCTCACAGGCCACCCAGCCTAGGAAGCCTGTGAGCTCCCATATCAATGGGAGAATGCCTTAAGCCACACGGTGGACGGCAACAGAAGGCAGTTAGCTGATGGCAAGCTCTAGGCTCTACACACACATGCACACAGCATATGCATCCCCACACCACAAATACAGGCCCTGCTGCAGAAAAAGAATTTATTTCCAGAATATTCCCATATTACAAAACCAACTATGGCATGTGGGTGCACATTCTCAGGGGTGCGCAGGGCAGAGCTGCAGGTGTCTTGAGGGCACATCCCCTCAAGGGTGGGGACTGGGTTCCATCCCCGTGACCATCTGAGATGGGGCCTCAAGGTGCCTGCCTGCAACTCTCTATCCTGGACCCTCTGGGGCACAGAACAGGTCAGGTGCCCAGGCAGTTTGGTGGGACACCAGCACAGGAGGGGCATGACTTGTGGGGAGGCCTGGGGACTGCAGTGACTGAGCTAGTCGCACCAGCGGGTCACAGGGGGTGCTATGGACAGCCCAAGACTCGGTTTCGTTCTCCTGGCAAAATCACAGCTGCCCCGGGGAAGCAGGGGGTGAGGGGAAGCAGGGGGTGAGTGAGGGGAAGCAGGGGGTGAGTGAGGGGAAGCAGGGGGTGAGTGAGGGGAAGCAGGGGGTGAGTGAGGGGAAGCAGGGTTCTGTCTAAGGCACGCGTCTGTCAGACCAGGGGCCTCGGGTCCTGGCTGGCGTCTGTGGTGGGCACGGCTGCCATGCAGCTGAGCAGCTGAGCCTGTCTTTCTCCTCCCACAGAGAGGGGGAGCCTCCTGGAGCGAGAGGTCTGGATGGTGGTAGGGACAGCAGACTGCCACTAGGGACCGAACAAAGAAGCTGCAGGATCCTGTCACCAGAGGAGCGCAGGGTGGACGCATGGTAGAGCTGAGAAGGCAGTCACAACAGCCATGCTCCTGTCTCCACCCACAGTGTCACAAAAGACAGGATCCCGGGGCTCCGGGCCACTCCTTAGACAGGCTGGGTCCCCACCCTCGTCAGGTGGGAGCCAGGCACACAGCCTGGCCTGGGAGGGTGGCAGTGGGCGATGGCTGCTGGGCAGTGTAGTGGACTTCATCCCGCCAATAGTTGGGCACCAGCTTAGGGAATGGCTCTCCCTTACAGGAAGAGGCGGGGTGTCTGTCTCTCTCCCGTGGTGGTCTGAGACTTGAGCAGCATTCTGCATGTCCAAGGCAGACGACCGCGGTGGCTCTTCACCCTCATTGTGTCCCAAATAAACAGATACTGTTTTATCCGGGGTTTGCCAGCTCCCTTCCTTCCTCCGTGCAGAGCAGTGCTTGCTGAAGGCTCAGGCAGGAGGGGAACACAGGCCAAGGGCCTCCTTGGAACCCGGGGAGATGCACAGACTTCAGGACCAACGGTGGTGGCAGCAGACAGAGCCATGGTTTTGAGGCCAGCAAGATGCCTAAGGCCACTGGCCTCCGCTGGGGTAGCTGGGGACAGTCGGGTACTCGGGTAGGCTATTCCCAGAGAAGTTGTTAAACTGGGCCTCCCTCGACGGGGGGTTCTTCCAGGTGCCAGTGTTCCATTCGCTCTGTGCCTTCTGGAAGCTTCCACCAGCCCCACGGTAGATCCTATGTACCTGAAGGGTCAGGGACAGAGACACACTGTGAGTGCTCAGGTGACATTACAGGCATCACGCCTGCTCCCTCGCTTCCCCACAACCCATAGGAAACTCCAACAAACGGTTTCTCCACGGCCCTACGAGCCACCCACGATGACATCCCACTCCACTAGCGTGTGCCTTTGGCCTTCTTTCTTAGGAACCCTGAGGAAGAAAGGGGTGATAATACAGGGCAGGGTAGTGTACCCCTCGTCTCAGCACTCGGGAAGCTGAGGTGGAGGACCAGGAGTTTAGAGCTAGCCTCGGCTATGTAAGATACAGTCTTTAAAAAAAGCCGGGCGGTGGTGGCGCACACCTTTAATCCCAGCACTCAGGAAGGCAGAGGTAGGCAATCACTGTGAGTTCAAGGCCAGCCTCATCTACAAAGTTCCAGGGTGGGCTTCAAAGCTACACAAAGAAACCCCGTATCGAAAAAAAAAAAACAAACTAAAACTATTGAGACAAAACTTGCAGAGGTCCCTTCTGAGGGTGGCCCTGGCCCTGTGTGCTCCAGACAGGGCCGGGTAGACACTATAAGCATAGCACGTGGGCCTCCTGTCAACACTGTCCTGAGACCCGCAGGGGTCCTGCAGATAACACACAGCTCTACAGATGTGGGCTGCCCATTCCCAGACACGTGTCAAATGGAAAAGTAGCTCTAGACTGGGTAGGGCATTGGCCTGGCACTCACAAGGTCCTGGGTTTATTCTCTATGAAGCAAAAAAGGCTTTTTAAAGATTTCTGTCGCTCCCCCAGGTGGCTCTGCCCCCTCCACAAGCGTCTCTGGGGTGTGTCCAGGCAGAGCTGCCTACAGGGCAGGCTACAGCGTCTGGGGTACTGGCCTGGGGCTCCTGCCCTCTCCACCAGGAGGGCTCCCGAGCCTACACTGCTGGTGCCAGTGACCCTCGTGACCCTCCAGGGTCTGAGGTGCGGACACCTAAGCAGAAGCTCACGTGAGTTCAGGCAAACCATGCCCTGCAGGACTCACCTTCACAAGTGTGATGGCCATTGTGGCAGCGGACAAGGAAAACAAGATGGCTGGGACCAGCATGACCACGGCAGCCCCAACATTGACCGCAAAGAATCCAACAGCTGCCAGCCAGCCACTGCAGAGTGAAAGGGAAGGGAGGAAAGGAGTAAAAAGGGCTCTGCACGCCTGCCTGCTGTCCTTCATATGCAAAGAACTCTGACAAATCAACAAAGAATTAGGCCTGACCTCCTTTATACAGAGCTCCAACAGATCACCAAGAGAAAGATAACTGTAAAGGAGCCAGGCTCAGGTAAGGACCAATACAGAATGATGGTCACAACAAACAATGATTTCACAGGTTTCACTTCACAAAACGTACTGAACAACAACAAAAAACACACTTCAAAGAAAGTATTAAGGTAAGGTCTTGCTGACCCCTACAGGTGATAATAGCATCTTTCATTCTCCACACTATCTCTAAATGAACTCGACAGACTGTAAGTGGGCTCTAGTGGGACACATTAGGCCCTGAGACTGCTACCTTCCGGTCTGAGTCAGGCACTGGTGTCATGGCGGGTGATAGGGTGGGCGCCAGCCCACTAACAGTTAGACTGCAGCTCCAGGGAGGGGGAGGAGGGCAGGGCTCTCTGGACTCCGACTGAACACATAGCTCACTGGACTCGGGCTGTAAGCGCTGACTCAGGCCTCTGCGTATATCTCATGGCAATGAGCTTGGTGCTCCTGTGGGACTCCCTGCGGGGTGGGCTGCTCCCACTTTCTTCCTATTGTGGTGCCCTGTCCAGCTGTGACATGAGGGTTTGTGCCTCGTCTTTTTTGTTTTGCAAGTTTTTTGGGGGGAGAGGCAAGACAGAGTTTCTCTGTGTAGCAGTCCTGGCTGTGCTGGAACTTGATTGGTAGACCAGGCTGGCCTCAAACTCTGCCTCCCATGTGCTGGGCCTAAAGGTGTGCGCTGCCACCGCCTGCTGCCCCTGCCTAGTCTTTCTGTACCTTGCTGCTTCCTGCTGGGTTGCTAACCCTGGGAAGGCCTGCTTTCTTTTTAAAGGGAAACGGTGGGGGGGGGCATGAGTGAGTGGATCTGGAGAGGAGGGAGGTGCTGGGAGGGTGGAGGGTGGGGAGATCTCTTCAGTGTGTAATGTACGAGATGGAGGAAGAAATGGAGGCTCGGGCACCGTGCTCAGGCCTTTATCCCAGTGCCCAGAGTCAGACAGACAGACCTCTCAAGTACCGAGTTCCAGCCCAGGCAAGGCTACACAGGGAGACCCTAGACATGGGAACGTGTCTGTTCAAGGCAGGCTTAGGCAGCAAGGCAGGGGTATGTTTCAAGAGGAAACCTAATATGGTGTCGGTTACAGGGCCGCAAGCAGCTCAGCGGCGCCCTCTGCTGGTAGTCTGCAGGAAGGCTTTCATCTGTCCCCATGCTGTCAGACTCTCACAGGCTTAAGAAAGGGAGGCGCTCATGCCTGCCTCAGTTGCTTACCACGCTCCCCAGCCTGAGAAGCCGATGGCCTGGATGACTGTCAGGACGAACTGTGCCCCGAAGATGAAGAAGAATGTCATGAAGTTAAAGGAGCTGTCAGCCCTGCAAGGCACACAGTGAGTGGGGAGGGTGGGTGTCATTAGTAACCGAAATGATCAAGCCCCTCCCTCCACTGAGCACTCAGACTGGGTGTTGACCACACAGGGTACCACAGCCCTGGGACTGCGTGGGGAGACTGTAAGTCATGGGGTTGATAAAGCCCAGACATCCTGAGGGCAAAGGGGCAACTTCAGGCCGCTTCTGGGAGTGTGAGATGAGACAGTCCTGCTCTGGACCCCGTCCCTGTTCTGGTGGCTTGACTGAGCGGGCATCAGTGGTCTAGCTCAGGCACACCTGCACAGGAAGGGGCCAGCCGGCTGAGGATGGATGACGGACCCTGAGCAGCAGGGCCCATCCGCTCGAGTATTACGAGGCAAGGGCCTGACACAGGCCACAGTGGAGGGACTTGTGCTCAGAGAGACGCACAGAAGGCCACGCAGGTGTGCAGCTCCACAATAGAAAATGTCCAGAACACACAAATCCAGAGGCAGGAAGTGGATTTGTGGAGGCTGGAGTGGGGACTTACAGAGAATGGTTTCCTTTTGTGTGATGGAATTTTTGAGAAGCAAGCACTGGCAATGGCTAAACTAGTACAACACCCAGGTACACTGTGGTCAGGAAGCATGGTGCAGGAGTGGTTACTAAAACTCAACACAGAGTCAGGACAACGAAGACTGCTCAGTGTGTGCCCTCAAAGCAAGGAGGTGCAGGCCTGCACCCAGAGACGGGGCAGGCCCTGTGACTGACGAGAGCCTCTACAGTGAGACGGCCTGCCTCAGAGCACCACGGGACATCCTGGCTTCTGTGGGCTGTGGGCACACTAGGCAGTGGGGACGCCCACCCTGGACAGGCAGATCCCCGCTCCCCAGAGACCACAAAGCACAGTCTCCACGGGCCCCACAGCTTGGCCCGATGGCCGCGGAACCAGGCTTACCGGAAGGCCTTATATGCAGGCCGGAACCAGCACACATAACTGCAGGGAGTGAAGAGAAGCAGCCAGAGCATGGCCAGGCCGAAGTTGGTTCCCGCTCCACCCGCAATCCACCAGGCCAGGCAGGCCACCAGGTTCACACCCAGAGTAGCACAGTAAACTGGAAGAGGGACACAGGTGTGAGAAGCATGGGGTAGTCACCAAGGACGCCCGCCGTGGGGACGAGCCTCGGGTGAGGACCAGGGTCTCGCATCCCCCACCCCAAGAGGCTCACACATCCACAGCCGGTAGATCCTCTTGACCAGTGTGAGGTGCTCCACGGGAATCTCATCGGAGAAGTCCTGGTAGAAGCAGGGCTTCAGCGGCACGAAGCGTGGCAGGGGCGGGAAGTTGTTCTCCTTTCCTGCAGAGGAAGACCCCACGCAGCCTGCTGTGGGCTTCTGCAGCACATGCTCCCTACACCTTAGCCCCTTCCTGAGCCACCAAAGCCAGAGAGGATCAGCCAGTCACACCCCAAGGTGTTAAATGAAGCCCCTATGGAGTGGCCACATCGAGGGCACAGGCCTCGGTCAGCACCCGTTGTCCTAGGATTGTCAGGCCAGGGCCAAGGAGGGCAAAGAAAGGCAGCCAAAGCCCCCCATAGCCCCAGCGGGCCCTGCACACCCTCCAAACTGCCGCATTCCAAACCCTCCTTCTGCAAACTGGAAGATGCTGGTGGCTCTTTGGTGGCCTGCCTATGCCCCACTGTGGCAAACAAGGTACCACAGGGCAAAATCTGGGGAATCCCAGGCCAGCTTTGCGACCACAGCTCAGGAGTGCAGGGCTTGGGTGGGAGTTGGGAACACTGCCTGGAGAACGGGGTAGACTCACCTGCCATCTCTGTGCTGGCGCCCAAACACAAGGGGCCACCTGAAAGGAGACTACAATCAGCGTCTCTGTGGCCACCAGGCCCAGGGAGATCCTAACCCAGTCCACTGCTCCAGGCTGGCTGCTGGCTCCACCAGTGTTGGGCCGGATATGTCACTTCCCCCACAGAGCAGTCTGGAAGGGGATGGGTCAAGCCACCCGCTAATGCCACACCCACAGCCTTGGAGCCAGGATGTCCGAGTCTTGGTGTCCTCCCAACACTGCGCTCTGACTGGGACCCCACAGATGACTCTGAGTGCTGCAGACACACCCCTCAGGGCTCCCATTCCCCTGGATCACCCAGAAAAGAGCTCTCCGCCATGTGACAGCCACAGGGTCACACCAACCCTGGGTGTGGAGCTCGCTATGGGAGCCCGTAGGGACCCTTTCACAGCCCCAGAGGCACCCAGCAGTCACTTTTCAGGGAGCTCTGTACCTAAGCTAAGCGCCACCTTCAGGGCGTGGCTGGGCTAAGGCCCCATGGGGTTTTGGTGAGAAAGTTGCAAGTACACCCTGGTCTCCAAGACCAGGTGCCACTAGATGGACATTATCAGGGTCTCAAAAAGGCCCCTCACACCCCTGCCCCACCCTGCTCGCTGGCCCCCAGAAGTGGGGCCACAGAAAGGCGTACTCCAGGAGGGGCTGGCTTCCCTGGAGGAGGACGGCAGAGCCGCATGCAGAGGCAGGAGCCCGCCACCATGCTCCTCTACCCACAGCCGCCTGGCCTCTCCGTGGACTCTGTCCAGCTGGGGCATGGCCTCCTCTGCCCAGGGTCAGGAGGTGCATGGCAGCCCTGTCATCACTGGCAAAGCCCCATGTCCCCTCAGACCGGACGGCCCCCAGTCTCCTTGGGGCAGCTTGGTTCAGAAGCACCGCGCCAGGCAACGGGCATGTCAGAAGCGCCAGCACCCTAGCCAGGCAGACTGCCCGGCCTCCCCACCAGACAGGTACAGAACGGTCACAGGCAGCCTGGGGCTGAAGTCATCCAGTCACACTTGGAGCCGTCCACATCCAAAGTCAGGCAAGGGTGCCTCCTGGGCTGCTTCTGCCCCTAGAAACATCCAGAGCCGGCTGCCGCCCTCCCCTTCACAAACCATACAGCCTGACCCAGACGCCACCCCCGCTGGGCACCTCGGTGCAAACGGGAACTTGGTTTGAGGCGGTTTTATTTTCACACGATGGCTGCTCCCTGCCCCGAGCCTGGAGGACCATGGGGACTTAAGTCAGCCATGGGCTTGTAAGCATGGTTGAGCCTCACGGTCGGACTCTGTAGTCAGCAGAAAAGAGGCCACTGTCTCAGGACTGAGAGGCCTCGCACGCTGACACAGGTGGTCAGGGTCCTTAGACAGAGGGTGTGGCCCCAGCGCCCAAGGCCACGGAGCTGCAGGGGATGCGGACTGGCCAGGAGCAGAGAACAGTCTGGAAGTGGACTGGCCAGGAGCAGAGAACAGTCTGGAAGTGGCAGGTGACTAGGTCTACGGGTCGGGGTCCAGCTGGCGACACTGGTCCTCCAGGACGCCACGGAACACCTGGAAGCGGTGGTTGAGGTCTGGCCGTGCATGGACACGGAAGCGCGTACCCAGGGCGCCGTCAGGAGAGGACGCCCCATAGAAGACACGCTGGATGCGGGCGTGGACAAGGGCCATGGCGCACATGACACAGGGCTCGCGAGTGACGTACAGGTCATAGCCGGTGCACACGTAGGGCACGCCGTCTTCATCCAGCTTGCGCACACTGCCAGCACGTGCAGCCTGGGCGGTGGCGGCCGGGCTGAAGGAGCAAGCCGGGTGCTGTCTGAGGTCACAGGTGCCACGGCCCTGCCCCTGGGCCACCAGGTCAATGCACACCATGACTGCGTGCAGCAGGGGGCTGGCCGTGTCTCTGCAGTCATGGCCGGTGGCCAGCACACGGTTCGAAGCTGGGTCTACCACGACAGCGCCCACCGCCCGCAGACCCTGGCCAGCTCCGCTCTGGGCGGCACGCACCGCCCGTTCCATATGTCTCTGCATGGCTGCTCGCGCCTGCGCAGAGAAGAGTTGCCCGGCCAGTGCGCTGGTCACCTGCTTGTCCTCGTGGAAGGATGTGGGCCAGTGGGCCCGCGCCTCCTCAAACTGGCTCCGGGTGAGGGGCGGCCGGGCGGGCACGGGCACCAGGAAAGGTGTGCCCAGGCCACGCGGGTCCACAGCCGGTCTAGGGAGGAGCTCAGCCAGCGAGCGCGGGCCCGCAGAGGGCCCTGCCAGGCACAGCAGAAGATCCGATGCGTGGGCGCTGCCCGCGCTGCGGCTGGGGCGCACCCGCTTGAGGTGGGGCTGGGCTGGAAGCGGGTAGACGGCGGACACCTCCCGGAGGAGGCGGGATGTCTGGCGCTTGTCCAGGACTGGTGCAGCATAGGCCAGCACCAGCTCCACGGCTCCGGACTGCTGCTCCGACAGGACAGGGAGAACTTGCCATTGCGCGGGCTCTGGCTCCTCACTTGCAGCCTTCTCAGGCTCAGGCTGCTCTGCAGGGCCCGAGGCAGGCTCCATCCTTAGCGGGGTTCGACTGTGGGAGACAGAGATGGGACTGGAGTGTCATCCCTCAGCTTCAGGGGTCTGCCCTGGGATTCTCCGCCAGGCCAGAGAATGAGAAGTCCAGACAGCCAGGTAGAGTCGGCTGACTCCCACTGCACAAGATAGAACCGTGCCGGGCTCTTCAGGGCTGACAGTTCACGGCACGAGACAGACGCCGTGTGGAGGTAGTATGGAGACAGGCATTCGTTACTATCAAACTCAGAACCCACCCCAGCAGCCCTTGCCCTGTTAACCAGGCCACTGTTAGCCCAGGGGATCAGGAGTTCATGGTGACTGTGAGGCCGGTCCGGGCTACATAAAGCCTTGTTATTGGAGGCACACGTCCATAATCCCCGCACTCGGGAGGCAGACAGATCTCTCTGAGTTTCAGGCCAGCCTGGTCTATAGAGTGAGTTCCAGGACAGCCAGGGCTACACAGAGAAACCCTGTCTTGGAAAACAAAACCAAAACCAAAACCAAAACCTTGTATCTAACAAAAACCCAGGAAAGACAAAACCCCTTGGCCTCTAAACAAGCCCATGGTCACCCACCCATAGACAACTGCTTTTCTATCTGTATCTCCAAAGGTAACAGATCTGGGATGGGCTGCTGACATGCTCTGGCTGACTTCAAGACCCCAGGTCTAGTCAGGAGAAACAGAAATCTGCCTGCAGTCTGCAGAGTGGACCTGCCTTGTCCAGTCCATATGAGAACAGCCCCTCATGGGGCTCTCAAAGTCGGCTTGGTGATCTTTGGACGGTGTGGACACAGCTCATGGAGCTCCTGGCTATGGCTCCAGGGCTGATGGCAATATATCCCAAGCTGCTAAGTGGCCCATTTTCTATGCAGTAAATGGAAGTGGGGGTGGAGTGAGGACCACCCCAGGAAAGTAAAAACCTCAGTACACCTGACCCCAGGTGACTTTTTTTTTCCCCCTTGGTTTTTCCAGACAGGGTTTCTCTGTGGCTTTGGAGGCTGTCCTGGAACTCGCTCTGTAGACCAGGCTGGCCTCGAACTCACAGAGATCCGCCTGCCTCTGCTTCCCCTGTGCCACCAATGCCCAGCCCCCAGGTGGCTTCTATGGGACATGCTCACCTTGGTCTACTGAAGGGGCACAGAAGACCAGAGTCAGACGTTTACCCAGTGGCACATGCTTGTCATCCCAGCACTTGTGGGACAGAGGCAGGAGGATAGCTGTAAGCTGGAGCCAGCCAGCCAGAACTACATGGCAATACCCCACCTCAACCATCTGTACCCCCAGAAAAAGGCACCAGGCTTGCAATGTACCCCAAGAATACAGACCCTGCCAAACACGGCAGGCATGTAGCCATGGCCCATCCCACTGTGCACCTGTACTCTGGGGAATGGCCTGTCTAAAGCAGTGGGCTAGCCTGGGAACCTGCCTATCCAGGGCACCTCAGCTTTGCTGTCCCAGCACCCATTGAAGCCTGAGCTGACAGCCAATGCCATGGCCACCCTGTGATATACAGAAAAGCCAGGCTCTGAGAGGTGCCCAGTGAGGGACAGGCTGTGGGGAAGGGAGACTCTCAGCCCTCAGACACTGCTTCTCATGCTGTGCAGTCACAGCTAGCCAGGGCAAGATGGCAGGTACCAGACCTCAGGATGAGCCCCACAGCAGGCTTCACGCAGATCGCCCGCCACCCGCTTCTCTGCTACTGAACCCTCGCTCGCCACCCTTATTCTCGTCACCGGCTGCGTTGCTGCCCCCTGCCCACTGTGCTCTGCTGACTAACCCAACCTGCAGGCAATGATTAGGCTCATTCTTCACCAGGGCTCAAGATCATCAGAGCTCTGCCCAGAATCCCCAGGGAGGAGGCTCAGGGACGGCAGGGACATGCCTACCGTGCTCAAACCCTGAGTAACAAACAAACCAGGAAGGAAGGAAAGAAGGAAGAGGGGAGGGAGGGACAGATGGACGGACGGAAGCATGGAAGCAAGCCCCTGCGAGGTGACGTGCATGGCCGCCTGCTGTGGGCTCCTCTGCGCTATCCAGCACCACATCCGGGATCCGCCGCGCCCGCAGGTGCGCACCCGGGCTAACGAATCAGGGCTCACCCAGGCTGCCCAGGTCAACACGGAACTGTGGGCGAATGAGCTACAGGTGCCCCTAGGCGCCTAAAACCAGGAAGGGAGAACGGTGCAGGCAGAGCCCAGGAGGGGCCCTGGTGACATCTGGCCTGCCCAGAGCACACACCACGCCTGCAGCCCCACCGACTGCTGTTTCCAGGGCAGAAGACAGCCTCATTTGTCCCCAAGTCTACAACAAAACAAGGGACACAGAAACAAGGTTGCCTTGGGGACAGGCAGTCTAGGGAGGAGTTTAAAAACTACAGGATGATGGCCAAGGCTCTGGCCAAAGGGCCCTTCAAGCTAACTGCTTTCGTGACCTGATCCATACGCCTGTTTTCTCGTTTTGAGACAAGGGTTCCCTGTGTAGCCCAGGCTAGCCTAGAGCTCAGCGTGTATACCGGGCCAGCTTCAAACTTAGTCATCTTCACGCCACTGCCTCCCACATGCTGGGACTGAAGAGCAAGAATGGTTCCCTTGTTTTAGGTGACAGAGGAAAGAGGTCCAAAAGGAGCTCCTGCCCGCGTGCCACAGACAGGGAGCTGGGCCGCCAGGCACTCGCTCCGAGGATCCGAGCACACGAACTGAGGAACTGCAGGCCAACAGTGGGCCGTGGGGCCACGGCTGCAGGCTGGGCTGGCTCCGGGGAAGGACGGGAGACAGCATCTCGGTGTCAAGTGGGGAAGCGCGGGCCCGAAACACCAGGCTCTCAGATGAGTTCCGGGCCGTAAAGCAAAAGCTCCCAAAACAAAAAGCAACAGGGCTGGGGCGGAGCTCCGCCACAGTGAGGGCACAGGGGTGGGGCCCCGCCTGGGACGCGGAGCAGCAGCGCAGCGCCCGTCCAGCAAGACCAGAGTCCAGGACTCAATCCCTGGTCCCAACAAAAACACCGAAGCTTCCATAGGATACCATAGCTTAAAGGAAAACTGCACACCTGCTGAGAAGATGATGAGTGGACAACCCTGAGGCAGGGGACTAACTGCGATGACCCGAACAGACAACCGGAAGCAACCGGAAATCACGGACTTTCCGGAATTAGAAGTAGGGTACGCGCGTGCGCAGCAAACCGACGGCGTAGGGAGCCAAAGGTACGAAGCCTCTGCGCATGCGTACTACCGTTGACTGCTCGCGCACGAGCACGCCCACCGCCTCCCGGAACGCGCGCGACAGTGTCTCCCTGAGCCTAAGTGGTCGGCCCGGCAAGGCCTCCTTTCCCTGTCCACCTCCCGGGCCAAGTCTCCATCCCCGCTGCCCCGTGGCGGGTCAGGAACGGCGGAAGCCGAGCCCCTCCGGGGGCTGCTCACCTGAGGGACGCCCGCGCGAACGCCACGCTTCTCCAAGTCCTAGCAACCGGGCCGCCCCGCCTACCGCCGCAGGGCGCGACGGGAACGTAATTCCGTGGGCGGGGCCTGATCGGGGCGGAGACTTGACTACAATTCCCAGAAGGCCGCACGCGTGCCTGGTCACTCCGCCCTGGTGTTTCTGGGGGCCTTTTTTTCTTGCATCCTGCAGTGGGCTAGACCGTCGGATGGGTGGCCGAAACTCGGACCCTGCTTGACATTTTGAGGCATCCACAGAGAGGAGACTTTGAGGCGGAAGGAGACTCATCTCCATCTATAGTTACCCTCGAACTACAGTGAAGTCCCCATGTCGCAGCTGCTTGGAAGGGGACTGGTCATTTTTCTCATCTGAAGCAAGTATGTGGACTCTTGAATAAAAACCGGGACTCAGGCTGTAGCATGGTTTGTAGCGTGTTTGCCAGCATCCAGGAGACCGTGGATCCATGCCAGCACTGTTAGTGGCACATGCTCGTCATCCCAGCACTCTGAGGCAGAGGCAGCTTGTAAAGACCCTGTCTCAAACAACAACAACGTTTTGGGGTTGTAGCCTGCTCTCTGTGACGCCCTGGGTTCAATCCCTGGCAATGCATAAAACAAAATATTAAAAAGTGAAGCTAATGGGGCTGGAGAGAGAGCTCAGCGTTTAAGAACACTGGCTGCTCTTTCAGAGGTCCCAGAGTTCAATTCCCAGCACCCACAAGGTGACTCACAACCATCTGTAATGGGATCCCCTCTTCTGGCCTGCAGGCAGACTTGCAGATAGAGTACTCAGACATTAAAAAAAAGTGAAACCTGCCGGGCGTTGGTGGCGCACACCTTTAATCCCAGCCCTCGGGAGGCAGAGGCAGGCCAATGCCAGGATAGCCAGGACTACAGAACGAGACCATGTCTTGAAAAAACAAGCACGAAAAGAAATAAAATTAATGAATGAATAGTAAGGGCTGGAGGAGGGGTGGTCTAACATTAAGGTCAGGTAATAATTTTTTTTAAAGATTTATTTACTTATTATGTATACAATGTTCTGTCTGCATATATTCCTGCAGGCCAGAAGAGGGCACCAGATCTCATCACAGATGGTTGTGAGCCACCATGTGGTTGCTGGGAATTGAACTCAGGACCTCTGGAAGAGCAGCCAGTGCTCTTAACCTCTGAGCCGTCTCTCCAGCCCCTCAGGCAATAATTTCTAATTAACTGTTTTATTTTTTTTTATTTTTTATTTTTTTGGTTTTTCGAGACAGGGTTTCTCTGTATTGTTTTGGAGGCTGTCCTGGAACTCACTCTGTAAACCAGGCTGGCCTCAAACTCACAGAGATCCGCCCGCCTCTGCCTCCTGAGTGCTGGGATTAAAGGCATGCGCCACCAACGCCCGGCTAATTAACTGTTTTAAATAGTGTCACTGAGTAGGGTCCCTCAGTGATCATGACATGGGTTTCATGGGGACCTCATGGAGCAGTCATGGCTAAACTGCAGCCTGCCTGTCTGAGCTGTGACTGGCACCAGAGAATATCTGGAGGTCAGCTTGTTTGCAGTCTTCAGGACCTTTCTGAAAGCTGTAAAGAGTACAGCTATCAGACCAGAGTAGATCCCACAGAATTAGTTTATTTTTTTAAAGATGTATTTATTTATTATGAATACCACATCCTGCCTCCATGTGTAGATGCACGTATACCAGAAGAGGGTGCCAGATCTCATTACAGATGGCTGTGAGCCACCATGTGGTTGCTGGGAATTGAACTCAGGACCCCTGGAAGAGCAGTCGGTGCTCTTAACCTCTGAGGCATCTCTCCAGCCCCCCCACAGAATTAGTTTATGGGAGACTAGTGTGGCTGTGACCTTGTGCTTTGTCTGTCGTACTTCCAGGAGGTCATGTGATCCAAGGGACTCTGAAGGAAAACAAAGGTCACCAGGACACCCATGTTATTATTTTTACTATTTTTTGGTTGAGTCCAGCCCCATAAAACTGTTATGTCAGGCCAGGCATTGGTGGCTCAGCCTTTAATCCCAGCACTCCGGAGGCAGAGGCCAGCCTGGTCTACAGACTGAGTGCCAGGACAGCCTCCAAAACAATACAGAGAAACCTTGTCTTGGGAAAAAAGTGTTGTCAGGCCTAGAGAGTGGCTTGGCAGTGAGGAACCCTGGCTGCTACCCCTGTTTGATTCCCAGCACCCACATGGCGGCTCACAAACCATCTGTAACTCCAGCTCCAAGGAATCCAATGCCCTCTCTGGCCTCCATAGACATGAGGCTCCCGTATGGTACACAGACAGATGGATATGCAGGCAAACACTTATATGCTTAAAATAAAAATAAACAAGATGCCTGTAGTGGTGAACACCTTTAATCCTAGTACTCTCAGGAGCAGGGACCAGTGGACCTCTGAGTTCAAGTCCATCTTGGTTTATAGAGTAAGTTCCAGAACAGCCAGGGCTACATGGAGAGACCCTGTCTCAAAAAAAAAAAAGTGTGTGGGGGTGTCCAAAGAGAAGTGAGGTCATGGGTAAGAGTGGAGCACCGCATCTCCTGCATATATTCCCCAGTGAGGGGCTGGGGCGTGGTCAGTGGTGGAGCCCTGCCTAGAATCCCCCAGTGAGGGGCTGGGGGCTGGGCTCTGTGATTGCTTGTCTGCCTTGTAAGAAACCTTTGGTTTGATCACCAAAATAAGTGAGGGCATAATCTTTATGGCCTGGGTATGCAGGTGGACTAATCCTGGGTCGAGGGAAGGAGTCTGGGAGGCTCTCTGCCTTCTCCTTCACTGTCTCTCTGGTTCATCAGCAGACTTCATGCCACCTCTCCCCAGCTTGCGGTGCCACTTTGAGAACCCCCAACTTCCTGCCTCTGTACTCCACAGGAGCCATCCCCAGCCCCTTGAAATCAGCCATGATCTGGACAAATCCATAACCCATAAATGCAGCTGTCTTCAAGGCATGGTCTCTGGCTGTGTATTGTGACACCCAAGATTTGGAACCTGCTTTGTAAATCAGGAAAAGAAACCTGGGGGGTAGCATTATGCCTGTGATCCCAGCACTGAGGAGGCTGAGGCAGGAGGATTGCTAAGTAGAGACTAGCCTGGGGTAAGCAGTGAGACTCTGTCTCAAAGCTCAACAAAAGGGATCAGGGCTGCAGCCCAGTGACTAGCGGGCTCGTTTGGCCTGCAGAAAGCATAGATCCCATCCCAGCACTGTGTGAACCAGACACGGCTCACCTGTTACCCAGCGTGGGGGAGGTACAGGGAGGAAGCCAGGGGCAGGGAGTCTAGGTCATCCTTGGCTACAGAGCTAGTTTGAGGCCAGCCTCATGAAACAGGCTGTCTCATGTCTCAAGAAAAAAAATTAAAAAGAGCAAAAGATACTATGGGGTGTCTGTCATTCCTTAAAATTCAGAAAAAAAAAAAACTCCACTATGATTGTTCTCCATTAAGCCTAATAGCCACGGGCTCATCTGAGCAGGCAACTCCTGTGTGTCCAAGACATTCTCTGTTCACAAAACTGACCAGACCCCAAATTCTCTTCCATCTCAGCACTTTTATGAATAGTTCATTCATTCCGGGTTTTCCCTTTCTTTTTTAAAATAAGATTTAATTTTATGTGTATCAGTGTGTGTCTGCATGCATAGGTGTGCACCAAGTGTGTGCAGTGCCACCCACAGCCAGAAGAGGGCGATGGATCCTCAGAGCTGTAGTTATAGGTGCAGTGTGTTGCGAGCTCTGGGAACTGAACCCAGGTCCTCTGGAATCAGCCAGTGTCCTTAACTGCTGGCTGTTCCTCTAGTCTTTTTTTTTTTTTTTTTTTTTGAGACATGGTGTCATTTGGGTTGAGTTAGCACAGAACCCTGGGTGGGTGAAATCATGATGATTCATGATTTCAACTGCTGGGATAAATGTTTGATTTGCCCTCCAGCTTCCTTCCAGATTTACAATGGCAGGCTCTCCCTTCCTTCCTTTCTTCTTTCCTCCCTCCCTCCCTTCCTTTTTTTTTTTTTTTAATTTTGGAGACAGGGTTTCTCTGTGTACCCCTGGTTGCCTAGAACTCACTCTGCAGTGCAGGCTGGCCTCACACTGAAAGATATGCCTGCCTCTGCCTGTTGTATCCTCTGGGATTAAAAGTCTGCACAGCACCACCCAGCTAACTTTACTTTGTGTTGGGGTGTGCATGCCAGCCATAGTGTGGGTTTGCAGACCAGAGGACAGTCAACAGGATGTGGTCTCTTTCTGCAGGGTCCCCCCTGCAGGTAGAGCGGGGGAAGGGCCGGTCCAGCCGGCCTCTTCCCAGGGGCTGGGCGGGATGGTAAGTGACTCAGACCCTCCCCCCATTAGTTGGGGGGGGGACACACTGAGTCGGGAGTCTGTCGAATCAGGATCTCGATTTATTCCAACAGGCAGAAACTTATATAGGACTGAGGTAGGAGATGGGAATCAGGATAGGGTTAACGTGAGGTGTTAACGGCCAATAGTATTCCACCAAGCAGGCAGGTAGCTAGGCAGGGGGCAATCTTACATCAGATCTGGCTGAGTCACCCCTCATGTGGAGGTTACAGGTCAGAGACAGGTCGTTAAACTCTAGCCAGGCTCAGGAGGTTACACAGGGCCTCGCATCCGAGCCTTTCTTAGGCACAACATCTTTCCACTCTGTGAGTCCTGGGGATTGAACTCGGACCTTTACCAGCTGCACCACTCCACCGCCCCTGTGTTTACCTTTTGATATGCCTCTGTGTAGTACTGGCTGGCCTTGAGCTCCTGGTGGTCCTCTCTCCACTCTCCCTCCTTCCCAGGGCTGATACTATAGGTGTGTGCTCCTGTGTCCAGCCACAACAGAGGGTTTTCCTTGTACACAATGTCCTGGAGTATAAGGCTAGCAGTGTAAGGGGGGGGCACATACTTCAGTGGGGAACTGAGCCTTACCCACCAGCTTTAGTCCTGTCCCTGGCCATCCCCCCACCCCGGCCCCAGGGCTGCCTTCACTCCCCATGGATTTGTTGCAGGCAGAACTTGGCTTTTCTGGCTTAGCCAGCCCTGGCCCCTCCCAGCCCTGAGTGGGAATGGCCTGGAGGGAGTCCTGGGTGTGAAAGAAGAACATTCCTGACATGGTGCTTAAAATCAGGATCCAAGCTTGATGGTGCACACCTCTAACCCGCCAGCACTCGGGAGGCAGAGGCAGGCGGATCTCTGTGAGTTCGAGGTCAGCCTGGTCTACAGAGAGAGTGCCAGGACAGCCTCCAAAACAACACAGAGAAACCCTGTCTCGAAAAACAAACAAACATATATATATATAATATATATATATTTTTTATATACATATATATATTATACATATAATTTATTTTGTATGTATATGCATGCCACAGTGTGGCAACTTTCCTTCTGTGTGGGTTTCAGGGCCCCAGGCTCAGGAAGGGCCTTTACCACTGAACCACCTTGCCAGCCCATGTACTATATATGTTTTCATAGTGTTAAATATGAAGCTGGGTGTGGAGCTAAGTGCCTGGAAACCTAGCATACAATAGGCAACAATGTCTAGGCCAACCTTGACTACAGAGGGAACGCTTGTCTCTAGAACCGAGCACGGCTACAGAGGGAACGCTTGTCTCTAGAACCGAGCACGAGTCATGTGTGATGGTGCACCTTTTTAATCCCAGCACCAGGAGGCAGAAGCAAGCAGCCTCTGTGAGTTGGAGGACAGCCTGGGCTACATAGTGAGTCACTGTCTCAAATAAATACCTGAATGAATAAAACTGACTGGAGATAGTTCAATTGTTAAGAGTCCCTGCATAGTTTAAAGCCCTAGGTTACAGCTCTCAGAAACTTGACTTGGTGACACAATCCTGTTGTTAAGACCAAGCCAGTTTGAGCTGCATGACAGTCTTGTCACAAAAGAGATTGGGGGCCAGGGGTCGGGAAGGGATGAGGATGCAGAGTGTAGGAAGCAGTAAAACTGGTGTGGTAGTGTGTAACCTTCACCCCAGTAGGACAGGTGGAGGTCGTGAGTTCAATACCACTCTGGGCCACCTGAGATCAGGTCCCTCTCCTCCCTGAAAGGGAGCTTCACTCAACTGGTCATGTTGTCATGTGTGTCAGCCTAGTGTTCAGGTGGTTTGCTCAGGAGGACTGCTGAGTTTGAGGGCCTAGCCTGAGCTACATAATGAATTCTAGAATTGCCTTCCCTTCAGATTAAGATACCATCTCGCCGGGCGTTGGTGGCGCACGCCTTTAATCCCAGCACTCGGGAGGCAGAGGCAGGCGGATCTCTGTGAATTCGAGGCCAGCCTGGACTACAAAGTGAGTTCTAGGACATCCTCCAAAGTCACAGAGAAACCCTGTCTCGAAAAAACAACAACAACAAAAAAAAAACCAAAAAAAAAACTGGGAAGGAGACTCTTTTTTTTGTTTTCGAGACAGGGTTTCTTTGTATTGTTTTGGAGGCTGTCCTGGAACTCTCTCTGTAGACCAGGCTGGCCTCAAATTCACAGAGATCCGCCTGCCTCTGCCTCCTGAGTGCTGGGATTAAAGGCATGTGCCACCAACGCCCGGCTGGGAAGGAGACTCCTGTATTCTTTTTTAAGGTAAGGTCGTTCTACCTGCATATAGTCTTTCTAGTCTATTTGGTGCCTGCACAAGCCAGAAGTGGGCGTGGGATCGCCTGTAACTGGAATTACAGACGGTTATGAACCTTGTGGGTGCTGGAAATTGAAAAAAAATTTTGTAAGAGCCGCCATTGTTCTTAAGCGCTGAACCATGCCTCCAGCTTCTGCCTTCAGACTTAAGAGAATGATTTGGTCTATCGCCTCTCTAGGAATGCGGAAAGAATGGAACGAATGATTTAAAAAATCAGCAGGGGGCTAGGCAGTGGTGGAGCCTGTTGCTGTTAGTCCCAGCACTCGGGAGGCAGAGGCAGTCGAACTCTGTGACTTTGAGGTCACCCTGGTCTACAAAGCGAATTCCAGAACAGCCAGGGCTACACAGAGAAACCCTGTCTCGATAAAGAAAACAAAAAAAAAACAAACTAACTAACTCAACAGGGGATGCAGACTCGGCTACTCGGTTCACTGTACCTGGCTTGGTTCTCAGTTTAGGCCTCGCCTCTAGGCAGACCTGCTCTACTCTGGTAGCGCCACACCCTCCCAAGGCCCCGCTCTCAGACCGGACAGTCCCGCCCACATTTCAGGCCCCGCCCCCTGCACAAGCCCCTCCCCTAGCTCCTCCACCGCGTCTGCTGTGGCCCCGCCCCCAAGGCACCCCGCCCACTAGATTAGGTCCCGCCTTTCACACCAGGTCTCTCCCCAGCACATTGGGCTCCTCCCGCCCGTGGACCCTCCCCCAGCAATGCACCGCCCACAATAATCCACCTAATCCGCTTTGCTGTTGTTTTGCCCCGCCCCCCACAAACAACTAGGGCTTTCTCGCTTGCGCATTCCCCCGGCATCACTTCCGGGGCGGTGTTAGAAGAAGACTCACTTCCGCCCGCGGCGGAGCGGCGGTGGTGGCGGCGCAGGAGGGCCGGCCGCGGTCCCGAGGGACACACGGACGGACGCAGGGGCGGGCGGCCGGGAGCCATGGAGTGCGGCCCCGGGGCCGGCGGACGCGGGCGGCGGTGAGTGCGGGCGGGCGGGCGCGCGCGGGTGGCGGCGGTTTGCGTAGCGGGGCCAAGGCGGACAGGGCCCTACGTCCGATACAGACAGCTTGGCGTCTTCCGGGGGTGGCAGCGCCACCAGAGCTCCCACCCTGTCCCTGGCGTCCCCGTCTCCCGGTGCAGCGATCCTGGAGCAGTCGCTAAACCTCCCTAGGACGCGGCTCTGCTCCAAGAAACGCCCCGGCCAGCCGCAGACCCGGAGCCTCCTCCGGAACCGGCCCCTATCCCACACCACCTCCGCCTCCCTGCTGACACTCGCCGGCCACCTCTGTGCCATGTTTGGTGCCTTCCGGCCAGCCGGGGCCTACATCAGGCTCCCTTTATGCAGCCCAGGACTCCTCCGTGGCCCCCCCATCACCCCCACGATGAAGTCCTCATCCTGCAGCAGAGCCCGAGGGTGCAGCTTGAGCCGGCCCTGGGATCCCTTCTTGCAGATTTACCTCTCCCGTCCTCTGTCACTTGGCTGTTTGCCTTTTCACATGTGTGTGCCCACGCAGAGGCTCGCCTTCTGGTGTCAGTCCTCACCTATGGACCCACCCCCATGATCCGGCGCGGTTCTTCGGACTTGGTAGCAAGTCCTTTACCTGCCGAGCCATCGCCGTCAGCCTGTCTACATTCTGTGCAGTCTTCAGCTTGTGCTGTGTAAGGCGGTTGCCTCCTTACCCCGACTGGCTGGGTGAGACATGCCAGTGCAGGCAGCCATATGTAGGTCGCCCTAGAGCTTGTAACACCAGGACCTGATTTTATGTTTGTGATCACAATACTTGGGCTTTTGAGTGGCAGTGAGGGAAATATCTTGGCTGTGAATGAGTCCCTATTTGCTGTCCTTGCAATGCTGGCAGATCCTTTCTCCTAGAACTTCCTTAGTTTCTCTGGCTGCTCAGCTCATGACTGTTGAGTGAAGCCTCCATGGAGTTTCTTATTGTAGGGTGGAGATCTGTCTACTGTGGAAGAATGAATATGTGGTGTCCTCACCGCGAGGCCTACCCTTGTTTGACTTGTCTAGAAAGTATCCTGTAAGATGAAACCCTAGAGGTTGCACCCTGCTAAGCTGTGCCTAGGGATGTGGTCTGTGAGTAGGGGGAAGGAGGGCACCCCTAAAAGGGGGTCACCCGATGGTGTGTGCTGCTGCAGGGTGTGCCAGTAGCTGTGGGGAGCAGCCTGGCAGAGGCTGATGGGCCTGTGGTGTGGAGTTCCCAGGGAAGTTTCGGGTTGGACTGGCAGGTGGGTCCTTGGGAATGGACTGGGGGAGGGGTCAGTGATATCGTCCACCTTTCTGGCCTTGGTGGTCCTCTTTCACTCCAGTATGGTCAGGGCTTCCTTTCCTCAGCCTCCAGATCCTCCAAACTCTACCTCACCAAGGGCTGTTTCAGGGTGCTCCATGATGAGGCCTAAACTATTAAGCTGATGTCTCTAACCATTGACCTTGTGGGTATTTGGCAGGGTCATTTCCTTACAGGACTGTTCTGGGCTATTCAGGGTCCTGCACTTCCTGTTAGGAGTGCCCCTGGTTATAGACATGCCCTGGTGTCTCTTAGAGACAGACTCACAGGCATCTGAGAATTGCCACCTGGGAGCTGGAGGTTTCTTGTTTTGTTTTGTTTTTCAAGACAGGGTTTCTCTGTGTAGCTCTGGTTTTCCTGGAACTCACTCTGTAGATGAGATCCGCCTGCCTCTGCCTCCCTAGTGCTGGGATTAAAGGAGTCTTGTTCCTGTTCTGACTGTCATATGTCTTTTCTCAGTGTGCCCCCCTTGAATTGTCATGGACTGGGGCACACTCTGCTCAGCCCCAGGCTGCACATCTCAGCTCCACAGGGAGCAGAGGTTTGTCTGTGGGCGCACAGCTGCCTGTATGTGTCCTGTGTTCTGTGGACTGATATGCTGTGACCTAAATGGCAGGTACGCATGGATGCTCTGTTAAAGTTGGGCTGTGGTGTCTGCTGCTTCGCCCCAGGTGGTGAGAGATGGCGGGCATGGTTAGTGGCAGGCTTCTTTGGGAAGGTCTCTGTGTCTGTCCTTTGGGCAGCTCTGTACACAATGGTGGTGGTGGCTTTGGTGTCAGTTGGACTTATTTCAGGTAATGGGGCATCTGAGTGTCCATTGGATGCTTAACCCCCTCTCGTGAGGCAAGCAGTCTCCACATTTGTGGGTGCAGGGAACCCAGACCCAGGAGGTTGGGTGACTGAACCCTGAGGTTGCAGCTGCAGGGGCCCCAGCTGTGCAGACCCCAGGCAGCCAGGCCTGGCTCCAAGCACAGGGACAAACCATTGTCCCAGCCAATGGAGCCCTGTGTCTGAGATGTATCCTGTTCTCATTCCCAGTCTTTGTGGCCGTTTCCTCCCCTGGGCTCTGTCTCTAAGCTCCAAGGCCCATTGGTGCCCCTCCCCCACCCCCCCTGTGTGGGAGCCTGGGAGCCTTTGGATCTCCTCACTCAAGACCAGCGCTGCCTTTGCCTTCTGTCCCTTAAAGGACGGAGGGACAGACACACTGCTGGGCCAGCAGGACTGGGCGTAGCACTGGGGGTGCTAGAATGGCAGAGGCCCAAGAGAGGCTGAGGGTGAGCTGGGGCTGTGGGCAGGCCAAGAGGAACAAGACAGACGGTGGATGTGGGGACACGCCTTCCTCGCTGCCGGCATCGGCTGGCACCTGGTGCCACCCTAGCTTTCCAGAGGGAACCCACATCTCGGTGTTTCCTGCAGGGTGTCCCACTATATGACATGGAGACCTGTGGCTGCGAGGCTCCCGGGGGCTCGCCTTGGACCACGATGGGGCCAGGCCGCGGCCTCCTAACCGGACTGAGGTGTGCGGCCCGCGAGCCTGGCCGCCCTCTGCCCGCGTCTCAGAGCAACCCCCCCGCCCCTCCCCTGGCCCGGCGCGGGCACAGTGCCCGCCATGAACGGCCTGTCGGTGAGCGAGCTCTGCTGCCTCTTCTGCTGCCCGCCCTGCCCGGGCCGCATCGCTGCCAAGCTCGCCTTCCTGCCTCCCGAGCCCACCTACTCATTGGTACCCGAACCCGAGCCGGGGCCCGGCGGGGCTGGCGCTGCCCCCTCAGGTCCCCTGCGGGCCTCAGCGGCCACCCCCGGGCGCTGGAAGATTCACCTGACGGAGCGCGCTGACTTCCAGTACGGCCAGCGCGAGCTGGATACCATTGAGGTTTTCCTGACCAAGAGCGCGCGCGCCAACCGCATCGCCTGCATGTATGTGCGCTGTGTACCCGGTGCCAGGTGAGCCGGGGCTCGGGGCGCGCCGCAGGGGCACTTGGGCACTGCCCGCCCTGCCTTCCAGCCCACCTTACCCCTTTGTAAAGGACAGGAGACCCCGCTCTCAGGTCCCCACCAGAGGGTGAGGTAGAGGGGTGACAGCTTCCGGGGTGGAGTCCAGAGTCCAAAGGGCAAGTCTTTTACTCAGGAGCCAGGCAGGTGCTTCAGGAAGCCACCTGGGTGGGGCCAAACAAGTGCATGACCTTGACCTGGTGCAGGCTCTAATTATAGGCCTCTCAGGGTTGGCCAGAGGCCAACTGGGAACAGGATGGACCTTAAGGGTTTGCTGGTGGCCAGGGATAGGGCCCAGTCCTCCCCCTAGCAATAGAGCATGCACTCGCGGAGGCAGCAGGGAAGCAGGCTTTCTCAGTACAGTTCCCAGCACCGCGGAGTGTAGGCATCACCATGGATATGGCCATCGGCCTCGGGGAGGGGCTGCAGCACTAAGTAGCCCTGGAAGCCCATCACAGCCAATACTGCTTCCCACTCTGGGAGAGGAGCAGTGGAGTGGCTGTCGCGTGTGGTTCCGAGAAGGTGAGACCGTGCGTGCCACAAGGGTGGGTGTTAGCCCGTGCCCTCTCGCCCCATGCCAGGTATACAGTTCTCTTCTCACATGGCAATGCAGTGGACCTGGGCCAGATGTGCAGCTTCTATGTCGGCCTGGGCACGCGCATCGGCTGCAACATTTTCTCTTATGACTACTCTGGCTATGGGATCAGCTCTGGCCGGCCCTCAGAGAAGAACCTGTATGCTGACATCGATGCGGCCTGGCAGGCCCTTCGCACCAGGTGAGGACCCTGGCCCCTAGGGCAGGGGTATGGGGGAGAGTCAATGCCAGTTGGGGTCAGAGGGAACAGGCACCTGTGGCCCAGAAGACAGCTGTCCTTGGTCCTTGACATCCACAGGTCTGGGTGAACAGAGGACAGCTGGACTAGGAGATGGCCATTGAGGGACTGAGGGTGTGGTAGCCCAAGGGCTAGGGGGATCCTAGGACTCTGTGCATCAGTTTGACTTACTCTGGGGCAGTGGCAGTAGAGCCAGCAAGCTGGAGTGCGGGGGGGGGGGGGGAGGGCGGGGGGGGTGCCCAAGTGATGGCAGATAGCAGGTGTAGAGACCTCTGTCACACCCTGTATCCCAGCCTCGCCCATCTCCAGGGCTCCTTCTGCTCCCTCGTAGGGCAGGGCCCTGCGGTGGGTACAGGAGAGGTCAGCCGACTCTAGCTCCGGAGGCCCTCAACCTCCTCATTAAGGCCCCGTGTGGTGCTGAGACGCCGACAGCCCGGGGATATGGGGACCCTGGTTACCAGGAGATGCTGGTGTCTGAGTGCCCCTCCCCTGTGCCACAGATGCCTGTACCCTGGGCTGGCTTCACCCTGCTGACACTGTCCGGCAGCCTGGAGAGTCACTGCAGTGTGTTCTGAGCTCTGTCCATTTGTCCCACCACAGCCCTGACCCTCAGGGACCTCTCAACACCATAGCTAAGCCTCAGGGGAGGTGGGGGAGACTCTTATAAAGCCCCCCATGGTGGGAGGAGCTTAGGCCTGAGCTACTGATAGAGCAGAGCAGGCAGAGCTTGTGGGTCAGCACACCGGGCAGCGTGGCCACGCCCCAGGTGGTCCAGCTCCTGCCTGGGATCAGGGGAGGGGCCTGAAAAGCTTGCCTGCCACAGACAGGTGGGAGCTCTGGCAGGGCCTCAGTCCAGCTCAGCTCTGCTGGGGTGGAGGGGCCGCAGGGGAAGCTGGGAGTGGGCTGGCTCCCAGGACCCGTGCAGTGACACTGCCTGTGTTGTGCAAGCTTCTAATTGAGCAGAAGGGACTCAGGGGACCCTAACTGGGCCGGGCCATCCAGGGACACAGTTTCCTAAATTCTCAGGACCCAAACTTGTGGAGAGGCGGCACTGGGAAGAGGCAGTCCGCTTTCTCCCTGTGGTCAGGAGGGAACCACATTGGATCTAGACTCTTAGGTCCAAAGCCTGCCTCACTCTGGCTGTCGGAGGGACTAAGGGTAAAGCCAGGGCGCTGCAGCCCGACAGGGCCCTGGGGACTGCCCACCTCTGGGCCTGCTGAGCCTGCTGCTGTTGTCCGTCAGGTACGGCATCAGCCCCGACAGCATCATCCTGTACGGCCAGAGCATCGGCACAGTGCCCACGGTGGACCTGGCATCGCGCTATGAGTGTGCTGCGGTGGTCCTGCACTCGCCTCTCACCTCGGGCATGCGGGTGGCCTTCCCTGACACCAAGAAGACCTACTGCTTTGATGCTTTCCCTAAGTGAGCATGGGGGTTGGGGCCTGGGGGTGTGCTGGGGTGGGGTGGGGGCGGGGCCCAGCCTGACATGTTCTCCCTTAGTATCGAGAAGGTGTCAAAGATCACGTCACCGGTGCTCATCATCCACGGCACGGAGGACGAGGTGATCGACTTCTCGCACGGGCTGGCACTGTATGAGCGCTGCCCGAAGGCTGTGGAGCCGCTGTGGGTGGAGGGCGCCGGGCACAACGACATTGAGCTGTACAGTCAGTACCTGGAGCGCCTGCGCCGCTTCATCTCCCAGGAGCTGCCCAGTCAGCGCACCTAGCCACGCCCCAGGGGCCCCAGCGTGCACGGGCCCCGCCGGGGCTGCATGCGACCCGGCGCCCAGGCCCTGCTCGGCACCCCACGGGCCACGAGCCACGTGCAGGCGACGTGGAAGCAAAGAGAAGGAAAGAGGGAAACTAATTAAAGGTTTAAGATTTTAGGGTTACCCTGGCTTCTTGATGGCTCCAGTGCGCCTTCCTGGGGCTGGGAGACTGCTAAGACCAGGTGGGTGCGGGCTGTGAGGGAGGCCTCAGGTCCTCCAGGCCAGGCCTGCACCAGGACAGCAGCCCCTTGCTCTACAGGAGTCCCTAACCCACGGCACGGGTGGCATGAACTCCCAATCCAGCTGAGGACATAACAGGTCCAGTGGACCCCAGAGCCAGGACCAGGCCATGTTCTGTGCCAACCAGGAGCCGAGGAGGTCTCCCCGGGACCTAGCTAGTGGGGGTGTCCTCTGCCAAGCTGAGCCACGTGTTGTCTCGTGTAGCCATTGGGTCCCTAGTCTGAGGAAGGGCCTGTCTGCAGGGAGGTCAGCATCCTGAGCTGACTTCCTGAAGCTGCAAGGTCCCTTTAAGAGTGGGTGGTACATTTGGGGGCTGGAATATGTGGGGCATGGCAGTAACAGAAGTGACATAATTTATGGTTTTGAATCCAGAGGCCTCCATCTGCTAACGCTGAAGCTGGAGCCTAAGTCCCAAGTCCACGAAAACCTCACCAAGTCGAGCGTCCCTGACGCTGTGCCCACTCCTCTCTGGCCTCGGGACCTTGGTACAGGCCTCACTAGATCCCCGTCTGCAGTCTGACTGCTCGCTTCTCCCACAACTGCCTCCTTCTCCATCACCTGCTTCAGGGTCCACCCCACCCCCCGAGATGCTGAGCTTTAGACCCCAGGCTGTCCAAGGGCCAAGTCTCCTGTGACCCTGGTGCAGACGGGAAGATGAGCGTCTGCACATGGTTGGAAAGGACAAGCCTCGTTCCTAGCCCGTCACCCTGGAATCGGGATGCTGAGACAGGATTGCCCCTCCCTATGTCCAGCTGTTGCTGGCCACGAACTCTGGCTTCCTGGGTGCTGAGGATGGGACCCGGTGCTCCCTGTGGGTGAGAGCACTCCGCCAGATGAGCTGCGGCACCAGCTCCTCTCATGTTTTGAGTGAGGGCCTTCCCGTAGCTCCTGTGAGCCTGACCTGACCGAGGCCTGCCACACCTGCTCTATGTGGGACTTAGGGCACAGGGCATGCCGGACGGGAACTCCAGCCATGTTTTTGTTTTTAATTTTTGGGATAGGGTCTCTGTCTTGAGCTTGGCAGACTGAAACTCGCTATGTAGCCCAGGCTGGCCTCCAACTTGAGGCAGTCCCAAGACTTTAGTCTCCCCAATGCTGGAATGACAGACCTGATGAGTCAGCATGTAAGCCACAGCCAATTTAAACAAACAAAAAGCCCAGCCAGTCTGGGACTTGTTTTGCACAAGCCTTTAACCCCAGCACTCGGGATGCAGAGGCAGGCAGATCTCTAGGTTCAAGGCCAGCCTGGTCTATAAAGTTCCAGGATAGCTAGAGCTACACAGAAACCCTGTCGCAAACAAAAAAATCACATTTATTTGAGGGTGAGGCACGTGCACCACAGCATGGGCAGAGGTCAGCTGTCGAGAATCTGTTCTAACCATGTGTGTTTTGGGAGCTGAATTCAGGTAATCAGACTTGGAGGCAAGAGTCTTTACTCACTGAGCCATCTGGCTGGTCCTACAGCCAACTTTTTAAATGCTTCCTTCTGTCCACTGTGTTTTGTAATAGCCATCTTTGTCACTATTAGTCATTTAAAAGTTGGATAAATGTACATTTACTATAAAGATGTATATTTAAATGGTCTGTATTTCACAGCCTCTTTTACTCACCTGTTTTCTTGCTTGCTAAAGCATTTCATGCTTCAAGGAAATTGGGGGGACGGGCGGTGCTGGAGAGACGGCTCAGTGGTAAAGAGCAATGTTGCTTTGACAGAGGACCCAGCTCAGTTCCTGTCGCTGCAGCTCCAGGGCATCTGATGCCTCTGGACGCTGAGCTCCTGCACACAGGTGCTCACACTCATACACAGGCGCTCACTCTCTGACACAGGCGCTCACACTCATATACAGGTGCTTACTCTGACACAGGCCCTCACTCTCTGACACAGGCGCTCACTCTCTGACACAGGCTCTCACTCTCTGACACAGGCGCTCACACTCTGACACAGGTGCTCACCCTCTGACACAGGCCCTCACTCTCTGACACAGGCGCTCACACTCTGACACAGGCCCTCACTCTCTGACACAGGTGCTCACACTCTGACACAGGCCCTCACTCTCTGACACAGGCGCTCACACTCTGACACAGGCCCTCACTCTCTGACACAGGTGCTCACACTCTGACACAGGCCCTCACTCTCTGACACAGGTGCTCACACTCTGACACAGGCCCTCACTCTCTGACAGGTGCTCACACTCTGACACAGGCCCTCACTCTCTGACACAGGTGCTCACTCTCTGACACAGGTGCTCACACTCATACACAGGCGCTCACTCTCATACACAGGCGCTCACTCTCTGACACAGGTGCTCACACTCTGACACAGGCGCTCACTCTCTGACACAGGCCCTCACTCTCTGACACAGGCGCTCACACTCTGACACAGGTCCTCACTCTCTGACACAGGCGCTCACTGTCATACACAGGCGCTCACACTCATACACAGGTGCTCACACTCATACACAGGTGCTCACTCTCTGACACAGGTGCTCACTCTCTGACACAGGTGCTCACACTCATATACAGGTGCTTACTCTGACACAGGCCCTCACTCTCTGACACAGGCGCTCACTGTCATACACAGGCGCTCACTCTGACACAGGTGCTCACTGTCATACACAGGCACTCACTCTGACACAGGTGCTCACTGTCATACACAGGCGCTCACACTCATACACAGGTGCTCACACTCATACACAGGTGCTCACTCTCTGACACAGGTGCTCACTCTCTGACACAGGTGCTCACACTCATATACAGGTGCTTACTCTGACACAGGCCCTCACTCTCTGACACAGGCGCTCACTGTCATACACAGGCGCTCACTCTGACACAGGTGCTCACTGTCATACACAGGCGCTCACTCTGACACAGGTGCTCACTGTCATACACAGGCACTCACTCTCTGACACAGGTGCTCACTCTCTGACACAGGTGCTCACACTCATACACAGGTGCTCACTCTCTGACACAGGTGCTCACTCTCTGACACAGGTGCTCACACTCATATACAGGTGCTTACTCTGACACAGGCCCTCACTCTCTGACACAGGCGCTCACTGTCATACACAGGCGCTCACTCTGACACAGGTGCTCACTGTCATACACAGGCACTCACTCTCTGACACAGGTGCTCACTCTCTGACACAGGTGCTCACTCATACACAGGTGCTCACTCTCATACACAGGTGCTCACACTCATACACAGGTGCTCACACTCATACACAGGTGCTCACTCTGACACAGGCGCTCACTCTCTGACACAGGTGCTCACTCTCATACACAGGCGCTCACTCTCTGACACAGGTGCTCACTCTCATACACAGGTGCTCACACTCATACACAGGTGCTCACACTCATACACAGGTGCACACAGATACATCTACAGCATCATGTAAGTGTGGCTGCTTGGCCTGTAGGTGGGTCTGTTACCACCCGAGTGCAGGTGTCCAGGGAAGCACGAAGAGGGTCTCAGTTCTCCTGAAGTCACAGGTGGTTGTGAACCACTCCACATGGGTTTTGGGAATCAAGCTTGGGTCCTCTGCAAGAGCAGCAAGCTCTCTTAACCATGCCAGACCCTCAGGCTCCCCCACCCTGCCTGAGGATTGCAGGTGTACGGCACCACATCCCGATGACGTCATGGTCATTTTAAATCTGCAATTTTAAAGAGTTGGTATCTTGGCATTTTGAGAGTCTTTGCTAACGAAGGCTAGCCTAAAACTCACTGTGTTGTCCAGGCTGGCCATGAATTCCTGATCCTCTGGCCTCCATTTCCCAAGCACTGTAATGAGGATGTGTGCCACCAATCTGGCTGGTAATTTATCTTGTGTGTTTTTCATTGTTTGTTTGTATTTTGAGATAGGGTTTCTCTGTGTAGTCCTGGAACTCTCTCTGTAGGCCCTGGTCTCAAACTCTTAGAGATTCACCCAGCCCAATCTCCCTACACAGCTTATATGAGGATTCTAAGCCTCTACCCTTGTCTTGCTGTAATCATTGAAAGACTAAGGCCTCTTCTACACCGTCACCCAAGTTGCAGGAACTTGGAGCATTCTTTTTTCTCATGAACATCCAATGAGCCCCTTTTCGTCCTACTAATCTTTGAAGGGCTGGGGCGTGGTCAAGGGTGCAGCCCCTATCCCAAGAGTCCCCAGTGAAGGGCACAAAAGCAAATCAGTGCAAGCAGGTTGCTCACACAGATAAAACTATGATGAAACTTACCTTACACAGGCTGAAGCGATCCAGCCTCCCTTTGATTCTTTTGCTGGATATCCTGATAGTGAGTGAGTCCGTGTGGTTCAGTCACGGGTGCCCTGTGAACCCCGTGCCTCTTGGCGGCAGCAACCACAGGTATCTGGAGTGGGTGACCAGCCTGTCTTCTCTGCCTGCCCATTTCCCACAAGATGCAGAGCATGGCGGCCAGTTGGGAGCCCTGGGGACTGGACAGTGACCTAGCTCCTAGCTTGTCTGTCTGTGACTGCCTGTACTTCTGAGGGTCTTGTTTCCCTAGTTCCTTTCTACACACACCCCTTTCCCAGAGGCCTTTATCAACTCCAGGAAGCACCCCCCCAGCCTGTGAGATAACTGGCCAGCACGCTCGCTTTCCCTTTTGTGAATTTCCCAGCCACTGTCACGCCCTGGTCGAAGTGGCTTCCCAGTCAACACATGGTCACAGGCCGTGAGTCAGCTCATGCTCCCTAGTTCCCTACTTACATGACTTACCTCGCCAAGTGACCTAGGCATATCATGGCACCCAATGACTAGAGGGGACAAGATCAGAGCGGCCTCGGGTGTACCCCTCAAATGGAGACATGGGTCTTTCCCACCCTGCACCTTCAGGTCGTTCTGTCCTGCTGAGGGCACGGAAGACCAGTGCTGCCTTAGGGTCCAGATTCCTCCTGAAGCCATCCTGTCTTTGGACCTGGTTCAGGTCTCTGTGACAGTTACCCCCCTTACCTAGATATTCAGTGGGGACAAGGACATGTGGGCAGGCTGCGCTTGGGCTGAGGGGCAGGTGGATACTGATTGCGGGGCTGACTTGCACACTGATTCAGTCAGATGTTTTGGGGTTTTGTTTCTCAGGGCTGGGACTTTATCTAATGAGTGTTTTGAAACAGGGTTTGTCTGTGTAGCCCTGACTGTTCTAGAATTAGCCTAGGCTGGCCTTGAATTTACACAGATTCACTTGCCTCTCAAGTGCTGGGATTAAAGGCGTGTGCCGCCGCCACCTAGCCTCAGTGCTGGGATTTTAAACAGGATTTTACACAGTCCAGACTGGCCTGGAACTCACTGTATAGCCAAGAATTACCTGCCTCCAGCCTCCACCTCGGAAGTGCTGGGATTAAAGGTGTGCACTACAAGCCCAGGTAATTAGAAACCAACTGTCAAACAAAACCACGGTCCGGTGTAGCCCTGTCCAGCCTTCAGTTAAAGCCAGTATACAGTCACTGTCCCTAAGAAACAGCCTGTCTGGGCCCCGGAGCTCTTGGTGTCAGCCACATGGCTTGGGAGCAACAGTGAAATGAGGCTGTAGTTTCTGTTTTACCTGACCCAAGTCTGTGTAGTCTCCTAGGGCAGAGCTCAGAACAGGCAAAACAAGGTGCATTGTGAGTCTCAGGGAGGTGACAGGCCTCTAGGACCCCTGTCCCTCAGAATGGAACCCAGAGCTCTCAACAAGGTCCTTAATAGCTCACCTTTGGGCCCAGGTGTGGTGGTCACGCCTTAACTCCAGCACTTCGAAGACAGAGGCAAGTGGATCTCTTGTGAGTTTGAGGCCAGCCCGGTCTACACTGACTGGGTTCCAGGACAGCCAGGGCTACATAGAGAAACCCCATGTCAAAAAAAGACCTGAAATACATATAGCCAAATGTTGGTCCGTCATGGCAGCTCAGACCTGTCACTTACCTTGATCCTGTCTGGAAATAAAACTCACCCATGAGACTAGCAAGGGCTGGTACCCGAGCCCCAGGGGTACTGTCACAGGAGAAAGGCCACTCTCACTGGTCAGGTCTTGTGGGAGCAAGCTGCGTAGTTTCCCAGAGTCCTCAGCGTCAGAAGTGTGTACAGGGGTCCAGCCTTGGCCGTACCATGTCACGTGTAGGGTAGGGCAACTGTTCCTTTCATGGGTTACATGGTTCAGCAGGGTCTGCCTGGCCTGCACGTGACATCGCCTGGTGGCCGTGCGACCCTTCTAGCCGCTGTGAGGAGGGAGGGCACCAGATCCCTGCAGGGGTGCCATCCCTCACCTTCTGGAGACACAGAGGCCAGGACCTGCGTGGTTGTACAAACCCGGGGAAGAAGGTGGGTGTGTCCTCCTGGCTCACGTCTGTCCAGCCAGAGTGGATCCAACTTCTGCTGTTGAGTGACATGGGTTTCACCACCAAGTACAGTGGGGTCTGGGGAAACATGGCCGACCCGAGGGCAGAGAGGCAGAACCTGACCAAGTCAGCTGGGGATGCAAGTGGGGGAGGCAGAGATGGCACCCAGGGTAGGCGTCACTGCCACCATCCAGCCTCTGCCTGAGAAGCAGAAAGAGCCTTGGCTGACAGACTGCTGTCGGCTGGCGCGCTTCGCCCCCTGGAGGCCGCGCGGGCCCCTGCACGGCCTCCTCCACCCGGCGGGAGTTAGGAAGGGGCGGGCGTCTGATCGCCTACTTCCGCGCAACCGGCGCCTGTGGCCTGGGGCGTTTAGAGAGCCCTCGTTTCACAACTTGGCCGGATCATCCTTGGGAGTTTCCAGTTGCTCCATTAGTCAGCCTCAGTTTCCCTGCTCCAATCTCAAGGACCACAACCAAGGGAGGAAGGGAACGTCCAGAACTCAGTGTCCTAGCTTCCAGTGGGTGACCGAGCCTGGCCTTCTCATTGCAGCCACGCTCATTTTTGCCATTCCGATTACCCACAGGCTTAGTGATTCCCGAACCCCGGTGCGGAAAGATGAATTCTACAGCCTCACTCGGTCAGGCTGGGTGGCGTGCACCCTGCTCCCCTAAGGCCCACTGCCGGAATATTTCGTCCCCAAGACAAGCATGACATTGGGGACCCCAGAGATGGGGAGTCAGGACTGCAGGATTACAGCCCGGCGCCAGGGCGAGGAAGGGGGGAAGGGTCGCGCACGTGGCCCGGGGGCGGGGACGCGCGCTTCCGCACCCCCACCCTGGCCACGTGCTGATCCCTGCCCTCCCCTCCCCACCGCGGACAGGGGCGCGCCCCAGTGCTCGTGGGGGGGGAGGGAGGGACAAGTCGGAGAGGGCGGGCTCCCGGCGTCTGCGCACCCGGCACAGCGTGGTGGGCGCGCCCGGGAGATGGAGCGCGCACCCGGAGGAGGCGTGGCGCGCACTGGGGTAGGAGGTGGGACATCCGAGGCTGGTGTGGGGCGTGTGGGAGTGTCGCCGAGTGGGCGTAACTCTTAGCGCGTTCGGGGGTGGCGATCCGGGAACGGGGGGTAGTGTATGCCGGGCCGAGGGGAGGCTTTCCCTCCTTTTGACTTGTTCTTCCCTGGAGAGGGCGCGATCCAGGGCGCTGGGGGACGCGGGCGCACCAGAGTGTGGAAGTAGGGGAGGACCGGCCGCTGGCGGAGTGAGCTCCGCCCACCCGCGGTGGCGCGCGACTCTCCGGCAGCGGAGGGCGCGGCAGGAGGGGGCGTGACCGCAATGGGAGGGAGGGCGTGGCCACTGAGCCCCGAGGGGGCGTCCTCCGGGCGGGGCGGGCCGCGGCCGCCCCCGCGGGCTCCGGTGCGTCAGGGCGCGTCAGGCGGGGCGGGGCGGGGCTGAGAGCGGGCGGCGGCGGCGCGCCGGGGCCTCCTCCTCCTTCCCCTCCTCCCTCTCCTCCTCCGCCTCCCGCACTCCAGCAGTCGCCGCCGGACGGGCGCAGCTCCCGCCGCCTTCGCTTCTCTCCCACCGCCGATCCCGCGCCCGCGCGCTCTTGCCCGGCATGTCGGCGGCCGTGGCGTGCGTGGATTACTTCGCCGCCGACGTCCTCATGGCCATCTCCTCTGGACCCGTAGTGCATCGCGGGCGACCCGGCCCCGAGGGCGCGGGCCCCACTGCCGGCCTGGATGTGCGCGCTACGCGCCGTGAGGCCACGCCGCCGGGGACCCCTGGAGCTCCGCCACCGCCAGCTACCGCTCCGGGGCCGGGAGGCGCCAGCGCTGCGCCCCACCTGCTGGCCGCCAGCATCCTGGCCGATCTTCGAGGCGGGCCCGGAGTCGCCACCGCAGCCAGCACCGCGGGGGGCACCTCGCCGGTCTCCTCTTCCTCGGCCGCTTCGTCGCCGTCTTCGGGTCGCGCCCCCGGGGCTGCCAAGAGCCACCGTTGTCCCTTCCCAGGCTGCGCCAAAGCCTATTACAAGTCTTCGCACCTCAAGTCACACCTGCGGACGCACACAGGTAAGCTACTCGTTTTTAACCCCCATGGGGTGCAGGGGGCGCGTTGGAGAGGTCTCGGGGACCCCCTTCCCCCACCTCACCGGGAGCCCCGAAACTGCGTGGCGCGTGGGGGGCGGGGAGGGGGGCGCGCCCGGGACTCAGCCGCCCCGCCGGCCGGGAAGGCGGGGACATGGTGGGTGGGGCGCGCGCGGGGGGCGTGGCGGCCACGCGGTCGGGCGGCGCGCGGAGGGCGGCCCTGGTGGACTGAGCTCTCGAGACTGCTGGCTGCTGTTCGGGATCCACCCCGGCACGGCGGGTCCACCACGCGCGGCCGTGTTCCCCAGGTCCCTTCAGTCCCGCCTCGTGCTCCTGTCCCGTTTCTGTGCGCTCGCAGTCTCTTGGCGCTTGGTGGTCAGAACATCCGGTTCCGTAGCTCTTCCTCGGCCCTGCCCCCAGCCTCAGTTTCCTTATCTGTGAAGAGGGTGGGAGGATCCGGGTCACCGCCACCGGGGTAGCTGCGCGGATTCCCTCCGGAGGGCGTCGAGGTCTCTGGCGCGGTGCCAGGGGGTGGTGGTGAGGGGTTGGCTGTCCCGCATATTCTCAGTGCTTAAATGAGATGGAGGGAGGCCACGACTTGGAGTTAGGGGCTTGAGTCTTCAGTGGGATTGAAATCCCCGCCCCCCCAACCACCCGAGTTTGCACACTCCACACACCTGTGATGGATCTGCACAGAGTCCAGGGTGGGCAGCGAGACTTAGCCACACCTCGGGATTGGCTAGGGGAAACCTTTTGCTTCCTGTCCTGGTCGCTCCAAGGGTTTATCCATTTTAGCTGGGAATGTGCTTTGGCTTTAGTGGTGGTGTAACCAGCAGCCCTGCGGCTTCCCTGAGATAGGCCGACCTGCCTCTGTCTGCCCCCTACGGTCTCCTGTCTATATAAAAGATACAGGCTGTCCCACTCTTGCTGTGGGCAACAGGGCACCCAAGGAGGGCTGCCTTCGTGGTCACACTGGGAGAGAGTTTAGGACAGCCTCCATACTTGTGTGGGTGGCCCCAGGCATATTCAGGGCAGGTAAGGGGTGGAGGCGCCATCTTTGGAGTCTGCTGAGCCAGAGGGTGGGCATGGATGGTACCTCCCGCAGTTACTGCCTTTAAGCACCTGAATGGACAGAGTTTGGGGCAGGCAGCTCTGTATTCTCTGTTGCTCTGTATTTATCTCTACAGAATTTGTTTGAGGGGGTCACAGAGACGGCAATGTAGATTTTTGTTGTTTGCTTTTGTGACACTTGAGAAAGGTCTCTCTGCCACAGACTGGCCCAGGGTGCCGTGGGTCACACCAAGTGACTTTGCACCATCTGTCCACGCCTCCAACCCTGTATTCTACCTCGTTCTCAGAACTTGACTTTTGGGGGTCTGTGAAAGAGGAATCCAGCACATTCCCCCATCCCCTGGGACATCAAGAGACAATTCTGTTGTCTTTCTGCCAATGGCTGCAAGCTGCTCCTAAGCTGGGAGGGATGGGTGATCTGGCATGCCCAAGAATCTGAGACCCAAGGTGAAGCCCACCCAGGCCTATGGTTGACTACAGGCAGTTCTTTGTAGTGGGGAGGGTGTGAAGCCCTTCACCAAATCCTGTGTCGAACACCAACACCACGGGAGTCCCCTCCCCAGGCTCCCCTCATAATAACCATTTGTGGGGCCAGGAGAGCCACATTGAATCCAGGCACTTAATGCTATTTTTGGGGTGTTTGGAGATCACATAGACTTGAATGTTGCTATATAGTGAATTTAAATGATTTTTTTTCAAGACAGGGTTTCTCTGTATTGTTTTGGAGGCTGTCCTGGAACTTAGACCAGGCTGGCCTGGAACTCACAGAGATTCACCTGCCTCTGCCTCCTGAGTGCTGGGATTAAAGGCGTGCGCCACCACCGCCCGGCTTAAATGGTTTTTTTAAATAGATCCCTGTCTATCTATGTCACTCTGGCTGTCCTGGAACTCTGTAGATGTGGCTGGTCTCGAACTCAGAGATCCACCTGCCCCTGCCTCCCAAAGGCTGGGATTAAAGGCGTGCACCACCACGCCTGGAACCTTGTAATTAATTAAAAAGCCTCATTTTTTTTGAGACAAGTTCTCACTCTGTAACCCAGACTGGCTTTGGAATTCGATGCAACCCTGCTTCAGCTTTCTCCTGAGGGCTAGGGTTCCGAATAGGAGCCAGCTCTAACCCCCAGTCTCTTCGTTGGAAGTGGATTTGGTGGCACACTACCAGGGTCAGTGGGACTCCTCGTGCAGGGATAGAGCCATGCCCTAAGGCTGTGCATTGGGAGCGAGCTGTCTCCACCCACCCACTCCCGCCCGCCCATGATCTATTTAGTGTTCTGAGGCATAGATGGAGCAGTGCAAAGGGCCACCTTGAGGTCCCATTATGTCCATTCCATGGTACTTGGGGTGTAGAGACCAGGGAGGTTACAGGACATCCCCATCCCAGGGCCCACAGGCAGACGGCAGAACTTGGCATCCCTGAGCACTGCCGTTGCCCCAGCCCCTGCTTGGGGTGGGGAAGTACTTTAGAGGCTGTGGGAGATGTTGACGCTGTTGCCATGGATACTGCAAGAGAGCCAGCCTTGAGGCGGGGGTGGGAGGAGAGGCTGGCTGCCATTCTGCTCGCCAAGCCCCCTCCATTTCTGGCATCCTTTCTCCCTAGGCCTCTGGGGTGGGGGGAATCTTTGATCTGGTCCCTGTGGATGGAACCCAGGGACCTGTGAGTAACCTGACCACTCATCCAGGCAGGGTCTCCTCCTGTGGGACCAGGTGGTTCTCAGTAAGGTGCTGTAGGTGGCCTCTGCCTGCTCCTGTGCCGTGGGCTACCCTTAATTGAGATAACCAAACGTTCCTAGTCGCCCAGTTTTTCCTGGAGGGCCTCAGGGTCACCTCTAGTTACATTCTCTGAAAATTCTGTTTACTTAGGTCTGAGAAATGTTAGGGTCTGGGCCGGGGTCATAGGGGTGGTGACTGCCAGTGGCAGTCTGATGCACCCCAGCGTCCTCCATCACAGGAGAGAACTTACTGGCCCTGACCTCCACACGCACCACGGAGCACACACTCATACATACACACAGCAATGCAAACAATTACATAAATTTGGAGAAATGTTGGTGTATGTGGTTGCCGGGACTGTCTAGAGTCACTGCCCACTAAATATGAAGTTGGAAGGTTTGGAAGGACAGATCTGCTTAGGCCTGGGCAGCAGGGCGGGGCCGGGAACGGTGCTGCTGCAGAGGGAGCAGCAGGCTGGTTCTAGAGCTGGGATTTGGAGGGCTAGAGGGTGGGGGTGTCTCACGGCCAGATTTGGGCTTATCGGGAAATCTCTTTACAGAGGACTAGGGTGGGGTAGTGGGGGGGTAGGTGCAGAGAAGCCAGAGCCACCCTAGCTTTTCTGAAGCCATTTCCAGGGGGAGAGACAGGTGGGGAAATTGAGGCCTGGGATAGGAAGGAGCCTGGTCACCTGCAGGCAGAGGGGCAGCATTTCTCAGTGTTGATTTTGAAGCTCTGTAGAAAGGGGGGAAGGGTCAGTCCCTGTGGGGTTCAGGTGGCCTTCGAGGACTGATACCCACTTAGCTCCTCCTTCCAGGACACAGCCAGCAGCCAAGGCTGGCTGCATTGCTGGGGTGATAACCACGCCCCACCCAGACCTCTGATAAAAGTAACCCAGATGGGATGGGAGTTGCAGATGATACCAGCCAGGGCCTGGCCGCCCTTTGGAGGGGTGGGTTGGTGTCTGTCCTGGGGAGTTTCATGGAGTGTCTCCTCACCCCCAGTTTCAAGAACTCCTGAGAGGTGGGGCATAGCCAGACAGTCTGGCTCTCTGGGAAGGAGAAGGGGTGTAAGGCCATTCTGTAATTTGAGAACTTTTGAGACAGTTTTACTCCAGTAGCCGTGGCTAACCTGCAACCGGCTCTTTAGACCAGGCTGACCTCGAACTCATAGAGATCCTCCTGCCCCTGCCTCCCCATTGCTGGGATTAAAGGCTGCGCCACCAGCGCCTGGCATGGTTTTCCGTTTAGTTTACTGTGTGCTTGTGTGCGTGGGCGTGTGTGTGCCCCGGTGCAATGTGAACATTGGAGGACGACTTGGGGTTGGTTCTCCTACCATGTGGGTCCCGGGAATCCAACTCGGGTTAGGGTTAAGGCTGGTGGCAAGAGGCATCTCTCTAGTACACTGCCTCTCTTCTCTTGGGAGGTGTCAGATCCATGGGCCCAGTGAGCCAGCCTTGCCTGCCCTGGTTCACACTCCTCCAGGCCTGTAGGCTCTCCCACTGCATGCCAGACTCCCACCACCCTGGTGGCCTCCTCGACCCCCACCTAGGACCCGCCAGATGTGACTAGCCCCATTCAAGCTCTTGGGTTCCCTGGAGACACCCACAGCACCAGACCTCGCTGTGTCTGTGAATTTTAGGAACTTAGCTGGGGACTCAGCTCACAGCTGGGCATTAGGGAGGGACAGCTACACTGGAGACCACCGTCAGAGTCAGGGCAGCCCTCTCCAGGGGTAACGCAACGCCCAAGGGCAGCAGGCAGCCCACAGAGCCAAGGCTTGGACTTCATTCATCATCATGGACTCCAGTGAGGTGCAACTCAGGCAGGGTGAAGCCTGGCCTGATGGAAACTGCACCTTCAGGCCCCCTCTGCTGGCCATCCCTCTCCTGGAGCAAGTTCACAGGATGTCACAGCCTCCGTGTTTCAGAGGCCGCAGAGCACCTATGGCTCTGGAGTTGTCCCCAGCTCACCCCAGCCCCGCCTGAGTCAGAGGGTCAAGTCCACAGCCACGCCCACAGGGCCCTTCCTGCGTGGTCCCCACCCACCTAGTTCTCCTCCTCCTGCCTGCAGTCAGGTAGCCCGGAGCTGTGGGAACTCGCCCGCAGTCTCCCCCAGGTTAACTCCATCTCCCAGCCCTCTGGGTAGACTGTGATCCTGTAGCACAGCCGGGCCAGGCGTTTGACAAGTGTGCACCCGACGTTGCGGGCCGGGGAGGGGGGTTTTACCGCCACCGGTGTGCACGCGTGCGCTCCCCAGCCCCCAAGCGTGGGGCGGGGACTGGGAGGCTCCCTGCGCAGGGAGGCGACCCTGCCCCGAAGCACTGTCTCTCCAGTGGCTACGTGCAGCAGCTGCGTCCCCAGCAGGCTGGCGCGGGCAGCGCTCGTCTCCGCTGCAACCTGCTCCTGGCTAAGTGGAACTAGGCGACGGGACGAGAGGCGGGAACCAGCCCCACCGGGAGGCCCCGAAAGGGAAAATAAGCTGATTATGTGCTAGGGGGGTGTCCCCTTCTCTTTCATCCCCTCCCCCCTCTCCTCTGTCCGCAAAATGGCGACAGGATTACATGTCCCCTTTGGACGGACATAGGACGTAGTTCTGTCACTTGGGACCTGTTCCAAAGCTAGGAACCTCGTCTTTACAACCAAGCACCTCTTCCCTTCAGATTGAGTCTCTGGGGTGCGGGGGTCGAGCTGGGGTGGAGGAGGAGTCCTTTCTGGGGCTGTTTTGGGGCACTTGGACAAACATTCTTATTGGGACCGGACATTTTGCATCATTTAGGGGACACTTTGGAAATGTTAAGGATGCTGGCTGCATCCTAGAAACACCGATCCCTTCTCCCTTCCTTTTCTGCCTAGGGTCGCAACTTCCTGGGGTCTCAGGTTGCCTGGATGGCATTGCTAAATTGGCACATGGGCACCCCAGAAGTAGTTTCCTGGCTTCTACACCCCCATGGTGGGGGGCACTTGGGTGTGGTTTGCAGGGGGCCGGATGGAGATGGTTTTCTTCTGGCTGCTTCCTGGGCGGTGTTGGTCGTGCCCCGCCCAGCACCGTATCCGCCCACTTCCCCTCCCCTTCCTCGGTCTTTCTCTCCGGGGATCCCATGAGCTGCTTACAGCAAACACCGGGTTGCCCTGCCTGCCTAGTATCTGTTCCCCTTTCTGGTGGCCTCTACACTTCCTTCCCTCACTTACATGAATCCCGTCTGGAGGGCCCTTGGCTGTTTTCTGAGTACCTGTTCCCCAGTGGATCAACCTGGGACCACGTCAGGTGACTTCGCAGAGGTTAGGACTCCCGGTCCCTTAAGGCTTGGTCTTACTCCCTGCCTCCTCCCGACTCTGGACACACAATTTTACAGGGGTTTCGTCCCACACTCCATGCATGCACTTCAACTCTTAGGCATCAGAATCCCGGGCTTTCGGGTACTCGGAGCACATGGGCCCTGTCTCCAGAACCAGAGCCCAAGGCCAGCCAGACCAAGTCTAAGACACTGGGGTCCTGGGTGAATTCACTGGCCTCCTCTTGGTCATTGGAGGCCTTCCTGGGAAGATGCTAATCACATGGCGAGGTCTGGTGCTGTGGGTGTCTCCAGGGAACCCAAGAGCTTGATGGGGCTAGTTACATCTGGCGGGTCCTAGGTGGGGTCGAGGAGGCCACCAGGGTGGTGGGAGTGGTCTGAGGAAAAAGTTGCCTAGTGGTGGCCCCCCCCCAGGCCAAAGGCAGCTGCTGTGCCTGACTGGCTCTGCCCAGAGACCACACCCTGGGCACTAGGCTCTCTAAACCAGCAGTTGAATTTAAGCTAAGTTTGGGATTCCAGCGTGACCTGTCCTACCTCTGCTGGGGCACAAGCGTGTTGTGCCATCCCCAGCTTCAGAACCCCGGACTGAAGCTAGCTGGGCCTGAGTATTTAAAACTGCAGGCGACCCAAGGTATAGGGGAGCGCGTGTCCAAAGACCTAGAAGATGCCTCCTTTCAGGTCCCATGGCTGTTTGAAAGAAAGGGACTGAGGCACAATGAGGACCTTTCCTTAGGGTGGGCAGAAATGGACAGTTAGCCTCAGACATGGTGGCCCACTTGGGAGGTTGAGGCAAGATTGCCTTTAGGTAGCTCTAGGCCGTCTGGGACTGTTCAGCAAGACCCTGCCTCCTCAAGCCTGTGAGGGCATGTAGCTCAGTGGGCAGAGTGCTCCCCTCAGTGGGCAGAGTGCTCCCCTAGCGTGCGGAGGCCCTGGTTTCGTCCTCGGCACCACGGGAGCCAGATCCATGCCTTTCCCGCTGGTGCAGGAGATGGAAGCAGGGTAGTCTTTAGCTAAGTCGCTGGGTATGCTGTGTCAATTAGGGAGGCTCCTACAGGTGGGCGGAGCCTTGGGATTTACAGGAAACCTCTCCCTGCTTCTGTCCCCTCACCACTCTGTCTTCTGTCCAGGTGAACGGCCCTTTGCCTGTGACTGGCCCGGCTGCGACAAGAAGTTTGCCCGCTCTGATGAGCTGGCCCGCCACCACCGGACACACACCGGGGAGAAGCGGTTTCCCTGTCCCTTGTGTACCAAGCGCTTCACCCGCAGTGACCACCTGACCAAGCACGCCCGACGCCACCCCGGCTTCCGTCCGGAACTACTGCGACGACCTGGTGCCCGAAGCGCCTCTCCCAGCGACTCACTGCCCTGCAGCCTGGCTGGCAGCCCTGCGCCGAGCCCTGTCCCTAGCCCAGCTCCTGCCGGCCTGTAGAGCCTGTCAGCCCTGAGAGTGTCCCGCTTGCCAGGTCTTGGCGGGGATTTCCACTAAGGGACACATCTGCCCTCTGGAGAGCCCGTGTCCTGGAGTCCCGGCCCTCATCAAGGAAGCGTCAGGGGGGCTGAGAATGGACTTGGGTCACTGGGGGACCTGGGAGGTGGCCTCGGTGTCTGTCTGTAAATAGCCATGATTAACTGTCCCATCCCCCCAAGTGGGCAGTGGCAGGTCCTCCGTGTCCCCTTCTGCTACCTTCTGCCTTCCCTCCTGGGTGGCATTGGGCATGAAACCTAGCCACGGTCCCGCTCCTTAATCCTCAGCCCCCTAGTCACCCCTCCAGGTTGGGACACAGGTACACAGAGCCATAGGTGACTGGGGCTTCCCGTGGGCCCCAACCTGTCCCCACCCCACTGAAAGCCATTGGCGGAAGTTCAGGGAAATGGGGGGCGCAGCCTGGCTGACCCCCCCCACCATGGGTACTCAAATCTCAGGTGTCCACAGGTTCTGCCCTCAATAGGGCCACCCCACATCCCCAGCCCTGGGAATATAGAAGACACTGCAGTTTTCAGAGGAGAACTAGGGTTAGGGGGCACAGGTGGGGCGTGTGGAGGTCCCCTCATAGAGCATCACCACTCTCTTTGGGGTGCGGTGCTGGGCAAATGGGAAACAGATTATTTATTGTCCTCTCTGTTGGCATGGGGGCCTGCTCCCCCATCTGGGTGTGCATATGTGTGAGAGAGATGCCTGGGGCCCTGCCTCCCCATCCCCCCTGGATTAGGGTCCCTGAGTTTGGCCTTTGGGGCATTGCGTCTCAGACAATCTTCTATAGAACCTGTGTGGCCATCAGCCTAGGGACGCAGGGCTCTGCCCCGCCCGTGTCCTCCACACTCCTGGGTGTCTGCAGAGGGGGACTCCAGGACTGGAAGCGGGGGGCTCAGCTCCTGGGCCTTCTGGGATGGCTTGGTGTTTGTTTTGTTGTTGGTTTTTTTTTTTTTTTTTTTTTTGGATGGAACAGACTATTTTTTCAGGCTCCAGTTCCTTGTTTCAGGGGCCCCTTGTGTGGCCACTGTCCTCAGGGGTATGAGTGTTGGAGGGTAGGATGGGGAGGCCTCCCGGAAGAGTCTGGCTTGCGGTCCCCTTCTTGCTGTGGCTTGGAGTTCCCTTTCTAGAAAGACAACTAGGGACACTCCTTCAAGGATTTGGGGGCCCAGAGTAAGTTGAGCTGCCCCATATTGGCTGTAGGAGGTTTCTGGCGTCCCCATTTGTTCCAGAATCTTCCGTCATCCAATGAGGGAGGCTTTGGGTGCCATCACCTTTACTTGAGCCTACCTGGAGGGAGGCCTCCCTTCTGGGGCTGGGCTCGGAGGCCCTAGGCCAGCTGCCCTTTCCCATTGGCCACAGAAATGAGATGCCTTAGTCGACGGGGTGGGGTGGGGATTGAGACCCCATTCTTCTGTGTCTTCTGGATGTATCTTGCTTCATCCCGGCTCCTGCGGTCCCCTGCCCTTCCTGCAAACAGGAGAAAGGTCTGTGGTCCCAGGACCTTGGGAGGAAACTCCATAAGCAAGCAGAGCTTTCTTGGTGTCCTTACCCTCCCCCTAACTTCAGGTTCTGGTTGGTCACCGGAACTTGGGTGTAACCATTGAGGGGTAGTGTCTGCGGCGCAGGCAGGACAGGAGCTGTAAGGGATTTGTTCTTTTGGGGAGGCACCCTCCTCCTTTCCGCCTGGCCTCTCACCCTTGTATTTAATTAAAGCCCCCCTTTTTTAAACCTGCCCTAGTGTCTTGTCTGATTGGTTCCCACGTCCTACCCCCTCCGGTATGGTCCCCGAGGTTCTCAACTACATCCTGGGAAAACTGAGGCAGCCTGCTGATATCCTCAGGGGTCTGGCCTCGGGCCCTCTGAGGCCCTGGAAGGGGGCTGTCTGCAGCAGCCTGTGCACAACACGAAGTCACCCACGCCTGGCGCAGCTGCACACCCGCCACCCCGTTACCCAGCAACCGGAGCTCCATGACAAGGCTCCTGGGGGCGTCTGCCACCCGCCCCCTTCCGGAGTCAGCGGGGTGGGGGTGGGGACGGACCCCTAGAGCTGAGCATAGTGGAGGAACTCAAGCTCTTGCCCGAAAGGTGCCTCAGACCTCCCCACCACACCATCCTCGCTATGTGGTCCCATTGTGCACGAGTTGAATGCCCACTGCACACCCTCTTAAAATTAGGAAAGAGGCTGCTGCTTCAGGAGGAGGGTTGTGAGCGGGAATTCAAGAGACAGAGCTTTCAAGAAGCGGAGAGCTTGAATTCCTGTTTGAGAAGACACCAGATCCCAGGGTGTGCAGAACTGTGGGGTGGGCGGGGCGGGGCGGAACTGCCCCGTTGCACCTGCTGTGCCCCACCTAGTGGCCGCGGCTAGTACTGTCCCAGGAGTCCGCCTTCCAACCTGGCTCCTGGAGGGCTTGGGTGGAGCATGCCCACAGCTTAGACGCCGTTCCTCATTCCCGCAGACACCCCGCTCGCAGGCGTCCGTGAATCCTCTGCTCCTCCACCTCATGGCTTTCTGGCCTGCTCCGGGTTCTGGGTACTTGAGCAGTGCACACTCCAGCGGCTTCAAGCTTCCTCATAGGACATGACAACGCTATCCTTACGTGGCTCCTGACCCGCCGTCAACGCCTCAGATGCCTCCAGTTGTCAGCTTCACCCAGCCCCCGCCAGGCCGTCCTCCCACGGCCCTTGCACCACTCCGAAATTGAGTGGCGACCCCTCGATCGGCACTTATGAGACCCCCAGCTCCAACAACTGCACCGCAGACACCTACCGAAACTCCTTGCCTCTTAAACTATTTCGATGGTGCTGGGCGTGTACCCAGGGCCTTGCGTACACTGCCGAGGGGACCTGCCTCAGTCACGCATCCGGCCCCTCCCTGGGGACCCTAGGCCAGCACCAGTTACTGGAACCCAACCACATCTCCTTTCGTTCACACACAGGTTTGTCATCACAGTTCCAGAACATTCTTTTTTTCTTTCTTTCCCAGACAGGGTTTCTGAGTAGTTTTTTAAAACCTGCCCTGGCCCTCGCTCTGTAGACCAGGCTGGTCTCCAACTCAGAGACCCGCCTGCCTCTGCCTCCCAAGTGCTGGGATTAGTGGCATGCACCGGCACCGCTACAGGACCAAGAGCGTTCTTGTATGCCAGAATTGCCCCACGAGCCGTCATCTCCCCTCCTCAGCCACCAGGAGTTGGACCTGCATTGCCAGTTCTGGACATTGTGAAGCCCGAGCTACACTTTGTCTTCTGTCTGTTCTCTCACTGAGCGTTTTCCAGATCTCTTCAGGAATCAAAGGCCCTTTCAAGGGGTCGCCTGAGACCATATTTACATTATGATTAATAACAGCAGCAAAGTTAACTAGGCATGGTGGCCCATGCCTTTGATCCCATACTCACAACAAACAAAACAGTAGCAAAATTACAGTTAGGTAGTAGCAACAAAAATGATTTTATGGTTGGGGGTCACCACAATATGAGGAATTGTATTAAGGGTGGTAGCATCAGGTTGGAGCACTGGCTGATCTTCCAGGGATCCTGAGTTCAATTCCTGGCAACCACAAGGTGGCTCACAGCCATCTGTAACGGGATCTGGCGCCCTCTTCTGGCCTGCAGGCACACATGCAGACAGAACACTCCTACCTAAAAAGATACATAAACAAATTAAAAGTAGAATAAAGTGAAGGGTGGTGGCACTGTCCCTTTCTTTCGTTCAGGACTGAACGAAACAATAGTGAGTGGATGGACTGTGCTGTGTAGATTTGACGCCCGTGATTAATGCTGATGAGAACACTAATAGTAAGTTCCTGGGGAGAAGTGTGTTGTTATTTCTCGTTGGTAAGCAGCTAAGGATCTACTGGCAGGGTTTCATGGTACATTCTCCATATCCCTTGCTGAGAGGCCCCTGGAGTCTCCAAGCCTAATCAGAGTGGAGCCCCACCTAGGATCCCCGGTGGGACGTGGCTGGGGGCGTGGTCAGGATGGAGTCCCCACCTAGAATCCCCCAGTGAGGGGCTGGGGGCGTGGCTGAGTGGTGAGTATAAGCCGGGCCTGCACAAATCCCTGGATTCCAATCTCGTCCCTGAAAAACAGAAAAAGAAAGGGAAATCTCATTCAGGATGTGCTGTATTGTCCTCTCCGCGCCCGCGTTTCTTCTCACCACCGTAAATGTGGCTAACGTGGGCGTGGTATTATGGGGTTCCTAGCAGCTCTATGGGGATCTAAATTCAAAACCATTCTAGTACTAAGAATGTTCAGACAGCCTACACTGAAATGTCACACATAGTCACCCTCAGGTCGGTCATCTTTCCACTCAGGAGGCAGATGGCTGCGAGTTAAGGCCAGACAGGAGGAAAGCGCTGTCCTGTTGCGGTCATTCAGCACTTATTGTAGTTGTACACGCACGACAAAAGTGGGAAGAAGTCATTCTTTCATAGGCACTAGCTCAGCGAACAGATGGACACTGTGGGTTGCCATGCTGGGTACCTGGGGACACCAGGTCTTGGCCTCTAGTCTGCTGGGGGTTGGAGATGAAGCATATCCAGTTAACCATACTCTCAGATGGCGGGATGCCTGGGAAGGTGCTGAGAAGTCCTGTCCCCAGACCCAGAGATAAACATCGTCAGACAGAGAGACACAACCTAGAGCTTTACCAGGCACAGCCCACGGTTCCGCATTTTTCTCCTGCCTTGGCTGAGTGTCGCAGTGTGTCTGAGGGCTTAGTCAGAAACGTCCAGACCTGGAACACCCCTCTTGCTGATCCCAGCACCCTGCCGCCAAGCTCACTGTATTTCTGTACGGTGACCCACCATGGGGGTCACCGCCGGCTTCTGCCCCTAAGGCACAGAGTCAGCCTTTGGACCTGAAATCACGCCCGCTTCGCCATGCTGTCTCATCCACTCATTTGTTTATAATTGTATAGATTCACTTAAACCTCCTCTCTTTTTTTTAAAGATTTATTTATTTATTACATATACAGTGTTCTGTCTACATGCCAGAAGAGGACACCAGATTGAATTGTAGATGGTTGTGAGCCACCATGTGGTTGCTGGGAATTGAACTCAGGACCCCTGGAAGAGGAGTCAGTGCTCTTAACCTCTGAGCCGTCTCTCCAGCCCCCTTAAACCTCCTTTCAACGAATGGCCTGGCACACATTCACAGGGCGTGCTGTGGTCCCTGCCCTCCTACCCTCCCACCAAGAAGTCTGCGTCTGACACTAATGCGGATCCCAACCCCCAGCCCCCGGCCCCCGGCCCCCAGCCCCTTACTTTCTGTCTTAGTGGCCCTGATAACTCCTGGGAGTAGGACTCTGTGGTATGTCTGTCTGAGCATGCCCCGTGCCATTAAAAAATCTGGACTGTGGGGTGGTGCAAGCCTTTAACCCCAAAGCTGTATTTCTTTCTCTTCATTTATCTTCCTTCCTTCTTTCTTTTCCTGAGCCAGGCTTCTCTGTGTAGCTCTGGCTGTCCTGGAACTCGCTCTGTAGATCTGGATGGTCTGGAACTCACAGAGATCTGCCTGCCTCTGCCTCCCGAGTGCTGGGATGAAAGGCGTGCGCCACCAACACCCGGCCTGAATTCCCTTCTTAAGGCTGTGTAATTTTCCACCATGTACATAGACCACTCCATGTGAGTTCATCATGCACTGGTACTTACCTAGGTTACTTCTATCTGTGAGCTGTTTTAAATGATGGTATGTGTCATGAATGTTCAAACAGATTTCAAAATCACATGTGTGGGCTCCTGCTTGGAAGCTGAGGTAGCTGGATTTCATGGAATTTTTTTGGGGGGGTTTCTCTGTATTGTTTTGGAGGCTGTCCTGGATCTCGCTCTGTAGACCAGGCTGACCTCAAACTCAGAGATCCGCCTGCCTCTGCCCCCCCCAGTGCTGGGATTAAAGGCGTGCACCACCAACGCCCGGCGGATTTTATGGAATTTAAAATGAGCCTGGAGCACAGGAGACTGTTTAAAAAAACAAACAAACAAACAAAAACCCAACTAATTGATTAAGAATGGCAGGCAGCCATGGCGGCTTAGGCTTGTAGTCTCAGTATTTAGGAAAATTGCTACAGGTTCAAGATCATTCTGGGCTACAGTGTCAGACCCTGTCCACACAGACAAAACAACAGGGAGTCTGGGGTGTAGACCAGTTGCCATACTGCTTGCCTCAGATGGCTTTGGGTTCGATCTCCACAACAGTATGACAGGGCAAGTCCATGGCCTGCTCTACATGAGACCTCAATCGAAATCGACCCAGAGAAGGCTGGGGAGATGGCTCAGTGGAGATTGCTGAGCCTGAGTTCTAATACCCAGGTCCCGTTTAAAGTCGAGTGTTTCTGTGTGCATGCAACTCTGTGGGCAGAGGAGACCCTGGGAGCTTGCTGGCCAGACAGCATTGCCAAAGTACTTTGGTAAGAAGCCTATCTTGCCTATCTCGAAAGAAACAAGCAAACAAAGTGGAAAGCTATATGCTCCTCCAGCCTCACATGTGGGTGCCCAGTCCCGCAACCCTCAAGCACCCCCCACACCCAACAAAAATAAAACAAAACAAAAAGCAATCAAAAAAGTTCTCGTAGTGTGGCTCAGCACCAGAGTACCCAGGTGCTGCAAAATGCAAGGGACGTCCCGGTGACACAACGGGTTGGGCGTCAACCGAGACACACGTGGGCCTCTCAATACGAAGACCCTGCCCTGGGTAGGGAGGTGCGAGTTGGCTCTGTGGTGTTGCTGTTCTTTTTTCTTTTAAAGATTTACTTACAAGTGCTCTGTCTGCATGTACACGCCAGCAGAGGGCGCCAGATCTCACTGTAGGTGGTTGTGAGCCACCATGTGGTTGCTGGGAATTGAACTCAGGACCTGTGGAAAACCAAGCAGCACTCTTTTTGTTTTGTTTTGGTTTTTCGAGACAGGGTTTCTCTGTGTAGCTTTGGAGGCTGTCCTGGAACTCTCTCTGTAGTCCAGGCTGGCCTCGAACTCACAGAGATCCGCCTGCCTCTGCCTCCCGAGTGCTGGGATTAGAGGTGTGAGCCACCACACCCGGCCCAATCAGTCCTCTTAACCTCTGGGCCTTCTCTCCGGGCCGCACATCTGTTTTCAGAAGACCTGCGTTCGATTCCCATGTCGTTCACAACCATCCGTAGCTGCAATCCCGGGAGGTCTGACGCTGTCTTCGGCCTTCAACCAGCATCAGGTACACTCATGTTTGCACACAGAAACGCAAAGTAAACCCTGGGGCGGGGGGGGGGGGGGAGGGAGGGACGTAGTCAGCTCCTTGTCCCCCGGGGGCGCTCGAAGGGACAGTAACGTAGTGCGGACCAATGAATACCGCGGGACCCGAGGCGCATTTTCAGTCAGGCGCGCTCGGACAGCCCAGGCTCCTCAGGGCACTGAGGCTCAGGGTAACGAGGCTGTATTCGCGGAAGACAGGTGCCGCAAGGTTCTCAGAGACCAGGAACAGATAATCATGCTTTACTAAAGCTTCTCTTGACGTAGGCCTTGGATCCTGCTCCTGCCACGATTCCGCGGGAGCAGAGATTGTAAGCAGGCGCATTTGGGGCAGCCCTTCCCGGCGTCCCTAGCGACAGCGTCCCGGGGGCCTCTGGGGGCCTCGGAACAAGATGGCGGCGGCGGCGGGGTCCGAGGGGCGCGAGCGGCGGCCTCCGGGGCGAGTGTGAGGAGGGGTCCCGGGGTCCCGGGTGTCTCCGGGCCGGGGCCCCGCCGCGGAGCGGACCATGCTACGATCTACCGGCTTCTTCCGCTCCATCGACTGCCCATACTGGACGGGAGCTCCCGGGGGGCCTTGCCGGCGGCCGTACTGCCACTTCCGGCACCGCGGAGCCCGCGGCCCCGGCGCCCCGGGCGGCGGCGGCATCGCGGCGTCTCCTGCAGCAGGTAAAGCCCGCGCCCGGCCCGTCCGTGCTGCGTGCTCCCCTCGCGCCCCTGCCCACGCCGTCCCCGCTGTCGCCGGCGTGATGCGGTGCCCGTGCCCGGGGCTCTCTGGTCCCCGGGCGCGACGGGAACCCCGCAGCACGGAGGGGACGGTGCCGGCGTGTCGCCGGGCTCGGGCTCTCGGTGCGGCGACCCCCAGCCCTCACCCGGTGCAAGCTGTGTGAGATGGGGCGCCGTTCCCTCCTGTCACCCGGCGCACAGCCCTGTGCGACCGCGGCGCTTCTGGTTTATGATCGCGACCCTGTACCCGGGCGAGGCCACCGCTGTCTCCAGGAGTTGGAAGCACAGGGCCCCGGGGCACCTGCTGTTTGTCAAGCTGAAAGCCCGCTTGGCTTGGACGGGCATAGACTGTTCAGTTTTGCAGGGAGCATGTCCCAGTGATTCGTGTGATGGCACCGTTGTTGTTGTTTCAAGACAGGGTTTGTCTGTGTAACCGCTCTGGCTGTCCTGGAACTCACTCTGTAGACCAGGCTGGCCTCGAACTCACAGAGATCGCCTGCCTCTGTCTCCCGAGTGCTGGGATTAGAGGTGTGTGTCACCATCGCCTGGCTGTGTGATGGAACTTTTGAAGAAGGCCTCATGGATCGGGCAGTGTTAGGAGGTACTGTGTATTAGAAGAAAACAATGGGAGAAGGTAGGATTTCATTAGTGTTTTGTTTTTATTGTGTAGGCCTGGCTAGTTGGCACCTAGGATCCTCAATTCAACCTAGCAGGTTCTTGATGACCCAAAGCCAACACAGACAATTTCCATTGCACTAAAGACGACATTGTGGGACTGGAGGGTTACTCCCAGTACTCAGGAGGTAATGCCAGGTGGACCTGAGTTTGAGGCCAGCCTGATCTACATGAGGGCTTGTTTTAGAAAAGCCATAGATTGCAGGGCAGTGGTGGCGCACGCCTTTAATCCCAGCACTCGGGAGGCAGAGGCAGGCGGATCTCTGTGAGTTCAAGACCAGCCTGGTCTACAGAGCGAGTTCCGGGACAGCCTCCACAGCCACAGAGAAACCTTGTTTTGGAAAAACCAAAAAAAGAAAAGCCACAGACTGTGTCTGGGGAGTGGGGGAGGGGGGCACACTTGCTACCTCACAGAGGCCCTGGGCTGGGCTCCCGGCATCCACACGGCTTCTTTATAACCCCAGTTCAGGGCATCTGATGCAGACTGTCTTCTGGGCACCAGGCATGTATGGTGCAAATGCAGACAAAACTCTCATATGCATGAAATTATTAGAAGAAAAAAGCTTACAAAGTGACACTGCAGTTTGGTGTTGGTGGCGCACACCTTTAATCCCAGTACTTGGGAGACAGAGGCAGGGGATCTCTGTGAGTTCCAGGACAGCCAGGGTTACACAGAGAAACCCTGTCTTGAAAAACCAAAAAACAAGCAACAACAAAGAACAAGCGTTTTAGGCTAGCCTGGTCTACAGAGCGAGTTCCAGGACAGCCTCCAAAGCCACAGAGAAACCCTGTCTCGAAAAACCAAAAAAAAAAAAAAAAGAACAAGTGTTTTGCCTGTGTGTATGTGAGCATATGCACCAGATGTGTGCTGTGTCCAAGGCAGTCAGAAGAGAGAACATTGGATCCCATGGCACTGGAGTTACAGGTGGTGCACTGTGTGTGTGTGTGTGTGTGTGTGTGTGTGTGTGTGTGTGTGTGTGTGTATGGTGCTAGGGATCAAACTTGTGTCTGCCTCCTGCTGCAACAGCTGGTGTTCTTAAGCAGTGAGCTATCTCTAACCCCTGCTGGTTTGTTTTTATGAGACAGGTTGGCCTTGAACTTGTGGTGGTCCTCCTGCCTCTGCCTCCTGAGTATTGGGAGGCCAGGCATGAGCTGCCAAATCCACCCGTTGTTTTGAGTCTGCACCGTTTCCATGCTCACTGCCTAGAGCACCTGCAAATGGCCTTGGTCCACAGGACCTCACCTGGCGTCAATGTCCGTGCTGTGTCGGGGGACTGGCTCTGCAGATCTCAGCCTAGGGGTGGGCACTGAGTGCCTGGTATAGTGGCCTCTCAGAAGCCTCAGTGCCCAGCTTAGGTGGCATGCGGTGTCTTTTTGTTGTTTCCCAAAGGTTTACTTGTTACGTTTGTGTTTGTCTGTGTGTGTCACTTGTGTGGGTGTGCCTGAGGAGGCCAGAGGCAAGCTTTGAATGTCCTAGAGTTGGAGTTGCAGGTGGTAAGTCTTCAGCATGAGGGCTGGGCGTGGAGCTCAGGTCCTCCGAGAGCCGCAAGTGCTCTTAACTGGTAAGCTCGAGTCTCATTGTTAGCCCTGGATACCCTGGAACTAGCTATGTAGAACAGGCTGGCCTCTCAACTATGGGGGTTAAAGGTGCAAGTTCTGGGCCTCCAGGGGCCAGTGTGTCAGAGCATGCGACTGTCAAGCTTCCACTCAAGCCCTTTGGTCTAGGGATATCCTGGCTTGTATTTTTTTTTTTTTTTTTTTTTTTTTTTTGGTTATTTGAGACAGGGTTTCTCTGTGTACCTTTAAAGCCTGTCCTGGAACTCACTCTGTAGACCTGACTGGTCTCGAACTCGCTGGCCTGGAATTCAGAGATCCACCTGCCCCTGCCTCCAGAGCACTGGGATTAAAGGCGAGCCTGACTTTTTAAGTGTACTTCCTCTTTGCCATTGGAAGCCAGAGCTTCCTGCATGGCTGGTGTGTGCCCAACATGGTCCCATGCCCTTAGCTTCCCCCCTGCAGTTCTCCTTTGCTGTCCTGTGCCATGGCCGGAGGGTCAGTTAGAGGCCTGTCACTTCCCTGTGCACCCAACAGTCCCCTGAAGAAAGGCATCTCATTCCCTTGTGCAGCCCGCTCTCTGATCTGACTTCAGGGGCCGCAGGTAGAGCCCAGCCCAGCCGTCCTGCTTTGAGGACTGTTCTGCCCTGCCCTCCCCTTCTCGGTGCACCACAGTGGCACTCTGAGGAGGCCGGGCCTGAACTGCGCTGGGCCAGGATACAGTCCAAATGGCTTAGCCTTGGTGGCACCCTTTGGGCTTGCTTGCATAGCCCTCCATGGCTTTGGTGCGCACGGTAAAGCGAACCCAGTGGCCAGCCTCCAGTGGCTCAGAGCTGCAGGTGACCGTGCTGTGCAGACAGCTGGGCCTGGAGCCTTGCTGGGCGGCTTTTTGAATGAGCTGGGGAGACACGGTTGAGTGCCCTGGGGAAGACAGGCTAAGGGACAAAGCGAGTTTGCTCCTGACACCAGTGAGGCAGGTTAGAGCTGGTGGGGGTACGCTGGGTGGTTTCCCTGGGGACTCCTGGTGGCTTGGGTTACTTGGGGCTGTTTGGGTATGGCCGGCATCCATGGAGGGACTGGCACAGTGACCCTCACAGGCCCAGGAGTCTCCTCTCCTGCACAGCTGCTGTTGCTGCTGAGGGAGTAGGGGACAGGAGCAGAAGTGAGAGACAGGGTGTCTGGGCTGCAGAGCTCCCCACCCCTGCTGCTGCCGTTCTTGAGGGTCCTGGAGCCTCCTTTTGAGACCCCCAGCAGTGTGGTGAGGGTGGCAGCTGGAATGGAGCGCCTGTGATTCCACACGGCAGGGGTTGTCCCAGATTGTCCTGTGGACAGTAGGGTGCCAAGGAGCAAGTCCAGGGAGTACCTGTGGAGCCTTCTAGAAGGAATAGGGTTTGTTCAAGTAAAGGAGGAGGGTGTTGGGGGGGACAAACAGGAAAATGACCATGGCATTGACCAAGTTCCTTCTGAGCCTTGAGGACCTCTGTGGGCACCAGTTCCCACAGTGCACGCTTGAGCAGCGAGGGTCAGCCAAGCACTGCTGCTCTCTTTCTGACACCCATGTGTGGGACCTGTCACACCAGCCTTGGCTCGCTGCCCGGGAAGGAGGATCTTCAGGGGTGACTTTCCTTGTCTGAGTAGCCTGGGGATAGAGGAACCTCTTCTAGCCACTGGCAACCTGCCTCCTGCCACTTTGGGTTCCTTCCCAGGGAAAGACCCACTTCTCCAGGAAACGCCAGCAGGGGGCACTGTGAGCCACAGCCTTTGGCCACCTGCTGCCACCCAAAGAGGGCCAGCCATGGATAGTTGACAGTGTGGATGTGTGGAGACACCTGTGCATTGGAAGGTGAGGTGTGGCACCCTGGTCTTCCTCTGAAATAAAGTAGCATTCCATCGTAATCCGGTTGTACAGATGCTGCCAGGTGTCTGGTGGCTACCTTTCCTTTTCCTCCTCTTCCAGCCTGGGAGCACTGGGGCTTCAGTCCATGACCACCTTGCTGGTGATGGGTAGCTGGCCTCGCTGGTCCAGTGTTGCTGGGGAAGGTGGCCTGACGGGCAGGCTGGTGTCCCGGTATAAACAGGACAGGTGCAGGATGCTTCTCCTGCTACTCAGCTGGCACGTGTGACTAGTGCTGCCTTTAGAGGTGGTTTTGTTTCGTTTGGCTTTTTTTGGTGGGCTCCTGGAGAGTGTAGAGAGCCCCAGCATCCATCCTGCGTCTGTCTTACACCTGCCCCGGCCATGGCTCCTTTGTCTCCGTCATGGCCTCTTGGGCCTTGAAGGCTCAGCTGGACACTGCTGCTTTCTGAGGTCATCGTTCACCTGGCCCTCTTAATCTGGCTCTGTGGCCTATCTGTCCTGGTGCCATTTATAGAAGGGTCTTGGGATTTCAGGTGACTGTCTGTGCAGGCAGGACACCCTCCCACAGAGGCAGGGGCCCAGGCACAGGTACTCTGGTAGAGAGGCCTGCAAGGACGCGGCTAGTCTGGCCGAGTCTTGGAGCATGGCCTTTGCAGGGGGCTGCTTCCTCCACACTGGGTCTTAAAGATGCTCTGGTATCAGGAGCCTGGGAGAAAGTTAGGGCATGCTGCACCCCTTGAGACTGACTACATGCTCCACCCCTGGGTACGACAGTGCACGTGTTCCCTGGAAGCAGCCCCCTGTTCCCCCAAAATGGACTTTTGCACCACAGCAGCCTGGAGGTGATCCCTAAACCCTGCTTCACGCTGCCAGAGACTGGGGTGGCAGTGGTCTGCTCTCTGGAGGTCTTTGTGGCTATTGTGACCTCTGTGCACATGGCACTCTGGGGGAGAGGGCAGGTAGACCAGCAATGGGCTCTCATGCTCATGGAGACAGTAACTGGGAGTCGACAATTTCCCTTATGGGACTGGAAAGTGCTATGAGAAAGGAGGGTCCCTTTCCAGGGTGACGTTAGCATGAGGCCCATGTCAGCATCCCATGGGTTCCCATGGTGACTTAGGCCTGTCTCTGTCTCGGAGCCCAGCATCCTAGACATGCAAGGCAGCTGTCTCCTTGCATTCCAGTGTGACCACACCTGCCTGGAAGCCCTGTCACTCTAAAAGACTGACCTTGCAGAGTCAGGGGAAGGCTCTGGAGGATGACCTGGGGGCACGTGGATCCTGGGCCCATTCCTTAAGGGTGGTCATCTTCCAGGATAAGACTTGTGCACCCGTAGTGGGGCTGAGGGCACTCCCTAGGCCTGGCGGCATCCTCTTTGGCCAAGCCTCATCCTGTGTGCAGCTTCCCATAGCTCTCTCTGGCGACCTGCTGCCCACGTGTGTCAGCTAAGGCAGCCTTGAGCTTGACCCTACTTGGGTGACCTCGTCTGTTGTCCAGTGGTGTTGAGCTTACGGGATGTGGGTGCCTTGATCCCAGTATGGGGTAGGGTCAGCCTCTGCAAGATGGATCATAGCCCTGTGGGGCCCTTGGGCAGTATGACCATCTATCTGGGGCTGGAATTCAGGACTGTGCCGGTCCGAACCCGTCCGAGACTGCCCAGAGTGGGCGGGTGCTCCCAGCACCTGAGCCATACTGCTCACACTCTGCCTCTCCCTCCCTAGGTGTCTGTGGAGCTTCCTCGGCCTCCAGGGCTGGGAGCTCCTATCAGCCCAAGGCTGGGCAGGACCCTGGCACTCTCTTGGCCTTTATCAGTCCTTTGGCCTTGAGTGGAGACTGACTTCCTGTTGGCAGGAGAGAGGCCCAGTGAGATGCTGCCTCTGGTGTGGCCTGCTAAAAGCTGATATGTGGGCAGGGCTATCCGGGCCCGCACTGCTTGGCCGGTCCTGCCTGGGTCACCCTCCCACAGCAGTCTGAGTGTGCATCAGGTGTCCTGTCCCACATTCCCCGTCCAGTGATCTGTCAGCAGGGCTGCTGGGGAGTGATAGGTGATGCGAGCCTAGGATTCGGGGACCCTCCCCTGCAGCTGGGAGAATTTCCAGGAGAAGAACCTTCTAAGTCACCTGTGTGGCCTAGCCCCTACCCAGAGACCACCATGTATACCCACATTTACACAGAAGGGTCTGCCTTCCTCCTAAGGATCCTCCTTTGTCACTGCACAGTTTTGAGACCCCATCTCATTTTGATGCCCAGGATGGTGCGATCCTCCTGCCTCGGTGCTGGGATAACAGGTGTGGTTGCTCCTGGGGTCAGTGTCTGTGTTAGCGATGTGCGAGCATGTGACCAGATACCAGACAGCAGCAGCTTAGGGAGGGCTTACTCTGACTCGGGGCTGGGGGCTGGCCTAGCACAGCAGAGACAGGCATGACGGCAGGGATGGCGGCAGCTGCTCATGAGTCCAGTCAGGAAACAGAAATGCTGGGGCTCAGCTTTCGCTTCTTTGAGTCTGGGGCCCCATTCTAGGCGACGCTTCCCCTAAGTGTAGTGTAGGTCTTTCCCTCGAAGACACCAGTCTAACACCCCAATCCAGGCCCGTTTCTGGTGATCCTCTTACGGTTGTAGTCTTGTGTACACAGGGTCCCCTCTCCAGCAGTCTCTAAGCTTTCACAGGCTCTTCCAGAAGACCCTACCTCAGGAGCAGGGTGGGGTCCCAGGACAGTAGCACAGTAAATTCTTCAGCTGTGGGTCCCTCAGGTTCGGGTCACAACTTTGAGGGCCACCTTCAAAGTGCCGATGTTTGAGCTGCAGGCAGCCAGAACCAAGTTCTTGGTAGGTGTGTGCTCAAAGTCTAGACCTGCCGGACATGGTGGCTCAGTCGTCACTCCAGCACTTGAGAAGCTGAGGCAAGGGGATGACCCTGAGTTCCCAGGTAGCCCGAGCTAGAGTAAGACCTTGTCTCAAAGAAACAAACGAACAAACAAAAAGGCCCATTGGATAGCTCAGCTCTCCCCACAGACAACACCCTGCTGGCTCCCTGGAAGCCATGCGGCGGAAGGCGAAGGCGAAGCCTCTAGGAAATAGAAAGTCACTCGCAGATAGCAAAGCCAGAGAACGTGCCCCTCGTCTGGGCCCTCCCCTCCCCGTGTCCGCTGGGCTCAGCAGGCATTGCTTCAGGAGGCTGTGGCGGAGCCTTCAGCTTAGCTCTGTTTGAAAGCTCTGGTCTCTGGGTTTACACACTCCTTTCTCCTTATCTGCCGCTGCCCCTCCCCCTTTACCTCTTCCTTCTGAGACTGGGCCTTGCTGGCCTCAGCTGACCTTAAGCCGCTGATCCCCTGCCTCAGTCTCCAGCATGACTATGCGCTGCCTCTGACCACTGGAAGGCTTCTTTCTAAGAACCGGCCAAGCCTGGCCTCTCGAGCACCCAGGAGGTGGAGGAGGAGGTTCACAAGTTCACGGTCCCCTCAGCGCACACTCAGGCCAGCCAGGGATCCGCCTCTTTCAGATAGCTGAAGAAGGGGGAGGCTCCCAGTTTCCACAGGGCAGTGTGCTCTGGCCAGCTCCCAGCCATGCTGTTCTAGGCTCCCAGTGAGCACCCCAACTGGGGAACTCCCCTGCTGTGTCCCTCATTGCATCTCATGGACAGAGCTTGCGTTCAGGGTGTTAGCCTCAGACAGCTGCCTTGTGCTGCACAAGATCCGAAAGCTGGGCCTGGCTGCCGCTTGCCCAGGCCTCCCGCCTCACCCTGCCCACGCAGGAGCCCCTTCCATGATTCCCAGTCTCACCTCCCCCTGGGGACAGCACAGGATGTCATCTGGAGGCAGTCATGGGAACTGCCACATGGCCATCTCATGGGCATTATATGCGGGTCTGACATGCCTGACTGTCCCGCAGGCTGCACAGAAGCCAGCTGGTTTGTAACAAGGGCACTCTGTACCTCAGTTGGGTGTGTGTGTGTGTTCCCAGCTTCCCTTGGGGACAGTGCTTAGAGAAGGGTTATCAACAGTATGCCTGGACCCCACCTCTCTTTGAGATATACATGGTTGCGATCATACAATTCTTGCTTGTAGCTGGGCGTTGGTGGCGCACGCCTTTAATCCCAGCACTCGGGAGGCAGAGGCAGGCGGATCTCTGTGAGTTTGATACCAGCCTGGTCTACAGAGCGAGTTCCAGGACAGCCTCCAAAACAATACAGAGAAACCCTGTCTTGAAAAACAAAAAACAACAAACCAATTCTTGCTTGTACTGGTGGGTCTACACCATAGTTACTAATCCCTTTCTAAGGCTTAAAAAAAGATTTTTACTTTTAATTAGTGTTTGCATGGGGTGGGACATGTGAATCAGATGCCCATGGAGGTCTCCATGGAGGCCAGAGGTGGACTGGAGTTGTAGGGTTGCAAGCCACCTTCTGTGGGGCAAGGATGTATACTGGGTCCCTCTACAAGTGTAGCACAGATTCTTTTTTTTTTTCTTTTTCTTTTTTTCTTTTTTTTGGTTTTTATGAAACAGGGTTTCTCTGTATTGTTTTGGAGGCTGTCGGTCCAGCCCGGCCTCGAACTCACAGAGATCCGCCTGCCTCTGCCTCCCGAGTGCTGGGATTAAAGGGGTGCACCACCACCGCCCGGCTGTAGCACAGATTCTTATTGTCACCTTCAGCCCCTCAACTTCAGAGGTGAGAGGTGATTACTCTAGAAAAGCTGGGCACGGAGGGGGGCACTTGTGACCCCAGCACTCGGGGGTGGAGGCCCAAGAAGCTTGAGCTGACCGTTCAGCCAAGGGAGATCCACTTGACTGGGGACAGCATCGCAGGCCAGCCGGAGCCTTGAGCTGTGGGGTTTTAACTCCAAGTAGGGCCTGTGGGTAATATGTCCACCTTGGTGGTCTCCAGGCCATGCCAAGAAGTCCTTGGGAACCTCGCTTCTCTGCACCCCCTTTTGACGTAGCCCATGCTAGCTTTGAACTCACTGTGTAGCCGAGGCTTACTCGATCTTCCTCTTGCTTGTACATCCTAGAGCTGTGTCATGGCGTGAGCCACCATGACTGGCTTATGTGGTCCTGGGGTGAGCCCTGGCCTCCCTGGCAGTGCTCTGCCCACAAAAACCCAGACTCACCCCACACCTGCATACACGTGCATGTACCCATCCGTCATCCTGCACACACATGCATGTGCCCATCCGTCATCCAGCACACACGTGCATGTGCCCATCCGTCATCCTGCACACACGTGCATGTGCCCATCCGTCATCCAGCACACACATGCATGTGCCCATCCGTCATCCTGCACACACAGGTCCTGGCATAAGGCAGGGGACCCCGACACTGCATCATCATGCTGTCAAGGTGGGGGGTGTGCAGTAGCTCGCGCAAGGCTGCTTCTCTTACCTTGTCATCTCCGGCAGGCAGGCTCAGTGGCTGTTCCATGTGCTCTTCCCTTCCAGGGCTTGGTTATGACCCATACAACCCAGAGCTGCCTCAGCCCCCCGCACAGAGGGAGAATGGCACTCTGGGCCAAGGTGACGGCATGCTGGAGCTGGAGCTGGTCAACCAGGCCATCGAGGCTGTGCGAGGAGAGGTGGAGCTGGAGCAGAGGCGCTACCAGGAGCTCCTGGAGACGGCGCGGGGACACGGTGCCGGGGCTTCTGCCCTGGCGCCCTGCAGTCCCCCCACAGGCCTGGATGACGATGACACCTTCTCCCTGGCTCTCACCTATACACCAGCTGGCCTCCTAAGCCCAGACTCGGGCTACCAGCCCACCCCCCTGACTGCCCCTGATGAACCAGGTCACAAGTACTCACTGGCCCCTTCAGAGAGGGGCCAGGGCAGAGCTGGAGGGGGCACCAGTGCCCTGGAGTATGTCCCCAAGGCTGTGGGACAGCCACGCCACTATGGCCGTCCCGTGTCTGGCGGCAAGTACGTGGTGGACAGTTCAAAGCCATCAACAGATCTGGAGTATGACCCTCTGTCCAACTACTCAGCCCGGCATCTCGGCAGGACCAGTGCCAGAGATGAGAGGGCCACCAAGCGGCCAAGAGGCTCCCGGGGTGCTGAACCCTACACACCTGCCATCAAGAAGCCCTGTGACCCCTTCAGCGGCTGTGAGGCCAGATTCTCAGACTCAGAAGATGATGTGGCCAGCCCGCCAAAGGCTGATAGCGGCAGCCCCAAGGCTGGGGCAGACCCTGAAAGCAAGGCACCTGGGAACCCTGCCTCCAAGGACGGCCCGAAGGGCGAGGAGGGCAGTCTGCGGGGCACCAAGGAGATGGCCGTGCAGTATGACGTGGGAGACCTCGGGCAGCCTCCCAGAGCAGCGGACACGGTGGCCTTGAGCAAGCCTGGCTCCCCAGCCAGGGCCTCTCAAGATGCTGGGGTCCCCAAGGATGGCAAAGCCAAGAAGAAGAAAAGTGGGACACCGGCCAGCCTCAGCCACAAAGACAAGACCCGCAAAAGAGACACGAAGAAAGACAAGGACCCAGGATGCCCCCGGGAGAAAGAAAAGGCGTGTGCAGACAGGAAGAGGTCACAGACTGGCACCCCCCCAGGCAAGGCCCAGGGCCCTGAAGGGACCAAGAAAAAGCCATCTAACACCGCCATGGTGGCCAGCTCGGGGAAAGGAGGACGGGGCTGCCCCTCCAGTGGAAGGCCCCGGCCTCAAGACTCTGGGCCTAGTCCCCACACACCACTGGCCTGGAAAGCTGGGAGTGCTAGGAAGACACCATCGGGGAAGTTGGTGGCACGCAAGGCCCGCTCCCTGGACGAGGGTGCCCTGCAGGACGCCCCTAAGCTCAAGAAGCGGGCCCTGAGCCACGCTGAATTGTTTGGGGATGAGAGCGAGGATGATGACTCTGGCCTAGGGGGCAGGGCACCCCGGGTCTGGCCTCCAACCCTGCCCACCCTGAGCTCAGACTCTGACTCTGACTCGGACTCCAGTCTGGGCCTGGGTGAGACGCAGGTGCCCAAGCGTCTCAAGGCCGCGCCACCCGCATCCCCCACACCACCCTCCCCCTTGTCCTCCTCCTCCTCGGGAACCAGCCAGTGTGCAGAGGAGGGTGTGGGCTACTCGGCCCTGGAGAAGGAGGTCGACTTCGATGCGGACCCCATGGAAGAGTGCCTGCGGATCTTCAATGAGTCCACCAGCGTGAAGACGGAGGACAAGGGCCGGCTGGCCCGGCAGGTGAGGGCACTGGCCTTGGCAGGCGAGGGCCCTACGCGGGGACACTCCATCCCACAGCCATCTCCAGCCGTCTGCAGCCTCTGTGACCCAGGCAGAAGCCGCTCCTTCAGCACTGGCCTCTTAACTCCATTCAAAATTCAGGAACCCTCGGTGGCCGCCTGCTGCCCCCCTGCACCCTGCCCAGAACGAGGATGCTGGCTTTCTACTCACCCAGCCGGCTTCCTGTGGCAGCATCCGACTGACCGTTCAGACTGACCGGCAAAGGGGTACCTCCTGCCCCACGCCTGCCTCACACGTCCTGCCCCGGCTCCTTGGCCTTTCTTGCCCCTCTGTCCCTCCCCAGCTCTTGCTCCTTCTCTGGCTTGGATCCCCCTTCTCTCCTCCTTGGCTTGCCTGTCTCCGGCCAGCCTTGACCCATCTGGGTGTCCCTCTTCCAGTGTCCCCACGCTGACCACCAGGGGGCGCTCACCCTGAACAGACAAAGATGGACTTGGCCAGTTCCCTCCAGCTCCAGGCAATGGGATGCCCTTGACTGGCATTCGATATCTGAGCCATCGTCCTGGGCTGGGTGTGGGGGCAGCAGCAGGGGCTGTGCCCACTTGTCCTCCTGTCCACAGAATTGCTGCCCTGGCCTAGGAGGCAGGTGCTGAGGCGGGCCTCGGCCACAGGGTGCTGGTCCTGGGTAGGGCTCTCACTTGCAGGGCCATTTGAGGTCTGGTGGTGGCTTGAGGCTGGGTGGAAAGGCAGGGGCATGCCCCAAGGAGGCACCCAGAGTGAGGAGTACATGTGTGTTTTCAGCCCCCCAAGGAGAAGGCTGAGGAGAAGTCGCATGCGGGCCTGACCACTTTGTTCCCGGGACAGAAGAGGAGGGTCTCACACCTCTGCAAGTCAAGCAAGGAGGTAAGAGCCAGACTGGGGGTAAGGGCGGGCAGCTGGAAGGAGAAGGCCACCATTCCTGGCTGGGTCCCAGGCCCCTGCTGCTGGCCTTTGGTAAGCTGGTATCTTGTAGAAGCATGTCCTGTGCACCACCCATCCCATTGTCGCTGTCCTGGGTACAGGGACAGTGCAGGGAGGATTGGGACAAGTCCTGTGGGCATTGGAGCTGAGCGGGCTACCCAACCTCTGAGCCCTGGCTAGAAGACAGCACACCAGGAGAGGCCCGCACAGGGCTATTACCGCCGTCTTAGGCACACATAGACCTTCAGGACTAGTCCTGAGAGCCGCTTCAGGAGGTAGGACGGGGTCCCGGATGTAATCTAGGAAGGTTTCGTTTTTGAGATGTGCAGATAGGACACGGGTCCCACACTGCCTACATTGTTGGATAGTGGGACCTTGGGATTAGGGCTTCCAGAAGCCAGGGGAGGTTGGGATGGGGGAGTCCTTTCCACCTTGCCTTGGGTGTTCTGGACCCAGAGCTGGGCTCCAGGACCTGTGTTCTTTCAGGCAGAGACCCCAAAGAGGGCTCCTGTGGCTCCCCCAGTGCGGCCCCCGACCGCTCAGGAGGTGTGTTACCGGCGAGCACAGCAGGCACAGAGGGACTCTGCCAGCTGGCTGCAGGCTGCCCCAAGGCCAACGGACAGGCTTTCCTCTGTGCATATCTCGGCCCCTGGAGAGAAGAGGAGGATTGCTCACGTACCCAACCCTCGCCTGGCCACCGGTAAGTCATGGTCCCACCCTCCCAGACCCCCATTCCCAGCATCTGGGGTGCAAGGGGAAGCAGCACCCTGCGAATTTCCCTCCATGTGCTTGGCTTCAAGCACCAGCCTCCCAGGACCTTGGCGGCTGACAGTGGAATAGGACAGGAAGGCCGGGGCGGAGGAGCTAAGGGTCAGTGGGGACTAGCCCAGGCCCGGGGCCTCAGTGGGACTTGCCTGGGCCTACCTGGAGTGGGCAGCAGTTCTGAAGGTCCATGCTGAGTGGTGGTCCCAGTCCAGGGGGGAGCACATCCTGCCGAGGCAGTCAGGGCTGCCTCTCCCCGGCCCCCAGGGCGGTTCCTGCTCTCAGGACAGACTACTTCTTAGTAGTCACCGCATGGAGGAGCTACTGTGCATGCCTCTCCCTCCCTTCTCTGGGGCTCTGCTGTCCAGGGTTCTCTGTTGCCGTCCACGTCCATGGCACGGCCTTGTGGGAGGCTCCTGGCCCCGGCCGCTGCAGGACTGCTCTGGTTCTGCGACTGTCCTTGTACCCCAGACATGCACCTTGATCTGCTTCAGGGTTCATGCTACAGCTTGCTCACAGGACTGGGGTTAACTCATACGGATATACCCCCTTCCCTGTGAGGCTGAGAGCCTGGGGAGCCCCCTCTTGACAAGTGCAGCTTTGGGTTGGCTCCAGGAAGGACGGGAACCTGGTCTTGCCGCTAAGCCCTATCCAGAGACGCTCCTGACTAGGGGCAGATATCCCTAGCCTCTGCTCCCTTCTTGCAGGGGCTCTGATGGTCAGGCACCCCCATTCCTGCATGGACAATCAGGGGGGAGCCCTGGCCACCCACTGCCAGGGCGGAGACTGTGTGTGGTTTGTGACCTCATTACAGGGACTGGCAGGTAGCCTGTCACAATGAACAGACCAGGGCATCCCAGGCCCTCTGGTCCTGTGCCTAGGAGCCAGGGCTACCCCTCAGACGTCAATGCCTCAGAGTTGGGGGCTGGAACATGCGGCAGAGGCCCCGACCACGCCCCGCCATTCGCCAGACTGCCCCGACCGTGGCGTTGCCTGAGCCGGCCTCCACAGCCGTGTTGCCCTTCCCCACCTCCATGGACTTGCCCCAGGGCAGCTAGAGTCCCATGTCCTTCCGCACCCCCAGCTCGGTGCCCCGGCCCCCGCTGCGCTGCGAGATGCGTGTCCTGCTCACACTCAACGACCGCAGCTTCCTGGTACTCCGCAGCTCCGTCATGGGCCTACTGTCCTCCTGCACTCATGTCCCCTGTCCCTCACCAGCCCCCACAGGTGCCAAGAGGGCGCTCCCTGCCAGCAGCAGCCAGGTGTCCCACGGGCCAGAACCTGGCAGCCAGCCACTGAAGACACGCACGTTGTCAGGGATGGCATCTAAGACCACCACCACTGTCACGCCCAAACGCATCGCCCACAGCCCGTCACTCCAGGTACCCTGCCCCCAGCTGGAACTCTCCTGGCCTGCTCACAGGACTCTGAGGGACCAAGTGCTGTATTGGTCACATTTTCCCCAGTAGAGTTCTGTGTTGACTTTACAGTGAGTGTGTTCTGTTTTCCTGTACTGAGGATGAGACAGAGCTCAGACAAACTAGGCCGGTTGCCCAAGCCATGTCCCAGCTCCTCACTGGAAGAGTTTAGGCAGCAGCTCCCCTCCCAAGCTATACCTGTACTCCCCTTCCTGCCCCCCCCCTTTCGTCTAAAACTCAAGGGCTGGGCTCATGCTGTGGACAACCCATTCCTGACTTTTCCAGAGGCTGTGAGTCTTCACACACACAGACCTGGTCTCTTTCCTCCAGAGTCTAAAGAAGCCCATTATCCCAAAAGAATTTGGCGGCAAAGTCCCCACTGTGGTCCGCCAGCGCTATCTCAACCTGTTCATCGAGGAGTGTCTCAAGTTCTGCTCATCCAACCAGGAGGCCATTGAGAAGGTGGGCCCTGGGTGCACATTCCCTCAGGGGGCAGAACAGGGAGCCCTGGTCACTGTGGCCTTGGGCTGAAGCCAGGAAGGCCCTGTTTATCTCCCTGGCTCTCATCTAGGCATCTTGGTCCAAACTGACTGCCTTTAGCACTTCCTCGTGGGTGGCAGGGATCTGTGCAGGGCTCACCCTAGTACTGCAGCCTGCCAACTGTTGTCCAGTTTAGCTGGCCCTCCTGTTCATGTTCCTGGTGCCACTGTGTCCCATCTAGGCACTGAACGAGGAAAAGGTGGCGTATGAGCGCAGCCCCAGCAAGAACATATACCTGAATGTGGCTGTGAACACCCTTAAGAAGCTGAGGGGCCTGGTCCCCAACACCGTGCCCAGCCTCAGCAGTGAGTGCAGCGATGCAGGAAGGGTCCTGCCCAGAACTGGGTACTCATGGGCTGTAGCAGCAGGGACCGTCCCCAGCACAACATATGTAGGCTGCTGCCTGAGCTCCCTCCCCTCTGCCCCTTCCCTCCTTCACATGTAGGACTTCCCTAATGGGTCTCACAGCCTCTTCAGTGAGTGGCTGAGCTCCGTGCATTTTCTAGGGCAGAGAGGGTTAAGATGTTTATTATGGCCAGGCGGTGATGGCGCAGCCTTTAATCCCAGCACTCAGGAGGCAGAGGCAGGAGAATCTCTGGTCTACAGAGCGAATGCTGGGACAACCTCTAAAGCCACACAGAGAAACCCTGTCTCGAAAGGAAAAAAAGATGTTTATTATGTCCCCTTGCGAGGCCATATTGGGCAGTCCCCACTGCGATTTTGCCTGTGCAGCCTGCAGCCTCCATTGTCTTCTCCCCGCCCACTGGAGTGGTCCCGGGGGTCTTTGTGGTAGCCTCAGCTCAACGCCTCAAACTCCATTGGTGATCGCCTCACACCTGCCTCACCTTCCGTTCACCCAGAGCACGGGCAGGGTGCTGTTCAGACCTGGGGTGACTCGTCCTGGGTTACCTTGACCCCAAGCAGTGCCTCCTTTCCCAGCAGGGGCTCCCTAAGGCAGACAGGGTAGTGAGTGTGCAAACGGGGTGTACGCTATATACAGGGGACACAGTGCGGCTTCTCTGCCCTTCTAGAAGCCAGTGGCCGCAGGGTTGTGTCCCACGAGGTGGTGCTGGGGGGCAAATTGGCAGCCAAAACCAGCTTCTCACTGAGCCGCCCCAGCAGCCCACGGGTGGAGGAGCTGAGAGGTGAGTTAGCGTCCCTGCTGCCCGTCCCTCCCTCCACGTCCTGCTCTGTCACATCCCATTGTCCCTGTGCACAGTGACAGCAGTGCTCCTGCAGGGACTGTCCCCTTCCTCCCCCGCAGCACTGATACCCAGTGTCCCCACAGGGAACGCCCTGTACAGCCGTCTCAGGGAGTACCTGCTCACTCAGGAGCAGCTCAAGGAGAATGGCTACCCCTTCCCCCACCCAGAGCGCCCAGGGGGCGCCGTCATCTTCACAGCTGAGGAGAAGAAGGCCAAGGACCGTGAGTCCCCTCCAGCCGGGCCCTCGGCCAGGGTGACTGGGTGGTGAGCTGCCCGCTGAGCTGGGGCACTGCGCTCAGGGTGCAGGGTGGGGAGCTGCCCGCTGAGCTGGGGCACTGCGCTCAGGGTGACTGGGTGCCAGTCTCACCCATGCCCTCTGCCCGTCTGTCTGTCCTCACCCACAGCCTCCTGCAGAATTTGCTGTCGCTGTGGCACTGAGTACCTTGTATCCTCCTCGGGCCGCTGTGTGCGCAGTGAGGAGTGTTACTACCACTGGGGACGGCTGCGGCGGAACCGAGGTGTGGCTTGACCGCTGTTGCATAGCCAGCCCTGCCCATGTCCACCCCGCCCACCTCTATGAGAAGGCCCTGGCCTTCATAATCTACATGTTCCTTCCCGAGCACAGGGCCTGCCTGTCCGCCCTCCTGCAGTGTCCCCATGGAGGGCCCGCCCTTTGGACCTCCATCAGCTTGAGACGCTGTTGGCCCAGACCCCTCCCTGAATCCTGGTCCATGGCGGGGTGGGCAAGGTTCCCTGCCTGGTGGCCTGAGCACCGTTGTTCTCTCACCAGTGGCTGGGGGCTGGGAGACCCAGTACATGTGCTGCTCTGCTGCGGTTGGCTCTGCGGGCTGTCAGGTCGCCAAGGTAAGCCTGCTGTTGCCACTCCCTGCTCTGGCTTGTGTCTTGCTCACTACTGGGGTTGAGGGACACAGTTGAGTACTGTGTTCAGGCTTGCCGTATGGCCCCACCCAGCCCTTCCAGTCAGGAGCGCACTGGGCCCACCTGCCTCCACAGGCACCTGGCCCAGGCCTAGCCAGACCAGGGGAGTCCCCAAGCATCATGTGTGGCCTGTGCCAGCCCTGCTGCTGACCCCCCCTGTTCCCCAGCAACACGTGCAGGATGGCCGGAAGGAGAACCTGGAAGGCTTTGTGCGCACCTTCCAGAAGGAGCTACCAGAAGATTCCCACGCAGGCGTTTTTTGCCCTCGACTGTGAGATGGTGAGTCAGGGGTCTGGGGACGGTGTAAAACTGGTCCGTTCTGGAGGAAGTGATGCCGGCCGAGGGCTCGATGCCATTTACACTACCGGGCTAGTGTCCTGAGGAGGGGGTCTCCTCAGCCCAGTTGAGGGTTCTCTGAGTCCCTCGCCCTCGGCTGCTGTGGCCCCCTGGTGTCCCCACAGGGGAGGGGCTTGGGAAGCCAGCTGCATCTGGTCTCATGCCTGCAGTCCTACACTACATATGGCCTGGAGCTGACCCGAGTCACAGTCGTGGACACAGACATGCAGGTCGTGTACGACACCTTTGTCAAGCCTGACAATGAAGTTGTCGACTACAACACCAGGTGTGTCCCAGCCTACTGCAGGACCCCAGCCTCGCTCCTGTCCTGCCCGGTCCAACGCCCCTCTCCAATCTGGCCCTCTCTCTGCAGGTTCTCGGGGGTGACGGAGGCCGACCTCGTGGACACGAGTATCACACTGCGGGACGTGCAGGCCGTCCTACTGAGCATGTTCAGTGCTGACACCATCCTCATCGGACACAGCCTGGAGAGTGATCTACTGGCCCTCAAGGTAGCTATGCCTGCCGAGGTTACGGGTGGGGACTCTGCCCACCCGACCCTGTCCACACCCACCTGCCTTCCTGCAGGTTATCCATAGCACGGTGGTAGACACGTCAGTGCTGTTCCCACACCGCCTAGGCCTGCCCTACAAGCGCTCCCTGCGGAACCTCATGGCCGACTACCTCAGACAGATCATCCAAGACAATGGTGAGGCGCCAGGGTGCAGGGTGAGGGCTGGGGGGACACAGGGAGGCAGGGCTGTGTTGACCACGTCTGCTCTACAGTGGACGGGCACAGCTCCAGTGAGGACGCCAGCGCCTGCATGCACCTTGTCATCTGGAAGATCCGGGAAGACGCCAAGACCAAGCGATGACTCCCCACCCACCACCACTACCATAGCAACCCCTTCCTACAGCCCTGGCTGCCCTTAGCCCTGATGCCCTCGGCCTCTTTTCAAACTGTAATAAAACATGACAGCTGACCATGCGCCTCCCGGGCTTGGGCTACAGATCTGGTGGCCTGAGCTGGGGCTGAGACCACCCCCTGGAGCCCGCTGCTGCCCGGGTAGAGCTGGCCTGCTCCCTGTGCCCACAGCCCGCCCTACCTTCCGCTCCTTTGTACATAATGCAGGCAACAGGACAAGCCCTCATGGTTTGAGACGGGTTGTCTTTTTTTACTTTATACTGTTATTTGTATTAATTTTTAATTTAAACCTGCTGACCTGCACAGCCCCTCTGCAGAGGGGTCCATTCCCTGGTGCCATTGGGATCGAAGGGCCTGGATGTCTGCCCTGCCTTGTGGGGTGGCTTCCAGAACTCATCCCAACCACCAGGACTCACCAACCTCAGAGCCAAGCCAGCCCCAAGGTCTGGCCTTCCAGGCCTCTGGGCCATCTTCCTGGGGTCTGCTGCCTCTGTCTGTGGGTAGAAACAGAATAAATGTTTATATGGACTTTAGATTTCATAGTGTGTGGTGCTTTGGGAACCAGGTAGGACCCTGACACACCTCCTTGTGGCCCCTGCACCTGTGGGCCACGCTGCTCTGGAAACCTTTGTGAGACAGCCAAAGCTTGGGTACGCTGTGCTTGCCTGCCCTCTCTGAGGTCACTGTGTGTCCCCAGTGCAGGCTGATGGGGTGACTGCAGTGCCTTGTGACCTGTTGTGACCCCAGCGCTTAGACAAGGTCCAGGTGGAGACCAAGGACCTCTGCCACTTGGTGTCTTGAGCCAGGGCCTGGCATCAAGGCCACTCTGTCCCCATCCCAGGAAACAAATCTTGCAGTCCTCATGTCCCATGTGACCTCAGCTTGACCCGTCTCCTCTTGGCAGTTATCTGCAGGGCGGAGGAGGCCTGGAGCCATCGGGCCCTGGCTTGGCTATCTGGAATTAGAGCCTTGGCTGCTGACCTAGCTGTGAGGGTCAGGCCTCTGTAGGAGCCTAGTCCAAATGCTCAGTGAAGCCTCCTGTGGCTGTGAAGGCCACACCGCCTCAGGTGGTGGTGGGGAGGCAGGGATCTCCGTGGTAGGCAGGGAGTTGCAGGGCTCACGGGAGGTTCCTTGGTGAAGCTGGACCACCTACCCTCGGGTTCTCCTGAGCAGTCTGTCCCTTCTACCTTCTGTAAACACGTTTTTTTTTCTTTTTTGTTTTTTTTTTTAATAAACGGTGCCAATGTATTAAAAAAAAGTCCAAGTGTCTGTCTTGGTGTGCCTGCCTGTGCCCTGCCAGGACATGTCAGGGTCCCCTGGAGGTTCACTCAGGACGGGAGGCCAACCCACAAGGACTTTTCTGTTAGCTAACCCAGGCTCTGCATTGAAAACCTCAGGGCCTTTGTGCTCGGAGGATCCCCTGTCCCTACCGCCACTGTGACTGCCCCAACCCTGTATTAGAGGCTCTCCCAGATAAAAGCCATCCAAAAGGGCATGAGAAATATCTGATGGGTTAGATTAGCGGCTCTCGCCCTGTGGATCTTGAGGCCCGCCTGAACTCAGACGCTGCCCTGCAGACTGCAGCTCAGACCACTGACCTGTCACTTCCTGACGCCCCAGGGATGCCCTGCTCTGGTAACCCCCTTCCATCTGCAGCCTGCGCCCTGGATCATGATTTCACCCTTTCACAATTTTTCTAGGTCCGGTCTCACCCCCGGTAGCTCCAGACTCCTGCCTGCCCTCTCAGCGAGGGTTCTCTGTCTCTCCAGAGTGCCCAAACCCATCTCTACCTGGCCCTTGATGTCTGCCTCCGCCCATGAGGCATAGCTCCACCCATGAAACGTGACGCCACCCACGGGGCGGGGCTTTATCCGCCAGGCGTAGAGCTGCCCAGGAAGCTGCCCTGGCCTCTATTCATGATGCCAGGCATAGTCCATTCTCGCACCAACCGTAGCATGCACCTCCCCACCCCGGCACAAGATTGGTCACGCCCACAATGCCTGGATCCACCCGCCTGGCTCATAAGACAGGGCCCCGCCCGCAAGACCTGGCCACACCACAATGATCTGGTCCCACCCACAACACCGGGCTCTGCCCTTACTCCCATAACACTCAGCTAAACCCCGCACCAGCTGCCTGGTCCCGCTCCTCCCCTGTGCCTCAGAGCTTAAGGCCCCGGTAGGCCCCGCCCTCTAAGCGATGCCCCGCCCCCCAAGCCCGCGCCGCCCGTTTCAGGCCCGTTGGCACCAGGCTAACAGCTCCTCAACATCGGCGGCCCTGGACGCCGCTGGCGGCCCGCCCTAGGCAGCCCGGCCCCACCAAGCCCGGCCCTCCCAGGTGAGCACCGATGCTCACGGGCTGTGCATGCTAGGGCTTCTGTGTGACCTCTCTGGGCTCTGCGGTCACAGGGCTAGAGGGTCAGCATTGAAGGACAGGAGATGGCGCCCCCTAGAGGTTCATAAAATCAGACACCGAGTTTAGGGTTACAGAGGGACGGTCAGGTCCCTCTAGACAAGAGTTCACTGAGGCTACGCATTGTGGCCACTGGGGACACTGCCAAGACGGTGTCTGGTGAGTGGCTGTGCTCCTGCCTGAGGCACACTTGGGAGAGGGAGTCTCTTGACTAGAGCTGCGGTTCTCAACCTATGGGTTGAGACTCCTCAGGGTCACCTAAGACCATCGGAAAACACAGACATTAACATTATAATTCGTAATAAAAGCAAAAAGAAAAGTTATGAAGTAGCAACAAAATAATGGAACCAGGCCTGGTGATGGCGCACGTCTTTAACCCCAGCACTCTGAGGCAGAGACAGGCGGATCTCCGAGTTCCAGGACAGCCTGGGCTACACAGAGAAACCTTGTCTTGAAACAACAACAATTTTATGGTTGGGGGTCACCTCGTGAGGAAGTATATTAAAAGGCTGCAGCATCAGGAAAACTGAGATCCACTGGACTAGCGGGGCCCCTTAGGCTCCTCTCTCCATCCCTGCCACACCTCCCGAGCCTGTTTTCCTCTGACGATCATGGGAAGGCGGGTTCAGTCTCCCAGGACAGCTGGTGCTGGGCCCGGAGGATGCCCTGCCCCATGATGCCCAGGGGACACACATGACTCAGACACGAACAGTCCCTGTCCCTGGGGTAGACACGGGGATCAGCAGACACTAAGACAGTGAAAGCTCTCTCTAGAAGAGAGGTTACCAGAGACAGAATGGGGGACATCCCAGCTACACAGGAAGCCCCTAGGAGGCGCAGGATCCAGACAGGCCGGTCTGGGAAGTACAGAATGAACCCTGAAGGGTGAGGAACCCCACCTATGGGGGGGAGGATGCCGTAGACTCTGGGGGGGCATCTAGGCAAGCTGGGAGATTGCTGGAGTGCTGGGGGTGAGGGGGAGCTGTTGGTTACCAAGGTACAATTTGTGTAGACTTACAGTGGGGATCAGGGTCCCCAGCTACAACACCAGGCGCATGCGCCCAGAACATCCAGGTGAGGTAGCTCACCTCTGTCGGGCTAGCTACTCCAGGAGGTTGACCACCCTGTTCAAGACCAGCCTGTTCTACACAGTGAGAGACCCTGCCTCAAAAAATAAACCATCAGAAAGGCCACCACATTTAGCAGCCCTAAGGCCAGACCACAGACACCCACCTGCCTCCATGCCCTGACTGCTGGGATTAAAGGCGTGGCCCCCACACCAGGTCAGGTCTGTTTTTAAATGGCTCTGCATGCACAGTCGTGAGATGATGTCACACATAGAGCCCTGAGCCCTGTGGGGTCAGCCAGCCAGCATGGAACCGGAGGGCACAGAGGAGACTGTAGGGGCAGTCGGGACTTCCTTGCTACAGCTGGAGGCCACAGTATCTTAGTGGGATGTCCCTCATCCCGGGTGACCAGAGAGAGAGAATCTCCACTAAGCTACACCCCAGCCTTCGTTTTTATTCCAAGACAAAGCAACCTGGGCCAAGCTGGGTTGCAATCTGTCTGCTCCAGCTTCCCAGGCATGGGATTGCTGGCCTAGGCAGACACCCACCCCCCGGGAGGACGGTAGGAAAGGAGGATTGTGATTTAGGGCTCTTTCCCCACAGTCCCACCAGCATGGATGCTGTTCACCTCGGGGAAGACCTAGAGGATAAAGACACAGGTGTGGTCCCATGTCACCAGTAAGGCAGGGTGGAGAGGGGAACTCGGGGTGACGGGCTGCCAGGGCTGGGGCTCTGTCCTCAGGTGACATGGACTTCCTGGGGCCCTGCACCTACGACCTGCCTCCAAGCGCAGAGACTGTTGGGTCCCCAGAGGCCCCCCTGTCTTGTCCTGCTGTTTACCAAGTTCCTGGCCTGAGATGGGCATCGCCGTGCCTGGGGCCCCCGGGGGCCTATTAGCCCTCGGCTCCAGGGCAGCTTGCTGGAGGTTGCCCCTGGCAGAGCCCCAGCAGCGTGGGCCACACTGCTCTCCCCGCAGCGTTCACCTGGGTGGTGAAGGCCAACAACCGCGCCTACCACAAGCAGTTCAGGGAGAAGGGTTTCCTGTGCTGGAGACAGAGGAAGTACAAGGTAAGCCTCGGCTTCCCCGGTGCTCAGGGTTAGGAGTGGGACCAAAGGCCTTCTGGATGCTGGGGGCGAGGGGGGACAGTGGTTCCATCCCTGGAGCCACGCCCAATCACCTCATTGGGAGGCGGGGCTCCACCCTGACCACGCCCCCGCCCCTCACTGGGGAATTCTAGGTGGGTCTTCACAACTGAGCATGCATTTTACCTTTTACTTAATACAGAGTGACCTTCATTTCTCTCTGTCAGCCAGGCGGGATCCTTCTGCCTCAGCCTCCTGGGTGCTGGAATGACAGGCCTGTGTTACCAGGCATTTCTGCCATCCTTATTTTTTTTGTTTTGTTTTTGTTTTTGTTTTTCGAGACAGGGTTTCTCTGTGGCTTTGGAGGCTGTTCTGGAACTAGCTCTTGTAGACCAGGCTGGCCTCGAACTCACAGAGATCCGCCTGCCTCTGCCTCCCGAGTGCTGGGATTAAAGGCGTGCGCCACCAACGCCCGGCCGTGCCATCCTTATTTTAATCATGACAGTGATGTCCATTCTCTCCAAGTCCCTAATTTCACCTCCTTCCCTATGAGCTAATCCAGCGTATACGTCAGTTCAGGACTCCCACCAGGCATGCCCACAATCCCTTGCTGTGTCTCACTCAGCTCTATGACTTTGCACTAAGTAGAACATCAGTTAATGCCCGCTGGAAGCCTTGCATTCAGCCGACACTCCATCGAGACCTTGCCCTCAGCAGGTGCTCAGGAAATGCTGGCTGGAATCCTTATGGTTTTCTAAGCCTCAGTGCTGGCCCTGAAGGCATTCAGTACTGGCTTGGTGCTTGCGTTTTTGATGGGTGTCTGCAGGGTGGGGTGGGTGAACAGCTTGGTATCGTGGGCAGGGCTGACCGGGGGCTCCTGTACCGGACGCCGACAGCTGATGGAGATGGCTCTTGTCCCAGGGCAACGCCATCCACACAGCCAAGTACAACTTTTTCTCCTTCCTGCCCCTGAACCTGTTTGAGCAGTTCCATCGTACATCTAATCAATACTTCCTTCTCATCATCATCCTGCAGGTGGGTGAGGAGGGGTGGGGCGAGTGGGTGGGCGGGGCGCGGGTGGGGTGAGGGGGGCCTCAGGGTAACTGGAGCCACCTCGAAGTGGGGGCATTTCTCTGAAGACTCTTGCGCTCTTGTCTGTGTGACTGTGTGACTGGTGGCCTTAAAGTCCCTCTTGTCCCCCCTCCTGCATGCTAGCTGCCCAGGCCCCGGCCTGCAGGAGGGGCATCATAATGAAAGCCAAAGGTGTGTGCGTGAGACAGGCTTTGTATTCAGCAAGCACTACTCTGGGGCCTTATATTCAGCAGGCACTCAGTAAATGCTGGCACTCAGCAGGTGCTGGGGAGGAAATACATTCAACAGTAATTCAGCAAATGCTGCCCAGCAGGCGCTCAGCAAATGCTGGATGAAGACCTTCCATTCAGCAGAATGAGGAAGGCACAGCCCTCTTAGCAATGTGGGGCTTCACAGGCCTCCACGGCGCCCGCCTGGTGGCTGTGGGAGCTCCTGTCACCTGGTTGACGCCTGGTCTTGGGGGTGTGCCCTAGGCAGAGGCGCCTCCCCTGGCTGAGCACCTCATTTCTGCTCTGCTTTTACCTATCAAATTACAAAACATGTATTGAGCACCTGCTGTGTGCAGGGAAGTCAGCCAGGCCCCACCCACCATGGCCTCTTGTCTGCAGGGGCCTTGAGAGGTGGCAGGCCTGGAAGGCCAGGGCGCTGGTCTGCGGCCGCTCCTTGGAGCTGACAGGACAGGGCTCCATCTGAAGGAGCAACTTGGTTTCCTAGGAGGGGACAGGGCAGGAAGGGAAGGTTAGGGTGGTGTGAGGAGGCCATGTGACCTCCTGGTACCGCAGAGCATCCCTGAGATCTCCACCATACCCTGGTTCACCCTGTTTGCACCTCTGGTCTGCCTGCTTGTGATCCGAGCCACCCGTGACCTGGTGGATGACATTGTGAGTGAGGGCAGGAGGGTGGTGGCCGGGGTGGGGCCACACACAGGGAGCAGAGGGTGAGCTCCAGCGCGGGGGGGAGGGAGGGAGGGGTGAGGGGGGTGAGGGGGTTGTCACTGTGGGTAGTTACCCTCCGGGTCCCTCTGGGGATCCACTCTGGGGACAGGCAATGACAGGCAGTTGGGGGGGGGCCCTGGGCAGGGTGGGGACAGGGGCAGAGCCACCTCTCTGACCCCCACTCTGTCAGCTCAGGGTCGACACAGGAGCGATAAGATCGTCAACAACAGGCCATGCCAGATCCTGCGGGGGAAGAGGTGAGCAATGGGGACATCTGGGGACAAGGAGACACTAGCATGTGGGGGAGGTCACTGGGAGACCGGTACCTGCCCACACTGTCCCGGTTTGATTTCTGTTGTTGTAATAAAGCGACTTGGGAGGAGCGGGCTCGGCTGAGCTGACAGCTGCCGTGCATCCGTCGGGAGTGAAGGCCAGCAGGGGCCCAAGGCCGGGGACCCTGCTCACAGGCTTGCCGGGCCTGCTGTCTTATAGGGCCCCGGACCACCAGCCCAGGACTGGCCACTCCCACAGGGGGCGGGGCCTCCCATGTCAATCATCCATCTAGAAAATGCCATAAAGACATGCCCATGAGCCGGGGAGTGGCGGCGCACACCTTTAATCACTCAGGAGGTAGAGACAGGTCAATCTCTGTGAGTTCAAGGACTGCCTGGTCTACAGAGCGAGTCCAGGACAGGCTCCACATGTACAAAGAAACCTTGTCTCAAAAAACCTAAAGAAAAAAAGAAAAAAGAGCCATGCCTATAGGCCAATATATTGGGCTTGTTTTCTCGGCTGAGAACCCTTCCTCCCAAATGACATTGGCATCAAGTTGGCAAAGTCTGTAACAAGGACACACACTAAGCTTATCCCAGTTGAGGCTAAGCTGAACTTATTAGGAATTTATTAGGAAGCTGCTGTCTGGCATGCTGGGTTGGCTTTGGCTCTGTGGGTTATAGAGTTCAGACACAGGGGAGCCCCTTGAGGAAAGGACATGGACGGGGCCAGGAGAGCCTGCATGGAGACATGGGCACCACGTGGGGAACGGAAGCGGCTTGGGGAAGGCTTCCTGGAGGTAGTGGCAGCCGAGCTGAGCCTTGCAGGATGGTGGCTCAGTGGGGACAAGGGCCCTAAAGGTGGCAGCTGTAGTTCTGGTGCAGCCTGGGCACTGGGGGAGTAAGCCCTGCCCTGGTACCCTACCCTCCTTGTAGTTTCCTGTGGAGGAAATGGAAGAACCTGTGTGTGGGAGACGTGGTGTGCCTCAGCAAAGACAGCATCGTCCCGGTGAGCCCCCCCCCAAGTGCCCCCAGTGGAGGGCCCACCGGCAGTGCTGACCCCTCTCCCCACCGCAGGCCGACATGCTCCTGCTGGCCAGCACAGAACCAAGTAGCCTGTGCTACGTGGAAACTGCAGACATTGATGGGTAAGAAGCAAGGCTTTCCTGGGGGCTTGGGTGACAAGACCCCTGCTTCCCCTGTGGCTAAAGAGACGGCCAGACAGTCCAGTGAAACCTTCAGGGTACTAGAGTGTCTGTACCCAAGCCAGACAGCCTAGGCCCAGCCGTGACCCGTGGGCAGGGATGCTGTGTGGCCTCAGGCAAGGCCCTCTCCCTCTCTGAGCTTCATCCTTCTGTTGATACAGTACGTGGCCAGCAAAAGTGGCAGGGGACTAGAGGAAGTACAGGGTCTTACCGAAGGGTGTCATCCACGGCCACGTTTTCGTTTTTGTTTTTGTTTGTTTTTCATGACACTGCACCCTGCTCTTGTCCCTAGGGAGACCAACTTGAAGTTCAGACAGGCTCTGGTGGTCACACACCATGAGCTTACCAGCCCGAAGAAGATGGCTTCCTTCCAGGGTGAGGAGACAGAGGCAGCCCTTTGCAGGGTCAGGATGGATGGTGGGTGGGGCTCTGTACATCTGGGGGCCAGTCCTGTGCTCTTGCCAGCCTGTGGCGCCTGAGGGTCTCCTTCCACCCATGGAAAGGGACCCCCGCCCCACACCCTACGCACCTGCAGTTTCTACCACAGGAAATGCTTCCAAGCTAGCGTAGTTGTTGTATGCTGTGGTCTGGCAAGCAGGCACTTGTGTTTTTAAGATTGTATTGCAAAAGCCAATTAAGGGTTTTTTTTTCTGTCTAGGTGCAAAGGCAATTTACTCTCAGTGGCATAGACACATATATTATCTCAAACCACAGCATACCCTACTTAGTTTCTCTGGTCTTCCTTAGAACTTACTGCTTGTGGCACTCACTCAGGAGGCTGAGGCAGGAGGATCCTGGGCTTGAGGGCTGGTGAGATGGCTCAGTGGTAAGAGCACTTGATGCTCTTGCAGAGGACATGAGTTTGGTTCTCATTGGCCCCAAAGGACCCAGTGCCTCTGGTCTCCACAGACCCCTGCACAGATGTGCACACATCTGTACACAGATGTGTAATGAAAAATTTAAGGCCAGAGCACTCAGGAGGCAGAGGCAGGCGGATCTCTGTGAGTTCGAGGCCAGCCTGGTCTACAGAGCGAGTTCCAGGACAGCCTCCAAAGCGAAACAGAGAAACCCTGTCTCGAAAACCAAAAAAAAAAAAAAAAAAAAAAAAAAAAAAAATTTAAGGCCAGGCACATCTTTAATCCCAGCACTGGGGAGGCAGAGGCAGGCGGATCTCTGTGAGTTCGAGGCCAGCCTGGTCCACAAGGCAAGCTCCAGGACAGGCTCCAAAACAACAGAGAAACCCTGTCTCAAAAAACAAGAATCAAACTGGGCGTTGGTGGTGCATGCCTTTAATCCCAGCACTCGGGAGGCAGAGGCAGGCAGATCTCTGTGAGTTCCAGGCCAGCCTGGTCTACAGAGTGAGTTCCAGGACAGCCTCCAAAAACAATACAGAGAAACCCTGTCTCTTAAAAAAAAACACAAAAAAACAAACAAAACAAAAAGATATGTTCTATAAATTGACTAAGAACAAACAGTTACAGTAAGGATTGGGAGAGGGATTCAGTGTGGTCTCTGGGCACTCGGTGCCCAGCGTCCTGGGCGGAGAGCAGGGAGCGCACTCCCTCCCCTGGAGGAGCAGCCCTGTGTGGGTCACATACATCCCAGGCACTGACCTGTGAGTAGGAAGATCTCCGCGGCTGCTGCACCCCTCCCCTCTGTCATGCAACGGCCCCAGGGCCTGCAGGGTCTGGCACCTGGTACACAGTACACGCTCATTTAGTGTGTCGAATGAGAAGGAGAAAGTTCCAGAGTGGACCGTGTGTGGGGGTGGCAAAGGCGCCCCCCAGTGCACGCCTCCCTGGTCTTTGGTCCCCTCCTCTGAAGGACGGTGCTGTCTCCTGCTGGAATGCTGGGTGGTCAACAAGAATTTTAATTATTTTTTTCAGACAGGGTTTCTTCTGTAGCCCTGTCTGTCCTTAGGCTCACTCTGTAGACCAGGCTGACCTCGAACTCACAGAGACCCGTCTGACTCTGTCTCCCAAGTGCTGGGATCAAAGGCATGGGGCGCTACCTTTCTAGAACATATCTCTCTGGGTTTCATGAAGTTTCAGTGTAGGTCTGTCTTGTCCTCAAGGAGATCTGTGTGAGCATTGCTGAGCACACAGGGTTGAGTTATTCATCAGTAGAATAAGTTTTCACCAAATTGTGACATGTTTAAATATGCATGAAATAAACCACTTGGGGTTAGACTCCAGAAGTTTGAACCAACACTGGCTACTGAGTTGCCTTAAGTAGAACTGCCTCCTTGCGCCCTGCGGGTCCCTGCAGAGATGTCTGAGGAGGGGTGGCTCACAGACACTGATGTCATTAAAAGCATGGACATTGCAGCGACATCCATCCAAGATGCATCCACAAGGGGAGGAGTTGGAGAGGGAGGGAGGCCTATTGGGCTGCAGAAACAGTGTATGCAAAAGTCCTGAGGCCATGACATGGACTTTGGAGCATTTCAGAGGAAGCTGAGAGATGGTGCTGGGGTGCTAGGAGGACTTGTGGACCAGAAGGGAGTGATAGGAACGTGGCAGGACCAGGACCACTGCTGAGGCCACATGGCTGCTGCTCACTGGGTCCACAGGTACAGTGACTTGTGAGGAACCCAACAGCCGGATGCATCACTTTGTGGGGACCCTGGAGTGGAACAGCAGGAAGTACCCACTGGACATCGGGAATCTCCTCCTGCGTGGCTGCAAGATTCGCAACACAGACACCTGCTATGGCCTGGTCATCTATGCTGGTACAGTGCCATAGACATCTGCATTGGGGAATTGAAGTTGGTGAGGTACCCGAAGCCTGCATGATGTGGGCCCTAGATACTGTCAGATATGCTAGTGGTCAGCGCTCTGGTTGTCGCTTAGAAAATGAAGTGTTGTGTAGAGTGAAGGAAGGATGGGCAGGTGGTGGAGTGAATGGTAGATGGATGGGTGGATGAGTGGATGGATGGATGGATGAGTGGATGAATGGGTGGATGGATGGATGGATGGATGGGTGGGTGGGTGGGTGGATGGATGGATGGATGGGTGGATGGGTGGGTGGGTGGATGGGTGGATGGATGGATGGATGGGTGGGTGGATGAGTGGATGGATGGGTGGGTGGATGGATGGGTGGGTGGATAGGTGGATGGATGGATGGGTGGGTGGATGGGTGGATGGGTGGATGGATGGGTGGATGGGTGGATGGATGGATGGATGGATGGATGGGTGGATGGGTGGATGGATGGATGGATGGGTAAGTGGATGGGTGGGTGGGTGGATGGGTGGGTGGGTGGATGGGTGGGTGGGTGGATGGGTGGATGGATGGGTGGATGGGTGGATGGGTGGATAGGTGGATGGGTGGATGGGTGGGTGGATGGATGGATGGGTGGATGGATGGATGGATGGATGGATGGGTGGATGGGTGGATGGGTGGATGGATGGGTGGATGGGTGGATGGGTGGATGGATGGGTGGGTGGGTGGGTAAGTGGATGGGTGGGTGGGTGGATGGATGGATGGGTGGGTGGATGGATGTATGGATGGATGGATGGATGGGTGGATGGGTGGATGGATGGATGGATGGGTAAGTGGATGGATGGATGGGTAAGTGGATGGGTGGGTGGGTGGATGGATGGATGGGTGGGTGGATGGATGTATGGATGGATGGATGGATGGGTGGATGGGTGGATGGATGGATGGATGGGTAAGTGGATGGGTGGGTGGGTGGGTGGATGGGTGGGTGGGTGGATGGGTGGATGGATGGGTGGATGGGTGGATGGGTGGATAGGTGGATGGGTGGATGGGTGGGTGGATGGATGGATGGGTGGGTGGATGGATGGATGGATGGATGGGTGGATGGGTGGATGGATGGATGGATGGGTGGGTGGATGGATGGATGGATGGATGGGTGGATGGGTGGATGGATGGGTGGATGGGTGGATGGGTGGATGGATGGATGGATGGGTGGGTGTGTGGATGGGTGGGTGGGTGGACACTTGAATGGTGTGCAGGGATGGAAATAAATCTCACAGGGTTAGACACAAAGATCATGAAGAACTGTGGTAAGATCCATCTGAAGAGGACCAAGCTGGACCTGCTGATGAACAGGCTGGTGATCCTGGTAAGGTGTCCAGGAGAGCTATGGGGTTCTGAGGAACAAGATGATGGCTTCACTCTCTCTGGATAGCCTGTTGCTTCCTCATCCTCCCTCCTCTTCCTCCTGGTTGTTTTTAGTGCTATACAGCCCTTGCTAATTTTGAATGTCCATCCCCTGGCTGTATTGAGGTGACAGACCTACCCTGGGCTCCTTTTGTGTTATGTTTTATTTTATGTTGTGTTTTATGTTTTATGGCCGCCTGTTGCAGAAGGATCAGGACTCCAAGGCCACCTTGCATTAGACAAAGAGTCCAAAAGCTGGGCTAGAACCCTCAGAGATCCCTCTTGCCCTCTTGCTGTCCCTTAACCCGGGCACCTGGTGTCTGCTGGGTCCCACATCCATCTCCACCCACCTCACAGATCTTCATGTCCCTGGTGGTCGCGTCCCTGGTGCTAACACTGGGCTTCGCCCTCATGGTGAAAGATTTCCAAGGCAAACACCACTACCTGTTTGCACTGCACACGTGGACAGCAGCCATGGAGTCTTTCTTAATTTTCTGGGGCTTCCTCATCTTGCTCAGCGTCATGGTACCCATGGCCATGTTCATCATGTAAGCTTCAGGACAACCCTGGGGACCCCTTCCCCACAGGGTGTGGCACTGGAGCAAACTGACCTGGGCACGAACTTGGCCATTTGCAGTGCAGAGTTCATCTACCTAGGCAACAGCTTTTTCATCAACTGGGACATCAACATGTACTATGAGCCTCTGGACATGCCGGCCAAGGCCCGCAGCACCAGCCTCAATGACCAGCTGGGTCAGGTGCAGTACATCTTCTCAGACAAGACAGGGACGCTGACACAGAACATCATGACCTTCAAGAAGTGCTGCATTAATGGCTGCATCTATGGTGATGCCCGACCCCACCCCGCATCTATGGTGATGCCCGATCCCACCGCCCACAGCTTCCTGGTGAGGTTGCCCTGGGGGACCAGCTAGTGAACACCTGAACTCAGAACCAGACCATGGGCTATGTGGTCCCAGGCTTGATAATATCAGGTGTCCCCTGGAAGCCTGAATTTGGGGGAGGAACCAGGAGGTCTCTAAGTGTGGCCTCCTGGGGGAAGCCACATCCTGATTCGGGCTCTCTTCCCAGATTCGGATGATGAACATGGTATCCTCCGAAAGGTGAGCCTGTGGACCCTGCCTGATGGAGCAGCATGGGTGGGCCTGGATGGGACTAGTGGCAGTGACCTGACCCTGCCTGCACACTGCCATCTCCCAGCGGAACCCATATGCCTGGAACCAGTTCGCGGACGGCAAACTCCTGTTCTACAACAAGGAGCTGGAGTACCTCGTGCGAGGCCAGCAGGATGCCATGGTGCAGGAGTTCTGGCGTCTTTTAGCCATCTGCCACACCGTGATGGTACAGGAGAAAGACCGTGAGTGGCCAGGCATGGGCCACCAACTCAGCCTGGAGACTGAAGTCACCAGGGCCTGGAGACTGTTCAGCCCTTTCCCAAGCCCGGTCCCCAGGGACTGTATCTTCCTCTGCCTTAGAGCCGGCAGTTAGAATCTGCTGTGTGATCCCTGCCCAAAGGGCCAGCCTATGGCAAGGGGCTGCTGGGAGATGGCTGACCACCCCTTCTCGTCCATGCGCCTCACCCTCCTCACCCCACCCCCACCCTTCCTCACCCCCACACCCTACCCCCTCTCACCCCCTCTAACCCCCACCCTCCTTGCCCCACCCCACCCCTCCTCACCCCCACCCCTTTCTCTCTCTGTCAGACCAGCTGCTGTATCAGGCTGCCTCCCCTGATGAGGAGGCACTGGTCACTGCTGCCCGGAACTTTGGCTACGTGTTTTTGTCTCGGACCCAGGACACCATCACCCTGGTGGAGCTGGGGGAGGAACGGGTCTACCAGGTTCTGGCCATGATGGATTTCAACAGTGTTCGAAAACGGATGTCAGTGTTGGGTAAGGCCCAGGCCCCCCTCCGCCCCTGTGCCTTGCAGCAGTGGGCAAGCAGACATCCGGGCCTCCTCCCCCCCACAGTCCGCAACCCAGAGGGCTCCATCTGCCTGTACACTAAGGGTGCCGACACAGTCATCCTGGAGCGCCTCCAAAAGAAGGGGGCCGTGGAGGAGACCACAGAGGAAGTCTTGGCTGTGAGTGTCCTGCCCGTGTGCCTGAGTGCAGGGACAGAGGCAGTCATGTACATTTGGGCAAGTCGCTCATGGCACAAAATATTCACCCCTGTTTCACTCCCCACCCAAACGCAGAAGGGGAGAGGCACCCAATCTGCAGCATTTTTCTAATTCACACAGAGATACCCCAAGGGTCTATTGGGTTCCAACCTTGGATTCCTCCCTCACCCGGCCCCTTCCCAGCTACAGCTGTGCTCTGGGACCCTCTTAGATGCGCTCCCGTGGCTGAAGCCCGGTTTCCGTGGCTCAGTGTTGGGGATATGTCCTGTCCTGCTGGCCGGCACCCCTGGGCCTCGTCATCCCCCCCCACTTGCCCCATTCTCTGAGGCAGGCGACAGGTGGACCTCTGCACACCCCCTTCAGTGATGACTCTGTTATTCATTTCTTCCAATCCTCAAGACACAGCCCCAAGCCCCACCTCTGGGGACCTTCCATAACTAGAGCTGTCTTTGCCCTCCGTCCACCACTGTCTGGAATGTCCCTAGTTCTGCAGTGCTGAGAGTGTCTGGGTGTCCCAGGACTTTGCTGAGGGTTCTCAGGTGCCCTCTGCTGTGGGGAGGGGATCCAGGTCCTTCAGAAGAAGAGTACAGGGGCCCAATCAGTTGGACCAACTTTCCATGAAGTGTTTGGGTAAACTGAGGTCTGGCGAGGAATACAAGCCTGTCTGAGGTGCCTTCCACGATGGTAGGCACCTAGTGTGACAGTCAAGCCTGACCACCCACCCACCACACCCCGTCAACTGTAGCTGTGGTCCAAGCTTCTGGGGCCATTAGGGGATAGAGGGACATGAGAAGCCAGTGGGCCCCTTTTCCCTGGACCCCGGGCTTCAGGGGGGAATATGCTTCAGATCTACCCAAGGGCCTGAGACGGAGAGCCTTGAAGGACACTGGGTGTCAAAAGTGCCCCCTCCCCATGGCGGGGTTAGGAGGACCCCTGGGATGGGAAGCCTGGGTTGGATGGATCACAAGGGGGGAGGGCGCGTAGGACCTTAGAATTCACTGAGCAGCAGGGGCAGAGACACGCCTGTCATCTCTGGAGATCTGAGGCAGGGGTGTGAGGAACCCAGGCTAGCCTGGGCTATCAAGTCTCAAGAAAGAATTGACCGAAGCGTGCCCGGGGAGGGTGTTAACAGGGAGGGCGCTGCCTTGCGAAGGTTCAGAGACACGGGGGCGCTGGTGACTGGGGACAGGAAGGACCCTGAGGACTGGGTCGAGTGTTCATAGTTGGGGCTACCGCAGTCCTTCGCAGAGCAGACCCTGCGCACCCTGTGCCTGGCCTACAAGGAGGTGGAGGAGGAGGAGTACAAACAGTGGGAACCCAAGCACCTGGAGGCCACCCTCCTGCTGCAGAACCGCGCGCAGGCCCTGCACCAGGTGTACAACAAAATGGAACAGAACCTGCAGGTGTGTGGACAGGGAGGGGCGGGGCGGGCCGCCTGGGCTCCTTGGATATAGGGCTTGGTGCCTGAACCCGCACTCACCTCCCCAGCTGCTGGGAGCCACGGCCATTGAAGACAAACTGCAGGATGGTGTTCCTGAGACCATCAAGTGCCTCAAGAAGGGGAACATTAAAATGTGGGTGCTGACCGGGGACAAGCCAGGTGGGTCCCCGGCTCTGCCGCCCCAGAATGCATGCTGCACCTGGGGCACTGTCCCGCCAGCTGCGGGGTCCTCAGCTTGTCCCCAGGACTGGGACACGTGCCTCATGCAGCCCCCTGCGCTCCGGGAGAGTTTCGTCGTGACTGTCACACAGCCGGGTGGGGACCCTTCACACCCTTGGAGACACACCTGCCCTGTGGTGACCTCCTGTTGACCTCCAGGTCAGCGTTGAGGGGCTCCCTCACACCCATGTACAGACACGCCCACTCTGATCATTTTTGAGGTTTTAATTTTTTGGGTTATTTTTGTTTGATTTGCAATTTGTTTTCTTTTTGACTTTTTGCTTCTGACTTTCAAATAAATTTGACATTTTCGTGTTTGCTCAAAGTGTGGTGGGCCTCAGGACCCCAGCCTCCATTCCACATCCCGGGTACGTCGCCTTCTCCATTCCTTTCAGACGCCCCAGGCCCAGGGGCCAAGTCCTAGGGCTACCTCTGATTGGCTAGCCCTGTTATGACACGCAGCCGCTCCGGACTAATCACTGCGGCCAGCCAGGGATGGGAGAAGGCCGCAGGGGAGTGGGGGGCGTGGGGGGCGGGGTCTCCAGGTGCTGGGGCGTGACCTCCGGCTCTGTATCTGAGCCGAAGTGCTGCACCTGGCTGGGTTTGCAGAGACTGCAGTGAACATCGGCTTCGCGTGCAAGCTGCTGTCGCAGAACATGCTCATTCTGGAAGATAAGGACATCAAGTAAGCAGGTCGCCCTCCCTGGCACCCTGACAGCATCCTATGCGTAGGACGATGGCGCCACCTTCCCATCCATCCCATGTTCCCATAGTCGTTTGCTGGAGAACTACTGTAGGAACGAAAGCGAACAGCAGAGGGCATTCAAGGTGATGACCCACCAAAACATGGCCTTGATTATCAATGGAGAGTTCTTGGTGAGAGCCGCTGGGGGCGAGGAGCAGCCAAGTTGGTGGAACCTGGGGTGGGAGACGGCATGCCAAGCACGGGGATGCAGGCCTAGTGACCCAAGCCTCCTCTTCTCCGTCCCATCTCCCTCACCCGCCACCCAGGATCAGCTGCTTCTGTCCTTGCGCAAGGAGCCCCGAGCTCTGGTCCAGAATGCAGTGGTGGATGAGGTCCCTCAGGAGGTGGGTCTGTCCAGGATGGACTTCCTCCAGGCGCGGAGGATCTCCCAGATGTGGCGAACCATTGGATCCTCCCTGACACAGTCCCCGTCAGTCACCTCCAAGATCCAGGAGAGCCCCGAGGTGCAGCGGGAGAGGGCCTTTGTAGAGCTGGCCTCCAGATGTCAGGCTGTCATCTGCTGCAGGGTGACGCCCAAGCAGAAGGCCCTGGTGGTGGCGCTGGTGAAGAAGTACCAGCAGGTGGTGACGCTGGCCATCGGAGATGGCGCCAACGACGTGAACATGATCAAGAGTGGGTGCTGGGCCCGCGGCTGCGGCGGGGGTGGAGGTGGAGCATGGTGACTGCGCCCCTGGTGGCTGACACGAGCTGTCACGGCCCCTGCCTGCAGCTGCTGACATCGGCGTGGGGCTGGCGGGTCAGGAGGGCATGCAGGCCGTTCAGAACAGCGACTACGTGCTGGCCCAATTCTGCTACCTGCAGCGGCTGCTCCTTGTGCACGGGCGCTGGTCCTACATGAGAGTCTGCAAGTTCCTGCGTTACTTTTTCTACAAGACGGTGGCCAGCATGATGGCCCAGATATGGTTCTCCATGTTTAGCGGCTTCACTGCGCAGGTGTGTGGGCTGTCGGGTGTACTGTTGCTCGCCGGTCATCCTAGACTGCCACTAATCCAAGACCACCTGGGCAGATCAGGGTCGCGGTGCACACCCATCAGGACAGTGTGGGGTGAGGAGGGTCACCACCCATTCTAGATAGCTAGGTTCACCCTGGCAGTGGTGGCACACATCTTCAATCCCGGCACTTGGGAGACAAAGGCTGGTGGATCTCTGTGAGTTTGAGACCAGCTTGGTCTGCAGAGCGAGTTCCAGGGCAGCCAAAAACTAACAGAAAATATAGTTAGGTTGTTAGTTAGGCTGGCTGGGGCTGCAGCTGGGTTGGTGGGGTGCTCACCTACTGTGCGCAGGGTGTACTACGCACCATGCCTGGTGCGTGTGGTGCTGGGTGTGCACAAGAGTGCTCACTGTAGCCCAGGCTGGCCTCCAGCAGGACGTCCCCAGGGCTGGGTTGCTTAGGCTCTGGGTCCCTGGTGCTTACTCTTAGCTAGGTTAGGTCTGTGGTCAGAAGACCTGGCCCCTGGACTGGCTGTCACTGGGCCTCCCCTGCCTTGCAGCCCCTGTATGAAGGCTGGTTCCTGGCTCTCTTTAACTTGCTGTACTCGACGCTCCCGGTCCTGTACATGGGTCTGTTTGAGCAGGTGAGTGCCATGCAGGGCCTTGGGTCCTGTCTGCACCCCAAGCAGGTCACCTGCCCTTTCCAAAGTCGCTCTCATGGTGGTCTGTGGGAGAGGGACCTCTGGATGCAGACTCCCCACCCCCTGACCCTCCCCCGAGGTAAGCCCTGCCTCCTGGACAGGACCTGACTGCTGAGAAGAGCCTGAAGATGCCCGAGCTGTATATGGCTGGCCAGAAAGATGAGCTGTTCAACTACAGCGTCTTCCTGCAAGCCATCTTCCATGGCGCACTGACATCTTTCATCAACTTCTACGTGCCGGTGCTCCTCAGCAGTGACATTTCCAAGTTTGGCGCCTCTAGTGACTACCAGTCGCTTGGTGTACTGGTGGCACTCTCTGGGCTGCTGTCTATCACCCTAGAGGTAAGTGGGGCCCTGAGAAACCATGGCGGCCTCTGCCTCACACTGACTTTTTGTTCTGTCCTCTCAAAAGGAACATTTGTTAGCCAGGCTGTGGTGGTGCACACCTTTTTTTTTTTTTAAGATTTATTTATTATGTGCATAGTGTTCTGTCTGCATATATGCCTGCGGGCCAGAAGAGGGCACCGGGTCCCATTACAGATGTTGTGAACCACCATGTGGTTGCTGGGAATTGAACTCAGAACCTCTGGAAGAGCAGCCAGTGCTCTTAACCTCTGAGCCATCTCTCCAACGCCTGGCTTGGTGGCGCACGCCTTTAATCCCAACACTCAGGAGGCAGAGGCAGGAGGCTCTCTGTGAGTTCGAGGCCAGCCTGGTCTACAAGAGCTATTTCCAAGACAGGCTCCAAAGCCACAGAGAAACCCTGTCTCGAAAATAAAATAAAACAAACATTTGTTTTACCCTGGTGGTGGTGGCAGCAGCACACGCCTTTAATGCCAGCACTGAAGAGGCAGAGGCAGGCAGATCTCTGAGCTTGAGGGCAACCTGGGCTACAGAGTGAGTTCCAGAATAGTCAGGGCAGTTTCAGGGACTTCCTGAATTTTTTTTGTTTGTTTTGTTTTGTTTTTTTGAGACAGTGTTTCTCTGTTTAGCCCTGGCTGTCCTGGAACTCGCTCTGTAGACCAGGCTGGCCTCGAACTCACAGAGATCCGCCTGCCTCTGCCTCCTGAGTGCTGGGGTTAAAGGCTGTGCCACTAACACCAGGCTTCCTGAAGCTGTTTTGTGGTGTTTACCTTCTTAAGGAGCTTCCTGTAGAATGGAGTGTTACAAAACAACTGTATATGTGGCCATGGGCTTTGCAGATTTTGTCACTGCCCCCTCTCCAGTTTTGGGTTGGCAGGAATGACAGGTACACATGGCCACAGGGGATTTGAACTCAGGTCCTCAGGCTTACACAGCAAATATTTTACCCACTGAGCCATCTCCCCAGGACTCCACTTCACTTTTCTGAGACTGGCTCTCCCATTGAGGTTGTAACTAGTTAGGCTGGGCTACCTAGTGGGTTCCCATTCTCAGGACACCCTGTTCCTGGTCCCGGGGCTCAGGCACGCACAGCCACAGTCTCAGTTTCGGCATGGGTGTTGGAGATTGCAGCTCAGCTCCTCGGCCTGGACATCCCCCAGACCTCCAACGCTGACTTCCTCCCTGAGGGGTCCCCTTTGCTGGGCCCCCGGCGGCTCCACCTCCTGCCTCCTGTTGCTGACCTCCTGTCTCCTGTCCAGGTGATTCTTATCATCAAGTACTGGACGCTCCTGTGTGTGGTCAGCATCCTGCTCAGCCTTGGCTCCTACGTCATCATGACAAGCCTCACTCAGAGCCTCTGGCTGTATAAGATCTCGCCAAAGACCTTCCCATTTCTGTGTGAGCTACCACTGTGTGTGTGTGGGGGTGTGGCATGGGCAGGAGGCTGTGGCCTCTCGGAGAGCAGGCGTCACCTGCAGGAAGGGAGTTGGCAGGGCAGGCCCGTGACTGTGGGGAGGGGAGGGGGCTGGTGTTCACCTGCCCTCGGTCTACTCTCCTCCCAGTTGCTGATTACAATGTGATCACTCAGCCCGCCAACCTGCTGGTGATTGTGCTCAACGTGGCTGTGAACACATTACCCGTCCTGGCCTTGCGCATGATCCTCAGAGCTGTAAAACAGCGCCCTAAGGTGAGGTGGAGCTGGGGGACCTCCCAGCCCCTCCCAACTATCACAGCCGTTTGTCTGGGGACGGTGGGACGGATCCCTGGCCACTCCCAGTGTCCTCAGGGGCCCAAATCCCTGAGCACAGTGTGTACCTTAGGACAAGCCTTGACTCCTGGGGTGATGGAATGTTCTGGAAGTTAACAGTTGTACAATTTTCTGAGTGTGCTTAGAGCTGGAAACTGTTCTCTAATGAACCCAAGGTGCTAATTGAAAACCCCTTTTTTTAAGATTTATTTTTTATGTGTGTGGATGTTTTGTCTGCGTGCACGTGTGCTCACCATGTGTGGGTGTCCACAGAGAAGCCAGAGGAGATCATTGACTCAAACCTGCCACTGGAGTTAGACAGTTGTGAGCCGAGGGGTGGGTGCTGGGAACCAAATAAATTTGGTTTCTCTGGAAAAGCAGTGCTCTTCTTACGGCTGAGCTGTCTTCTCCAGCCCCAACTCGATGAATTTTAATTGTCAAGTTTAAGGAAAAATTTGTTTTTTGTTTTTATGTGTTTGATTGGTTTACAGAGTTTCTCTGTGTGGCCCTGGCTGTCCTGGAACTCGTATAGACCAGGCTGACCTCGAACTTACAGAGATCTTCCTGCCTCTGTTTTCTTTTCTTTTCTTTTCTTTTCTTTTCTTTTTCTTTCTTTCTTTCTTTCTTTCTTTCTTTCTTTCTTTTTTTTTTTTTTTTTTTTTTGGTTTTTCGAGACAGGGTTTCTCTGTGGCTTTGGAGGCTGTCCTGGAACTCTCTCTGTAGACCAGGCTGGCCTCGAACTCACAGAGATCCGCCTGCCTCTGCCTCCCGAGGGCTGGGTTGAAGGCAAGTGCTATCGTTTTTCTACCATTGAGTCCTGAGTCAGATCCCAGGGAAAGAGCTGCCCACTGTGGAGTCAAGGAAGGACTCTTCAGATTTGCATTGCTTTATTTATGTGGCCGGGGTGTGGTGGCAGCATGAGCGGCTGACGCTGTGGGGTGTGTTTGGAGGTCAGAGGACACCTGTTGGGAGTCAGTTCTCTCCTTCACTGTGTGGGTTACCAGGATGAAACTCGGGTCATCGGACTTGCCTGTTGGCTGGACCCGTGTTGGGAAGCCCCGAGTGGTCCCCACCGGGCGCGGGGAACCCTAACGCCCCAGTGTCCCCGTTGTTCCCCACGCTCTGCAGAAGAAGGGCAAGGAGAAGGAGGAGGCGGAGGAGGAGCCAAGCGAGGAGGCAGAGGTGGGGACTACGGCGAAGGTCCTCCGCCGGGGCATCCCAACCCGCAGATCCAGCTACGCCTTCTCCCACCGCGAGGGCTACGCCGACCTGATCACCCAGGGCACCATCCTGCGCAGGTCCCCCGGGGACATCAGCGGGGACACCATCCTCGAGTCCCCGAACCCGTCGGAGGAAGACCTGCCCTCGAGCCGCAAGGAGTCGATTTTCAGTCCGCGGAAGATCTCCATCCTGGCGAGGATGAAGCGCCAGCACCGCGGCCAGGGGTCCCAGGAGGAGGTCGGCACGGACGCGGGCTCGCAGACAGGGAAGAAGCCGGCCCCGCAGCGCCGGGACGCGCAGAAGCCGCCCGCCTCCGACGGCAGCGCCACCTCGCCGGCGGTCACGTCGCTGCAGGCGTCCTCGTCGGACGACCAGGCCTTCCACAGCGCGCCCTCCGAGTACACGCTGGCCAGCCAGTCCGAGCGCCTGGACGTGAGGACCGCGTCCTTGAGGACGCTTCCCTGGAAGGACCCCGCGTCCCCCAGGCCCAGCCTGCTGCAAGTCCCCGCGAAGAAGCACAGCCACAGCTCGAGCTGACCCCTCGGGGCCATCGCCCGCAGAGTCCCCGCCACCGTCCCGCGGGGCGGTCACCTGGGGGGGCGCAGGAGCCCGCGGCGGCGGCGGCGGCGGCCGTGTCGCGCCCGGCGTGGAAGGGCACAGCAGCTGCCCGGGTCCCCGCACAGTAGGGGTAGCCAGTCAGCCAGCAGCATCCAGAGACAACAGGGGGCCGCACCCTCGCCTTTTTCTAATAAAACAGGGTCCCTCTGACCCCGGAGCTTCTTTGGACTCGCTCCTTCTCCAACTCCTCTTTTGGTAGAAGCCGGGGAACGTTCCTTCCCAGGTTTAAAAGGAAATACCCAAACGAAACCGCCCCCAAATTATCGAAATACTGACCCCTACTGATCAGGTCGTTTAATTTCAGGAAAATATTCTTGTTGGTTTTTGTCCCCCTTCAAAGCGCATAAAGCTCCTTTGTTTTTGAGAAAGAAGAGGAAGAGATCAGGCTCTGCCCAGCCTTGGGCTCCACCCCACACCTACCGTGGCTTAATCTGCACCCAGCACCCTCCGGCCCCCTTTTCCTCCAGGCTGCCTCCCTTGGTTGAAGGAGAGGTCTCAGAAGAGGCCCGGATGTGTGGCCCACACCTCAGGTCCTCCCGGGGGCCGGCCCTGACCCGAGAGAGGAAGGTAGAGGGGGTGGCACTCGGCTTCCTTCTGGGGGGTGGAGCCCCGTCTTCCCCACTCCGTGCGGGGTCACAGTTGGCCAACACACACGCAGCTGACCGACTAGAAAACACTTTACTGAAGGAAAAAAAAAAAAAAAGAAAACCAAAACGAGAGAACGGACCCAGCACAGCCATGTTAACGGTGGTGCTGCTTCTCTGGTCTCTACCTGTGACCTGAGGGCTGGGGTCTGCAGAGCAGCCCTTCAATCCAGATGCCAGCTGGCGGCTGGAGCATTCAAATGATTCCATGAACAGCCCTAGTTTTCGTTTCCACTGAAAATTCTTGGGGCCTTCCTCACACCGCTCCCAGCTGAGAGAAGCCAACACCACCCACCCTCAGGGGGTCTGAGGGACCACTAGGATAAGCCCTGCCCTGTACCTGGCGACTAAACTTTGGTTGAACCATTTGGGGACAGTAAGACAAAACGTCCAAGGTCACACCTTCTCACACCACGGGAGCAGTGCTGACTTTCTAACTCATGTTTCAGCCCAGGTCTGTGACATGGGACCTGCCATTGGAAGCCAGCTCCTAGTCAGCATCCTTGAGACCTCCCTGGGATGGGTGGGAGCAGGAAGTGCAGGAGTACAGGCCGCCTGGACCCCACTTCTTCCTCCACTTATGGGGGGCACGGAGCCCTGTTCTCCAGGGTCCCCAAGTGACTGCAAAAAAGGGGCGACCCCACGCCCGAGGAAGCTGCGGGTGTCCCTGGATAGGTGACTAGGCCTGGGGAAGGCTTTTGGCATCTGGGAAGCTGGGGTGCACCCAAGCTTGCTTTACACTCCTGAATCTCTTAGCTGTCTGATTTGAAGATGCCTGCTTGACAAGTCTGTGCTAAAGCGAAACCCGCCTGGTGGGGCCAAGGGGCCCACAGCCACCCACGTGCTCCCCGGATGCAATGGGGAAGGCAGCAGCCCTCCGCCAGGCTGGACCACAGGTGGCAGGGCTGAGAGCAGAGGAGAGGGAGTGGGGCTCAGGTGTGGCTTGCTCCAGGACCCCTCTCTCTAACTCGGGACCTTGCCACCTTCTTGGACACAGTTGCTTAGGAGTTAGAGTGGGGACAGAAACAGAGGGCCACAAGGCAGGGCCAGCTGGCATGTGGGGTACAATAATGACAGTGACAACCCACGCCCAACCCTCCAGTTACGTCATCAGAGCATACGCACCACGAACCAATCGAATTCCATCACCTCTCTGCTTTTCATTTTTCTTATTTTTTCTTAAATTACGTTTAAACACGGAACACATAGAATCATAAATACTCTTAGAAGACACGACTCCATAAAACGAGGAAACAGAAGAAGCCAGGGAAAGTTACAGCTGTCAAGCACGCCTTTCTCTTTCCTAAGAGACTCTTATACATAGGAAATGTAGGCCACCGGTCCCCCACTCGCCCAGGGACCACCGGCTTTGCTGCCCTGACATTCAATACGTCTCCCACGGAACCGGTCAGAGATAAACATGCCATTGTTTGCAAAATTATAATTTAACCGTATAAAGCTTCGAGTCACATAATCCCAAAACTAGCTAAGGTTTTTTTTTTTTGTTATTTTGTTTTGTTTTTAGCACATAAACTATTAAACATTAAATATTTTGAGGTATTTCAGAGAGAATTGTCAAAGGCTAAAAGGAATTGTGCTGGACTGTGGGCTCCCTGTGTAGGAAGGATCTTTGGTAGGTAAGGACTAGAAGGTGTGGGGGGCAGATGTGGGGGGAGGATGGAGGTCCATCTGGGCCCGGAGAGGAGCCCCGGGGTGTGTGTGTGTGTGTGTGTGTGTGTGTGTGTGTGTGTGTGTGTGATTTGAAAAGGTTCCATTGGTGGCTCAGGGTGGAGGGTGGAGCCCCGCCCAGAATCCCCCAGTGAGGGACTGGGGGCGTGGTCAGGGGTGGAGCCCTGCCTAGGTGAGGGACTGGGAGTGGTCAAGTACTTGACTAAAATGTACTAGATCCTCGGTTCCCATCCCATCATCACCAGAAACAAAGGCAGAAGAGAAAAAGACAAAGAAAAACAAAACTCAGTCTGACTGATGGCACGTTGCCTGTGATCCCAGCCCTCGGGAGGCTGAGGAAGGCTAGCCTTGGCTGCAGAGTAAGACCCGTCTGACAATTTACAGATTACAGGTATTTTCCAACTTGTCATTAAATCATAGTCTTTTGAGGCTGTGCTGTGCTATGTGAGTAGATCAGCTGGCCTCTGCACCCTAGTACAGGGTTTAAAGTCATGAGTCACCATGTCACACTCATTTTTTCCCTGTTCATTTTGTGGGTCTCAGGTCTATCATCTGTGCCTGCTGGGCACGAATCAGAAATGAGCGAGTGTGAGGGGAAGGGGGGGCTCCGTGCTAGTATAGGTGGGAGGAGGGAGCCTGAGTCCTCACAAATGGCAGCTACAGTGCTTGTGTGCACACGCGTGGTGTGTGGTGTGTGTGAGTGTGTGTCTGTGAGTGTGTGGTGTGTGTCTGTGAGTGTGTGTCTGTGAGTGTGTGTGGTGTGTGTCTGTGAGTGTGTGTCTGTGAGTGTGTGTGGTGTGTGTCTGTGAGTGTGTGTCTGTGAGTGTGTGGTGTGTCTGTGAGTATGTGTCTGTGAGTGTGTGGTGTGTGTCTGTGAGTGTGTGTCTGTGAGTGTGTGGTGTGTGTCTGTGAGTGTGTGGTGTGTGTCTGTGAGTGTGTGTCTGTGAGTGTGTGGTGTGTGTCTGTGAGTGTGTGTCTGTGAGTGTGTGTCTGTGAGTGTGTGTCTGTGAGTGTGTGGTGTGTCTGTGAGTATGTGTCTGTGAGTGTGTGGTGTGTGTGTGGTGTGTGTGCGTATGGGGTGTGTGTGTGGTGTGTATGGTGTGGGGTGTGTGTGTGTACATGTGTGTTTTAAAAGATTTATTTCATTTTTTTAGCCGGGTGGTGGTAGTCTGCACCTTTAATCCCAGCATTTGGGAGGCAGAGGCAGGCGGAACTCTGAGTTTGAAGCCAGCCTGGTCTAAAGAGGGAATTCTAGTACATCAAGGGCTACATGAGAAACCCTGTCTTGAAAAACCAAAAAGCAACAACAACAAAAAATGTTTTATTTTTAATTGTGTATGAATATGTGCATGTGAATGTAGGTGCCTATGAAGCCAGAAGAGGGCGCTGAACCCTTTAGAACTGGAGTTGTCGGTGTTTGTTAGCTTTGTGGGGGCTGAGAACCCAGACTGAGCTGTCTTTTCAGCCGTGCCTGTGTGTGTGTGTGTGTGTGTTTGTGTGTGTGTGTGTGTGCATGTGTGTACATGTGTGTGCCTGTGTGTGTGTGTGTTTGTGTGTGTGTGTGAGACCTGTCTCTTGCTGAGTGAGAACAGGGAGGACTCTTTTCACTCTGAGCATTCTGCCTCACACCCAAAGGTTCTAGAAGCATCCATCCAAGTTGCTTCCATGGGAGAGCACAAGTCATTAAGGACAGAGGACACTCCACACACATCTTTGGTTCAATAAGAAGGCACTCACCGACCTCGCTGTCCTCCTGTCTCTCTCTCTCTCTCTCTCTCTCTCTCTCTCTCTCTCTCTCTCTCTCTCTCTCTCTCTGGTGGGGGACAGCCATGGGGCGAGGGTGGGGACACCCTGGCTTCCAGCACAAACCCTTGGGGGTGGGGAATCTTTGGTATCAGACGTGATCATTTGAATCACAGCGTGGGCTCAATGAGGTAGCCTTTACAGGGGAGGGGAGGGGCCTTTTTCTTCTTCTCACTAGAAAGTTCTCTTGCATTCTCTAGGGAAACTGGGGTGGGGGCCCTCCCTGGGAGGCAGCCATGGGTGGGTTCAGAAGAGAGGAGTTCCTAGGATCTTGAACCCCAGAGGGGGAAGGGGAGAGGCAGCCTCCTGGGATCTGGCTGCCAGGCCAGTCTTGAAATGTCACCCAAAGGGAAGGGCTGAGCAGTGGGGTGGGGGTCCTGCTTCTAACCCTTCCCCAGTGTACACTTTTTGGCAAAAACAATGGAGCAGTTTTCCACTTCATCTTCTCTTCCGAGAGAGGGGTCACCAATGCAAGGCTAACCCCTGAATGTCCTCTGGGGGAGGAGGCTCAGGTGTGTGCATCCCCAAGCAACCAAAAAAAGTGTGATGAATTCCAGAGATTTCCAGAGCTTTGGATCCAAGGGATGCTGGCGGTGCCTCCATGGAGCCCTGGAACTGGGAGAATCTGATGTCCCCTTTGAGATCTGGGGTGTCATCTTTTTGCTCTTTGGTGACCTTGGTCCCTGTGAAGCATTCGTCACATAGCAAGGTGCTTATAGTGAGCTCAGCCAGGGGTGCTGGGCAGGAGGCAGCCAGGGAAACCCTCATCTCTGCATCTGCCACTGTCTCCTTGGAGACGGGGGCTCCCCACATGTCCCCTCCCGGCATTAAGGCAGGGGATTGTTGGCACAGGATATCCAGGCCACTGGGGTGGGGGTGGCAGCTGGGGTCTTGGCCGTGAGGGGCTGTCCTGACAGGGGAGAGGGCTTGGCATGGGCATAGGGTGCTGCAAGGATCCAGCTTGTTGGTTTTGGCCACTTGGAATAGGTCTCAGGTCTTGGGGAAGGGACAAGGGGACAGAGACCTGGCCTG